TTTCCATGAGTGAGGAGCATTTTCGTAAATATTTTCCTGTATCCTCATCTACATTCTGCTGCTCTCCCACATAAATTGAAGCTCTCTGTGAATTTGTGAAGAGAAATTCTCATTCGGGTCTTGCACAGTGGCCCAGTTTGAGTAAAAAATCAGTGTCAATGCATCTCTTATCTCGCATGCTGGTGCGTGCGAGCGTGTGCAAGCCTCTTCCGGAAGCTTTAAACAGACTTGTCATGTCGGGAGACGCTGCTGTCAAACCGGGGACGAATCTGAGGGTGTCAATTGAATGCCGAGAAACGTCTGTCAGTCGTTTTGACGTGGGTCTCTCCACTGTGATTAGCATCACTTAATATTCATGCGTGCTGAGACGCTGCCAAACTGACTGCTGTTATTAGAGAGCATTGAGAGCAGCCTCACAGTGATAAAAACACAGATGATGTAACAGCCGTGTGGCATTACAAGCATGTCAATATGTGCCGCCCTGTGCGCGCTGTGATGGGGTCAAAGGTCAATTCAACAAGAGGAGAAGTGATATTACTTTCACAGACAGGAGGAGTGAAGGCCCGGCTCTCTTTGTGTTTGCACAGAGAAGACGGTGGATCAGCTAAACAACACTGCCACTTGCTGGTCATAATGAGGTACTGCAAATCAGATGAAAGGGAAACTGCGGCCAGTAAAGACGCTCTAAAAATGTGTCACTTTAGGGTGTTTGGATTTTTGATTACAGGAGTTTGTTGTCTTTATCATATAAAAGGATCCTCATTAAAGTTTTTAAGGGATGTTTAATAAATCTGCTGAGTTTAAAAACCTTTCTCAGGATGTTTAAAGAATATTTTGCATTTTTGGTTGATATCAACATTAAATAAAAAGACTGCCATAAACCCAAAGGTTTTCTTTTTATGGTTTTGGGTTTTCTCCATTTATTCTGCAGTGTGAGAAACGCCACAAAATAATAATGAAAAATAATAATAATAATAACGCATCAAATTTCATATAGCGCTTCATCAGAGACCCTCAAAGCTTTTACCTAGCTCTTGATTGGTATTTTATATTTGTTTTTATTTATGGTGTATTTGTAACTCAATTTTACTTTGCTGTATTTTAATCTTGTATTCTGTGTTTTTTTATCATATTGTTTACTGTCTGTTTTATGTATTTTGCTGTGCCTTATTGACCTGTACAGCGCTTTGGTCAGCTTCGGTTGTTTTTAAAGTGCTCCATAAATAAAGTTTGAGTTGAGTTGAGTTGAGAAAGTGCTTTACATTGGATACATCATTTATTCACTCACACAGTCACACCTTGGTGGTGCTAAACTACCTTAGTAATCACAGCTGCCCTGGGGCAGACTAATGGAAACGTTTACGCCGAAACGCTGCTAGTTTGCGCCTACGGCGTCTCTGACCACCACCACACAACACTCACAATCATACACCAGTGGAGGACACACACTGGGAGCAAGGTGGGTTAAATGTCTTGCCCTAGGACACAATGGACAGACTCGTGATGGGGGGAATCTAACCACTTATTGGACGACCACTCAACCTCCTGAACTACTGCCGTTTTAAACTCTGTCACCATCAGCAGTCATCACCATCTTGGAAATACTGACCTCACTAAACCTTTAGTTAACAGAGCAAGAGGCAAAGACGTGGAATTGAGGCGGCAGTCAGCTTCCTCGCCAATAGCTACAGTGAGATCACCTGTCAGTTGAGTCCGCCATGACCCTAACAAAGCAAAACCTGTAACGCGTCTTCAAAAACTATCAATTGTTTTTTTTTTTTAATCTCTTCTAAACCGTGTGCCTTTAGAGAAAGCACATAGAGAAATGAGCTATTTATAGCAAAACCATTTTCTGAATGAGTCAGTAAACATGTTTGGGGTTCATCCTAACCCGGGAGTTCTTGTTTGTGCCTAAATATTTGTTTTAATGGTTTGTGTAAACGATTTTGACCAGCATGTCTGCAAAATTTAAAACCCTTTTCAGGGTATCATTTATTTCCAGGACTAACAGTGTGGCTAAAAAAATCAAACAAAAACCTACATAAGTGTTAGCTTATATAAGATGGATGCAGTCTTCTCTGTAAGTCTGTAAATTTAGAAAATTTTTTAAATCTAATGCTTAAAAAACAAAGAGATGCACATATGTTTTACACCGTTTTGAATAAAATCTATTACCTACTTCTCCTCTCTGTGTGCTTTGCAAAATTCAAACCCCTTTTTTAGGGGGATTTAAGCGAATGCATCAAAACAGGAACCTCTTGAATTATTTTGTTTCATATTAGCAGCTGTACGTGTCAGTTTTTTTCTTGTCTCTCTACCACTCTGTGTTTTTTCCTACCTCGGAGAGAGTGTGTGAATGTGTATCACTGTGGCACTCTGACAGTTGCGGCCGGGAGGAGGAACAGTGGTGTGCTCGCTGCAGATGGCAGCACACATTTTTTCATTCCTTAAACAGACACAAAAAGCAGCTGAGGGACCAGGGCCTGTCTGTAGAATGTGCTGGGGAAGAGTAGGTACTTGGCACAAGTAGCAGAAACAATTAGCGTCACATAAGCAGAGGCCTGAAGCAGCTGGAGCGAAAGAAAGAGAGAGGAAGAGAGGGAGAGAGAGACGGAGGATGGTGGAGGAATAAATACAGCATCTCATTTTCACCGAGAGGACCTCAACAGAACTGTGTGCACACAAACTCAGACATCCCCCCTCGCTCCTCGTCATAACTCAAACATTTTTTAGAGACACAAACGTCATGACTCATTTTCTTGATGTGTTCTTGTCGGCGGCGTGTTTTTGTTTGCATCCGTGCATTCTTAATTAGGGAATCGACAGAGGAAGCCAAATGTCCTTTGAGAGACCTCGCATCCCACTCACATCCCAAATATTCCTTTTTGAACGTTCCTAGTTACATCCTTTCTCCCTGCCGCTGGTTTGAAGATGCAAGATGACGAGATCTCAACTGTGGCGTATGTTAGGAAGAAAAAAACAACTCTAACTCTGCCTCGCTTAACAAAACGCAGCCGATTAAACTTTACCTACTTCAAAGATAAACTCAAGGACAAGGTTGAAAAAGAAAAACAGAAGAAGTCTGCACATACTCTCCAGATGGTAGCCTATGTCGTACAAAATAATCAAGTACTTTCAAATACTATTTTGTTGGACCTTGGATCGTATTTCGACATCTTTCTGGCCCCTTAATATCCTGCACTCTTTGACACGATTGCAAAATAATCATGATGACCTCTTTCCCTGTCCAGTTTCTTTCTTAAACTCTGGCTGTGGTCCTGGACACGGGGGCGTATTCAGACCAGGAGTTAAGAAAAAGAGACAAAAAAACCATAAGAGGAAGATTTCTGTTGATTTGCACTTCAAGATGAAAATCAAAATGCTGAAAATAAAGACGAAATACAACTTTGGGATCTCATAGCTTATTTTTAGTGTGCTATAGTGCTGTTTTTAAAGCTCCTGTTAGGAACTTTCGGTCTGTGTTGACTATGGTGCCCCCTGTGGACAGAGTGAAGTGGTACCCCTTACACCTTTGTGGATTTCATCTCCTCTAAAAGTGGTGCGATTGACCAGAAATCTCCTCCTGTTGTCTTCAAACACTAAAATGCATCGGTCACAGGGAGTTTTAATGAGGGAAGATAAACTAAGGCTGTTTTTGTTACTGTACATAAATCCTCACAGCAGTTATAGGTATTGGAAACTTAATATTCATAAAAGGAATCTTTGACGTGTTTATGAGTGGTAACGCTGCGATCCAGTTGTACTCGAAAGTCGGAATCTCTGAGCTCCGAGTCGCCAAAATTCATTTGGTGTAGCTAACAACAACTAACAACAGCTAACAACGGCTAACAACAACTAACAATGGCCAATGACAGCTGACGATTGTAAACAACAGGTAACAACAGCTAACAGTAGTCATCCATCTTGGTTTTCTGACTTGATTACTGGAATGCCGTCACCTCGGGTGTAGCATCATTCCGAGCTTAGACAACTGACTTTCGAGTCGGAAAAGTCTATATATTCAATGTTACAGGAAACTCAAACCATCAAACAAAATTCTGTGCATGCATGTCCTCGGCAACTTTCTAAGTTATCAAAATGTTCACTGATTTTTGAAAGTGTAGCAGCAACAACTTCAAAAGTGGAACGCGTTAGTACTACTAGCCCTTGTTGTAGTTTATTAACTGAATTAGTATCTAATGCTAGTTAAACTCTTAACTGCTGGATAACAGACTGTGCAGATAAGAGGACCACATTTTGCATTTCTTCCCTGTTAAACTCTCCATCGGTGATTAAGATATCCTCACATTTATAACCTTTCAGAGTCTTTAGCTGTAAGAGAACAAATAGATAACACTGGAGGGTAAAGTGGTTAAATTAGTTAAGTTAAAGAACTTGAGAAAAATCTATCTGGACCTCAAACACAGCCTTAACCTGTCACGCTGAACTTTGCACTCTGCCACAAAACAGTGTATCCAGTGTAAATACAGCAGTCAGAAATGAGGATGGACTGAGTGTTATAGTCATGCTTTCTAAATTCAAAACAGACGAAACTGAAATTGTACTTTTTAACTACTTTGGTAAATGACGCATGATTATTTAGGAGATAATTTTCTTCTAATGAAGAAGTCTACATTAAAAAAAAAAAAATAGCTATGTTGCGATCATGAGTACAGTTTAAAGAGCGCACTCAAGAGCATCAATGAAACAGCTTTAAGAGCTTGAATGGATTGTAGAATAAGTGACAAAGTGCTGTATTTGTTAATCATGGTTTCTGCAAACAAAAGCTGAAATGTTTCATCTTCCATATTGATTTTCAGCAATAACCATATCTTTCAAACTTTTGAAAGAGTAATCCATACACAAACCCTCTTGTTTGCTAAAGAATCTCCCAACTTGTGCAATATGAGCAACCTGGGAAGAATCAATGAGTCAGACTTTCCAGGGTTACACACTAAGTCAACAAAGATGGTACAAAAAGGACAGACTGGAGATTCGGTGGTTTCAAAGTTGTTCAACCTTTCCTCAAAAAGGCGCACATCCCACAACATGATGGAGGCCAATATTAAAATGTGTCTCTGCGTTGCACTTGCTGTTGCACTGACAGGTATGAGACGTAGAAATCAGGCAGTTGACAGACATTTCTTGGATTTCTGATGTTTACTGCTGTTTCAACTTTTTTTTTTTTTTTAGATTTGGGGATGTCTACATTTCCTGGAAAAACCCACAGCAGAGGGAAGGATGATCCTGTGCTGCAGTATGTTGTTAACAACTCATTGAGGGAGCATCCAGTGCTCACCAAGCTCAGACTGGTAAGAGAAACAGAAACTTTGACCTGCTAAACCTATAAACCTTAATGCACAGAAAGCTTAGATCTGCTGGAGTGATGATAGCTTCTATTGATCTGACAAACAGTGAGAGTTAACATAATCCTGCTACTCCTGGAGTTCTCTTGACTAGATTTGGAAAGAGAACAAAACCACAACAACAACAAAAGACTTAAATGATAAAACTAAATAGGATGATAGGGACGAGACTCTTGACATAATATATCTAAATAAGTGTAATGTAATTGAGATGTTCACAAAATTCACAAAAACTACTTAACTTTGTTCGTTTTTGTTCGATTTATGCATATGTACGTTTATAAAATAGGTAATCCTGCAGTATTTGATTCTAATCCAAGTTAAGATGATATCACTTTTCGACTTTTACTCTCAATGTTGCAAACTTTTGGCTTTTATTTTCACTTAATTTTTTTTTAAATGTAAAACTTCAACAACTTCCTCCAATCACCAGCTGCACGACATCTGATCAGGTCGAGGAAGAGGGAAGAACCAGCACCCTTCTCATATTTATATTTTCAAATCTGCTCCCTATAAGATCATTTTCACTTCTTTTGATCAGCTCAAGCTTAGCATGGGTAGGCACATGTAGAGATGTATCAATATGCTAAAGCCATCAGCTGGTTATTTGGGTCAGAAGATGGCTAGTTGGTCATCTGGTGCTCCAGGCCACAGATGATTGAGGCTTTGAAGTTGTTGCTGCTAAACTTTAAAAAATCAGTGAACATTTTGATTACTTTAAAAGTTGCAGAGGACATGCATGCACAGAATTCTATTTGTTTGGTTTGAGTTTCCTGTAACATTGAATACATAGTCTTTTTTTTTTTACATGTAAATTTCACATATAAAGGAACATTAGTCTACAATTGGACTGTATAATATATGACCACTAGAGGGCAGCATAGTGCCAGAGAACACACAGCTACCTGCACTCTGCTCCAAAGTAAAATAAGATCAATAAGGTTTTATTCTTCTTCCAGAGAACCCTTCAGGACACCTGGAGTATCATGCTGGTTTCCACTGAGCAAGCCCAGCTGATGGCAAACCTCATTAAGTTGATAAATGGAACGAAAGCGATTGAAATTGGTGAGTTTATGTGAGATACAGACCATTTCATCTAAAGCTTTTGGAATTGAGAAACAAGTATTTGCCATTTAAGTTATGTAGGATTACTTAGTCTTTGTCAAATTTTACACTATTGTAAACGTAGCAGTAATCACACTAAGTCTAAATTACTTAGTTATTGGGATGCCCCATATACAGAGATGAGCCCTTGTCATCGGTTTAATATGTTGTAACTCAACTCAACTCAACTTTATTTGTAGAGCACTTTAAAACAACCACAGCTGTACAAAGTGCTGTACATAACAGGACAAAAACAACAAGATAAAAAACAATCAAGAAACAATTAAAACAATGGATAAAATAAAAGCAGAATTAATAATAAAATATAGCTTCAATGTTTTTAAAAACTAATTTAAAAACATAGAAACAAATAACTAAAAACAAACCATAAAACACTAAAACAGGAGCCGAGTCTCATGGAGGGTTAAAAGCCAATGAATAAAAATGGGTTTTAAGACGAGTTTTAAAAATGGACAGTGTGGGGGCTTCTCTAATTTGGAGGGGTAGCTTGTTCCATAAAATTGGGGCAGCAACAGAAAAAGATCTATCCCCTCTGAGCTTCCGTTTGGACCTCGGTACCTCCAGGAGCAGCTGATCAGCTGACCTGAGGCACCGAGCTGGGGTGTAGGGGTGGAGAAGCTCAGAGAGGTATGATGGAGCCAGACCATTTAAAGATTTAAAAACAAATAAAAGAATCTTAAACTGGTGATGAAAACTGGTGATGAAACTGGTGATGAAAAAAGAAAAGCAACTGTTGATATCGGACTTGTGACTGCCAATACTGATATGATGCCCATTATGTCAAAAGACCATTAATCAGCCAAACTAATCAGTCCATTAGACCATTAGCAACAAGGCTGACTTATGCTACATGGTATTTACAGGTGTCTAAAGCTGCTGCCATGGAGTCGGTGTTGAGTTTATGACCCAAAGAAAATCATCCTTTTTTGTCTATATCTGAAAATGTCTCACAGAAGCTTTAAATCAGTTTTATTTTTCCTGTGCAGGAATGTACACAGGGTACAACGCACTGAACATGGCATTAGCAATGCCGAAGACTGGCCGTGTGGTTGCTTGTGAAATAAAGCAAACATATGTGGACATTGCCCGACCTTTTTTTGAAGAGGTAAGAGCAGATCTGTCCTACTCACATGAATCACTTGTCTGTTCATGGTTAAAGAAGATTCTAGTAAGATTTAAGTTTTCTCCATGAAACCTTTAATCTGAAATCCATCACTGAGAGTCTCATTTCTCAAAGCAGCTCTTATGCGAGTTTTGTGAGATGGACTGTTGCCTTTATCTGAGTGAAATAGTGCAGTAGACAGCAAAGTGCGCATCTACTTTCTGTCAGTGTGTCTTCGCTGAATTCTGCCTGGTGAATGGTCAAAAGGTGTCTGCTCAGGAGACTGTGTGTCACTTAAGTTGCAAAGTCAAGCAATAAAATCTCTCCCTGTTTGAGCCTTTGCTGGCACTCTTTAAAAAAACGACTGAAAAAGAGAAACAACTCACAACCTTTGTATCTCTTTCGCACAATTTATCATATTTTCTCTAGGCTGGAGTGGAAAATATGATAGATGTACGACTCCAAATGGCCTCGACAACACTAGGTTAGTAATAAGTAAAGTAAAAAATCTCAATAAATAATTCTGATAAAAATTTACTTTTATTTTAAGTTGTCACCCTGTTTTATTAGATGAGCTGATTGAAGCTGGAGAAGCTGGAACATTTGACTTTGTATTTATTGATGCTGACAAAGTCAACTACGACACATACTACGAGAAGTCCCTTGAGCTTGTTGTGTCTGGGCTGTCCTCGATGTGTAGATGCAGAAGGAGGCTTCGTGACACTGGCTTGCTTGTATAAGAGGAGTTTATTTTAAAGACAAAAACCAGTATCAATACAGCACTGCAGTTGCTGGGAGAGGACTGCCAATGATGTCCAGCTCTTCCAAACCAGAATTTGTGACCCTGTTATATACAGTTAGGGCTGTAAGCCCTCCTACATTTTTAGTTTGTTCTGAGCTAACTTTCCTTACCCTCTGGTGTTTGCTTAACCTAGAGTGGTGGTCCGTGACCTGTGACCTGTGACCTGTGAAGTGTGCCTTCCGGGACATCTCACCGCAGGTGTCATTGATGCTAAACAAGGCAAACACAAGCCCACATCCCAAAGTTGGCTCTCAGGCTATTTCTGAGAAATACCTTAAAGCTCTGCATATTGCTGTAGTACTCCAGATACCACATATTTCCCCCCTTCGAGACTCCATAGAGTCTCGAAAAAAGGTGAAGACATGTTTATAATTTCATTTTACTCTTAAAATTTGGAGTGTGAGAGCGAAAACCTGTCAGGCAGCTATCGTTCCATTAGTATCCATCAGACAATCTAGACAGGAAAAAGTCACTCACGGTCCCTCTGCCCTAGGCGACCACCTAGTGTACTCCAATCCAATTGAAAGGTAAGGGTTAGATTTTATGTGGAAATAATGTTTGGCGCAAATATTCTTGGGAATCTCAGAAACAAATTTAAAATTATCCACAGTCAAGCTGGTCATCCCATCGAACCTTCCAGTGGACCTATCCCTGCCTAACACCACTGATCCTACAACGAGAAAACAAAGAAAATACCTGAGATCCCAATACATTCACTTTACAACTTAAGCTATGACTCACTAACCCCCCTTTCATAATTTCCATTCTTCCTATGCTGTTTGGCATTGACATGAACATTAAATACAACACAGAAAGATAAATTGACATTCATAGCCCAGATTATATATTAACAACTCTATGCTTAAAAATGAATAATAATTTTTGTTCCTTAACATCTTTGGCTGCTTGTGTAGTGTTCTTGTCCATGGGTGTTGTCCGTTTGTGTATCCAATGCAATGTCCTTGTTCACATCCTCTGTCAGGTTTCAGTTTTGTTTAAATTGTCCATGTTTGGTTGTCTTGTTGGGAGGTGTGGGTCCATTAGGCTGTTTAGATGTCTGGAGAACCACCTTTCTTTAGCTGGTCTCCCCACCTGCTGTCCTGAGAATGAAAAATTAAGCAGTATCTTGCCAAAAACATACATTTTTGTTTGTTTGACATGTTTATCCTATTTCCCCCTAAGTAATACCTCCCCTTTACATCATCAAAATGTAAAACTGTGTGCTTGTCAATCTTACCCAGAGCGTTTTTCATCACCCCATTCGTTTTTTTGTTTTTTCACAGATACCTTGGCTTTGCGGATGATACACAGCTCCCAAACGTTGTTTAATTCCTAATTTTTGTAAAATTAACCGCACCGTTTTATCCACAAACTCCTTCCCATTATCTGAGGATATGCGATCTGGAAGTCCCCATCTGCTTATGACTTCCCTACACAAAAACTTGGCAACATACTGAGCATCTTTCCGCTTGGTTAGACAAGCTTCAACTGTTACACCTTCGAACATTACTTTTTAGACACATTGTACATCTATTTATGACATAATCAAAAATTTGTGGTGCTCAAAAACCTATTCCTTTATGATGTTTCTTGTAACTTCCCCCCTTGCATCATTGGCTAACTTTGGCCTCCTGAATCGTTAATCCAAGTAGGTCTGGAGGTGTCACCATCAGCCCTTCATGATTCCTCTGATAGAGCTTTCTTCTACTCAATAACAGTCAAGTGCATAATGTCCTAGTTGTCCACACCTATAACATGCTTCTGAAAATGCGTGGAAGTTTGGGTTGAAGTTTCTGTCTTCAGCGCTTCCACTCCATGTCTGCCACTGACTGAAGGCTGGTTGTGCATATGAACCTAAAGGAGCTACTGGCGTCAGCTGGGGTGGTCGGTCATGCATATGTTCCTGTTGCAGTTGCATTTTTGCCTCCTCTGATTGAGATTGGCTCTGCATAACCACAGCTTGTTTCTTGTCTTTCTTTTTGCTATTTCCCAAATGTATCTGGTTAAGTTGTCTCAGGATCTCTTGATCATGCTCTCTCTGCTCGTTCTGTTTCTTCCTGTACAACTCAACTTGATGTGCTACATGGTCTGTGTATACCCCTTTTGTCATACTACCAAGACCAACCACCTCTTCTAATTTGCTTCTTACTGGCTGGGGCAACCCTTTTTGTATTTTGGTTCGCAAAATAGACTGCTCCATTTGGTGCATGTCTGGATCGTTTCCTGTAACATTTCTCCACATTTGATGAGCCTTTGATACATAAGCTCTTGGATTCTCTTGTGGTCCTAGTGGTTCAATTATAATGCTATCTGGATGTACATTTGTTGGAAATACATCTCTCAATGATCTCCACATCCGTGCTCTACACACAGCAAACAGTTCTGGGTCATTTACCGCAGTCCCTGCATACCGGTTAAGCCCTGCTCTCTGCAAGATCTCTTCCATAGCTGGGACCCCTAAAATGCTGGCTAGGAGTCTCTTGATGTCTCCCATAGCAGGCTGCCATCCCACCATAATTTCCTCTAACTTGGAAATCCAAGGGTGAGCTCCTTCCTGAAGAGTAGGCAACTTTTCAAGAATATCTGACATGTCTGTATTTTGCAGAGGCTTGTACTCCAAATTCTGTCCCCGAACAATAACTGGACACATTTTCCCAGCTGGCTTATCCCCTTTTCTTGGGCGTAAGGAATACCCTGAAGTGGATGGCTTTTCAACTCCTTTTTTCTTCAAGTCAATTTTTATTACTTGTAGCTCTTCTAATTCTTCCCTTAATTCTCTATGTTTTTCAGGACTGGTAGCACTACTTATGTCGCTATAGCATTTATCGATGCGTTTCTCAATCCTTCTCAAAGCCTTGTGCCTCTCCTCATCTTCAGTCCTTGGTGTTGACCAAAGGGAATATGAAGACTCTTCACTGTCTGATTTTTCATCCCTATCATTATCTTCACTCTCCTCTGAGGTGTCTTTTACTGGCTCTTTTTTCCTCAGTGATTTTCCTCCTCTTCTCTCTGCTCTGGCTAATATGTTCCTGACTGCTGGGTCGTAGCCTCCAATAGCCTCTTCTGAATCACTCTGACTATCACCTCCCCTTTCTATTTTTCTATATTTTTGTTCACCCCTAGCTGCTGGATGACCTGTTTTCTTTTTACTCTTACTGTTTGGGTACATTTTTATAGTTGTTTTAGCTGTTCCTGTCTCTATCATCTGCTCCTCCTCATCTTTAATGTGATACACGCCCTCCTGTTTAATTACGGGGAGCTGAGGATAAACATCAGTGTACCTTATCTCTTTCTCATACGGTGGGGGGCTCTTCACTGGGGTCATGTGTGAAAAAGGTTTATTCACTTCTGCCATCAATTTTTCTGTTGATTTAACATTTATGTTTATTTCTTCTACAATCCTGTCCTTTCTTTCCTTATCGGATTTTAGCATCTTCTGCCCCTCCTGCTCAAATAATTGTAAAATATTAAGCTCCCTCTGTCTCTTTTCTTGCCGTTTCTTTCCCTTCTTTCCTTTCTTTTGCTCTGCCTTATAGGTGGACACTAGCACGTGCATTGTTTTAACCACTTCAGGATTAAGGGTACCTTCCACTGGCCAAGGCTGGTCAATGTCAGGCCACCTCTTACTCCATTTCTTAGACATCTTTTCGATACCCATAACAAGTGGATTACTTTTTATCACTGCATCAACTGGAGTGATAGCTTTCACACCTTTAACGTCCTTCTTTGGCATTGTGCTACTGCTTTTAAATGTCTTCATAGGAATCAAAACACCAACAGATGACCAAACACGTTTATTCACAGTGAATTTACCTTAAAGCAAGACAAGCCAAAGAAATCTGCCAGCCCCAGAGACTCACAACTTGTCAACACCCGAAAAAGGTCACGTTGTGTGATTTTACCAAGCAGCAATGACAAATCACCTCCACGAGCTTCAGCAACTTTTAGACCTCTTTGAAATGCTCTTTTAATTCAACAATACTATGGTACTTAATCAGCCCTTTCAACTGGTCAGTCTATTGCCAAGCCTTTCTTTTTACCCACAAAACTACTGCTTTTATTGTTTAACACTACCAAATGTGTACCCCCAACTAAATGTATTCCTGCTATAAATGTATGTATGTACAACTAAGTAGCATAGGAGAAGAGTTTGTAGATAAAACTGTACTGGCCTGTCAAATGGGAGCAGGACCTGGTGAGCCTCTCATCCGCAAGCCCCCTCTTGTTGCAGCACAGCCAATTATCTCCTTATCTGTTTTATGGGCGCTCCAGCGTCAGATGCCTTTCATTCTCCTCTCCCCTCTCATGCATCAGTGTTAAGGACAAAAGACAAATCAAATGCTTAGTATATTGCAATCACTTCATTCAATATAATTTAAACGTTTACTACCACTATTTAAAGATTTTTTCTACTATCTAAATACTAAACTTTATTTTACACAATTCCCCTTTATCATGGTATATTATTTAAACTTTTCACACAACTAGGATAGTTAAACCAGAGTTTTTAGCTTTCTTTCTGTTCTCAGGCCTGTAAGAATGATCATCAGCAAGTGACCATCAACTTTACATATTCACACACACACAGAGGAAAACCACACCCATCAGTTAGCATATCACTCTATTTTACCCCACTCTCTTACTCTGTTTTTTCCTGTATCTGTATGAACACAAATGTGCTTGCTGGTTTTTACACTTCTTTAATTGTCATTTTACTTGAGGATGTTATCACCATCCAAAGTCCTCCTCATCTAATAAGGGGCTCATTTCTTACTTTTAGGTGTACAAACGTCCTCTTTATCCTGAGAGGCTCATAGCAGTTACTTATTCTATTAATGTCCCTGTACAAAGAAAAACAGGGCTCATATGTTTTTTAACACTACAAAGGCAACAGTATCTCTTCCCTTATATGTTAATGTCTTATATCATATCATTATATATTTAATAAGACATCATTTATCACTTTATCAAAAGTTAATCACTTATATTTATACAAGACCATTCCCCAACTTTGTGCACACACCACTCACTGCACATAGACTCTTTTGCACTCACACTCACAGCTCAGCACCCATACACACACTCCTCTCACCCACACACCAGAAACTTCTCTCACACACTCAAACTCCAGCACACCTCTTCTCACGGCGCTCAATGTTTCCTTACTATAGTATATAGGCCTTTTATTCTTCTTTAAACTGTCCTTACCGGTTTGTATACCCAATTGCGTCGTCCCTAACTTTATATTAACTTAATTTCTTTTTCTTTAAACTGTCCTTACCGGTTTGTTATGCCCAATCACGACTTCCCTAACATTAAGTTAACTTTTTCTCTTTTTCGGCCATCTCAGCCTAGGCCATCTCAGCCTTTTTCTCTTTTTAATTTGTCTCTTTACCTTTTATCTCTTTTCATCATTTATTTGCCAATTACCCTGGGCTCCGGGTTTTACTCCTCACTTTTCTTTCCACGCCCCGAATTCGACTATCCTTTTTGAGCTAGACGTTCACATTAGTCACTAATTTACACTTTGTCTTACAGTTAAGAAGATATGGGCCCTGTCTTCGTTAATCTTGCAAGGTTATTTAGCACACTCCCATTACTAGTCTCTGCTATTCTATTTTTGGCATCTCTTTTTAATCTATTTTAACATCTTTTCTTCTCTACAACTTCTTTTCTTTTCTATTCTACTCAAATTTAGACGAAGCCTCTCTTCAACAGCACATCACAGCATTTCCACACAAGTACTTTTACACAGTACAGCCAAACAGCTGAACACAACAGCTCCCACAACTAAACCAGCAGCACTTTATGTGAGTAAAACACTCACCTGGCGCCAATGTGGTGCAGGAATAGATGCGCTGAAGCTGCAGTGATCCTCTGAAGGCCGTAGCTGATCCTGTTCGTGACGCCAATTTGTTGTGTCTGGGCTGTCCTCGATGTGTAGATGCAGAAGGAGGCTTCGTGACACTGGCTTGCTTGTATAAGAGGAGTTTATTTTAAAGACAAAAACCAGTATCAATACAGCACTGCAGTTGCTGGGAGAGGACTGCCAATGATGTCCAGCTCTTCCAAACCAGAATTTGTGACCCTGTTATATACAGTTAGGGCTGTAAGCCCTCCTACATTTTTAGTTTGTTCTGAGCTAACTTTCCTTACCCTCTGGTGTTTGCTTAACCTAGAGTGGTGGTCCGTGACCTGTGACCTGTGACCTGTGAAGTGTGCCTTCCGGGACATCTCACCGCAGGTGTCATTGATGCTAAACAAGGCAAACACAAGCCCACATCCCAAAGTTGGCTCTCAGGCTATTTCTGAGAAATACCTTAAAGCTCTGCATATTGCTGTAGTACTCCAGATACCACAAGCTCATACGCAAAGGAGGCATCATCGCGATTGACAATGTGAGTATATTTGACGAGGAATCAGTCTAAGAACACCTGCTGTGGTATGAGGATGTACACACCTTGTTTAGATCACATTAAAGTGCTCTTTTGTTTCTGTTTTTAAAGGTGCTGTGGGGGGGAAAGGTTATAGATCCCGCTCCTGAGGACCTCTCATCACAGGCTCTGGACGCTCTTAATAAAAAGCTACACAAAGACGAGAGGATTGATCTGAGCATGCTCACTGTGGGCGACGGGCTGACCCTTGCCATAAAACGCTAAATGATGCTATTCTTTTCGTAATGCTGTTAGTGCCTGTGACTTCTCAAAGATAATAAAAAATAAAAGAGCCAAAATAACTGTATTTGTTTGTGAGTTCACAGCTTCGCCTTAATATTTGATGATCTTGTAAGTTTTGTCTACAGTTTATACTATAGGTCTTTAAATGTCAAAGTTTTTTTCCCTCTGGTTTGTGACCTTGTAACTTTATTTTAATGCATTACCTGAAGACTGATTAGATAACACTTAAAAGCCCAGCTCTGAGCTTTCAGGTGGACACTGGGGTGGGGATTATTACTTCAAGGAAATGATAGGGAAATGATCGTAAATGTTCTTCCTTGAGCTGCGTCACCTCGCAGATGTCTGTAATGGACTGGCCTGAGGTTTCACTACAAACAAGCTGCTGCTGGAAGAGAGTAGGTGAGTTGTGTTTAGTTTCTTCGCTAAAGAAATTAGGCAAATTCAAAATAATGTTTGGTAGCTAGTACTAAGGCTAGGACCCTATATGTCCTGTTGATGAAGTTAGGTGCTCTTCTGAGCATCATTTGTGACTATAGAGTGGATTTTTGATTGAGGTTTGTTTATGGCTCCTTAGACTGCTGTGTATTGCTATAGTGCGGTCATTACTAAAGTTGATGTAACTAGAGAAACAAGGAACAACATTCGGCAACATTCATCTCTCGAGGAGATGTCTATAACTTGGTGTTACAGTGTGTTTGACCCTAAATTCATTTTACACTGGACTATCCCTTTAAGATGTGTCATAAAAACACAAGACTGGTCTCAGTCTTTTTACTGATGTTCTTGTTTGCATGAAAGGTCATCAATGGGAATTCCAGTCTTTCATGTAAAAACATAAACAACAACAACAACAAAACGTCTCACAGGAACTCAAACAACTAATTGCTGAAAATGGGAAAGACACAGAGCTTCAGGGGCTCCTGCTCTAATAAAAGGTGGAGTAAAGTCTGCTTCACTGGTTAGCGAAAGGATGGTGTCACATGTTCACTGCAGTAAAGCAGGTTGATGATGATGTCACACTGTTTCCTGCTCATGGTAAAAGGACTCCAACACATATTAACACACCGACTAACTAAACCTGTTCAGGATACCAGGCCTGATTCAGCTGAAATGTACTGTCAGTGGAGTCACGTGGACGCTCTCTGCGACAGACTGTAGTGTAAGCTCTCGTTAAAGCAGCATCAGCTGATGCTACACCTTTTCAGCACCGCGGACAGCTCCGTTCTGCAGACCGAGCAGATGGACACGGTTATAAAAAGTCCGCGAAGAGCAACTCCGCACCCCACGTCAGCACTCCATCCAGCATGGATAACAGATTCAGCTCCACGCACAGAATCCCTCAGGATGAGTTTTCACGATACAGACCATTACGCGCGGCGTTAGACACCAGAGTCGAGTCTACGAGCATGAGCCTAAGGTTTCAGGAGAAGGATTTGATGCGCGGTTTGAACGGTCGTCTCGCAGGATTCATTGAGAAGGTGCACCAGCTGGAGCACCAGAATCAGCTGCTGGAGAGAGAGATCGAGGACATCAGAGGGAAAGCGAAATCCGCATCCTGCTTGGAGGAGGAGTACGGACCGGAGCTGAAGAAGCTGAGACAGCTGGTTCAGGATATCTCCCACCAGAAGCATCAGATTGAGCTCGAGCACCAGAATTTAGAGGACGACCTGTGCAAGCTGAAAAGACAGCATGAGCAGGAAGAGCGCGGCAGATCGGATGCTGAGAGAAGTATCGTCCTCTTTAAGAAGGACATCAATGACGCCTATCAGGCTAAGCTACACCTGGACAAGAAGGCGCAGGCTCTCGTGGACGAAATCCACTTCCTAAAGAGAAACCATGAGGCTGAAGTTTCAGAGATGGTTGACCAAATCCAGAGTGCGCAGGTGAGCGTCAAGACGCACGGATTTGGCGACCCTGGCGTCACTGCAGCACTGAGGGGGATCAGGTCACAGCTGGAAGGTCATGCCGTGTCCGACCTCCAGCAGGTAGGAGAAACTTTCCGATCTCAGTTTGCAAAACTCACAGAGGCAGCTGAGAGCAAGAGGGAGGCGTTAAAAGTTTCCCAACAAGAGATCCAAGAGTACAGGAGGCGCCTGCAGGCCAAGAACATTGAGATGGACTGCGCTAAAGGCACCAGGGAGGCGCTGGAGAGGCAGCTGCATGAGGTGGAGGATCGCCACAAGGAGGAAATGATTCATTACCAGGTGAGACTTTTTCTGAATGAAGCCTTGTTCAGCACTCTTGTGATATTTCTTATTAAACAGCGTTTTTTCTCCTCAAACAGAACACAATCAAAGAGCTGGAAAACGAGCTCATTAACTGCAAGTTTGATATGTCCGGTTACCTGCGGGAATACCAAGACCTGTTAAATGTGAAGATGGCTCTAGATGTGGAGATCATGTCTTACAGGTAAGAATGGAAACCCCATTGTTACCAGAAAGGTGTTTTTTTTCTTGGTTTTGATGATGTTTTGGGGTTTTCCTGACATTTCCGTATTACATTAGACCATGTTAATTACGATAACCCTGCAATTATGTACAGCGGAACAAGAGATGCACCGATCCATTTTTGTCCGATCCAATCCGATACCTGGGCTAAGCATATCAGATATCCGATACTGATCCAATATTAGCACTCAGCAAAAAGACTGAAATTCATGAGGTAAACAAAGCTAACAAGACTTTTTGCTATAATCTTTCAGCCATGTTTTTCCATTTTTAAACTAAAGTTTTAACCGAAAATACAAATCACAGTTGAATTAATTAAAAATATTAAGCTGCTTATTTTGTTTAACTGAGAATGTGAAACTGAGCGTGTGAATCATATTTTTGTGATATTTGAATTCACGTTTCTGTCCTCGTTTAGCTTTTTCTCAGGGCTTTACAGATGACATACCCCTGAACATTAATTAGGCAAACGCAACAACTTGGTCATTGTCTCTGTTATCTGCTTATGGGTTATACTGCATTGTTGCAATCAGCAGTTTAGAGATGCACTCACCAGCTCTGCTGCTGTTGCCTGGATTGCAGGACAGGATCTTGCTCCACTTCTCTGAGATGGTTTGGACCCAGTAGCTCCTCTGATTACCCTCAGATCTGTGTCCAGGACTATCACTATCACTACTACTATCACCCACTACTATGACAACTATCAAGACCAGACACAGAAACTGACACTTCTGCCACAGTGTCAACTGGCAGAGTTTAAGTGTTACCCTCATACTGGCAGTGCCATATTTTCCGGACTGTAAGTTGAACTTTTTTTCATAGTTCAGCTGGGTTTGCGACTTATACTCAGGTGCAACTTAAATATATTAAAAAAATATAATAATTTCATGTATAATTTGGTCTTGGATTTTGTAAAATAAATTTCTCCCCAAAAATACGACTTATACCGGTATGTTTTTCTTCTTCGTTATACATTTTTTGGCTGGTGCGACTTCAGTCTGGAAAATATGGTAATTTAAAGGGTTTAAAATCATATCACATGAGAACAAAGCCCAGCAGTAATTATGATAAATTCAGTTTTAATACACTCAATCAGATAAAGTCAAATATGTCTCCTATTTTGCAGGAAACTCCTATGTGGAGAGGAGGCTCGGCTCTCCTCCATGTCAGACTCCCACGTCTCCCTGCCCTACATCTACCACCAGTCCCCCATCTACACCCTGCCCTGCTTCAGTCGACCGGGTGCCCCACACAGAAGAGCTGAGCCACAGTACAAGTTTGTAGAGGAGATCATAACAGAGACCACCCGAGAAATTGAGATGTCTGAGTTTGAGGAGTCTGGATCTGAGGAGACTGAGGGGGGAGGGGATGAGCAGGAGTGTGCCAAAAGGGATGGAGGGGGCGGTGAGGAGGAAGAGGACGGTAATAAAGACAGTGGAGAGGAAGAGGGTGAGCAGGAGCCTGATGGTGAGCAGGATCAAGTAGGAGATTCAGTGAATGGAGGTGAAGATGAGAGTCTTGTTGGAGTGGATGATGGTGTAGTAGAACAGAAAAACAAAGACGAGGCAGAGGAGACTGAAGGAGGCAGTGAAATCAAAGCTTTGTTGAAAGAGAGAATGAAGGAGGAGGAGGAGGAGGGAAAAAAACAGCAACACCATGAAGTGGCTGAAAACACAAAAAACAAAAATAACACTGCAGTCCATAAAGACCTCACTTCAAAACAAGAGGATTTAAAGCCAAAAGCCTCTGCAGAGGAGAACAAAAGCTTGGCCAATGTGGCTGAAGAATCAGACAAAAACTCAGAGCTGAGCAGTTCTGACCGAGTGAAAGATGACAGACCCATTTTAGCTTCAAGAGCAGCTGAAATAAAGAGCGCTCTGTCTCAAAAGACTAAGGATACTTCAGAGGAGGCTCCAAGTACAATATTTAAACCTGAGGAAGAAGAACAGAGTCAAACTGAGCCGGTAGCAGCCAGTTTACTTGAAGCTGCGAAAACTGCAGATAAAGTAGCAACAGAGGACATGAATAAAGTCAGAGATGAAGAGCCGTCTCTTACGCCTGGTGTGAAAGGTTGTCCTGAAGCCGAGGATCAGAAGCCGAGCAGTACAATCCTGAGTGTTACACCAAAGGAGGAAGCAAATGCAGAAGTGAAAGAGTTTAATCCGGGAACAACACAGAGCAGCCAGGATCAGAAATCCCAGCAGAATGACACCTTAGAGAAAATGAACAACTTTCAAGGTAAACCTGAGAAGATGGAGAGTGGTAAAACAGCAACTTACGAGGGCGAGTGAAAGCAAGACAGTGAGGGGGTGATGTCTGCAGAGGTACAGTAAAAAAACAAAAATAAAGACCTCCCCGCCTTGAAATAATGACACAGCAGCAGCAGACAGACACATAAGGGACTGTGAGACTGTGAGGAATAATGAATGGCTTATCAAAGAAATGCAGATTCAATGCATGAAGCAGAGCAAAGCAGTGAGACAAACGCACAACGCTGCACTTTCTCTTCAGGGTGACCATTGCAAAAGGAGAGCATGATGCTTGAGATGTTTGCAGCAACTTCCATTATGAACTTCAAATCAACTTGTGATCGATTTGTGATGTGAATAGATGACTTGTGACTCACCATCAACCTAGTGTAATCATGAATGTAGAAAAAAGCCAAGGTTTTTGATGTCTGTGTGTGCTTGGCTGTGTAATAAAAATAAATGCAATATCAAAAAAAATACTTTTCTTAACATCAGCACATTATTTACTTTCCAAGAGATGCCTCTCATTACGTTCAATTTATCTTGATTACTGCTGGAATTTAAAGCTCCTGTGAGGAACTGGTGGTCTTGTTTTCTTTAGTATATCAACCCACTGAGCAATAGACGGCTATTAGACGTTTTTTTTTTTTAGACCTAATTTCAACTGTCTAGATTCTGTATGGTTTTAGACGAAATGTAGACATTGCATTTTAATCCATTGCTCGATAACTCTTTATTTCAAAAATCAACTGTGAGTTTCATAACTGATCTCCAAGTACTTAACCAAAATAATAATGATAGCCATTGAGTAATTTACAGTGTAGTATAGATATAGCCCAGATTTAGACTTGGTCTAAATTTAGATGTCTAAAAAAACTTTCATTTTTAGACCTGTGGTAGCCTGATTTTAGACCAGTCATCTAGGCTATATTTAGACATCTATTAGACCTCTTTAAGACCAAAAAATCCTCAGTGGGATAAAAAGACTGAAAAATGAGTTTCAATATGGTTTGTTTTGGATGTCAAAAACCTCCTCACAGGAGCTTCAAGTGAGGAAATAAACTAGTATCAAGAACTCAAACCAGACATTGACTATTTTTCAAACAATCACAACATGACAAGGCCACTCAGGTTGGCACAAATGACCCCTTGGATCCATAGTGCTGCAGAATAATCATAAATAGCATTACCAATCAGGCAAATACTAAGCATCAGACCAAAAAGGCAGTGACTGGGTCACCTTTTTTAAAATTCACTTTTCCTAAAGGATGACATTTTCACTTCAAAACAGGCCTTTTCTGGATTCAACACTTTCCGAGTCGAGTTTTTCCTTGTGAGAAAAACAATTCCATAAAAACCTCTTTCAGGACATACTCTTGATTAAAGTTTGTTCACTAGAGTCAACACATTTCCATTAATTGTAAGCTTGTTTTTATCCAATGTTGTGTCTTGATTTGTGTTGCTTATCCCTGTAAGTCCCAAGTGGCTTTGCTACTTAACAGCCTTCATTCTGTGGAAGGTCTTAAGCCACCTGAGACATTCAAAATTAAATTTAGAGTGCAGCCACCTGTTATTACCAGAGTTTGAGTATAAACAAAAGACTCTCGAGAGAGTATTAAAGCTGCAGGAAAATTATGCATCACTTCTATCACTCAATAACACCGAAAGACGGCTGCAAAGGGAGCTACTTGAAAACTTTCAGCAGAACAAGACTACCATAAAAAAAATCTAGAATCGTCATTAGCACCATTTGTGCACCTCAAACCACAGCTCATGATATTGCACTCTTGGACAGATACAACCCTTCTGCAGGGTTCACATTCACAAAACAAACCGATAATGAATTTGTGGTGAAACTTCAACATCACATACTGAAATGAGTTAATGGAGTTCAAAGACTTTATTGAAAATTTATACATACACATAAGGACCCCCAACACTTCCTGTGGGCTTTACCTCTGCCCAGCACAGAGGAGCACTTTCCAAGAGTGCACACTTCCGGTTACACCTCTCCCAGACGATGATAGTTTGGCATTACTGTGAACATTTAGGATGTAGCTCCCATTTTCTGTTATTACAGAAAAACAAAACAAAAAAAGGAATTCTGCTTGGTCGGCCGAGTGTACAGGTTTTCCTCAGACTTACAAACTCATCTTTAAGCAACCCAAAAACTGCCCAGTTTAGGGGAAGCTTTACAGAACGTCACTAACCCTGATGGCCGGAACGAAACAAAACTTTACCGAGCTTCAGTTTGTCCTTGTGTGCATGAACAGGAAGGGTGCCGCTGTGTTTAAATAGTAGGGGGGAAAAAAAGACTAGTGTACTTAAGGTTTGCAAATAAAACTGTAGATGACAAAGGAATATCAGATGGTCATGATTGCAAAAGCAGATAGAGGGTCTGACAACGCTTACCATAGAAACCGTCTACTGATGTTCTCAGAAGAAAAACGGAGTGTCTGGGGTTTTCACCATAAAGCCACACAGAGTTGATGACACACAAAAAGGATTGTACTGGATTTCATAATTATGGCAGTGCTGGACAGGAACATTAATATGATTTATAAATTATATGCCACCAACTGTCTCTTGAATAGATGCAACTACAAAGTAAAACGCAACAAAAAGGTAAAATATACCCATGACAGGAGCACCAGCTTGAAGTGGTACCCAGCGAGTTTTTGTTGGTGTTGTTGTTGTAGCCTTTGAACCGATCTCTCCAAGATATCCCCCTGCTGGTTTGAGTTGGACATACATTTAAGGCCAGATTCTTCTGATATTCCCTAGTCCCTTGCAGTGTTAGGAAGGCTTAAGCTTCCAGCTCCAAGCCCAGACCAAGCTTGTGGCCTCCTGCATTGATATTCTTGCCGTCGACCAGGCCAGACAGGGTGAGTTTCACACCTGCACAGGTAAGAGGTAAGAGAGCGATTATGAGTTACACTAAATTATTTTAAAAGAGAAGATGTTAGAAAAGGCAGACTATGGGTTTCCCTATAAATAACTCTTCTAGGATAAGTAATTTTAAGAGTTAGCCAAAATCTGAACTGCTTAGTGCAAGTCTTTAAGGGATATTCTGGCGTAATTTCGAGTCGAACACACTGTAACACCGACTCTCCCACTCTCTTCTAGCAGCCACTTGTCTGTAGGGAGACCTCAGGCTTGTCCATTACGGACTGCTGCGGGGTGACGCAGCTCAAGGAAGAACATTTATGATCATTCTTTCATGGAAATGCAATCAGACCAAGACGCTAAGGCAGAAGAACTACCGCGTCTGTTGAGCAAAATGATTAATATGGTGATTATTACTTAAAGGAAATGATAAAGAAATGATCATAAATGTTCTTCCTTGAGCTGCGTCACCCCGCAGATGTCCGTAATGGACTGGCCCAAGGGCTTACTACAAACAAGCGGCTGCTGGAAGAGAGTGGGTGAGTTGTGTTTAGTCTCTTTGCTAAAGAAATTAGGCAAATTTAAAAAGATGTTTGGTGGCTAGTACTATGGCTGGGACCCTTTATGTACTGTTGATGAAGTTAGGTGCTGTTCTGAGCATTATTTGTGGCTATAGAGTGGCGTTTTGGTTGAGGTTTGTTTATGGCTCCTCAGACCACTGTGTATTGCTATCCTGCGTTCATTCCTTAAGTTGGTATAACTAGAGAAGCAAGCAGTCGCGACATTAATCTCTTGACGGGGTGTCCAACTCGGTGTTGCGGTGTGTTTGACCCTAAATTAATTTTACTTTTCCATTTCCTTGAGGGAATCTTCCCAAAAAAGGATAAATAAAGTTCTATCGAATCTAATCTAAAAATACAGATCAGCCATCTGGAAACTTGTGGGAAGAAACAACTTACCTTGTCTGAGTGTCTGGGTGTACCCAACACCAATAAGGCTATTGTTGTTCACTTTAGCCTACAGAGACAAAAGATATTGAAAGGAGCGTTAAAACTCAGTGGATTATTCAGTCAGTGTTTTCAAAATTTGCTTTTGAAAATGAATGAATACTTACGCTGACGGAGGCATCCTTGTCCAGCTGGTATTTGGCCGCAATGCCGAAACGTGTGCTGTTGCTGCCAGCGGTCCAGGCCAGGTTGACTGCTGTCTCCAGCTTGTCGCTAACCTTCTGGTAGATGGAGCCTCCGAACTCAGCTCCGTCATTGCTTTGGAGATGATTAACATGAAAGATCTCATGCTACAGTCACTAAATGTGTGTTTTTTTTCCATAAAGGCGTTTTTTGTTTTGGAGGGTTTTGTCATGAATTTTGAGACACATTGATCTCATTGATTTAATTTGGGTTCACTTAGAATTGAACCCAAGTACAAATAAAAAATTTATTTATCAATTTGCCAAATAGGCAGATTGAACCGTTAAGTCGGCCTCTGAGAAAGCGATACTTTCCTCAGAAACCAGTGAGTTTTTTCACATGGTAAGCTGGAGGTGACAGAATATGAATATATTAACTGAGATAAACCAGCACCACATGAAAGTAGGTTATTTTCGATTGGCTGCAGCTTTGAAAAGAGATTGCCAACCTCTGTCAAGTTTTGCAACATTGTGCCTTTTGTTCTTGCTGCATCATAATTAAATGCCAACTCTTAATTCATTCCCTCCACAAAATAATGCAAGCCACCAACTTCTCTGCATGGTTGCTTGTTAGGTTGAACATTATGAGGCTCCTCTGCTGAGAGCTGAGGTAGCTGGATTTTTCTGTCACCATGAACATGAACATCAATGTTTTTGTTTTTTTTTAACCATCACTGTTTATGGGATGATCTCGATGAGTTGGCTTTCAGATAATTGTCATTCTTTGGTTGTTATGGTGCTTTTACTTACACATTGGTGTGCAGCTGGAAGTCTCCTGTCTTGTAGCCGATGGCGAAGTTGTTCTGGGTCATCTTGGACTTGGCAGTGTCGAAGCTCATCTGGTAACCGGCGAGCCAGCCCTCGTAGCCGACAACGGCGGCTCCGTGAATGGTGGGGCCGGCAAAGTCGAAGTCGACGTCACAGCCCAGGTTGACGTATTCGCGTTTGTAGGCGGTCTTAACTTTGCCACTCTTCTTGCTGTTGGTGAGAATATAGCCAGGGTGAGCCCGAAAATGAATTCTGAAGGTTTATCTGATGTCCTGACAATATCCAAGTTAATCCATGCATGCATAAAAAAAACATGCAATCATGGTTTTTTTTATGAGTTTTGAGGGCTGTAAGGTCTGACAAAGTATTAAGAAAAGGACAGACACTTACAGATAGTAAGACGATATTAAACCATGTTCATCTGCATGTGAGGTTGTTGGCACAACAACTTTTGAAGCTGCCGCTTTAGATAAACAAGCTCCCAGGTGTAATACTAAACCAGGGCACTGTGCCAGCTGTCATTTCAAGCCATAAAGTTGATCAGAATATATTCAAAAGCCACGGTACCAGAAGACTGAAAATATGATCTTCCATGTTTATTCATTTCACTACTCTGAATTCAGAAGGTCAGTAAACTGCACAGCTCCCTGCTAGTGTTTATTTTTTAGTCCTGACAGTCGTGGCACTGTCAGACTGTCATGTAACTCCAGCCTTGCCCTCGCCCTAGGTCATATGCCATCTGCCTCTCTTGATTTAACCCTAATAAAAAGCAAACACGTGAGTGACTGCCTAAGGACCGGGGTACAATAAAAAATATGTTTAACTTCAAATAAAAAACACAGACAAGTAATAAAAACATGAGAATCTTAAGAGCCAACTCAGTATTAGGGTACAATGGACTGGTTCCATATTTGGCCTGAGGTCACATGGCGTTAACTACACTTGCCTCAAGTATGACACAGATCAGGTTGCCAAAATGACTCATGAAGAAGAAACAGGCAGAGCAGACTGTGTTAGGTGTGTAGACTAATGAGTTCAAGCACAACTTGCATGTCACTAAAACTGCCTTGAAATTAATAAGAAATGGATCAATATTTTACGATCATCATCTTACCCAGTGTTTGGTGAGAAGGTTGTGTCAAAGGTCAACTTCAGACCCTTGGCAATCTGTAGGAAACAACAGCAACCATTAGAAAGTTGTAAGAAATGCTGTCCTAGATCTCTCAGACATGGTTCATAGGTGTAGAAGTGATTCAGTTCTCGTACCTGATCTTCAATAGTGATCTCTGTTCCCAAGGTGTTGTCGGTGTTCCACTTCTCGGTGAAGGTCAGGCCATATTCTGGCCTCTTGTATTTAGTTTCCAGGCTCCCTGCAACTTTGCTGGTGTCAGTGTTGGAGGAACCAGCAGTTTTGAATTCCTGTGTGAGACAATTTTGGAGAAATTAAGATCTCCAAGAAAACACTTTGAGACAAGGTAATCCAGGTGAAAACAGAGAATCAAAATTAAAGATTTGAAACCAGGCGTTTACTGTTTATCAAAGTTATGAAATGAGGCAAAACACTTGATCATGAAGACTTGTACGTAAATTTTTGGGTTCTCTGTCATCAACAGTTGTTTATTTCAATACCTAGTTGTTCTGGTTGGCAGCAGGCTATCTGTATAGCCAACCAGAAAATACCACATATTGATAACTTAGTTTTCAAACTACAAACTATCTTTAAGTGTCCTATGATACTTAAATGTGCACTGTCACTTTTAAATGAGGCTGAAATAAAGTACATGACAGAATGATCTTACCACGCCACTGGCTGACTTTGTCTTGACATCGAGCTTCACCAGGCCAAATCCTGGAGGGCAGAAATTGTTTTTAAATCAAACCATGTCTACAACATCAGAGCAGGTTGTACAAAACAAGTATGCAAACATCAAACTTTAAAGAACATTACCATAGCCTTTGTTGAAGATGTCCTTGGCAGATTTGCCGAGATCAGCATAGCAGGGAGGCACAGCCATTTTATCTGTAGACAGAGTGAAAAGACAGGTCATTATTTTTCCCACTAATATATATTTTGTTTGTGTCAACAAAACAAAAATATAGAGCTGGCCAGAAACTCCTCAAATTCACAATACATAGTACTAAACTGTACAGTAGCCACTCCTTTTAAATATCTTGCATGTGTTGCAGTAACTTAATGCCACACAACTACAGAAGCACTGTGTCAGTTGTGCACAAGTGATGCAAAATGTTCTCTTTACAGATGTGAAATGTGCTTCTGCAGGTTGTAGATCAAATAGCCCAACAAAGCCTCTCAGGGTTAGGTGAGGATCGTATTTGCTAAGCATGCGATAAATTGGCTGGCCGATCGATTGGCACCGACTTCCTCAATTTTGGGGGGATTGGTGATCAACTGATCCTGACATATGAAACAGATTTTACCCACCAATCTTATCTACCTCAGCAAAGGTCTTAAAGTCAGCAGTTGTAGCTTTTTGCTTTGCCTGCAGTGCGACCTACTGCACAAGTATTGTTGAGGTTTAAAATGTGGAAAATAAAAGACTAAAAGGAACTGATATAATTTAGTAGTTTGGACAACTATATTCCAAACTTTTCATGTATATTTGAGAGAACTATCACATGTGCCATTACAACAAACACAATAAGGTTTGTATGTTTTTCCATTAAAACAAGATTGGAGCATTGAAGGTGTAAAAAAATCGGTATCGGCCAAAATCGGTATGGTAGGACACTCGGCCGGGAAATTATGATCGGTGCATGCCCAGTATTTGCTGTAATGTTTGTTCTACTTGGGTTTGCACACCTGTTGAGTGGAGAGCTTTGAAACCAAAAATCTCACAGGTACTCCTCTGCTGATCATACACAGGAGTCTGCATGAATGCAGAGTGTGCGTGTGTGTTTCTGTGTGTGCTTACTCAAACAGCTGTTTTAGTTGGTATACACTGTGCCGATGTTCAGCCTCAAAGATAACTCTCATATCACCTAACTAGGACAGTAAGGTCTGGCTATATCTTCCGCGACATTTGTTAAAAATTACAGATAAGAGGTAGCCTGGCACTTTAGCATCAGTCCGGTGATAGTGCAGACGGTCCCGGTTTAAAACGAGTCTGGACAAGGTTACAGAGTGGGAGATCAGCCATTTTGCCGCACTGGAGTGTCCAGTTCAAGCCTAGCCATTGTTAAAACTTCTCATCCACGTCAATTGGCAAGAGCAACTAGGCGTGGCAATGAACTTAAACATACCAATGACCGGGATGCGATAACTAACCAGTTTATTCGCATTATCAGCTAGCTTAGTCACCTCTTTCCTGCTAACTAGGCCGTGAAGGGGTTAGAGGAAAGATAGTGTAGAGTTAAAATGTGTCATGTGACTTTTACTTCCAGACAGTGGCTATTAAATAAACATAAAACTTAATGTGCAACATGTGACGAGTAATGCAGAGCAAACCCCCCCTGCTTGTACTTGGCATGTGTCAAACGCAGCATGCCGAGTGCAGCTAGCTAAGCTAACTCTGCTAGCCCGCAGAGTACCGGTGTCTGTAAACTCCGGTCAAACACTCACGAGAGCTTCTTAAAGAGTTCGTTATTAGTATCCTGAAGAAAAGACAGGCCACTTACCTGAAGAGGACTGGGTTAGAGGTAAACTAAAGTCACTTTTATCGTAGAAGTTCCTCACACCGCACGGCCGAGGCAGGCGTCACCGGTTGGAGGGCGAGCTGAAGGAGACTGCACTGCAATGAAATGCAGACCTATCAGATCCCGCTCCAGGACCCAAGGCGACCTCAGCGCTGCCTGACTAAAACTGCCCTTACTCACCAGTTGCGTCATCGTACACAATGATAAGAGTAGGTTAAAATTTGGCTTTTAAGGTCTGCAGGGTCTTTTTTAATGTACCAACCATGTTTCTTAAAGGCCTTTAAAGAGTCGTTAACCTTAAAAAACACGAAGTTAGGATATACCGGAGATACTGGATTGGAGAAGCCACTTTGTTGTGTAACATCCCAAGCAGCAGATGTTTCTTAATATAGCCGTGCTTTATGTGAAAATGTGTTAAGTCACTTTCGATAACCAGTTCCAACACTAGATCTTGGTAGAATAAACCCTAAATATTATAGGTTGGTAGACAATACATAAAAAGATGCTAAGTAAAAAAATTGTAAAATTAATTAAATCTAGATTAATATCTAAATATGTGACTTTGGGCACTTATTATTTTTATTGTTATTTTAATAGATCAACCAGTCTTTATTTATATAGCACTTTTCATAAACAACCATGTTGTTGTTTGTAGTTGCAAAGTGTTTGAAAAGATTGACTCCTGTTGTCACAGTAGCCTTCTTATGGTAAAGAAAGTTTAACTACATTAAAATTTTGCCTGAATCTTATTTCTTGCAAGTCCCGAGGTTAAAAAGCACAAATTTAAATGAGACAGAGGATTACATCAGATTACATCAGATCTTAATGCCCAATTTTGGATTTAGTCAAACAGTGATGGCGAAAGAAATTCTTAATCAAAGTTATTGTTCTCATTTAGGATATCAGTTTATACAAGTGTGTGTGTTGTCTGTAAAAATCTGTCAATAATATATCTATCATATACAGTAGTTCATGTCAGGCTGCAGGTGATACTCTAAAGCTCCTGAAGGTGGCAGTAGAATTTCGTCACCCTCTTGATGAAGACATTAAAGCTCCTGTGAGGATTTTTTTGGGTACTTATGAAATAGACTGGAATTCATCATAATGCATTTTTATGATATTCAAAAGCAAACATGACCATCAGAAACAAGACTGACGGTTTCTATTCTGTATATTTTGATGCCTGAATGCAGCGTGAGGGGGTGGATGTCAGTAGAATTGCTGCAGAAATAGCCCTGTGTTAATACTTTTCACATAAAATATTCACAATGAACAACTCATCTGACTGTCATTGGATGGCAGTATGTGACTTTTTGTCAGAAGACCTAAGCATTTAAAAACAAGATGAGCAAAGACAGCTTTGTCCACAGGTGGCACCAAAACTGACACACACTGAAAGTTCCCCACAGGAGCTTTAAACTTAATTTCACTCTGTTTTAAAAATGTATTTAAAAAATCATGGAGCTCAAATCATGTTCTTTTTGATTCATTTATTTTAGTTGAAATGCTTGGAGAATGGTAACAATACATTATACACATTATATGTAAAGCCCAGCCACTCTTTGTTACAGAGGTTTTGTAGATTTGTAGAGAAGGATAAAAAAAGACTTGGTGGTAGATTAATCCCGGAATGAAAAACAAGAATTGAGTTACCATAAAACACACATTACAGTTTCCATTTAAAAAGAAAAAAGCTGTAGACAAAAATAGACAGGCAAACAAGTAGTCTGTGGATAGAAATCCACAGATGTTACTTCTGCTGGGCCCAAGTACTGTATATTACATTATCATCTTCAGCTTTTGGTTGAACCTGAGAGAAGAAGAACAGAAAAAACAAGTTAGTAGTAAAAAGGAAGAAAGTGGGGGATGACTGACATGCAGTAAAGAGTGATAGAAGATGCTGAACCAACAACTGAGGACCCTTTTAGCGTCAATTGAGTTCTTCTTTTACGTTTCCATTTTTGCATATTACAGTGTGATCATCAAACTCTTAGTGTGGGTTTACCTTCCTCGTGGTTTTATCCGTGTGGTCAGTAGGGCTGTATTTGACCTCCTCCTCTAACTCACTGTTGTAGTGGTAGGTGCCTCTGCTCGTGGTTGCTCTGAAATTGAAACAGTTAATATCTATACTTAATTTACTCTCATTTGGGATTAAAATAATTTATATTTAGCCAAGATAAAATGTAAAAATAATAGTATTTGTGTACATTTTGTTCAACTTTTACTTACTGATTTTTCTTGACAGGCACAACAGGATCAAAGTTGTCATCACAAGGAAGACCAACAAACTCAAAGACATGATGATCATTGTTGACACTATAGCCCTGCAGAACACATACACATGAGGATAATGGTGAAAAATATTGAAGTTAACCAGACTTGTTTAAAAAGGTTGAGGATGCAGTTTCACTGAAATACAGAGACTTCTGACCTCATCAGTTTATTGCCTGCTGTGGGTATTGTTGAGACCATAAAACAGAGAAGAGATTTACAGATTCAGCATTCAATATCTCCATTATCAGCTGTAATAAGCTGTACTTCATAAATGTTGATGATTCACAATTCTACATTATTATCTCGTTTCTTTATCATATTTTCGGTACTCACTGGAGATGGGTTGTTCATTGACTGTTAAATGAACTGGCATCTGATGATCTCCTCTGACACAATAATACCAGCCACTGTTTTCAGTCTTCAGTCCACTCATTTCCACAGTAAAATAGTTATTGGACCTGCTGGTCATATTTACTTGAGTTCCATCCATCCATCCTGTTGACTCTATTATACAGCCCCCCCCCAACCGGCACCACTTGTTTGTACCAGAGTTGCTATAGTGACATGTGATGACGACGTTTTCTCCTTCAGAGGCTGTCAGATTCTGCTGATCCACATAAAGACTGGGAGTACCTTCAAAGAATAAAAAAGAAAAAAACTTCTATATGAGTTGCGCATTTCCTCATAAAAGCTGCTTCAACAGAATTTTTAAAGATAATCTGTGATTTTACTGAGTCCTTGAACAAAATGGAAGATTCTGCAGCACTTTTTATTGACTTGTCAAAGCTTTCGAATCATCTTTGGACCACTGTTTCAACCGTATTTGTCCTACTGTTCCCAGTTCAACTTAACAAAATTATATGTGGGTAAAACAGTTATTACCAGCTCTGCTTTAGCACAGTATCAGGCTCTCTGTCACTAACAGGATGCTTTTAAAACTGTACAAGACAATTATTCAGTTTATTACTGCATCACAGGATGAGCCAGTATCTATTTTTAAGTGTCAACGATGTTTAATGAATGACTCACTGCTCTTTAAATATCCTGTTCTAACTCTGAAAGAAGCTGAAGTTGCAGCAGGGCTTTTATTTCAGAAATAAGTAATGTTTTACATTTTCTGCAAAGAAAAGATGTGATGTTGGTACTTTAATGCTCCTGACTGACAGTGGTTTTACATCTGCATGCATCATCTTAATTTCTTCATTCTGTACAGTTTATCATGGCACTATGAGGTTATTTTAAATCTTGAAGCTTTAACTCATCACAGCATTCCATGTGCTTAATTTGACTGGTCTGCATTGGATTCTCTTTTATTTCTGTAATTTAATACAATGAAAAATAATGGAAGCTACAGTCCTTGTTCTGTCACGAGAATCCTGTCTCCACAGCAAATATTAAAGAAACCCTCAGTGGTTTTACTTTTAATGACAACTGCTGTACAAAAGATTCAAAGTTATGAGTAATATTTAAGGGGTCTTACCTGTGGTGACTGACAGATGAAAGCGCTGCCCAGTATCTGCCCTACGATCCATCTCCACAAAACACCAGTAATGATCAGTTTGTTCTGGTCTGATTGTCACAGTGAAGATTCCTTGATTTTTGTCATCAGAGATGGAAAACCTATCTGAATTTGGTTGGCCCGTTCGAATTGCGTATGTGCATGAGCTCCATTCATATCCTTGACACAAATACTTGACGTTGTTTTTGTGATTCGGACCATACAGACATGGGATGGAGATTGATTGTCCAGCTTCTACTGATACTTTACTGATTGTAGTTACGCTGTCGATTCCTGCAAGAAACAACAGTGTTATTTTTATTTGACAAGAATAACCTTTCTCTCATGATAATTATAAAGATTATTCATGTGACTCACCTGTGAGTCCAGTAAAGATGAGAAAAAAGCTGATTTGAAAAGCCATGTTGCTTGAGGGAGCAGGACAGACCAAATGAAACAGTGCACTGTCAAACTAAAGGTCTACTTCTAAATTTTACTTCTGATGCATATGCAACAGTGAAAGTTTGTCCTTCCCGTACTGCATAAACAGTTACTTTATATTGCTTGGCTGACATGCACATTTACATTTGCATAATCATCTAAACATAGGAACAACAAGAAAAGAGTGATAGAAGAGAAAACATGGAAGAAAGAAACCCAGAAGAGTGAGAGAGATGCTTACCCATGTTGTTGCAAATGTTAAATCACAAACTCTCAGCTTGTCTAGTGGTCTGTTATTTGTGGAGCAGAAGCTTGTACACATTTTTTTCAGTCTTGCTTTGAAAATTTGGATAAAAATACAAAGCCTTTTTTAAGAGATTACTAAATATAAACTTTAAAAACCTCATCTTTTTGTGAATGTGCTAACAGTCAACCTTGTGGTTCATTTATATCTGATGTCTTCTGCGGATCTAAACGATTTCTGCCGACTTTGCAGAGTCAACTGCAGTCAACAAATCCTGAGGTTAAAAAGCACAAGCTTAAATGAGACAGAGGATTACATCAGATATTAATCTCCACCTTTGGATTCATCAAACAGTGATGGCGAAAGAAATTCTTAATCAAAGTTATTGTTCTCATTTAGGATATAAGTTTATACAAGTGTGTGTGTTGTCTGTAAAAATCTGTCAACAAAGTGTAGTTGTTGTTTATGTCAGGCTGCAGGTGATACTCTAAAGCTCCTGAAGGTGGCAGTAGAATATCATCACCCTCTTGATGAAGACATTAAAGCTCCTGTGAGGATTTTTTTTGGGTACTTATGAAATAGACTGGAATTCATCATAATGCATTTTTATGATATTCAAAAGCAAACATGACCATCAGAAACAAGACTGACGGTTTCTATTCTGTATATTTTGATGCCTGAATGCAGCGTGAGGGGGTGGATGTCAGTAGAATTGCTGCAGAAATAGCCCTGTGTTAATACTTTTCACATAAAATATTCACAATGAACAACTCATCTGACTGTCATTGGATGGCAGTATGTGACTTTTTTGTCAGAAGACCTAAGCATTTAAAAACAAGATAAGCAATGACAGCTGTGTCCACAGGTGGCACCAAAACTGACACACATTGAAAGTTACCCACAGGAGCTTTAACCTTAATTTCACTCTATTTTAAAAATGTATTTAAAAAATCATGAAGCTAAAATCATGTTTATTTACGAGTCAGTCACTATGACCAAATACACAATTACGTATAAAAACTATTTGAATACAAAGGTTTTGAAAAGGACTTTGACTATAATCTTAGCTGAACAGCATAGTTGAAATGCTGAGAAACAATCCAGAATAAGTTTGATACTTTAAGTCTTTTCCCAGAAAGAGCAAAGGTCAGTTTGCTTAATTTAACCCTTTCATTTAATCTAAATGAAACTGTTTCATGAACATATTACAGGACTTTTGATTCATTTATTTCAGTTAAGATGCTTGGAGAATGTTAACAATACACTTTACACATTATATACAAACCCCAGCCACTCCTTGTTACAGAGGTTTTGGAGTTTTGTAGAGAAGGATTAAAAAGACTTGGTGGTAGATTAACACCAGAATGAAAAACAAGAACTGAGTTACCATAAAACACACATTACAGCTTCCATTTAAAAAGAAAAAAGCTGTAGACAAAAATAGACAGGCAAACAAGTACTCAGGGGAATAACGTCCACAGATGTTACTTCTACTGGGCCCAAGTACTGTATATTACTTTATCATCTTCAGCTTTTGGTTGAACCTGAGAGGAGAAGAGCGGAAAAAAACAAGTTAGTAGTAAAAAGGAAGAGAGTGGGGGATGACTGACATACAGTAAAGAGTGATAGAAGACGCTGAACCAACAACTTCTGCAACAGGACGCTTTAACGGAAAACCTGAGCAGACAGCCTTTTATAAGCCCTTTTTGAATTTCCCTTTAGCGTCAATCAAGTTCTTCTTTTGCGTTTCCATTTTTGCGTATTTCAATGTGATCGTCAAACTCTTAGTGTGGGTTTACCTTCCTCGTGGTTTTAGACGTGTGGTCTACAGTGCTGTATGTGACTTCCTCTTCAATCTGAAAGAACAAACCAGTGTAATTTAGATTAAAACGGTTCCTAGTTACATGTTCAGAGGCACCTTTTATTCACTGTTTCCTGTACAAGGCAAACACATGAAAAGAGAAAATACCTTGAGCTTGTTTCACTGTATTAAATTCTGGTTGAACTGACTATTGGTGAAAAATTATGATTGCTAAAAAATGTTTGGGGAATCTATCTTACTGTTGTAGTGGTTGTTGCCTCTGCTCGTCGTTGCTCTGAAATTGAAACAATAAATATCTATACTTTAATTTACTCTCCCTTGGGATTAAAATAACTTATATTTAGCCAAGATAAAATGAAAAAATAACAGTATTTGTGTACATTTTGTTCAGCTTTTACTTACTGTATTTTCTTAACAGGAACCACATTAACAAAGTTGTCATCACAAGGAAGACCAACAAACTCAAAGGGATGATAATCATGTGTAACTCTCCAGCGCTGCAGAACACATATACATAAAGATAATTGAGAAAAATCATGAAGTTAACCAGACTTGTTTAAAAAGGCGCAGGATGCAGTTTCACTGAAATACAGAGACTTCTGACCTCATCAGTTCATTGCCTTTTGTGGGTGTTCTTGAGGCTGTAAAACAGAGAAGAGATTTACAGATTCAGCATTCAATATCTCCATTATCAGCTGTAATAAGCTGTAATTCACAAACGTTGATGATTCACAATTCTATGTCATTATCTCGTTTCTTTATCATATTTTCAGTACTCACTGGAGTTGGATTGTTTATTTACTGTTAAATGAACTGGCATCTGATGATCTCCTCTGACACACAAATACCAGCCACTGTTTTCAGTCTTCAGTCCACTCATTTCCACAGTAAAATAGTTATTGGACTTGCTGGTTATAGTTACTTGAGTTCCATCCATCCATCCTGAAGACTTCGTCTCACAGGGCCCCCCCAACCGGCACCACTTGTTTTGACCAGAGTTGCTATGGCGACATATGATCCCAATGCTTCCTCCTTCAAAGGCTGTCAACTTCTGCTGATCCACATAAAGACTGGGAGTACCTTCAAAGAATAAAAAAGAAAAAAAAACTTCAATTTGAGTTGTGCGTTTCCTCATAAAAGCTGCTTCAATAGAATTTTTAAAGATAATCTGTGATTTTACTAAGTCCTTGAACAAAATGGAAGATTCTGCAGCACTTTTTATTGACTTGTCAACCTTTCGAATCGACACTGTAGACTTTGTAACCACAAAACTGAGACTACCTAGAATTGAACTATCAAAGTATTTTCATGGTTGGTTTAATACGTAATAACTACCTTTTGAAATAATGAATGGCGTCCCCCAGGGCTGTGGCCTTGGACCACTGTTTCAACCATATTTGTCCTAATGTTCCCAGTTCAACTTAACAAAATTATATGTGGGTAAAACAGTTATTACCAGCTCTGCTTTAGAACAGTGTCAGGCTCTCTGTCACTAACAGGATGCTTTTAAAACTGTACAAGACAATTATTCAGTTTATTACTGCATTAAAGGATGATGTTAATGAATCAGTATCTGCTTTTAAGTATCTAGGAATTTTTAATTAATGATTCACTGCTTTTTACATGGTTTTACATCTGCATGCCTCATCTTAATTTCTTCATTCTGTACAGTTTATCATGGCACTATGAGGTTATTTTAAATCTTGAAGCTTTAACTCATCACTGCTCCCCACATGCTTAATTTGACTGGTCTGTATTGGCTTCTCTTTTATTTCTGTAATTTAATAAAATGAAAAATACTGGAAGCTACAGTCTTTGTTCTGTCACAAGACTTCTGTCTCCAGAGTCTGTCTTGTGAGAAAATAGTTTAGCTTAGAAAAGATTATGTAAGTAACAGAAGCTACAGCAAACATTAAAGAATCCCTCAATGGTTTTACTTTTAACGACAACTGCTGTACAAAAGATTCAAAGTTATGAGGAATATTTAAGGGGTCTTACCTGTGGTGACTGACAGGTGAAAGCGCTCCCCAGTATCTCCCCAATTATCTATCTCCACATTACACCAGTAATAACCAGTTTCTGCTTGTTTGATTGTCACAGTGAAGATTCTTTGTTTTTTGTCATCAGAGATGGAAAACCTCTGTGAATTTGGTTGGCCCGTTTTAATTGCGTATGTGCATGAGCTCCATTCATATCCTTGACACAGATACTTGACGTGGTTTTTGTACTTTGCATCATACAGACATGGGATGGTGATTGATTGTCCATATTTTACTGATACTTTACTGACTGTAGTTAGGCTGTCGATTCCTGCAAGAAACAACAGTGTTAATTTTATTTGACAAGAATAACCTTCCTCTCATGATAATTATAAAGATTATTCATGTGACTGACCTGTGAGTCCAGTAAAGATAAGAAAAAAGCTGATCTGAAAAGCCATGTTGCTTGAGGGAGCAGGACAGTCCAAATGAAACAGTGCACTGTGACACCAAAGGTCTACTTCCTAATTTTACGTATGATGCATATGCAACAGTGAAAGTTTGTCCTTCCCGTACTGCATAAACAGTCACTTTATATTGGTTGAATGACGTGCAAATCTATTTTTGCAGAATCATCCAAACATAAGAACAACCAGAAAAGAGCGAGAGAAGAGAAAACACGGAAGAAAGAAACCCAGAAGAGTGACAAAGATGCTTACCCCTTTTGTTGCAAATGTTTAACCACAAACTGTCAGCTTGTCTAGTGGTCTGTTATTTGTGGAGCAGTAGCTTGTACACAGTCAGTCGTGCTTTGAAAATTTGGATAAAAATACATAGCCTTTTTTTAAGAGATTACGAAATATAAACTTAAAAAAACGTATTTTTTTTTAATGAATGTGCTAACAGTCAACCTTATGGTTGTATCAAGCTATAAAAACAAGAGCACACTTATTTTACCAAGTGCAGGTGTTTTGCATTAACATCATAATGAGTTTTTCTTATCAGGCCTTCAGTTTGTTGAGAATAGAAATTGTCACAGTATTACAACCTCGATTGACCCTCTTTTATAATCATAATGTTACTCATACAGTCTTTATATTGTTCTTGAAGAACAAAACCCCTGCACTTCGTAAGATAAGTGTGCTCTTATTCTCATAGTGTGATCAGATGAAGATATTTATCTTTTATGGCTGTCTGTCCTTTTTGTTTCCTTTTTTTTCTTCAAGGTATTCAATTCTACATCAAACATTTTATATTAGGTGATTAGATAACCAGAGCAACCAAGAAAAAAATGTTTCCTGACAACTTCTTTAATTCCAGGCAGAAAATTGAGAAATGTCTGTTTGTTCAGAATTTCAAAAGTAAAAACGTCTCTCCCTCCACTGTGGTTGAAATTGGTTGAGTAATAGATGTCTCTCTCTGTTTGTACAAAGTTCAGATCCAGGTCAACAGTTCAAGCTAAAAAAAAAAAAAGCTTATTGCATTGCAAATAAATTTATCAAACCATGGCTGTGACAATAATTTAAAGCTTGTAGTGGCTGTTTATTTTAATAAAACTGAAAAGGCCTTTTTACAAGTTCTGCTTTTGATTCTTTCAGGGGTTTCCTTCATAAAAAACCCAATTTAAGAAACTATATCAGTACTATGACTGCATAGATAGCACATCAATTCAGAGTCTATCTTCAGACAATACCATTACCCACAAGCAGATGTGGCAGACCAGTGGCTCTAAAAGTGCTGTGCTGAACTGTTTTTGAGTTCAGTACTCACAACTACACACTGGTGCATGTTTAAAACAACCAAAGCCAAAAACAGACACCAATACATATCTTAATTATAACAATGGCAAAATCTGAGGTAAAGGAAAACCCTACTGTCTGACTTTTGAACACTCGTCCTTGAGCAGCTAGAGAAGATATAAACTAGGAAACCCCCTAGGACATAACAAAACTAGGAAATATGTATATAAACATTTCTGCAGCTTTGTGGAAAAGTTAGCAATTTAGGGCCACCAGAAAGAATTTGGTATTCCTAGAGGTGTTCACTGAGAATAAGTTTTTGATGCTCTTATCAAACCAGAGAGAACAGAACAGTCATCCAGTGGTAGACTGTAAACTTTAGAGCTCCCCCTGCTGACTGACTGAAGTTCAGGTCATAAAGTCTTACACTTATGTTATACACATGCAACGTGGGTCAGTCTAAAAAACTAAAACAAAAAAATTGTCAAAATTTCCTTTTTGTTGAGATAGTTTTAAATCTTATCATACTGACTGATGTGTCGAATGTCTATTTGTTTGAGTTTTTACCATGATTGGTTATTTGATGTCAAGATGATGATTAGCAGAGTAGAGGAAGAGGAAGTTTCAGCTTCATATCAGCACATCCATGTTTTTCTGCTGCGAAGTGTTCACACCTGAGGTATCAAGATGTTCCATATCTAGGTTAAGGTTGTATTTTGGTGAAGGAAGCAGGTACGAGGCGAGTTTCACTGCATGTTGACTGTGACCTAATTAAATACTTATGATTAATAGGTCTGTTAATAATGTTCATTTCATAATCAAATTATCTTAAAGTTTCTATTTGCGTAACAAGTTGACCCTAACTGTAACAGACCCTAACAACCCTAACTGTGTAGTTCCTCCTCTTCAGGCTGTTCAAGCAAACCACATGTTTACCACAAGTTTGTCACGGCTGTACAAAGACAATGTCAAATACGTCTCCCATGGCTCACCATCTGGTCTCAAGATTTTCTATTTTAATCAGCAGCGTGTGAAAGAACGGATAGAAGAAAATAGATATGATGTAGAGAAACAAGAACCAAAATATGCACTCGGTTTGTTTGGTGCATGTGACACTACTGGCAATGCCATGTTCATTCAGCTTTTCTGCAGCTGCAGATGGGTGACATTCACTTCGTTTTATTTCCCTTTTTTTTGTACCATATCAAATCTTCAGCCTTCACTGATACTTTCCTGAATGCTTATGCTGACAATCCCTGCAAGAAAGAACATTTTATTCCACAAGGATAATCTACCATTAAACTACCTGCTTATTTTAGATGTCCAGAATAGCTGCTTTTATTATTCCTGAAAACATCCCACTAAGAGATAAGCCTGACAAATAACTATAGCGCTGATTCCGCTCAGTCCAGTGAGGATGAGAAAAGAGCTGATTTGCAAAGCCATGTTGCTGAAGGAGCACTGTGGATGAAATGAGCAAGTGCATAGTAAAACTCAGCGTCTACTTCCTTATACTCATTATGGAAATGAAACCACAAGCGTCCGTCCTCCCTCTCTGTAATCCAATCAATGAGGTTTACTGTGCTAGAATATAAATCAAACTAAGATTGCAAACATGCTCTTTAAGCTTTATTTTCTATATAAGTCTGAACTGTTTTCTTACTTAAACATTAAAATAGTCTTCTGAACTGCAGAACATTACTTTCTGTTATGCTTATGTTGAATTTAATGTCACAGGGCCTGCAATTCTAGACTATCAACAATACATCAAGAGACCGACTTCAACGAGCGTCGCAGGAAACATAACTACCATGCACTTGAAGTTTTAAGAGGTCAATAGCCGTATAGAAAGAGTTGACTGCACTATAATGACCTACAAAGAAAGGCAAACATGCAGGTGTTTTATTGTGCATCGTGCAATTTAGATCATAAAGCCACCCAGAACCATCTCTCCAATGACAACTTCTCTAATTTTGAGCCATATAATAAAAAAATGTCACAGAACTGAGCATTAGGCATAGGTTCATTTTCAAAAAGCTGCTGTATTTGAATAAAGTCAGATAAAATTTTCTGTAGTCTGTTTTATCTACTTTATATATAATAATACAATTCTGCAGCCAGGTAGGGCTTTTGGCCACCAGCATTGATGTCCTCATTGGCCTGCTCTAACGCCAGGACCTGAGCAACAGATTCATAAAGCTCCAGTAAGGATTGGCAAGACTATCTTTAGATGTTGACGAAACACTGGCAGAAGAAATTGATGAGCGGGTAAAACTTCTGAAATTAGATACTTAAAGTCTGTCATCTGATATGAGGGATCTGAATAGTATATGTAATGTACCATTTTACACCATTCGGAACAAAGCAGTGTTATCAGATAAAATCAGTTGTAACAGGAACAATAATCAAGACATAACCAGAAGTTATAAAACTGAGAGGCTCTTTTTCTAGTCACACATGTAATAGTGATTGGACTGAACATAACTTCTCCCTTTGACCTTACTAACAAGGTTCCAACACGGTGGCTGGTTCACTTCTTCACATTGTTTTATTAGCAAATCCACTTCCTCCATGAGTTGAACTTTAGTGCGCTCTGGTATAAACTACTTTTAGTCTTCACTGTTGCTTTGGCTCAGTATGAACACATTTGCAGAATAAGTTACCAGGGAGACAGGGTCTTTTATGTCCTAACAGATATACAGATTGCTAGATTGAATGCTCCTAATTAAAGGCTGAGAGCTTCCATAAGTGCTGCCATATGTGTAGATAAATGTCCTCTATTTCCACTGATCACTCCAAGTTGTTATTTTTGTCCTCGCACTGTGCTGTAGATCACACTTACATCTGCCGGTTCAGTCTAATGAAGAAAAGAAAGCACAGGGGATTAAAATTCAGGATACAACAAGTGTCAATCACTTCAAGTTACTGACGTGAGTATTTAGATGCTTAGTATAAATCAACTACATACTGCCTGTTGCACTCGATCTTTCATTACAATGTTACTGTATGTCACGCTGTCTTCAGGTGCATGGTCCTGTTTGGTGAAACACAGAGGAAAATTAACACAATGTGCTTCCATGTAGGCATCACTCTCATTTTTTGGTTGAGAAAGATGATTTTTTTTTTTGTCTACCTTGGTTTGGGCTGCTAGAGATCTGTTATGATAGATTGTGGCGTATTGCACATCCAGATCACTCCCAGTCTGTGGGCTCTGTGGTGGATAAGACACGTAACATAACAATAATCTCATGATACAATGAACAGTTATGATTTTTGAAATGAGAGATACTATCTTACCTCAGGACTGTCTGATACCTCAGGTATGGTCTTGCCTAAAACACATGGGAAGGTATTAAAACATATATCTAAATTGCCAGTCTGTTTGATTGGATTTTACCTCAAACTCACGTGTTTTAATCCTCCATCCAAATAAGACACCAGCAACTAACAGTAGCAGTGCGATGAGAATGGTGATGAGAATTATTATCTTGGTAAAACTAGAGGACAACAAAAAACCAGAGGCACATTAGATTCTGCCTCAGTTCATATTTCTTTCATAGAGAGTCTGTGCTTAAACAAATCCAAACTGGGCTGCCCTTTAAAGCTCCAGTAAGGAGGTTTTTTATGTTTATGAAACAGACTGAAATTCACACCGATGGATTTTTAGTGACCATCAGTGACAAGATTGACAGTTGTACCTTACTGTACTCTGTCTTGCACAAAAGCCTGTTTGCACTCCATTACTCTGCTGCTCTGTACCCCAGTGTGTACTGTTGCTTAGATTAGGTCGACTGTAAATATTATTTGTTATTAAGGTTAAGGCTGCTGTAAATATATGTTGTATTTTTAATGTAAATATAAGTGTTTATTTTAATATGATTCCTTAAGGCTTTAAGTTTTTACTTATTTGTTCTTATGGCTGATACCTGGTCCTCAGTTCTAGTTTTTGTTCTTTTCTCTTGCAGACTGGAATGACAAATAAAACTCCTATACTGTAATTTTGAATTTCTCAAATTGGTGTGAGGGGGTAGTTGACATCTTTGTAATCTTTATAATTCATGTTTACAAAATTCACTGTAAAGAATTTTGACTGTCAAAGTCAGCAGGATGAGATTTTTCTCATTTTCCTTCCAGTTGACACTAAAGTTACAACTGTTCTGTAAATAGAAGATGACTTTTAGAGACATGACAAATGAGATGACAGACAATTAAATTTCCCTTCAGAGATTAATAAAGTTCTTCTTATTCTTACTTGTGAAGGACAAGAAAAGCATAGAGTGTTTTCTCCACAGGGGGTGTCAAAGTTGACCTAAACTGGGTGTTCCTCAAAGGAGCTTTAAATTAAAACCAGAAATGTATGAGGGACAATATAACTGCACTTACCTCTTGTGCTCATCTTGCACGCTGTCCTCACTGAGTTGATTTCCGGTGGAGTTCGTGGGTGCAGATGTGTTTGATTCAACACCTGTAGGCAAGGACAACTGGGTAGTTTTTGAGAGCGTCCCTGTAAGGTTTGAACAATTCATCTTAATTGTAAATGTAGGTTGTTTTACAAAGTAAATGTTTTTATTGTTACTTAAATGACTGTTCTGTCCCAGATATCACACTTTATATCAAGGTTTAGTTTGAATAACCTTCATTGTGTTTACTCACAGGTCCCTTTATTATAATACATAGACAACTGTTGGTATCTTACATGCTGTGGTGGTCTTAATTGTAGTTTTTGTTGTGGATGAAATGAACTCATGAACAGTTAAATGCACTGGCATCTGAAAGCCTCCTCTGGTGCACCAATACCAGCCGCTGTTCTCTGTTGTCAATCCACTCATGGTCACATTGAAAACATCAGGGCCAGCTTCACTGATGGTCACTGCTGCCCCATCAATTGATCCAGAGCGGTCTGTTACACAGGTGCTGCCCAGCTGGCACCATCCTTTTTCATTCAGATTTTCACTGTGGCAGGAAACAGTCACGCTTCCTCTTTCGAATGCTGCCACTTCTTGTTGATCCACATAAAGACTTGACTCATCTTAAAAAAAAAAACACATGAAATTACAGCACAGTCTGTGTAACTTCCTTGGTGTTAGTGAATAACTAACGTCTTCTCTTTTTCTACTTGAAATTATTGGGCAGATGATATTTACCTTAATTTAATTGAATTGAATGTTTACCTGAGGTGACTGATAGCTCAAACTGTTTCTTGTCGTCGCTTATCAGAAGGTCCACTGCACACCAGTACCAAGTGTCATCTGTGTCATCATATGTCACATCATTAATAGTCACTGTGAAGATCCCCCTGTTTGTGTCATCAGAGATTGAGAACTTTCTGGTACTGTCTGGCTGGTCTGTTTTAACAGCATAGGTGCATTTCCCCCAGCTTGAGCCTTTACACAAGTATTTCACCTTGTCTCTGTAGCGCAGCTCATAGAGACATGGAATGGAGATAGAGCCTCCAGCCTTGACTGACACCTTATCCACTGTGATAATTTCACAGTGAAATCCTAAGAAAACAGCACATTCTTGTTAGTTAAAGGTTCCCTCAAAATCACTGTGTGCAGCCATCATCTGCAGATTGTTTCAAGCAAGCATCTGCTGCAGTATCACGACTTGGTACTAAATAATTTTACACTTTTTACACTCTGATCATATTAAATACCAGTATTCTCTGTCATTTATGCACACAGTATTCTCATTACCCACAGCTTGAACTTACCTATGAGCCCAGACAGAAGTAGGTAAGGTAGAAGCGAAGAAGTCATGTCTGCGGTGAAATGAGAGAATGAGAAGTTTGACTGTTACAGGTGGTATCTCTAGTCATCTCTTCCTCCTTTTTTTTGTATCACTGATGTTTGCTCTTTCTACAGAGTGTTTTGCAAGACTTTGATTAAGAAGTAACCAGTACAAACTTAGAAGTGTGTCTTAGATGAGACATGTGACATGAATCTTAGTGAACTGTATTTGGGTTGAACAGTGCAGTCATAACCCTAAAATCCTGACCCTTATGGCTTACTCTACAGCAAACAAACAAGTAAATACAGAGCTTTTAGTTGTTTTTTTTAATATAAACAGACTGAAAGGTGCTTTTGGTAGCTTGAATGTTCAATTTTAAACAGATGTAGTAGTTTCCCATTCATTTTGATGCAGCTAGAAGGTAGCTATGTAATGTCTGCTGTTGGAGTGACTTTTGATGCAGATTGTGCTTTGACTTACAAGTTCAAAGGTGATTAGTCACTTCAAAACCACACCTTGAACGAAATGTGGAAGTTAAAAAAGCTCACAGCTGAACCTTGTTTTGATTTCCTGGCTAAAGCCATGAGGTAGGTAGTAAAAAAATTAAATAAAAAATATATATTTGTACATACAAGTGATAATACACTTATTTACATAGACACTTGTGACCTCACTATTTCAATATGCAAAGTCTTTTCCCTGGTTCCCGCTCAAAGCTACCTATGGCGCCTTTAACAGTACAAAATGACCTTACAATGATGGCGGATGCAATTGTCTGAGTCGCTTGTTGATGACGTTTATATGTATGTTTGTTCATTCTGATGCAGCTAGAAGGTAGCTATGCAATGTCTGCTGTTGGAGTGACTTTTAATGTAGTTTGTGCTTTGAATTAAAAGTCCAAAGGTGATTAGTCACTTCAAAACCAAACCTTGAATAAAATGTGGAAGTTAAAAAGCTCACAGCCGAACCTTGATCTGGTTTCCTAGAGAAAGCTATGAGGTAGCAAGTAAAAATATATACATTTATACATACAAGTTATAATACACTTATCTTCATACACACTTGTGATTTCAATATTTCAATACGCAAAGTCTTTTCCCCTGGTTCCTGCACAAAGCTACCCACCATGCCTTTATCAGTACAAAATGACCTTACCGTGATGGAGGACACGATCGTCCCAGTCGACTGTTGGTCAGGTTTTTATGTATGTTTGTTCATTCTGACGCAGCTAGAAGGTAGCTATGCAATGTCTGCTGTTGGAGTGACTTTTGATGCAGACAGTTCAAAGGTGGTTAGTCACTTCAAAACCAAACCTTGAATGAAATGTGGAAGTTGGAAAGCCCTTGGCGGAACCTTGTTTCTGTTTCCTAGCTAAAGCCTTGAGGTAGCAAGAAAAGAAATATATATATTTACATATACAAGCGATAAATCACTTATTTACATAGACACTTGTGATTTCAATGTTTCAATATGCAAAGTCTTTTCCCCTGGTTCCCGCTCAAAACTACCCACTTTGCCTTTATCAGTACAAAATGACCTTACCAAGATGGCGGACGCGATTGTCCGAGTCGACTGTTGATGACGTTTTTATGTAACTTTTGACAATTGCGCGAAATCCAAAGCGACAGGAAGAGAAGCTTTTGTCCGCTCTACTAAACAAGTTCTGTCTTCGGTGATGGAGTACGGTAAAGAAAGAGTGGTGGCGTTAGTGGACATGGACTGCTTCTACGTTCAGGTGGAGCAGAGGATCAACCCAGCCCTGAGGAATACCCCCTGCGTGGTGGCCCAGTACAAGACGTGGAAAGGAGGCAGGTGAGTTTCTAGCAAAGAGACACATTTTCTATGATCATTGCATCTGAAACCGACTGCAACAAGACTGGCACATGAAGCAGGGTTATTGAGCCTACCGGGTAACATCAGTCAGTAAACACCGAGACCCTTCTGCGTTTACTCAGTGCTGTTATTCAGCTGGTTCCGCTCAGCTGCTCTGATCATCACTGTCTCTGTGTTGGCAACTCACCCGCCTCAGTCTTCCATGGAGAACCACTTAACCCCTTTACATTTTCTCATGAACGTGTGTCTTAGCTGTGACTCTAAACTCGTTGTCGTCCTCTGTTAGTATCATAGCTGTCAGCTATGAAGCCAGGGCCCACGGTGTCACCAGGAACATGTGGGTGGATGATGCCAAAAAACTGTGTCCAAATCTCCAGGTTGCTCGAGTGCGTGAATCTCACGGCAAAGCAGACCTGACACAGTAAGTCTTCTGATTGATTTATTTTGTTGGTTTATTCGTAGGGTAAGTATGATCTATTTCAACCCCCCTTCTCTTGTGAGCAGTGATAATGAAATCACCTACTGTCTCTTTTTCTAGTTACAGGGAGGCCAGTGTTGAAGTGATTGAGGTGATGTCTCGCTTTGCTGTGATTGAGAGAGCCAGCATCGATGAAGCCTACATGGACTTGACTTCTGCGGTCCAGCAGCGGCTGAAAACAATGAGTGACCAACAAATGGAGCCTCACCTGCTGAAGACAACCTACATTCAGGGGTACCCACAAAGTCTACCAGAACAAGAAGCATCTGCAGGGGAAGTTGTTTTGGATAAAGGTAGGCTATGTCCAAGCTAATTTTCATACTTACATCTGAAAAAAAGTTAAAAATCTGGGTGTTACATTTGATTCAAACCTCAGTGTTTTCTATTTTAGTTGTAGAGTAACAATTTTGTGTTTTATTACCTCTCTTTTATTTACTTTCTTTTATTGTTTGATTTTAAGACTGTTTTATTAAATTAACTTTCAACGCTTCATCACCTTTTTTAGATTTTATAATGGTTTTATCATTTTAGTCCTAGATCTAGTGTTTCCTCATTTCTTTTAACTCAAGATAGCATTTCCTCAGTCATCTGTGGCAAGTTGAAGAGTCCTCACCTGGTTTTTTGCATATGCATCTGCGTGTGTGAGCGTGCGATTGCTGTATGCGTTGGCTGGGGGTTGGGAAGGTGGCTGGGGGTTTGGTATTTGTATTTTTACTTATTTTACATAATCGTATTTTAGTATCCTGCGCGAATGGACAGCACTTTGTGCTACATTATATGTATAAAAAAGCTTTCAAAATAAAGTTTGATTGATTGATTGATATGTTTTAAAAGAAAGCTGAAGTTGTAAATCCACACTTGACAAAACCCAAAAACTCTTGAAGTTGACATTGTCTTCTGTGTCACCAGAGGCGCAGAGGACCAGAGGTCTGCTGCAGTGGATGGCATCTTTGTCTGGCCCTCTGCAGGGAGAACAGAGCTCTGCAGAACTGCAGCTCACTGTGGGTGCACTCATTGTGGAAGAAATGAGGGCTGCTGTGGAAGAGGTCACAGGTTTCCGCTGTTCAGCAGGAATATCACACAATAAGGTAAGGAAACCTGGTATTATTCTATTGACAGACCCGGCAGATGGAGTGTGAGGATGTTGGGTGGACTGTGCTGCCTCAGCTCCACTGTGTGGTGGTTTTGGGGCAGTTTCAGGCTGTGAGCCTAGAGAAGATACTTCGGGGGGGTATTTAGATTTAAGCAAAACCAGTAGATATAACTGTGTCTGTAAGACTTTGGATGGCACTGTAACACAAGGTACATTATACATCAATTACTACCAGATTTCTTTCTGTCTTAGTTTCTTTCTTTCCTTAGCTGTTTGTGCTTTGGCCATAGTTTACAGTGTTCTTTTTACCCCAGGTATTGGCCAAACTAGCCTGCGGTCTGAACAAACCCAACAGACAAACTGTTCTGCCTTTGGACTCTGTGGCAGAACTTTTCAACTCTCTACCAATCAGCAAGATGTGAGTTTAACACATGTTTCTGCTCTTAAATTTGCACGCATAGTGATATTGAAATGTAACACAAATGTTGACTTACTCTACTTTGTACTCCTGTTTCGTTTATATCTCCTGTGCAGCCGTAACCTGGGGGGTAAGCTGGGTGTCTCCATATCAGAAACTCTGGAGGTTGAGAACATGGGAGATCTGACTCGCTTCTCTCAGGCCCAACTGGGACAGCACTTTGGAGAAAAGACAGGGTAAGACTGCTTAACAGTTGTAGAAGTTATGCCGAAGTGCTCACCTGTGCTGCTTTGGGTCACTATCTGCATGGCACCAAAACAGTACAGAACAAAAACGTGTCTGAAGAAAGCTTTTTTTCCAAAACCTAACTATTGTTTGATAAAAATGTCCAGAAACTCTGAGCATTGTATTTACGCTCGGTTACTCACCACCTTTTGTCTTCACAGCCAGTGGCTCTTTGATTTGTGCCGCGGGATTGAGTTTGAAGCAGTAAAACCCAGACAGCTTCCCAAGTCCATCGGCTGCAGTAAAAACTTCCCAGGGAAAACATCGCTGGCTACAAAAGAGCAGGTACAGCCGGTTTCTTTCTTTTACATCAAGGTTTAAAAAATACTCTTCTATATTTTAAGTGCATTAGCCTAATTCATTAAAACTCCAAGTGACAGTAGTTGAGTCATGGTATGAAACTCACTCAAGTCGTATCTCAAATATCTCCACTGATGTTTTCCAATCATTTCTTCGTAGGTTCAGTACTGGCTTCATCAGCTGGCCCTTGAGCTGGAGGAAAGGCTGACCAAAGACAGAGAAGTGGTGAGAAAGCTCAGTGTGTGGTTGTGTTCCTACATTTCACCTGTTGTTGCAACAGCAGTACCTATTTCCTCAACACGAGCTTGGTTTCACTGTAGGGTTGTTGTAAAACCCAATATGGCAACAAAATAGGAACTCTTGGGCATGCCTTTTGTCAACAGCAGGTGGACTAAAATACATGAAAGGGACCAGGTGACATGCAGACTCTCACATTTTCTTTCAGTCTGTCTGTAGACTGGCATAAACTTACTGAGTGCATCTCTAGAAGATGCAAAGAACCTATCAAATGTCAGGATTTGCCAACCCAGGAGTGGAGAGAGTCAGTAGTGTGGATATGATGAGGGTGGAGCAGAGACACACACAGACGTGATTAGACCATATCTGACAACTTCTTCGACAGTTGTGTAGATATGTTGATGAGTTTATAAAGTCCTTAAAAGGATATTTCGGTGTAAAATTAATTTAGGGTTAAACACACTGTAACACTGAGTTAGACCCCCCCCCTTGAGAGATAAATTTTGTCGACCGCTTGCTTCTCTAGTTACACCAAATTTAGTAACAACCGCACGATAGCAATACACAGCGGTCTGAGGAGCCACACACAAACCTCAACCCAAACGCCACAAATAATGCTCAGAATAGCACCTTACTTCATCAACAGTACATATAGAGTCCCAGCCATAGCACTAGCCACCAAACATCTTTTTAACTTCGCCTGATTTCTTTAGCAAAGAGACTAAACACAACTCACCTACTCTCCTCCAGCAGCCATTTGTTTATACGGAGACATCAGGCCAGTCCATTACAGACTGCTGCGGGGTGACGCAGCTCAAGGAAGAACATTTATGATCATAACTTTATCATTTCCTTGAAGTAATAATCACCTTTTCCGCTAATAATCACCATATTAATCATTTTGCACTGCAGACGCGGTAGTTCTTCTGCCTTAGCGTCTTGGTCTGATTTCATTTCCATGAAAAAATGATCATAAATGTTCTTCCTTGAGCTGCGTCACTCTGCCTCAGTCGATGATGGACTGGTCGGAGGTCTCGCTACAAACAAACGGCTGCTGCAGAGAGTAGGTGAGTTGTGTTTAGTCTCTTTGCTATAGAAATTAGGCAAAGTTAAAAAGATGTTTGATGGCTAGTGCTATGGCTGGGACCCTATATGTACTGTTGATGAAGTTAGCTGCTGTTCTGAGCATTATTTGTGGCTATAGAGTGGCGTTTTGGTTGAGCGTGTGTCTCTCTGTATTGCTATCTGCAGTCGTTACTAAAGTCGGTAAAACTAGAGAAGCAAGTGGTCGGCAACATTCATCTCTCGAGTGGGTGTCTAACTCGGTGTTAAGGTGTGTTTGACCCTAAATTAATTTTACACCAGAATATCCCTTTGAGTGTAGCCTTAAGTAGTCTCACAGTTTCCTCATTTCCTCACAGAATGGTCGAATGGCTAAGCAGTTGACAGTTGGCGTACGTCAGCTTGGGGACAAACGGCCCAGCAGCTTCTCTCGCTGTTGTGCATTAGTGCGCTATGAAGCCACTAAAATCTCCACTGACAGCTTCGCTATCATCAAGAGCCTCAACACAGCAGGAAACCACCAGGCAGCATGGTAATTACAACGTAAAAACACAGCTAGAGATTTAAAATGATCGTCTGAGGAAACCCTGTGTGATTTATCGCCCTTTGTCTTGCATCATTTCTCCAGGACTCCACCTTTCACCATGCTTCACCTCTCAGCCAGTAAATTTAGCGACGCTCCGTCAGCAGGGGGCATCGCAGGCTTTCTTTCTAGCGATGCAGCATCAACCCAGAGTATTTCTTCTAACACCCAGTCCTCCACACAGCCACAAGCGGATGTGAAAAATGACTCCAAACAACCCAGCTCCATCCAGTCCTTCTTTCAAAAGGCTGCGAAGAAACAAAGTCAGAAGATTACCAAAGACACAGATGAGAAGGATGAAGATACAGACTCCACAGGAATTCTCCAATCTTCTTCCTCACATAAAACCTCTGCTGCTGATGATGATGTTGAGACAGACACTAAGAGTCCTGATTCTTCCTTTCCCCTCCTTCCTAACTCTAAAAACGGATCAGCGAACCCCGCTCCAGGCATCTCCTCCTTCTTTCAAAAGAAAATCCTTGAAAGAAGCTTACAGACCTTGGATTCCACATGTGATAAGACTGAAACAGGACAAACTCAGGGGTCTGTTAATAAAGAAGATATTGATGATGATGATGATGATGATGATTTTGAGCCTGTGAAACAGAAGAAACGCACCTCAGCGTTATCCTCCCACCAGGGGCCATGTGGAAAATCAAGGGATGAAGAGGACATTGATCCAAAAGTGAATGATCATCCTCTGAATGCGGCACAAGACGACCTGCTAACCTGTGAGCGCTGCGGGGAAAAGGTGCTGGTCTGGGAAATGCCTGAACACCATGACTATCACTTCGCTCTGGACCTCCAGAACTCCCTCTCCTCTTCCTCTTTTTCCACTGTCACTTCTTCTTCTTCTTCTTCGAATGTTCCTCCAGCTCCTTTTAGAGCAGGTTCAGCAAGCTCAGCCAAGTCCTCCAGGGGCAAGACAAAAGGCAGAGGCCTATCAGGGCCCCAATCGAAGCGGCCGAGGTCCCAGGGTGGGAGTGCAGGAACTCTGGACTCTTTTTTCAAGAAGAACTGAAACTGTGAAGCAGATCTGCAGATTTTAGACAGAACAAATAAATGCACTCAAATTAAGCCATATATATTTATAATGAATAATTGTGAATATATTAATTGTACAGAATCATTTCCTCAGGGTGGAAAATCATGTTGAAAAGGATGTGCAGTATAGAAAGTGTTAAAAATGACCAGTCCTTGTTTTTTACAGGATAAAAACTTGTATGTAACAGAATAGAGGTGATACTTTTGAAGAAATCTTGAATACCGGAGTATATTAAAGACACGTTTGTAAAAAAAACTGCATTGTTGTGTGCGTCTTGTTGCAACATTCTTACTTACCAGCAGATGGCACCAATCAGCAAAAAATGTTTTGTTTACATTTGGCTGTCAAACTGTAACAGAGAATAATAGTAGGGTTAATTTTGAGGTTTTTAAACACCATGAGCTGAGTCTACAACGACGAGCTCCTTGATCCGAGTGAAAACATGATTGCATTGTCTTGCATCAGCTGGGGTGTAGGTAATAAAGCCTGGTACATGGCAATAAAACCTTGTAAAGCAGTGTCTTCAGAGCTGACTCATAGTTCACGCACATGCTAACCAGCAATTCAACACTGTGTATGATGACAGGGTTGGGTACTCAAGTGCAATATGTTGTGTTTGAAGAAAACAATCACACACCCTTGACAAACAAAAAGTTTTATTCATGTACATTAAGATACATAAATTGGATCTGTACATAAATATTGCATTTCACCCAAATAATCAAAATATCACACTTTCAATCAAACAGAAAATGGGTCCAAAAGGTGATTTCAAGATAGTAAAGAAGGGTTGGTGCCAGAACTGCCTGTGACAGTGAAACCTGTGTTAAAGTGAGTAATAAAACCTGGAACTAGTAGAAATCTATAAAATCCTCTCAGAAGTATTAAAACAAACACCCGATTAAAAACTGTGAAGGCTAGAAAACATTTTTGGTTGAAATGCAGTCTCAGTTTTTTCTTCTTTGATTCAGTGCACACGAACTGTGCATAAAAACAAAAACAACAACAACAACATGGGTTCAACAAAACAACTGTCTCCTTGAACATGGACTGAAGTGGAACATCGATCTGTGTATATCTCACACAAACATGCGATAATAAGACTGATGACGAGGCTAACAGCAGCCTCGAACAAATAGTTGCATCAAACATTCAGCTTATTATATCAACATCTGTTAAAAGAGTAGCACCAACTTAATTCACTTGTGAAACCCTGGGGTGTGGTGGAGAGCTACATGAATGGTAGCTCCACCAGGCACTGTGTTAAACCCCTCTTAAGTTTGTGACATCAGTAACAACAGTGAGGACATCAAGTACCTCCAACACAATTGCTTTTAAATACAGCTCCATCTATAGGCAGCATTACATATAATATAACCCATACTTCGACATGTATCTTTGGGAGAAACACCCTTGTTATTTTTTCCTCTACGCCCCCTTTCCTTTTTCAGCAACAGAAACCTCCATAGGAGGAGTCCTTGTTTGAGTGGAATGCTGTCTAACACCATTATCTACACTGACCTGAGAAACTAAAGCACTTGAAAAATAGGCAGCAAGATCATTACTACTCGGCTGCGCTATCGTGAGGCATCTTTTGTGACAAAAACAACATCATTCTCACAGACAGAAGTGAATTAAAACAAGATGAAAGGTGACTGCCAGTGCCAATTATCTTGGCAGGCTCAGTCTAGCTTGGCATACCTTGCAGAGCTCTCCTTTGTTTATAAAGTGCCTTTGCCAACGATATCATAGCCTGAAGATGGTCTAGCTAATACACATCCACGCTAGTTTCTTACTGCTGTTGCCCTTATCTTATTACACCATTGGCTGTCATCGAGAATATTTGGTTTTGGGAGAACTGAGCTCAAAGGCTTGTTCTTCTCAACCAGGCACTATGTTGGTAACAAGCTGTATCTCTTATTAGTAATGGCTGTAAACGATTACCTGCCAAAGGTATGTCAACGTTAGCGTTTATAGTTCAGTGCAAGTCTGTGAAAATTGTTAAACAATGCATGTCCGGAGTGCATTTAGGTGTAAACTCGTGTAAGTAGCACTTAAACGTGGGTGTGAGACAGCAATTTCTTAGTTGCCATTTCTCACGTGTGCATTGCAACCATATATCCTCTATAGTATATGTATCACTTTGGTGGATGTTGCCTGGTGAATATGATGATTTGATGGTGACTAAATGGTTTGTTTTTATCAATGCCTTAAAAAAAAACACAATGCCAGAACACAAACTGAAGTAACAGCAGTTTTTTTTGAAGAGGGTGAAGTAGACAAAGGAGGACGATAGTGACAAAGGTTTGGAAAAAGGTGGTAAAACAATGAAATCCTCTTAAAGGGATTGACGATGTAGGGGAGAGGGTGCTCTTTGGAGAAAGCAGGAGGTTGTTATGTAATGCACCTTGTTTATTGGTGTTTTCTGCTGTGGTTCTTGAGGAGATTTAGGCTTCCTCTTCTTCCTCCTCCTCCTCCTCACTTGGTACTGGTGGTAAGTACTGCGTGATGGGCTGTAACTTGGTGACATGGCCGATACCTTTGGTCACACCTTGTCTGAAGAGCACCTTAGCTCCTACCTTCAGGTATTCTGGGTGTTTGATGAACTTGAAGAGAACCACTGCTTTCTCGCCCGTTCTCAGCTCCTCCTGTGGTAAAGTAGGATAATCACATCAACATAAAATAAGTTACTCCTTCATTTTGTTAGATCACACACTGGAATACAACAAACCCAAGTTTTTCATGGTCTTACCTTGCCATACACAGCTTCCACAGTGGCAGTCTGTCTCACGTTTCCTATGTGCACAGTTACCTGGAAACCCTTGTGGAAGGTCTTTGCATGGAAAAGCAGAACGATCTCAGCTTCAAACATCCAGCAGATAGTCGGATCCATCTCCGGACTCACCATCACCATGCCCTGTGAGAGGAGCATTTGTAGAAATCGTATCAACGAATGAGAACGGATGAGTTTTTAACTTTTCATCAGTATTGGTGTTTTTTTTTTATTCCTTTTAGTAATTCACACCAAATTATACAAATAAACAAAAACTAAGTAGTGTTTTTTTCTTGATTTCCAACATTTGCAGTTGCTGTCTGAGGTATTTTGTGGCCCATGAGGAAACACTGACCTTCAGTTAACTTGGATTTTATTTCTACTTCTGCTCACATAAATTTCCCCCCTGATAAATTCTTAATCAAGTACAAAATAAAACACTTATTTTCAGAGAATCAGGATCATCCCTCAGTCTATCTTCATACTCAGGCTGACAATGAAAAGGTAAACTGGAGGTTCCACAGATTTGGCATCATCAGGCGTCTGACCTTGCGCAGCAGCGACCGGTCGAAGTTGCCCAGGGCGAGTGTGGCAGCCTGGCCGGCCCTGAGTACCCTGCATCCCGAGCGGTTTCTCTGAATGCTTCCAACAGTCAGCTTGTGGAACTGTCCCAAGTCTGTGGGCCCGACCACGAGCTGATCCCCTTCACGGCAAATACCACTAACAATCATAACAGAGCAGAAGATCAGAGTCTACGCCAGATAAATACCTCAAAGTCAGGTGAATACAAGAGCATGAAGAAGGAATGTCATGACACTGACCTGTACAGAGTTCCCCCTACTACTGTCCCCACTTCTGGCACCGTGTAGATCTCATCCACCTGTAATGACGCACACTGCAGTTAATTCCACTAAAATCAACTTGTGTTAAAGTAGAGAGAATCTGCCCTCTCATCGCCTACCTGAAACTCAGTTAGCTGCTGCATGAGCTCCTCCTGCTCTTTGCTGTTGCTGAGAGGAGGGATGATGTTAAAGAAGACTTTCAGCAGGTCGAGACTCTCTCCGGATACGCTGGACAAGGTGAAGATGGGTGTGATGCTACCAAAGGAAGCAGAGGCGTGTTTAATATTGTGGGTCAGCAGTCTTCAGATACCTAACTCTTGATACTTCTTTGGTTATTTCTTACTTTGGCGACTGGGCAAACTGCTGTGCTGCTGTGACGGCATCATCTGTGCTGTGTATGACCATGGGCACCTTGTTGCAGCCCGGCTGCTTCAGGACGCGTTCCAGCTGCCGCACCGTGCGCTCCACTGTGGCTCGTGTGCAGAGGTCCACCTTACTGATGACGATGAAGATGGGTACTTTGAGGGCCATGGCGAGTCCAAGATGCTCTCGTGTCGTACCAGCTGGCAAAGAGAAGTGAAAAGAAGTAAAACTGAAGTTAGATTGATCTGCTCTTTGGGTATCTTTACTTTGCTGCACCGATTTATAGCATCAAATGGAGAGTTAGTATGTTTCACATGTTTGCATACAGATCTAGTCGCACTATGAACCTGTGCCTTCCCTGGATACATAAGAAATTCCACTGCTGAGTGTCTGTTGTGACGGGAGATACCACCACTTATCTGCTGACAGACACGCAGAGTTTAAGGGTCAGTAGATCATGTAAGCGTACTGATAAGTCAAGGTAGATTTTGCCGTGACGTATGAGGTGATCGAAGGAGGAAGACGGGGCAAGAGTGCAAGGAATGCTCAACCATATACGACTTTTATGTCATTAAACGACTTGCCGGTCCAGAAAAGCTTTTAAAACACATAAAATTCTTGCAGACGCAGCAGTGTCATGTACTAAAAACGGCTGGTAGGTCATGGTTGTTTGTATTTAAAGCTGGCGTGCGCAACAGGAGCCAATATGCAAAGTTTACTGTCTTGTCTCAAATGTGGGTCATGTCTTAACCTACAGTACTTGGGAATTCAAGGGGTGCTGACCCATAACACATTTGCAGACACCGAGACATACATCCCCTCAGAATAGCACGACCTCTCATCAGCTGAGCTTCGGTTTGTTTTGCTTTTTGAGTTATATATAGTGCACCCACGGTAAAGGTGAGCGTGATGATCGTTCATCATCCTGTTTAAGGTGATAGTTGAAGTGAGGTTTCCAAAACATCTATAAAAAGAATGATAAGAATATCCCAGAAAACAAACTGCCCTTTGGCTTTTTAGCTGGTAACAGATACGACTTGAGATGAGTCCTATGCCTTACACAGATCAATTACTCTGTGTTTCATAATTTAAAGTGTTGCTCTTGGGTTGCAGACAGTGTGTCCTTTTCCTGTCTGCTGCATGGCGGGAGATGATACTCTTTCTTGACCCTATTTCTCACAGCTAGTCAAGTCTTACAACAGATACCTGTAAAAACACTGCAGTGATACTGGCACAGTGTAGATTCTGAGGTCTTTTCGCATGTAAATCAACGAGTAAAAATCGATTAGAGACGTATAAGAACAGCTTTATAAGATAGGATGGCTGAGCAGTGTACGGTGCTGCTTTCAGGGCGTGATCTCCTCTGGGGCGCATGTTCGAATCCCACTTCTGACAGTGCCGTCTACCACCAAATATCATAAGGCAAAGACTGTCTATGTTAGGAAGGGAAATCCTCCTTGTGGTTTTGTCGGCTTCAGTGACTCGTACAATGCACTGGCTATTCTGACAAGTCACTGATCTGACAGTGGAGTTTGTACAGTCACCACCCAGTGCACCACCTCATTGCTGAATGCAATAAAAACACACTGCTGACAGTTTGTTCAGTTCTGTGCTTTTAACTCGTGGTAAAGGTTCCTCGGCTGTCTTGTTTGCTACGGTGAAAAAAGGAACTTTTTCATAATGAAACAAAGGAAGCCAAAACAAACAAGGATTTCTGTCTGAGTCAAAGCTTTGATTTAGACGTTGCTCCAATTCAGTACATTTTTACATTCTTAATGACAAAAACAAACCAACAACCAGCAGCCATACATCTTGATCAGCTTAATATAGTTAATTTACTGACATCAGCAGCCTGTGGGTTAGAGTGCTCAGTACCACGTCCCAGTCTCTGATTTCACGTCCCCCAGCTATTTGCTTGAATAAAATATGACTTCTGGTTCCTTCAAAAGCACGTTTTTATTAGGCTTTTGATTTCAAGAGCACAGAGGCTCTGTACAGAAGGTCACAGTGTGCCCTTATCAGGGCCCACACGCTGCGCCTGTCACAACCCCTCCCCCTTCCTGTTTTCTAGCAGATCGAATCGCTTCATGAGGTTCTGCCAACTGTCAGGATGGCCGAGCGGTCTAAGGCGCCACGTTCAGGTCGTGGTCTCCCCTGGAGGCGTGGGTTCGAATCCCACTTCTGACAAATAACTTTTATTTTCACCAGCTACAACCACTGAAATCCTTTTGTAAAGTTACAGTGAGAACATATGTGAAGATAAGAGCAAATAAACACCATTTATCCATAAGGAAAACCAACCACAACACTGCAAAGCCTGTTCCACCACTTTGAGCAGCTCAGGTTTCAAGTATGTCCTGACTGGACCTGAGTATCTGACGTCCTACACTCATAAAAGATTTGACTAAAAGCATTTATGCTCTACAGAACCTCTTCATAAAACATGTGCAGTATAATGACTCACAACAAGAAAGCACTGAGGAGAAGAAAGAGAAGGGATTTATCCTTTTTTCTGTGAGACACATGCAGATCATGTAAAGGGCTGAAAAAACAAACAAGGAGACGTGAAAGCAGGCATGGTGAGAGTTAAAAGTCTGTCTGCTGTGAGAACATGAAGAAATAGTTGGACTTTCTGGGATCTTTCTCTCTTCTTGTCCTTTGGTCTCCAGAGATAAATCACAAATTCAGAGCGCTCTTAAAACACCAAATTTGATCATAAGCCACTGACTCTCTAACAAGGGAGGGCTGTTGTTCCCATGAGGGTTCATTGTTCTCTTTTTAGAAGCAAAACATCAGTAAAGGCAATGACGTATTAGTTTAAAGTCAAAACATAGTTCATTTACTATTTTTAGTGCCTTTTTTGTGACCTTTTGACATGCATCTTGTAGCACAGAAAAATACTTGAACTGTTGTCACAAGCAAAACTTGTTTAGTTTGTAAATAGTTTATGGTGTCGGGTAACAAAACACTTTTTTGTATATTTGTGAAGCTTCTATTTTCCTGCAACTCTCTTTCAGACTTGCCTGTCTGTGAAATACTAATGTGTTTAAAGCTCAGAGCTTTAACAATTGGGGGCATAACTTTCTTTAAGTAGAATGTTTCTTCTGCAAGGTCAGCAATGTTGACATACCCAGTGTCTTACTGAGTCATTTCTAGGTCTCAGGTTTTTCAAGTCTGCACAGGATCAAGAGCAGCAGGCTAACTCCAGCAGGTCAACGGACTTTGACATGAATGGATGGTATTTGAGATATTTTAGGACTAGTGGTGGTAGGCAAGGACGAGGAGAAGGTGGTAGGGAAGGTGACAGGAATGGTGGTCTGTTACATAAGGTCAGATATCACATGTTTGCCAAGTGCTCGGCCACAGCTGCCCACTACAGCGTGGAGGTGGGGCGAACACAAACACGGGCTGTCTGTCAGACTGGCCCTGCAAGTTTCTATTACCTCTCAGTGTCACTATGACAGATGACAGATTAGTTAAAAAACTGCACCCAAATGGACTGAACAAACATGCATTGATACGTGTTTGTTTGAAAATGAATAACCAACTCTAACCCTACATTATCTACTCAACACTTACCAATCCCCGTATTTGCGCTGACAACCAGCATCGCGAAATCCGGACAGTAGCTGGTGAGGCCAAAGATGGTGGTCTTCAGGTACTTATGATGGCCCGCCAGATCGATGAATGTGATCATTTTAGAGGCACTCTCGCAAATCTCCTCTGCTGTTCGAGACTCGCTGTAATTTACAACCTGTAGGAGACAGAAGGGGACATGTGTATTCCTTAGTAATTAATTATTTTAATAGGATCATGACACTTATAAAGCAGGAGTAGATACAAATCCTTTATATTTGAGATGTCCGTGTTTAGTTGACAAGAATATAAACACTGCCACCTGCTGAGGGTGTCATCCCTACTGGGATGCAAACAAGCACGGATGGTCAATAGTATCTGGTGGTTTATTCTTTAAGGTTAGTATCGTCTGCTTGTTGAAATAAAAATTCCCATTATAATGCCTGGAAATTAGTTGAATGTCCTTTATTTCTACCCTGGTGTATGATTGTCTCTTACCTCTCCTTTACTGTTGAAGCCGAGGATTTCAAAGCTTATGCTTGAAGTGCGACCAGTCTGGATCTCGTGAAGATGTCTAAAGAGGTTGAGCCTCGCTCTTCCCCGGCCATTGTCGAGCTCTCCTTGCGTCAACACTCCTAACAGAGTGGACTTGCCTGAGTCCACATTTCCCAGCACAGCTACTCTTAGGTCTAAGAACTAAAATATTTAAAACGAGAGAAAAGAATGAGATGAAATATAGAAAAGGACACGTTAAAAGCTTAAGAACAACATGCTATCGCTCTACTGACCTGCTGGTCATCAGGCACCTTGCGTATGAGAACCTCTGCAATCTTACGAGGCACATCAGCGTCAGAGTCATAGTCCACCTCTCGCTGTCTCAGAACAGTGATATCAGCCCCAACTCTGTCAGAAAAAAAGATCATCAAATGTATAACCCAATCTGTTTATATGTTTCTTTATAATATCAAATAACCACCTGTTTTTAATATCATGTAAGAGTAAACTTTGTTTTTATGTAATTTGTTTAATCAAAGTTCAGACAAAACATAAAAAACTGAAATTTAGAAAATGTTTGGTACAACCCTCACTTACTTTTCTGCTAGCTTATGAAGCGTCTTCAGAGACGCCCTCATGTCTTTCTCTGATAGTCCCACAAGCATGCCATTGTCCTCCACACCTATTTGGTAGACGGCCTCCCCTCGGCCCTCCTGGAGTCGCCATTTCATTTGCGTTGCCAGGTGCTCAAAGCGATATTGTGTGGGATTCACCAGCTTAAGCTAAATCAAGAAGACATCAGTAGTCAGCACTAAATTTGAACCTAGAAGTCCACGGATAAATCTAGATAAACAGACTTTGAATTCCCTTTTCTTTATGGGATTATTAATGTTACTATGTAAGAGTATGGGAAATCAAAACACGAAATAATATGGTGTGTTTAAAATACATACATATGATCCAAAATGATCTATTTTAGCTATCTTCCTCTTGCAAAAACGTTATCTCTTATTTTAAACACACACATGGATCAGCCCTTTAGTAGCAAATCTGACACTGGACCAGCCCCACACACAAAAAAAACAATGCAACATGAAATTACTTTAGGCCTTATTCAATTAAACTCCAGCCCTTGTTTATGATGATGTGGCAGCAGCTGTCTGGGTACTAAAAGTGATCTTGTTAATCTCTTGTGGTATTGGTTTTCCACTGCAGACCCTGTGAGACTGCCCTTTTCTCTTTTTAAAAGAGGACCTACATTCTTTTAAAAGTCAGTTGAACATGATTTGCACACTTGTACAAACACCTATTATGAGCTCTTCTATAATAAATGGTTCTATAAAGATCCTGTTTTGAGAGACACCAGACTATCATTTGCACACAGTGCTGTATTTGCATGACAACTGATTTGCTTACCTTGTACTCTATATTTCCCTCTTCAGCCTGAGAGACGGGGGGAGAGAAACAAAAAAGGGACAGACAGAGACACAACAGGAACAACAGCTGTTAGACTGAAGAGAAGTGAGACAACAGGCTATTGATTTTTTAAAAGACAGGGAGGAAAAAAATCCAACTGAATGAACAGAGTAGTGCTGTGAAAAGGTTGTTGCTGAAAGCAGCACAAATGGACTCACTGCTTGGCTGGCCTTAATATGCTACTACTTAGTGCAGCCTATTTGTAAAAGTCAAATATACATATTTCAGTCTGTACAATGGATGTGCATTTAAAGTAAATGTACAATCTGACACACTGGGAACAAGTCCATGATTATCTAATTGGTCTTGATGTTAAGTCATTATTAATTATCAATAACCCAGATTATGGTCTAGACAACCGGTGTCAAACTCAAGGCCCGGGGGCCAAATCTGGCACGTGGAACAATTATATCTGGCCTACAAGATCATATCGTAGTTGTATTATTATTGGCCCACCAGTATGAGGTCTGTAAATTTCCTCCAGTATAATAATGTAAACTTGAGCACTATTATTTAAAATGTCCTTAGCCACGAAAATCTGGGAAATTAAAGAGTAAGGAAGATTTCATAAATAGTCAAGAATTTTGGGGGGAAAAGGGGGTTTAATTTCATTTTCATTGACATCAGCAGCCTGTTGGTTAGAGTGCTCAGTACCACGTCCCAGTCTCTGATTTTACGTCCTCACGTCCCCCAGCTATTTGCTTGAATAAAATATGACTTGTGGTTGCTTCAAAAGCACGTTTTTATACAGCTTTTGCTTTAAGAGCACAGAGCGGCTCCGTACAGAAGGTCACAGTGTGCCCTTATCAGGACCCACATGCCACGCCTGTCGCAGCCCCTCCCCCTTTCTATTTTTTTTATTACGGAAACCGGCGTCTGTCAGGATGGCCGAGCGGTCTAAGGCGCCACGTTCAGGTCGTGGTCTCCCCTGGAGGCGTGGGTTCGAATCCCACTTCTGACATATAATATTTGTTTTCACCAGCTACAACCACTGAAATGCTTTTGTACGGTTACAGTGAGAACATACGTGAAGAAAAAGCAAATAAACACCATTTATCCATAAGGAAAACGAACCACAGCACTCCAAAGCCTGTTCCACCAGTTTGAGCAGCTCAGGTTTCAAGTATAATAATAATAAATAATAATATTACTTATTGCATGCTGAGGTTTCTGTTGTTACATTTGCAGTAAACTGGTGCTATATGAAGAATTTCTGATTGTATTAAGATAATTTTAATAGCTGATCCCTTTCTGCTGGACACCTCTGTCTCTGCGTGTAGAAGTTGTTGTCGACTTATAGTGTGCTGATTAAAAGTAGTAAAAAATATATATTTTTGGATACTTGCACGATTGCATTCCTGGTTAGATGCTAAACAGCATTTTGTTGCATTGTTTTGAACAAGTGTCATGACAATAAAGTTGAATCTAATCTAATAATTGCATAAATGATGTGTAAACTTAAATTACTGACTAGTCCAATATATGTCGATATTGTACAAATACTAATGGCCACTGTATACCAGTGCAGTTGGAGGTAAAGAGGGGATCAGCTGAAACAAGACTGACAAGTGAAGACAGGGAATATGTCGAGACTTGCCCCAGTAAGAGGGGTTTTAACCATGGTGGTAAGGGGTGTTGGTAATATAGTTATAAGTTAAGTTACTTTTGAAAACACAATCACCTAAAAGCGCGATTAAGTGGCTCAAAGTAAACTTAAAGATAACAAATGTAAATAAAGTTCCTATTTGAAGTTTCTACACTGGAATAGAGATCAGCTCCATTACTGTGGGTGTTTAAGATTATATAATAAACTGTACTAACCAGTGGCTATGGTAAAATTTAGTTGCTGTGTTGTAATACATTCTTTGAGATAATGCCAGGGACTGTAATCGTCTCATAAGCTGGATATAGTTAGACCACCACCACCACCACCACCACGTACTAACCCGCCCCCTGCTCGATATTTACAAACACAGCTGTCCCTCTGCCTGCAAGCACAACACAACACTAGCTATCTTTAGTAGGCAGGGTTAAAACGCAGTTTGCTTACTACTATGTTGTGAAGGTAACACGATTGACATTTTATGACATAATATCAAGAAATACTAAGTATAACAATCTCATTCATTTTGCTTTAAGGTCCTGACTACCGGTGAGGAAGAGAAAGGATAGCTACGTGTCACTGGCTGTGGGTTTAGAAACAAGACAGGGCAGGACAAAAAAAGTAAACTTATAAGTCTAAAACACTAATAAATGCACATAAACATTAATCCAAGCTTATATTGTTATTAGCATACTGAAGTTCGTGAATGATTTCGGTTTAAAGGCGCTAAATTAAAGGCGCTAATTTCAGCCTTACCTCTGGAGGTAGATACGGGGTGTTATTGCTGGGTTTGAAGTTACGAGAGAACCGAGCCTTGGACTTCTTGTTGTTCTTAACTCCGGCTTTTCTGGAGGGTACCGAGTAGCCATTTCCCTGTTTAAAGTTCGACGCTTGAGACCCGGAACCGTGTCCATTTCCTGAGCCGAATAAGTCCGATACCCGCTCATCCATCAGCTAACGTTACTTCAAGGACCTAACTTGTTAGCTAGCTTTCCACTACCTTCATAAACTGGTGCCGGCCCGGCCGTATGCGGGTTTGTGTCCGAGTGGAAATGTCTGTTTTGGTATCTTCCACCCCCTCAAATAAAAACAAAGCAGCGACCCCCTCCAACTCTTCAAACCCGAACAATAACAGGACCGTCCGAGCCCGTCGTTTTGACTTTACAGGGTGCCTACGTCACACTGAGGGGCTGTGCTTCATTCTGACACCTGCAGAGCGCGAGTGAGCGGTGCCGTTTGTTCGCTACGTTAAGACTCCCAATAGATATAAACCCCACCCGCCTCGCTGCTCCGGTTCCGTAATCAAACACATCAACGCACCGTTTGCAGGTTTTTGCATCAGACTAAAGAGGAAATTATTACATAACACTAAGGAAAGATGTTTAAAAAGATAATCCCGAAGTTTTTGTTAACCATTTAGACATTTACATTCAATCTGGATTTTATCAAATACACAAAGCAATCTTACATTATTGGGTACAAGCTCTGGCACAGTCCTACTTCAGTAAACTTTCTTGCTGTTTTTGTCAAAACCCATGAAAAAGTTTTAAATTAAAACTTCTTTATGTTATTTAACAAGGCCATACCATGCTGGAGTAATTCAGGTGTGTTATAATAACCTGGAACCCATGTTTATTAATGGGGTGGACTAAAGTAAACATGATGCAATCCACACCAACACCATTGTATATTCACTTCAGCAATAAAGCTATAGTTACTATAATCATTATTTTTTCTGTGCCTGTGCAGTAGAAAGCAAAACTCAACTGTGGATAATTTAAAGGAAACCAAAGCTTTGACAATTTTACTAAAATATCAGAATTTAGAGTCTTGGTTTTGGATTCATAATCTAAACATTGTGGAGGAGCATAACATTAAAGTAAACATAGTGTAATCACAAGCAATCTAAATACACAATCAGCAGTTCCTAGGTTGTAGCTACAAACCAACCAAACCAGGGCAATGGTGCCACCAGGTGTTTGTCTGCAAATATGACACTCACATTGATCCAAACTTTAGGTTTCTCAGAGGACACATCAGGTTGAAAAATACACTTCTTTAAACTTAGAGGTTAAAGAAACCAAAGCTTAGACAATTCTACTGAAAATATGAGCATTTAGAGTCTTGGTTTTGGATACATAATCTTAACATTGTGGAGGAGTGTAACATTCAGGCAAACATGGTGTAATCACAAGTAATCTAAATACACAAACAGCAGTTCCCAGGTTGTAGCTACAAACCAACCAAGCCAGGGCAATGGTGCCACCAGGTGTTTGTCTGAAAATATGACACTCACATTGGTCCAAACTTCAGGTTTCTCAGAGGACACACCAGGTTGAAAAATATACTTCTTTAAACTCAGAGGGACTTAAAATTGACTGTATGGTGATCAATGATTCTCATAAAGATTATTTCCTGGATAAGACTATCTAGATATGACCATGTTTTATTATGTAATATACCAACTTTGAAATCCTGTCTTTTAGACTCCAGCTGTCCAGTGAGTTCATATATATAGCTTTACTTATTTTATTTATTTATTTTATGGCTGTAACTTAAAAAAAGGTAATTTGTTGTTTTTCCTTGGTTATTTAAGCTCAAGCAATGTTGACTAATGTTTTCACACCTTGAACTGAGACATTTTGTCTTTAAACTTGGATTCATTTTGAATATTGCTTTTGTTTTTTTTTTTCACATTGTTGTTGACTTCATGCTTGGTAACATGAAACACCCAAAGTTACAGTCACACAGAGAATCCTAGTACCTGAACACAGTGGCACTATTAAAACTTAAAGACCCTTTGGAGCGAGATGGTGTTTCCGTCCATAAACTTACTAAAAACACGAAGTACACTCAGACTGTGACTTCTTGTTTTCTGCAGAGAAAGAGAGTGAGATTTGAGAAAAGTCAGCCAAATCCCTTGTGGGAAATGAACCGTTCCAGACTTTGGCCTTCCTCAACACTGATTGGTCAGACGACCTCTGATGTAAGGGCTCAGCCCATTCAGTTCGGGCTGGGAGAGGTGTTTGGGGATTTTTGTTGCCTCTAAGTTCTTCTAAAATCCACACTTACTCACAACACTCCTTTGGCTGTGCATCTTTGTTCAAAACACCGCTCTTTCAGTCAGCATGAGATATCCACTGGTGATTCTGCTCTGTGTGGGACTGCTGCACCAGGCAGTCTGGGCCATCCGCATGGATAAACTCGCAGACAACAAGACCTGTGGAGATGCAGAATGTTCATGTAAGTCAGAGAAGCATGACGCAATGAAAGCATTCATGTACTAAAATTATTCTATCAGTCTACTTTTCCATTACATACTTCAGTGTTTCATCTACACTCCTCCTTTTTTCTGTGTGCTATTAGATGTTCTCTCCATGGCCACAGTTTTGGATGACTTCATAGCTCCTGACTGCAGATTCATCAACCTCAGAAGGGGTCAGATGGTCTATGTGTATTCTAAACTCACACCAGAGGAGGGCGCTGGAGTCTTCTGGTCAGGGAGTGTATGTACAAAAAAAACAAAGGATGTGTAACAACTGTGATCATCGAGCTTTCTGGTCTCCTTGAGCAAAATGTCCCAAGAGGCATTTGGTTAAATATTCAGTTTTATTGTATTGGAAATGCGCAAGCATTTAAATGACGTCAAGCTGAGGGAAAAAAATGTTAAACGCAAAGAGCATATTTAATGTGAGCTTATGTTAATTTGTGACAAAGGTCATGTTATTTTCTCTGGCAGGTCTACAGTGAGCGCTACGTGGACCAGATGGGAATTATTGGATACTTCCCTGCAACTGTGGTGAAGGAGACACAGAAGTTTATGGAAGACACAGTGAAGATACCAACAACAGTGAGTTTTAAAACTCAGATTTCTCTATCCTTCAAATGAAAATAATGTTAAGAAAATGTCATTTTTCTTTCTTCTTTTTTGACAGGACACAGACTTCTACTGTGATTAGGGCACAACACATGGATGACTCCTCATGCTTTTAAAGTCTTGCTTTTAGATACTCTGGCAGTTTTTGAGGAGACTATATACCTGGAAAATCTCAGCCTTAAACACCCTTGTTGCTGAGTTACTTCATCCATTTTGTACACAGTGATGATTATTTGAAAAGATATATACTTGCCTTTAAAAATTCCAATTTGATATCTCAGCTCGGCATTTGCAATTTTAATATCTCAACCAGTTTTGAATTGTTAAAGCAGAAGAAAAACAAAGTGACTGTGAAGATCATCTTCAAGTGTGAGATAAAACCAACCATCGTACGATTTCACCTTTTACAGAATTCCTGTCTTTCCAAACTATGTACAGTCAGACTAAATCAATAAATAAAGGGATTAATTCCAACAATGTAAAGCAGTATTACTGGTATCTTGATTGGGGAATCTGATCAATGCAATGACATGTACTTCATGTACTGTAGATTGCTCATATTAATAAATGCTTCACTGCTGCACCAGTGTGGTCTGAAACCATAACTTAGCGGTAGAGGACAGATTAAAAGTGCATATTTAGTGAAATGAAGAGTTTATTTTCATTCTTTTTACAAACACATTAGGAAATGTGCAGGAGTGCATGTAAAAACTGTCCAATCATTGTCAGTATGGTGTGTAGATTATTGTGTACTCAGTAAAGTCGAGTGACACCTTGTTGGCCAATCACAGCATGTTTACCTGAGGACGTCCTTTAAACTAGAGTCTTCTGCTATAATGAGTGACCTGTCGATACAAAAGGTGCATTTCACTTATTTTAATGATTATTTGTGCTGTGTGGTAAAGCTCAAAGCCAACTGTCAGCCGGTCTGGGCCGTGAGAAATCATAAAAGAACGAGGTGTCATTACTGTTTCTCCTCTGTCCCTCTCTGTGTGTAAACCACCAGTATTTACAGGCCTGTGATTTAGAACCAAAGAATGAAGAGCAGCTGCAGATAAACATAGCTTTGTTTTTTGCACTTCTGTGCGGAGTGTGTTTTTAAATTCGTATTGCTGTGGAGAAAAGCTTTAAAAATTCATTTTCTTGTGTCACTTTTCACTCTTCGCAAGCTGTGCCTCCTCTGTGAGATCACTTCATGTTACCCAACTACTACAGCTGGGAGGAGGCCAGCTGTATGGTAACATGTCTAACAGTGGGGGAACTTTTGAATCAGCGAATCAATCATCAACCAAACCTAAGATCAAGTTGCCTTGCCAGTGGGGAGTATGACATCTAAACTAAATATTCTTCATTTTTAGCAGTGGATCGTCAAGATTGTCTAAACAAAACGTAATCATCCCTAACAGTTTCTCAGCTGTCTGAAGAAGCCTCTTACATGACAGCTGCATGCATTGATCTGTGCAACCACAACAGACAGGTCATTTTCATTTGTTTATTTTTGCCCAACCCGGGGCAGTCTCAGAAAGGCTGGATTACCAGTTCAGGAAATAGGACTGTCATGAATTACAATCAATCTCTCGTCACTTTCCCAGCCTGGATCAATACAAACCTGTTTCTGGTGGGGACATCCTCCACAAAATGTCTCTCAGAAAGAACAAACACCGGCGGCATTTTTCATTTCACAGGAGAGGACAGATGGGTGTTTCCTGGAAAGTCAAAAAAATAGAAAAATAGTCAAAGTTAAATAATAATAACATTGAAAATAATATCTAGATGATAATATCTAGATAATAAGATTCTCTTGCAGCAGGAGTCGACAAAGGCCTTTTCCTAACAAATAAAACTCCAAATTCAGCAAGGAAACAAAAGAACTCAAATAACATTGCAAATACTGACAATAGAATTTACAGTCAGTTTGAAATAAACTTTTTACAACCCTAAAAAAAACACAGAAAGTGTTAAAGTCTAATGGCACATCTGATGCAATCACATAAAAGGAAGTCTGAAAGTAATTTTCAAGAAGTCGTACAAACAGCGTCTGTCTGAATCTTTTGGTTATAGGAATAAACTTGCCATCATTCATTACACAAAATAAAAAGAACAAGAAGAACAGGCTGTTCAATCTGATGTTGATTACAAACATCTACCTCTAAAAAGCTCAGATGCAGTCGTGTGTGTGTGTGTATAAGAAGATCTTCACACAGATCACAGCAAGTTACTTCTGTACAAAGTCAATCTTCAGTCAGGCAGCTGTAGTTTTAGGGTGTTACCATGGTGACAGGCTGAGATACAGTGACAGGAGAGATTGATGAAAGTGTGTGTTTGTGTGTTTCCTGTGTGGGAGCTGAAAGGAGCAGCTGCCAAATGCAGACGTTACAGTAGGTGTGTGTTTTTTTCCATCCAGTGTCACACCCACACCTCTCCACCCAGCAGCACAGAATCAACAGCTTCAGGTCTGGTTAGCATGTCAGAGTGACATTTAAGACCCAGGAAATCTTAGCCTTAATAAATATGTTTTTAACAAGGTGAGAAAGCACTGTCTTCTTACTACACAACACACCATGACGTCAAACAAATGTAACTAATTTGAACAATCTGATGTCTTTAATTTCGACTGATTTCCCTCTTAGAAGTGAAGTCATAACAAAAAAGAAAAATCTAATCTAATCTGAAAAACACAATTTCCCAAATAAGAACCTGAATAAACTATAGAGGAGCGAGCACTGCACCGAGGAAAAAAGATATAGATAGATATACTTTATTGATCCCCAACTGGGAAATTCACAAAAAAGGTTATTTGTCAGAAGTGAGATTCGAACCACGACCTGAACGTGGCGCCTTAGACCGCTCAGCCATCCTGACAGATTGGTCCTGTCTGTCTCCTAAAAAATATACAAAAAGGAGACTGAATAGAAATGGGGTTTGAAGAGGGAAAAAAAGTGATTGAATTTGAAAGAAAATTTGACAAGAGGACCGAGGAAGAATGTATTTGATGAAACTGCTCTGTTCTTTTCATGGCCAGACAACAAGAGGCTTTCCTCCCCCTGAAATGAGGTATTTATACTCAGGATGAAACCAGACAGAAAACTTCATTTGTTATCCTCCGAGGTGATGGAAGACTCAGAGCTTTGCCTTCCTTATATGTGACTCAAAGAATGAATAACATCCTCGTGTCTGACTTAATCAGTACTGTCCTTAAAGTGCTTGAATGACACGGTGTGCCAGCACGGATCTTTCTCTGAGGGTGTCAGAAAATGCCAGCTCACTGCTTATTTGGATTTAATCAATCAATCAGTCAGCAAGAATCAATCACAGCTGAAGCCCGAGGATCAGCAGTGTCCTTCTCTCTGGATTAATGTCCCCTGCTTATGAAAAAGCATTTGTCAGAGCAGAGCACATCATGTACATGGTTATTTAAGGACAAAGCAACGGTACAAGTGTTGAGGAAAATGGAGAAAAGTATACATTTAAGGTTAATGAATGACACTGTCAACATTACATATCTTATTCACACTACTGGAAAAAGTAGCATTGTTTCTCTGAGTTCACAGACTTCTTAAACAAACAAAAACTAGAGCTGTCAATTAATTAAAATTTCAAATCATGATTGACTGCATTATTGTCTATAGTTAACTCACAATTAATTGCAAATTATCGCACACTGCAGTGTTGTAAATAGAACATTTAATCAGAAAGCTAACCTTCCAAATGTTGACACCTTTATCCAGTCTGAGGGCTGTTTTAGCTTACCATCCACAACTGCTGAGTATGAGGGTCATATCACAGAAGTATAGACCATGAGATAAAGAATGTGGGTGTGGTTATTGTGCAAAAAATAAATAAATAAATGAAAAATAGTGGGGTTAAAAGAATTTTTCATAAACGCTTTATTAAAGGGATATTCCAGCGTAAAATTAAGTTAGGGCCAACACACTGTAACATCGAGTTAGACACCCCGCTGAAAGATGAATGTTGCCGACCGCTTGCTTCTCTAGTAATACAAACTTTAGCAACGACCGCACGATAGCAATACACTGAGCGACGCGCTCAACCAAAACGCCACTCTATAGCCACAAATAATGCTCAGAACAGCAGCTAACTTCATCAACAGTACATATAGGGTCCCAGCCACAGCACTAGCCACCAAACATCTTTTTAACTTTGCTTAATTTCTTTAGAAAAGAGACTAAACACAACTCACCTGCTCAGTTGAGGTGTGTGTGTGGCTCCTCAGACCGTTGTGTATTGCTATCGTGCCGTTGTTACTACAGTTGGTATAACTAGAGAAGCAAGCGGTCGGCAAAATTAATCTCTCAAGGGGGTGATTTCAACTTCCTTTGACTGGGTAACTTACTTAAACCAACATAAAAGTGGTTTGGCTTCTGACTATTTTTACAAATGCTTGATTGAAGATGACTCCCTGATGTGATGTTTGTTTTTAATTGTTAAGTCAAAGTTAGATTTGCAAAGGGCAAGATGACAATACAGTGACCTTACCATGAAAACTCTGGCCTGACAATAGCTGTATGTCTGTACCCATGGCTTGTTCTTTCCTGAGCCCACACCTGAGTAAACCCCCTTGTTTAAAGAACAACCCTCTCTTCACCTTTCCCATCTTAGAAACAGCCTTCCTTCCATCTCTCTTTTCCCCTCTGTTTTGCCCATCACTGTGGTTACTGTGATTCAGGGGTCACCGTCTTAGTGATTCAGAGAAAAAGCTGCTGTCTGTACAGAGGTGGAAACAGGATCCAGTGGGGAGGGAGAGGGATCATGTGTAAGGGGACCTCCAATCTTGATCCAAGGCACGCTTCATTTAAAGCAGCTGACCATCTTAAATTGGATGATGACGCTCTTGAAGGTTAAAGGTTGTAGAGCTGAAAGAAAAAAGGACAGGGAATGAATGTTACCGTGGAGAAATCAGTCTTTGTCATTAGTCTGTCATTGAAGGGACTACTTTATCACATTAGCAACACATGTAGGACATGATGAATAGGACTATGCCATTAAAGATCAATCATGAGGTTAATTTTAATAAGAAAATGACAATTAATGCCTGCACTTGAGAAGAAACTGTAGTTTTTAACCGATTTAGGCATATCTAATGATCAGACTTCTTAAGTTTGCCTCGCTGCAATGCTTTTTAATTAAAAAAAAACAAAACATCTACAGCGTTATTAATCAGATATTATCCTTGTAGGTCCTTAAAAAGTCAGAAGGTGAGAACAAAGGTCTAGATTTAACTTGAAGAATATATCAAAGAGGCAAAAAAGGTCAGAAATATTGAATCTGAAGGGCTCAGTTGTTTGAAGTTATCGTATGTGATTAAAACTGTTCGAACAGATCAAACCAGAGGGTTGGATTTAGACATGTTTTCAGTGTGACAGTTTTATATTTACGTTGTTACTGTCAACACTTTTTCACATTTTTCTACTGAATTGCAAATTTGTGTCATTGTACACAAAGATGACATTAGGTTTGCAAAAATCAAAACATTTTACCCATAAAATGTCATATTTTTGAAGAAATATATGATTTAAAAGCATCTTTTAAGACATTTTCATTAGTTTGGAAGATAAATGAGTAAAACAAGGTCAAACTATTTGGATTTCATGGTACAGTATAGACAACTGTTAGTCCGTGTGGTCTTAATTGCTGCTCTCATACCTGATAGCACTGGCTGCTTACCATTATTAGGTTGTACTAGTTGTTCCTTGTGCAACAACAACTTGTATAAAAACGATAGATGGGCCTTACTTCACATGAATCAAGCCTTTAGAAAAAGGCCCTTGAGGTTGCTCCTCTCTGCTGTCTTGTCTGCTCACTTCCTCATGAATAATGCATGTGTTTAGGTTACAAATACCTGGAGGTGTTGGAGAATGCTGTCTGCCATACTAGATGCTTACATGCTATGACATTTTCCACATCTCTCCACACGAAGAAAAGACACTTGAATTCCAAGTAGAAGCGTCCTTTGAGTGTTTGCTTATTCAAATCACTGGAAATGACCGGTTGCACTTTCTTCGTTTCCCTTTAATACTCAACTGCAGAATGCCTCTTGGCTCCTATCAGCCGAGATATAATGCTTTAGTCCTTCCTCAGTTTAAATGTTTGCTGATCGGGCTTTTGGTCAGACTGAATTTTTCTGGTTTGCCATCGAAAGGTGAACAGTGATTCAGTCTGACGTATTATTTGTGGAAAGGGAGAAATAACGGGCTATTTTTCCCTTTAGTTCTCTTCAGCCTCTGGAGTTGCACAAATTCTCCCTCAGAAATCTCCGGGGTCCTTTCTTGAAATGTTTTTGCAGTTTTTTTCTTTCTTTTGCACAAGCCTCTGTGCTATGAATAGACTGAGTGTTTGTCATGACAACCAATTACCCATTACAAAAGCAGCGAGGCTAAGTAAGGCAATTAAGTGGTGAAACAAAATCATGTGTAGCAGGATTTAACTGTGTTCCTACTCACAGATGTATGCAGCAAAATGTTCTTGATTAAAGAATTTAGGAACATTTGGTTTTTTAAAGCTTCATTTAGACATCTGTCCATTTCTGATACAGCATAAACACCTGTCTGTAGTGTGATTTGTTTTAATCTAACAGTGGAAAATAAAAGGCAAAGCTGTTTAATGAAGTTAATGAAGCTTTAAAAACTTAAGTAAAGCTCAGACAAATGCAAACTGCCATATGAAATTCAGTGGACACTTGCGGGGAAAGATGGCCTTTTATTAGCCTACTACTTACAAATACACAAAAATGACAAAAATTTAACATTAAAGGGATATTCTGGATGAAAATAGGGTAAGGGTCAAACACATAATAACACCAAGTTAGACACACCGGCGAGAGATGAATGTTGCAGACCGCTTGCTTCTCTAGTTATACCAACTTAAGTCACAACCGCACAATAGCAATACACAGCGGCCTCAGGAGCCACGCGCAAACCTCAACCAAAACACCACTCTATAACCACAAATAATGCTCAGAACAGCACCTAACTTCATCAACAGTACATATAGGGTCTCAGCCATAGTACTAGCCACCAAACATCCTTTTAACTTTGTCTTATTTCTTTAGCAAAGAGACTAAACACAACTCACCAGCTCTCTTCCAGCAGCCAGTTGTTTGAACGGAGACCTCAGACGAGTCCATTACGGACCACAGTAGGGTGACACAGCTCAAGGAAGAACATTTATGATCATTTCTTAATGGAAATGCAATCAGACTGAAACTCTAATGCAGAAGAACTACCGCGTCTGCAGTGCAAAATGATTACTATGATGATTTTTACTTCAAGGAAATGATCAATTATGATCATAAATGTTTTTCCTTGAGCTGCGTCACCCTGCTTCAGTCCGTAATGCTGCTGATGAAAGAGAGCGGGTAAGTTGTGTTTATTCTCTTTGCTCAAGAAATTAGGCAAAGCTAAAAAGATCTTTGGTGACTAGTACTATGTCTGGGACCCTATATGTACTGTTGATAAAGTAAGGTGCTGTTCTGAGCATTATTTGTGGCTATAGAGTGGCGTTTTGGTTGATGTTTGTTTATGGCTCCTTAGACCGTTGTGTATTGCTATCGTGCGGTCGTTACTAAAGTTGGTATAACTAGAGAAGCAAGCGGTCGACAACATTCATCTCTTGACAGGGTGTCTAACTCGGCGTTACGGTGTGTTTGACCCAAACTTAATTTTATGCTGCAATATCCCTTTAAATCATTGTGATTAATAACTGGATTACAGTAAAATAATAATGGTCCTGAGCAGTCATCAATAAAATGTTACTCTTCCTTCATCATTTTTTGCATAGCAACTCTCTCCATCTTAAATGTCAAACGTTGTCCGCTGTGGTTTTTCAAGGTTTCACCCTTATTCTTTCAAGCTCCATATCTCACTCTTGCAGCCATCCAAAGCCTCCATCCAGAGAGTGACATGACTGACAGTGACACAAAAAAATCTGCCGTAATGAAACTTCTCATTACTGAAAAATGGTCATGTATTAACCCAGCCGCTGAATCACAGCAAACAGTGTGGAATAAACAGAGCACATGCACAACATGAGTGGAATTACTGGTTGTATCTCCATTACCATATGTACACTAACATGACAAACAGTGTCAGGATACAGCAGGTCTATAGTATTTCAGAATAAACATCCTGCTTTGTGTAAATCACCTGCCTCTGAGCCACAGCAGGTAGACAGGCAGCCCTGGAGGACATGTTGATGCTTTGAGGAAGCTGCGGGCAGTTAATAGATGAATCCAGGTTTGTTAAGCCTAATGGTCCTTGTATTGATTGGACGGGGTATCCTCGCAAATCGCAGGGGTAGAATGAACAATGAGATTTTCATTGAGGATCTCCAAATGCATTTCAGCTTGAAGGTTTTTTATTGACCCTCCTGGAGCAGCCATTGCTGGGTTTATTTACACACTTTGCTCGCAGCTTATTTTTTACAACTGCATCATGGATCTGGGGGAAGTTCTGCACATCACTCAATGCACAGTTGACTGGTTATAATGAAGTACGCAGCTTTTAATAATTTCCAATATAGTGCGCTTATGGCTCGGAAAGTTGCAAAGACAATAATTAAACCCTGTGCAAATAAATTACCTTTGAAAGATTAAATAAATGAGGCTACACTGAGTAAATGAATCATCACAGGACAGCTAATTAGCAGTGCTGCCTTCACGGTCAGTAGGCAGAGTGGCAGGCTTATCTCTTCGCCGCTGTCACCTGAGTCACAAAGAGACTGTGGCCACCACTAATCCCAGGCTGGATCAAGCCATGCAGGTTCTCTCATACGTGCTAAGAGCCTGATTAAGGGCGTCAAACTCTGTTTTTTTCCCACTAGAGTCACGTCTGCACCTCATGCGTGCACTGTTTATGCACAAAGACCTGACAAGAAGACGCTTCAATTGGAAAAACATGCTCATCCACATACACAATGCACTTGCACACACATAATAGACTGTTATTTTACACAGTGTTTCTCTGCTATCACTCCAACCTCTGTTCACAGTAGCGGGAAATGTTTTCTTTCATTTAATAGTCCTTACTGTCTGTTATCACACTAATTTAGCAGCACTAAGTTAAGGTTGACAATTGGAGAGATTGGTAATTATTATGATCCTCATTTATATGCCGATCATGGTCCTGTAGTGCGATCTCCATGAAGTGAAGAGAAAAAAGAATGGAAAAAAAATAAACAGTTCAGCCTAGCAGCTGCAGGACTGCAAAAGCATTGGCCAATGGGAGACATCCGTCCCGGACAGCTCCTATTGGTCAATCTCCTGCTCCACCTCTCCATCCAATCACCTCGCTGTATTTCATGCACACCATTTGAAGCACGCCTTATGTTGAAATTATGATCGTTACGACTGAACAGCAATTGATTGAACAAAACATTTGGCTTTTTATACACTAAAATTTTTCTGAAGACAGAAAGCAGAGAAACATTAATCCTCTCTTTCACTAATGACCAGCCTAATGTCATTTGCATTTTGTGGATGCTAGAGGATTTCGATATGGAAAATAGAGGTAAATTCGTACTGAGACTGGTTAAAGGTAACGTATTATACAGTATCATAAACTAGCATTTAATCACTCAACCAGAGCAAACCTGTGTAGGCATGTGGATATCTACCTGTAAGGAGGACTGAAGGCTGCTAAATTTGGCTTTTTTCTGATTGTTTTCTAACCTATGGAAAGGTTGGTCAGATCTGTTCAAACAGCAGCTTTATCATCTCTAGTTTAGGCAGATATCAACTGACACACCCACAGCTGAGAAAACGTCAGGACGCCGAGTGCGCTCTTATTATGAATGTTTATTTTCATCCAGATTTATAATTTTATGTTACGATATCTAGAGGCTGTGATTAGGAAGGCACAGATCGAGTGCTTCTGTTTTATAACAAAGCCACGTCTGCTCCACCCTGCATGCCCTATGAAAATATTGTTTGCTCCCTTAATGGACTATGCTCTCTGGCCGTGAGTATATAGGGCAGTACTGGAAAGAGGCTTGAAAACCTCTAAGATACCATTGCCATTAGCTCTAATGTCCTTTTAAAATGGAAAGAGCATCAGAGCCCACACAGAGAGACTGCTGTGTGTGCTCTTTGTGTGTAACAGCTCCTATGTCATCAAGGTCATTTAGCTTGTCCTCTTCCTGCAGTCACATTAGAAATTAACCTTAATCAAAATAGTAATATAGATGTATAGTCATCGGAAGCTTTTCCTCTAAAATAGCAGAGCAGTAGGAGCCAAAACACAAGTTTAATATTTTGATTTATGAGAAAATAAATGTTTGCTTTGAGAATTTCAACAAGTGGCCTCCAGAGCTCATCCATATTACTGAGTTTGATGCTTTGACCCCAGATTTATACAGCAGCATCTCTTATGCTGGGTTCTCAATTAGCATGTTATGTGCCATGTTTAAAATATATCTTCATCTTACAGATTTTAAGGCTGTAAACAAACAGAAACACATGAAAAAAATCAGTTTTCACTCCAGTTTGCATCAGTCATGTTTTCGTGTCCAGACTGAGGTTATGTAGCCCAGCCCGCTTCGTGGCGTTGACCTTCGTCACAAAGTGATTTCCCAGTGAGCCTTAAAAGGTCAGCCTGTCTCATCACACTCCAAAAAAAAAGTCCTACAGTGTCTAAAAGTGCCGCGTCGAGCGTCACAGGCCAGCTGAAGCTGATAATTGCTCAGACATCAGACTGAAGGTGGCTTGGTTTCCTGATGACTAAACGAGCCCGGGAACGGAAATGGGAAAGTTGGCAGTGTGGTGTCGAGGACCAGGTCCAGCTCAGGAGGTGTGATTAGAAAGATTAACTTTGAGGTAATGTTTTCCAGAATCAAAACCGGCAAATGTGTGCAAGGTGTTTGATTCTGGCAGGTTGGGGGGCACTCAGCATGATACATTAGCGATGACAATTAAGCCCCAGCAGTTGTGGCATCAACATAATTTCTGAACACATGCTGGGCTGGAGTCCCTCTCACAGAGTTGATAATCACTCACCCAGAAACTTGCTGTAAACTCTGGAGCACCCACTGATTTCATTTAGCTGATTGCTGTTGTGCTTGAGACAAATCATCCCATTAAGTGACACACAACGGCTGCTGATGTAAAACGGGCTCTGCTCAAAGCTGCGAATTTTCCACCAAATATCTCAAGATTGAAACTTTGTGCAAAGTTTGGACGGTGTCATTAGCATTTATGTTTTAGTATGCATTAAAAATATTCAAAAAGTGTTGATACCAACAAGAATAAAATGACAAGCTTTAATAGAACTAACTCAACTAACCAACTTTTCAAAAAAATATCCCAAACTTTTGTATATTTTAATGGTAAAGTGAAATCATATTTGAAAAAAACTCATCAAAAGTCGATTTGTATACTTTCAGCTGATTGTGAACAACGTCAGAGTAAGTTTGCCTGTTAACCAAGAAAGACTGAACAATTTGTATGCCCCACTCTCTAAATGAAAGTGATTCATCACCGCTGATAATTTGCATGTGCTTTAATTCCCTCCTAGGCGGCGCATTCATTAGGTAACACCGAAAAACTCACCTCCAAATAAATAATTCACAGAGGGGAATAATTATTATGATTATGCATAATCTCTGCTCGCACAGTTGTTTTGCTTTTTCAATTAACTAAATTTAAAACTCGAAATATGCTTTGAATAACAAAGCAGGTGGTTGCTCTGCTGTCTCTGCTGTGTGTGAGTAAATCTTTGAGAAAACTGCATTGCAAGGGCTTTCAATGGAGGATTGTTTTTTTCCAAAATACATAACAATATAGTTTATTCTCTCCCATGTTGACGCTGAGTTTTGCAGGAACCTGGGGGGTTTATATATAATATTTGTGCGAGGATTTATAGACGGAGGCACGCGAGGAAGACATGTTTTTCATCTTCAGAAGGGAACACAATTGCATTGTTCATCTTTCCAGTTGTTGAATAAAACATATGGTAGCTTGGGAAATAACATTTTGACAGGTTGTGTATTTTACTCAGTGCTTTTTACTTTTGAATTAAACAACAGTACTTGTGCTCTGAAGAAAAGGTTTAGTGCTCAGTGAAGAAACCCACCCTGTTCACATTTATCACAATATTTTTGCCCCATACTGGTAAGTTATGTAACCTATCACACAGGGGCGCATCCAGACTTTTTATGACTGGAGTTGCCAAACTGGGGAACTTACTTGCAGGGGTGGTATTGTGCAGATATACAGGAATAAAAAGCATTTGTTTATCTCCTACTTAAAAACAGATGGAAATTACAACAGGGTTCCTACACAAGTATGGAGAGGATGGAAGTAATTTGATCAATTTCTAGGTCTTAAAAAGAATGGTAAATGAAAGATTAAGTATGGAAAAATATTGAGGTTTCCAGACTATTACCACAAAAAAAATATATACTGTTTTCTGAAATAGAAAAGTAGGTATTTCCAAAAATGATTCTAAAAAGTAGGGTATGCAAAAGTATGTGAATTTCAGCTGTGTAGGAACCGTGTTAGAAGCAAGCAGGCAGTAGCAATCCTCTTTCTTGATCTTCAAGGTGCACAAATTGCTCAAGTTCATTCAGGCAGTGTAAGTGGACTGCTGTCCTTGTCCCAGTTTATTGAACTGAATTATTCACAGGAGCGTGTCAACCTCCGCTCTGATAGGTGGCAACATGACCCCTCTCACCTTGTATTACAGTCTGTGGTTGTCACCTGGTTGACATTTTACATGCTGGAGAAACGTGTAAGCAAGAGGCTAACAGGATGTACATTGAATGATTAAAACACTGTCAATTTTTACAGCTTTATACAGTTTTTGTCTTTTATGTCCTTTTTTCATCTATCAAGGTTTTGTTTACTACCTCGCTTCCTAGCAATGCAGCTATGCTATTATACTGGAGAACGTGCAGAACACTTAGGCCAGTGTCAGTCTGACTGAGCCATAAACATGAGAGATAAAATGATCCCCAACTACATAATCCAGGTATGTTAGTCTGACTATACGAAGTTTGATTTAGTGTCATGTAATGCTGCGCCTACACCAAACAATTTTCACAGTCCCAGTCTGAAAACTGAAAGTCTTAAGTTAATCTTGGAGTTCACAGTGTACTCTCGTCATCTCCATCTTTAAGTTTAAGATGGTAATTTGCGCTGTTTTATATCAGTCTTTTCCTAGTCTTGGGTTTGCGATCATATCACAATTTGCAGTGATGTAACACAACCAACAACCAATAGATGAGCTCGAACAAAGGCAGAAAAGGAAACCAGACAGTCAAAACAAGAAGACAGAATGTATGAAGAACTACTGGTGATAAAAAGGAGCGGATAGGGTCGCTGTGGACAGATCAGCCTTCCCTATTTGACATCATCTGCAGGGTTTCCCCTACCCAGGGTATGTATGTGATGCACCCGGCCTGCACCGCGGGCATTAGCGAGTTCCAAGTTGTCGTATGCGAACACACCCCCTTCAAATCACACACCACCACAGATTGATTCCCCCCCCAACGGGAAACACCGAACTGTCAAAAATGCTAAAAGAATCTAGTCGTAGTCTTGTAAATAATGACCCTGCAAGATTCCCAGTCTTTGTAGATTCTCAGTCTGAGACTAGGCTGTGACTAAAAACTCTAAACACTTGTCTTCAGATGTGAGCAAGTGTGAGCTCATTTTCCAGGAGTCTTCTCCAAATCTTCTTCAAGTTCTCTGGTGGATAGCTGGCCTAAGTCAAACTCATGTTTTTACATGTATTTTAAAAGTTGAGTTTCAGATCGATTCTTTTGAACGCTGTGTAAACATTCTGATTTATTCGTAACACGTTCCTCATCTGCCTTGCTGGTGGCTGACTAGTAAGACCACCATCTAGACTTGCAAATACCAAGTTTCAGAGCAGCAAAGACAATTACCATCGAACAACTGCTTTAAAAACTTCTTAGACGAGATGATGAACACCAAAAACTAGCAAAGCCTTCTTTATTCCTATGGCCTTAGTCTCATCATCCAACCATGAGGCTTTTGTTCACTGAACTTACCCGTTAATTTCATGAACAGACATGATAGAGCCTCACTCATGAGAGTAACTTACTGCTTACATTTTGTTCAAGGTTAGCTCAAGGCAAAGAAGAAGTACTGGCAAGAATATCAATACTGTCCATGTTAGCTTGAGCACCACACAGAGAGGAACATCAAAACTTCACAGCAGTGTAGCGCCGGACTTCTGCTGCAAGTTGTTAAAATCTAAATTCCGTGGATTTCTCTATCCTCCCCTGTTCTAGCAGGGGGCATGTTCACAGCGTGTAAACAGCAATATTTATTAAAGATATAAAAGGGTAATGATTTGAATTAATTTACCTTGATGCTGAGTTGTGGTCCATGACAAATGGAGCCTGAGTTTCCACCTGGGCTGGCCTTGCTGTCTGCTACGCCTCGCAGCACATCAAGTCCCAACATAACCTTGTGGATGGTGTTCCTCTTCCCTGGGCTATCTGCTCCTCCAGCTGGCCTGATGGAAGGAATAGATCTGTATGGTTCACCGTTACAGCCCAATCTGCATGTAGAGAAGCTGCAATTATATCTAAGCTGTGAGGCCAGACTCAGACTGACAGAGTTTTTAAATTGTAATGTATTTAAAATAAGTTTACATCAAACCTGTGGAACTTGTGTCAGAATTGAATCTTTCAACCTGTAAAGCTTTGCAGCAGAAAAACATTCACTTGATATGGAAAGTATTTTGAAGTAAAATGTAAAGATAAAAAAACACTGTCAGTAGCAGGTGGATTTATGTTTGAACTTGATAATTTTCCTCTACTTGGACATACACCCACCTCTCCGAATCATGGTTTACTATGGTCACACTCTGACATTATTGAACCAAACATAAAGAATAAATAACTAAGTACAATAATCACACAGACACCATTAAGTTTGGTAAGTTTAAGGCTTACACTATTCAAGTGGAGAAATCATTTTCTCAACATTCTCATACTTCAATGAGACTTACGAGACGAACTAGATTTGACTGAGAGGGGTTTCATCTTTGTCTTCTTCTGTCTTATTATGGTTGAGAGAATTTCATGAGACGAGTTAAAGTAAACCCCTTGGTTATATAGTGAAAAATCCTCTTGGAGAAACTTTTTTGGGGGTCGTCTAGTTTCGAAGATTTGTAGTTGTCCTGCAGTCATGTGGTGTTGAAAAATGTGTTTGTGAACATTTAAGAAACACAGGCAGGGATTTGGAGCCTGACTTGCTGACATGGCGTCATATTTGTCATTAATATGGGGAGAAAACAATGCTTTGTCAATGTCAAGAAACCATTTTCTAATTTATGATGTGGGCCTCAAAGTTTTTATTAAATATAATTTATAAATTCATAAAATCTGGTAGCTGTTTGTCATTGTCAACATCAAGTGATCTTGCCCTGTTAGAAACCCGTTAGTTTGTTAACATCATTAAAGAGTTTAACCTGTTATAATGAGTTAGGTATGTTCACTAAAACAATATTATAGCGTTGATTAGCACTCAGCCCCAATGGAAATTTCAAGTTATGTAAATCTCAAGTTCCTAATTGATAACATAGGGTACGCCAAAGTCAAAGGAGCGACTTCTCAACTCAGGAAACCAGGGGGCACATGAAGGCAGCATCAGCACTAACAGCGAGGACTGTTTTATTTGGGTTTAGCCTTCATTTACAGTCTGACTATTAATTTGAAAAGCAAGAACAGAGTTTGAGGGGAGAAACAACATCTAAGAAGGAATTTTTTGGACATTGTGATGCAGTTATATCTGTTTTAAGACAATATTTAAGTCTACCTTGCCGTTATCACTTATGTCCCATTCCTTCTTTTGTCAACAAAAGACAAAACCATGATAGTTTATACTTTTTTCTAGATAGAACAAGGAAATCAAGTTCCCAAACTCGACCAAAGCAGTAGAAAAACCACACAAAGGACCTGTTCTCGAGCCTGGCTTTACTCTCCTAAAATCAAAGACTACTAATTTTGAATCGATAAACAAAGTGACAGAAAAACTCAAATAAACAGAGAAATACATCTCCTAAGTGTCACTTTATGAGCAGAAGTTAGTATTGATTACATCCTGGCTTTCATAACTGAAACCTGCTCTCATGTCCTATTTCAAGACCACAGTTGAAGCCCGATTGATCGACCTGAAGCTTGTGACACTGAGGTAATGATATGTCATCACTTGTCAACCGTCTGCCAGTTTGAAGACCGGCGTTGTCTGTGGGTTTTGATATCTGTCTACCTGTGAGGGCCGGCAGCTTATCTTGCAGAAGCAGAGGCAGAGGCGGGCAGGAGCTTCCTGTGATACAAAGAGGGAGAGAGAAAGAGAAAGGGATGGAAAGAGAGAGAGAGGACGAATGAAACCATTAGAAGTGACACTATCTGCACTGCGATCAGCACCGATATAGTACCCACAATCCCCTACTCACTCAGACGTGTCCCATCCCACAACGCTGGCTGCCTCTGACAGAGAAGTATTATAGAGAGCTGCCTCTGAAATGACAGCTTAACTACGGGGAGGGAGAAGAAAGATCTCGAGCTTCTGATACATTAATCTAATTGGAGCTGTTGGAGAGTGCGCAGCATTACCCACATTGTTAGAGCGTAACTTCAGGTTTCAAAGTGAAGTTTTCGCTCATTTGCCGCTCCTGCGCAGGTTGGCATCTGAAGAGAGTGTTTCTGAAATCAGCATCTAAATGAGAGCAGAGGGTTGGGATCTCTCTTAAAACATAAACTATTCATAAACTTTGGATATAAACTGCATAAAACATCAGACTACAGCACAAGAGTGGAAAGATCAATACTCTTGTCTGTGGGTGCAAACAAAGAATCCCAGTGTGGATAAAGTGTTGGTGGCAGAGGTTGTGGAGGACTCTGTGTGCACACACTTGATTGTTTTTCTCAGTATCATTGTGTTGCTGGCCACCTAATCTCCTCTGTTTCCACTAAGACTCAGTGCAGAAATACTCACATTCAGTCTGCATCCTCCCCAGCCTGGAGCGGGTATTAAAAATTAAACAGCTATGATGTTCAGCTCCTCCTTCAACACTGCTGCAGATACACATCCATGCCTTTCATCTGTCCTGTTAATGTTATGTCATCATAGTTAAGAACAACTTTTAACATCTATTGCAGTCCTTTAAACGTTTATTGCTATTATTACGGACTGACAGGTTTTGAAGCGAACTATCTTTTAAAGTACAGTAGGAGACAAACTTTGTACTATTTGCACAAAAAGGCAAAAGTCAGTGATATTTCAAGTGTTTTAACATTCCTCCTGTGTTAGCTTTTACTACGCACCCACTATGTTAAGGGTTGGTTTCGACTCGTGTCTTAAATCAGCTGTAAATTACACTGAAAACAATTCTCTGTCATCCAATCTGGTTCTCATCTCTAGGTTACCTTGTTAGGCTTCATTATCCTTTGCTCTAATTATTAGATAATGATCTAACCGGGTCAACAGTGACCCTAACACAACAAGTGTCATAATTTTAATAAAAGCATTTCATAATTCAGTCTATTTTTTTATTATTATTTTGTTGAATTAGAGGTTCCTGACAAAGTCTAAAAGTCTTGATGCAAAAAAGCTCATTTAAGTGGTTCTTTTAAGCATTGAAAAACAAAAACAGGTCTGTGCAGACTCTAACACAGGAGGAGGGTTAAAATTCTCCTCTCTTGAAGCAGTGTGAACATCATTTTCATTTTTAAACATATGTAAAGGCAGAAATCCACACCTAACCAAGAGCCAGGATCCAGATGCAAAACTACAACATAATCCTCAGTATGTTTGTCCTATGTGGGATCAAAATCTGAAGATTGTTGTTGCAGTTTTTTTTAACGCCCTGATATGACAGCCATAACATTATGACCGCCTTTGTGATCCAACACAACAACTCTGTTTTATATTCTACTTCTAAAACAAAAGCAAAAGGAGGACCCAGAAACTTATGAGTTTATCTAAACAAAAGACCGAATCCAGAACAGTGAAAACTTACTTGAAAATGTCCAACAGAAACAAAAAAGACACTAAGAAAACCATGAGGACATGATGCAGGATAGACGACGATCTGACATGGACAATGAACCAACCGCAAAGGAGGGAAGACAGTTGCTGTATTTGAAGTTGCCCATTATACACTGATTTGCCCAAAATGGAGTATGCAGTTAGATTCAGAATAATCTAATTTTTGAGCTGCACCTGTGTATTGTGAACTTAGGTCATGCACGGTAATGTGTGAGTTCACCTCCCATAATAGGATTTATAAAACTGTATAAAGTGTGTCTGGCAGCAAAGATGAAATGCCACAAAAAGTGAAATCTCTGAGGCCAAACTCACAAGAAATGCTGGAACGCTGCCTCAGAGGTGCAAGATGAATCAGCACAGAAGGCAAGGACTACTGAGACTGAAGGTGAGTAGTTTTCCAGCGCTTGGGAGTCAAGACAGCTCGACACAGGTGAGAGACATAAGGGCAGAAAAGGAAGCACCTGAGATGAGACACAAGGTCATATTCAGGAAATTCAAGAAACACAAGATGAGAAATATGAAGGTGACAGCAGCAGGAAAACTCAGTCTTTCATCTGTGAAAATTTTCATACTTCCTTTTAAATTTTTCCATTTCAAGAAAGATCCTTTCTCAAATATCACTTCTTCACAACAGACATACTCCTAATCTAATCATTTTACCTATGAACATTACATGATAGCAAAGGGATGGATGACAACCTCCAGCTCCAGATATTACAAAACTGTAATTGAATCAATGCTCTCCTCAGTATGTGCTAAATAAAATTATATGTATATCTGAAACTTTATGCAGTTATCTGATATTTCCCTGGATGCCTTTAGCGTGATTTAGTGATTGAAATATTACAAAATAAAGTTGTACTATCTTTTCATTGAAGGCCACAAGACTGAAAATTCACCTTGTGTTCATGATTATCTTGCTGCATTGCTGTTTTCAGGGCCAACAGTGAATTTTTAAACTAAAATCTCATCATTTTGGTTAAAAAAATTTTTTTTAAAAAAGAACAGTATTTTCCCTCTGATTAAAAAATGATTGATGCAAAATAAAGATTACCGGGGTCCTTTCAATATGCACCTCACTTATCTTTAATTTGATGGCTGTGCTTGCTTCCTGTGCATCAGGGCTACGGATTAATTGCAAATTATATACACATAAACATGACTGATTTTATATTTCTGACAGTGAAGATGATTTATCACGGTGTTTATACAGTTTTCTTGGCGGAAATGGGCTGAAAATATGCTAAAGAAACATAAAGGAATCAAAACCAAACAAAAATGTTCTGCAAATTAAAAATGTGCTGCAAAAAGCTCAGACAAAATGCAGTAAAAGTCAGTGCATGACAAAAATGCGGGATAACACGAAGGATGTGTGATGGGTTCAGCTGCAAAAATGTTGGTGTAAACATTTATATACTCACAGGAGTGTCATAGAGTTGAAGTGTTACCTCACACAGCAGCAGAAGCAGCTTCACGAAAACGCCCACCCCTTTTTTTTTAAAACATCAACCAACAGGGAAAACAACCCTCAAAGCAAAGGATGCTGCAGTTGTCTTTGCAGGTTTCCCAGACAAACATGATAAAGAGTGTGAAATGAATTGCAAATCAGCAGCCAAAACAGGAGTCACGACTGAGAACTCATCTGTGAAGAATGATGTGCAGATAGCGTAGGGAAGGACAGTGACTACCCGAGCTAAATAAATAATCCTTGTGCTGCAGAGTAGCTGGAGTGTGGGTGGAGGTCTGCAGGGGGCATGGAAACAGTGATTAGTAAAGCGAATCCACTTATAGAAAATCTACCTTCATTATTTCTCTGGACTTGTGTGATAAATGATCCATGTGCTGTTTGTTCCCATGTTACCACATCTCTCAAATATAATTATCTTACAGTGGCTGCTGCATTTGGTAGAGTGGCATTATACTGAGAGATTAGCATCTCTTAAACCCGTGCATAATGGAGATGAATACTTAAAATGTAAAACACAGCTCATAAAATATGTATGTACATATCTACAATGCTTTTCTTACTCTCTTTATTTTTTTACTGAAAAAGTGAGATAACTTACTTGTAGGAGAGCAGACTGTGAAGGAAATCTTTTTCTAATATCTAAATTAAATATTTTATCAAACTTCAGTAAGTGAAATAAGTAGGAATATGTTTTTGAGCCGCTGTTTCACACCATCCTATTGAAATCACAGGATACTTAAAGCAACTGTTTAATACTATTCTCATTAATTTACCACAGGGTGTAACTGTATAAACATGATTTCAGTTGGCTAAAACCCATAACAACAATGTTTAACATCTTAACATGTGTGTTTTTTTTTTATTCTACTCCGACTGGAAGCGGTCATGTAAACCTCGTGATACATTGATGGTTAAAAGACCTTGAATTCAAGCTCCTATAAGGAACTTTAGGTCTGTGTCAACTTTGGCGCCCCCTGTGGACAGAGTAGACTTACCCCCAATTTCCACCGCATCCAGAACGGCTACAAAAAGGCTGTATCCGCCAATTGCAGCTAATCGTAACCATTCAAGTTAATGTGTCAAGTTCCACCCGCTTCCACGCCTGCATGCTGGATAAATTCAGCACACACATTATATATTACAGTGTAAAAACAGCCATTCTTGCCACTTATAGTCTCTATTGTTTTTGTGTATCATAAAAGAAGCATTAACAGAAATGTCAATGTATTTCACTAAAAATCAAAAAACTACTCACAGAAGCTTTAAGACAAACTCTCCAGCTGCAATAATTAAGCAGGATAGACTCACTAACAAAATAAAACTACAATTGGATGGTAAAATTTGTGTTCAAAATTTTGATGTTGTGCTTTTATTTATTTATTTTTGTAGTTGCTGTTTATCATCGAATCATTTATTTTCTTTGAGAGTCTTGAACTGAATCAAATCTTTAATCATTTCTTGCAAAATCACCTGACATCCTCAAACACAAATGATAAACCTGGAGAGGCAAAAACCGTAGACTGTATATAGAATATATGTATATAGTATTTATAGTCTATGGCAAAAACCCTCCTCAAATCAAAAGTGAGAATTTTTCGACATTTAAAAACTTTGCCGTTCAACAAATACTACCACAGATTACTTCTTCATATTTTACCCTCTTGCTCTCCATTTTCTAACATCACCCTCTCCTCAGTCCACAGCAGCCCTGTATGTCATTTACGTAGTGTGTAGCAGCAGGGAGGAAGGAGGAGCAGAGCATGCAGGGGAGCTGGAGTCCTTTAATGAGCTGCCTTTGTAAAAGCAGCCTCTTTTCTGCACAGCTTCCTTCTTACAACCTGCTGTTCACATCCAAACGACCAATTATAGTGTGATGGGACTGTCCCTACATTCCATGACATTAGGGGGGTCAGGGAAGTCAGAATAGAGGTATGGATGTCAAGTCTTTAAGAGGTACTAGGTAGGGCCGGGTGATATGGGAAAAAGTTTATCTATATATATATTTTTTCATATCAGTCAATATCGATATATATCATGATATAAAAACTGAATTTCAACAGTGCTTATTGGTAGCATGCCTTTTGCAATACAATCAGCTACTGCATCTGTGAAGTCTTTTTGTCTCGCCATGGGCTCCTTGCTCCACTCGGGATTTGTAAACTTTTGCATTGCGCGTGCTATTTCGTCAACGAAAACAACACAGCTGAATTTATGTTTAGCGTTTGACTGACGAAATGCTCATGAATTTTGCAACTCTGTTCGCTGTCCATCACTTACGTTTTCGTCTCGTCACATTTTAGTCATCTAAGATTTAAGTTTAGCTCGTCAACATCACGTCTTTGTCATGGAAAAAAAGGTGCGTTGACGAAATATTTTCATCAACAAAAACATCACTGCCTCCTTGCTGTGTGAAGCCAATCCGAGCACAGCACCCTCTGGTGACGGGCTGCAGTATAGGTCATAAATCCCGCCTACGCCAACAAAGCTTATGGAGCTGTGAACAAAGTTTAGAAATTTATTACACAAAATATAAAATGTTCTCCCCCCTTCTTGCGACGTTGACATGTAGTTACAGTAAGACTGGTTTGTGCTCAAGTCCTCTTTTTTCTGTGCAGCTCTGTTTCGAAAAGTTATTAGGGGGTTCATGTTTTCTATGATTGACACCTGATACAACCTATTGGCCATCAGGGATTGCGTAACTCACCCGGGATACACTGTTTGAGCCGAGCGTCATCACAGCGACTCTCAGTGACTCTCTCACTGAATGCGTACAATGCTACTGCACAATGCTCGGAAATACCAAGAGCTTTTTGGCTTCAAATCTGTATACAGGCGGGAGGCGGAACCAAGTTGTCCATAGTATATTCAGTCTATGATAGTCTACCAAAACATGGCAGAATGCCGACTATTGAGAATCATATTGACCATGTTTTATATCGATATCAAGGGAAATTAATTTTCGTTATCGTTTTACCGCCCAGCTTTAGAACTAGGATATATTGTAGAGAGGAATTTTCTGTGATAATAAATAAAAAAGTGGATCTGTCCAGAGGTCAGCTTGGACTTACTATGTCGCTCTGATCTTTTATCTGGAAGTTGTATGATTGTTTTCATTCTTACTAGATCACAATCAATAACATTTCTCTAAACCCTGAGGCATGAAGAGGAGGATTTCTCCAAGGTGCTGAAAAGTGTCCCCGTGCTCATCCGGGGGAGGGTGGAAAAAAAAAAAACCCGGAACACACCCGCCTGAGCCCATTGGTACAACGTCACGCGCAGAAAGTACCCGAGCGAGTAAGGTAAATGAATTAGAGAGGAGAGGAGGAGGGGGATGAGGAGGAGAGATAGAAAGCTGAGGATGCAGCTTTGGTCCACAACACACATCATCTTCATCACTCGAACCACACAGCAGGAGAAGCTACAGCTCGGATAAAGCGCTACAACTTCCAGTTATCGACGAGGAGATGCTTTGATTCTACCCCCTTTACATCCTCCACCTCCTCCTCTTCCTCCTCCCATCTCAACAGAGGAGCATCCCGCACACAGATTCCACTCCGACGGTGCAAGCAGGCAGGCAGGCAGGCAGGCAGGCAAAGAGGCGGGTTGAAACAAGCCTGACACGATGCGTGGATCTCCCCGTCATGGGACAGCCGTGGGATTATTAGTGCTGCTGAACGCGCTGCTGCTGCTGCTGCTCGCGACGCAGGCTGCAGAAGGAGTCTTAACGGACCATGTTCTGGTTCAGCTGCACGAGGACGCACAGGATGAGGCGCACCAACTTGCAACACAACATGGGTTCCAGAGCGCCCGAAAGGTAGGGATGCTCGGGGTATGGTGTGCAGAATTTCACGTGCTGAAATGTGCTTTTCTGCTAAGGAAAACAAACTTAGACGCACTATTTATCATTTATACTCACTTTAGCGTGTTAATGTTATTGTAAAAGAAACACAAGCAGGTTTGTGAAGGTTTACAACCTCAAAAGCTAGTAAAATGTACGCTGAATAAGACACATTAGGGTTTAAAACAAACATGCTTAATTCATTGTTTTCATTAGTTTGACTTCATTAGACTTTGCCTTAATTTGATGACGTCATCTTGCTCATATGTAGGTCCCGGTTTGTAGGTTGCCCCCCATAGGACCTGCATGGCCTTTATGGATTCAAACCTCTGCAAGGATTATTGAAATAATTATAACTACAAATTCAAGTTTTCGATAACATATTGGAGCTTTTATGATTTAGGCGGAATTCCCCTTTAAAAAAAAAAAAGCCAAAGCTGTTTCAGTAGGGGTTCCTCTCACAATGTTGACTCTTTAGGCTCCTACTTTTTGATCCTCCAGTTCCATCAAATGATGCCAAAATGTCTACTTTTAAAAGCTGTGTTATTTAAAGTAGGTTTGCAAAAAAGGAAAAGCTCATTTTAATAAACATATGTGCCATTATCTCCCACAGACAGGTTATAATAAATGCAGGATGTTGACATATGTGGCCTTTCCCTCAAGACATGGCATTTAACTAACCTGAGTCCATTTATTCTATTAAATAGCCTGACAAATGCTGCACACATCTCGGCGTGTCAAAAGAATATAAGCAATTTGTGGCAGACAATTGGAAATAATTCGCTGACACGGTGTGTGTGTGTGTGTGTGTGTGTGTGTGTGTGTTGTCACATGTCAAAATAAATGTGTGTAGCTGGTGAAGCGTAGCAGAGGTGCTGCTCTGAATGAGGATTTACCTCCACAACAAGCACATCAAAATAATCCCAGTTCAATCTGTAACTCGTCATGAGGTGATGTCTGTGTGGTACCCGGCTCTGTGATTGCTCGACCGCCAGGAACTAGACCCCCTCTCCTCCCCCACCCCCTCCCAAACATCTTGTATCTCCCTGCCTCCTAGGTTATGTAATCGGCAGCTATATTTGTCTTAATGGGATATGCACCATTAAACAATGTCTGTGCCGTCTGAATTATCTTCTATTGTTGTGTAATTAACAAGACCGGGACACAGAATCAGGACCTACTTGCAAATGAGAGCACACAGAGGGATAAAAGAGAAAGACAGAGATCTTTGATCTGCAAACATCCTCTCATAACAGAGCATTCTGTATTTTTGTTTGCTTTCTTATTAGCATCATACATGATCTATTATTCTGGCATCAAGGCTAAAGAGCAATTCGTGATAAGACTAATCCTCATGCTTTCATAATTTTGTTTTCTCATTGGATGTGACAGGCGCAGCAGAAAGCCTTTATTCTGAGGATTGACCTGTCCCCTTGCTGTTACTAAAGCATAAGGGGGTCTTTAATCTGAGCGCAGTGCCAGAGGGAAAGCTCTCGATGATGCATCTCATTTCCCTGCCCTGCTGATTTATTATGGTTGAACCCAGCACTGTTCTCCAGAGCCTTAAAATAGAGCCTCATTCAAAGCTATTGAATCAGCCCCCTTGTTCCCCACCTGGAGGAGAACCCACCCACCTTCTCCTCCATTTCTTATCTATTGTGTTGTTTTGTATTTGCGAGTCTCACACTTTCTGATTGCAGCCACTGTGTTTGTTCTCATCACTGCTTCTGCTCCAGATTCATCCATCCTCCTCTTGTTTTTTCTTTTCTTTTTTTTTTTTCCCTGCACAGCTTCCCTTCGGAGAGGGGCTCTTTCACTTCTACCCTCAGGACACTTCAAAGAGACGGAGCAAACGCGGCGCCCGCAGCAGACAGCAGCTCCAAAAAGACCGCAGGGTAAGCACGCACAATAGAGAGAAGCACAGTGAGAAAATCACACCGCGTGTCACCTGCACGCAGGAAGTGAGAGAAGCACAGATCCACCTTCAGTTAGCACGACAACCCTTATTTTGAGGCTTGTTTCCACTCTGAACAAATTGCAGAAACAGGGCTTTGAAATTGCACAAAGAAAGATGGATAAATTTTTGTTTGCAAATTGACTGATCTGCAGAAAACATCCAAGAAACATCTAGGAATTACACAGAGGAATAAAATAAACAAAAACAGGAGACACAACATAATAAAATATGACAGAAGAACAACCACCGAGGTTTTTCTAGGTTTTCATTTACCTGCAACTACAATAGCAACATAAAAGTCTATTGTTTGTTCTCCATCTGCGGTGGGCGGCTTCATTATCTGTGCAGTCCTTGTGACTCAGTGTCTAGAAGCTCCCAGGATTGAAGGCAAATGTCTGCAAACATACATTAAAACAGAAATGATAATAGCTTTTCATACTGAGGTTGATGCACATTAATCTCATTCAGGAGCTAGACCGTACACAGTGTGAGCAATTTCTGTAATTTGAAAATGTTAGGGTGTGGAAAAACGATGTCAGCAGCACTGGTCCTTGGTCTGGGTCTTGTGATTTTTAGATTTTCATTACAGCAGCTGTCACTGTGAGCAGTGGCTGGTAACATAGTGGGAATTTTCAACAGGAAATTATTTGCTGAAAAAGATCATAAATAAACCTAATATTGGAAAAGATCCCAAAGCCTGAAGGATGATAACCATATTTTAATTTTGCAAACACTAACAGGGGAAGGGTGGTTCCCCATTATTGATAAGAAAGGCAAATGTATACTTAGAGAATTCAGTGGTGAGTTACATTTATTATCAGTGATGAGACTGGTTCATTCGTCTAGCTGATTTTTGCACAGGTGTTCAGGTTCTATTGTTTGTATTAAACAAAAAAAAGCGAAGTTGATTTTCTGCACTCACCCAGAGGAGGCTTTGTTTCGAGCTCTGCTATTTGTCTATGGTAATGAGAAGTTAGTTAGCAGGCAGGAGGACACTGTCTTTTTACACCATGTTTTGTACTTGTGGCTGATATTGGAGCTAAAAGATGCACCTTTTCTATTTAAGTTTACTTTGTTAAAGAGCAAAACAACTATGAACATTTATCATTTTTGCTTTTGCATGAATGCTTCACTGCTCATCGAGGAAAAACAGAGAGCACACATCATTACTTGTTGATTGATCGTATGTTGATTGGTCCATTGCTAAACAGATAGATTAATTCATCGATATCACATGATTAAAACCCAACAGTCTACTTTGTCTTCAAACAGAACAATGTCGCTTTAAGCTGAGCTCTGTCTGTAGCTATGTGTCCACCTCTTTAGGAGCGAGTGAACGTAGAGGTCTTGCAGCAGACGATCAGCTAACCCCTCTAATTGTGCTTGTGAGAGGTGCTGATGAAAATAAATGCAAGCCTTTCCAGTGAGCTAATGCCGTTGATGGAAGAGAGACAGCGAGGACATGGGCAGGTCTAAACGTTCCAGATGCTGGATTTTAATCAGATGCTTGACATGCTCATATGCCACACTGCAGATATTGATTTCTGCGCATTGCAGGAATAGATGAGGTCAGCCGGTATGATTTAATGCTGCCTGTTTGTCATTCTGAGGTTTATCCTTACATCTGAATGTTGTGTGGTGGATGCATGTCAGTCTTTAATCAACAGTTTCATCAAAGAAGGAAATCTGATGGTACGGTGTGGTGCAGAGATTTGGGATGGTGAGGCACAACTGGTTAAAACATGCCAACCTGAGGATTTCAATTGGTGACATTTAAATTCCATTTGACAAATATTGCTTTGGACTTGCCAACTGAGCTGTGTGGGAATGGTTTAAGGTGGAATATGGCATTCAAAAGCAGATGTGTTGTTTGGTCCTTAATGCCTGATTAATCTTCAGACCTTGATTGTGCAATGATCGTAATAACACTGGAAGCACTGGAACAGTACTATATTGGTATAAAAGTGGATTGGTACACATGTAGATGGACACACAGGTGAAAAAGTGTATGAATGGGTACATATATAGTTATGTGTATAGTTTACAATATACATGAGAACATGTAGAGATGGGTTATACTGTTTATGGTTGCCTAAATAGATGGGTACACAAGTAGAATACTGTGAATAGCTCTATAGATGGGCTGTATTAGATTTCCACCTCACCGTTATTGTGGCTGTAAATGATCATGATAGCAATATTGTCATAATATTTATGGAAAGCTTCAGATTCAAAAACACACAGTAAATAAACATTATAGTGAAGTGAAGCAAAATGATACTTTAAATAGGCTCATAAATATTACAAGTCCATGAATTTTGATTGATATGCTTTTATTTTGATAGTTATTATTTATTCATTTATTATTTTAAAGTGTAAGCTACTTACGGTAGATCATAAATGAAGAAAGTGAATAAAACAATTAAAAGAACGCTCAGAGAGTACACATGTTAAATGAATTAGTAACTTGAAGAGGCACAAGCTCTGATGTTGTATTTGGATTTACAAAAAGACATCATGTAATTTCAGTCTTTAACCGTGCCTAATCATCTCTTAGAGAGTTTTTTTTAAGCTAGGTATTCTGCTGGCGCCTTTTTATCTCTCCTGCTTTTTATGTAGTGGGGCAACCAGTTCAAAGCACCTCAGCTATGACCTCATGGTATCCCCTTTGCTTTTTTTAGCACAACATCAATAGTTAATATTCTCATAAAGACAGTTACCATGAATACTGGTAGATTGCAACAGCCCTGATACATAAATAGATATATATGTACATAGATGGGTTCATATTTGTAGATTGGTACATCCTGAGTAGATAGACGACTGTAGACTGGTACATAGATTGGCTTCATACTGTAGGTTTGTCTAGCTGCTACATGGACAAGGACGTATACTGCATATAGAAAGACAGCTATATATAGATGTGTACATTGTTGTGTACATTGACAGTTACACAGATGGATAGGTACACAGCTAGTTTCAGAGTTGATGTGTATAAAGGTAGATGGCTGATGCTAAAATAGGAACTAATGTCGATACAGTAGCAGCCTAAAACACAGCTCAGGAAAAAATAGGATACCAGCAAATGTACTCTTTCTATTTTCAAGGAAATATATAACAAGAAAGCAAATTCAACAATAATCAATTTACAAACAATAAAATCATAAAATGCAATAAAATATATAGAGTTACTATGCAGAGAGGTCCCTCAGGCCTTTTCCTTTGTCAGACTGAATTACAGGAGCATGTTGACCCACTTCTGACTCGACCACATCTTTCTGCTTTAACTCCACATCTTCCTCAATGCCTACTTATCCTTGTCCTTCATTATACGTCTCATGTCACACAATGATTTTATATGAGACATCTATTCATCCACACATCCAGGCCTTCACCATCTCAAATCAGCCGTGGGTCCTTCCTTTTATCTGACACGACACGATACACTCAAGTTCAGCTTAAGACGCACGAGGAAGTGAATTAAACAATAGTGGAAAATGAAATGAAAGCTTCATGAATGAGCAGCGTCCCTTGACCCCGAAGACACATGTCTGGGAAAGCCAGCAGGGAAATGAGGGTTGGTTAGAGAGGAGACACAGAGACAGAAGCATGGCTCCCTGATTTGAAGTGAAGTGAAGCGTTGAAAGCTGCGAGCAGGCAGCGAGCAAAAAAAGGCAGAGAGTGATGGTGGTGCACGGGCACTGTTTGATGTTGTGAGTGGGCAGTATGACATGCCGTCTCAGGGGAAATACCAGCTCTCCTGCCAAGTGATGGAATAAATTGATGATGGATGGAGAAGAGGGGGAAATGGAGGGATAATGTGGAGAGAGTGTCGGTGGTTTCCCTTTTGAATGAGGCCAACTCCAAAAGAAAAGAAACAGCCAAAAGTTCTTTCAATAGACGGAAGATAAACATACAAATAAAGTGATTTATTTTGTTGGGACTGACTTTCCTTTCAAAGGACTCCCTGATGTGTTGATTTACAACGTGTGTGTGCCGTCTGATTGCTTGGAGTGTGCCATAAAAGAAAGATGTGGATGAATAGGCTCTGGCCCTTTTAAAAGGACATCTTAAGTGCTTCTCCTCTCGCTTATCTGGCGGTAAACAGCGCTGGACAATGCCTGTTTCTCTCAGTCACTCTAAAGTGGGTGTGCTGAGGGTAAGCACAAGAGGAACATTGAGCCAGAGGGACTCATTGTGAAAAACGCATTGTTTTTATCGATACAGGTATACAAATTCAGTCATTGCATTGCAGTGTTGCATGATTTTGTACTTGAATTGCATTATTTGTGAAGAAATCTTGGTCTGATGTTGGCCTGTGACCACTTTTTTTTTTCCTGAACCGTCATGGGATCTTGGAGAGGAGAATGTGTTGGCTGTATATGCACAAGGCAAATGTTAAGGCCGTCACAAGGATTGAAACTATAGAGACTGACGTGTTATTTTATTTATAAACCTGGTGAATATGTGACATTATTACCAAGGGGGCTTGGCCATGAAACTGGCATATATTGCTTATGTGAACATTATTACAAATAAAGATTTTCCAGTTAAATCCACAGTCCCTTACTGCAAATTGCTGGCTGCAGTGAAAGCCCTGAAAAGTTGTCCAGTCAGCTAAATCTCACCAGACTATAGCTGATCGGTTCAGAGATCAGGCTTTCTTTAACTTTATTGATTTCACTTCAGTTTCAACTTTGCTAATCTCAAGTGTAAAACACTTAGATGGATTGAGGTTGTCAGGTAAATGTTAAAAGAAATATAAGTGCAATGGTTATGACAAAGGGGAGCGTTTGCAATTTAAGTACCTCATCAGTTTATCACAGGGCTCGACAGTGTGACCGTTTCACTCGCATTTGCGACTAAAAATAGATGTGTGCTAATCGTAAAATGTATTTAGGACCACATGTGCACATTAAAAAAAATCGACAAATGTTTTTTCATATTAATACCGCGGTGAAGTTCGTTTTAGGTTGGTTATTCAATGGACATTCACTGCGGATCTACCGGTGTCTTCTCACTCTTCATAACCGGGAATGGCAACAGCTACGCAGTTAAATCTACTCCCTCACTGTCAACGTCAGGTCTTGAATAAGGAACCGTCAATAAATTACCAGTTGATGTTCTCAAAAAAGGCTGTTTTCCTTTAATAGCCTCCATGTCATGTGACCAGTTGACTTAAAATAGATTTCAAATAACAGTACTAAGGTTGGACAAAAAGAGACACACCTCTTTATTTTCCTGATTTGTCCTCTAAAAAATGTTTCTGTTAAATTTAAAGGCAAATTTTGAACATTTTCTTCAATAGCTTCCATGTCACATGAGCAACTGACCTAAAATTTATTTCAGATAATAGTACTTATCTCGACCAATAAGACAAACATTATTTGATTGATTTTCATTGTGCCCCTAAAGTTCTTTGTGTGCTCCTAACTTTTTCACAAGGAGCACATGTATCCACTTGATTTCTGATTGGTACAATTATTAAAAAAAATGTAAGACAGAAGGATACATAGATCTACTGCCAACATGATGTTATTGTGAGCGGCCACTTTAAATGTTGTTGACAAAAGGAGCTGTTGGGGGCGTCATTATCTCCCGTCTTTTGGTTAAAAGATGCTCTAATGTTTCTAATTGAGATGATAAAAGGCACAATGACGCATCTTTCCGCTGCAATTTAAAACTTGAAAAAGCTGTCATGGTGGCTGATGCTTGAATATTTAGTTTGGGACTTTCCTAAGCTATAATTTACTTCAGCCCATGCCTTTGTCCGAACTGTTTCTAGGCCACAAAAGTGAAGAAAGTTTTTTAAAAAAGGGCCTAAACAGTCATTAAAGTCAGGGACCTTGAGATTTTGTGACACGCAGATTGTTGGTGGCACCTTTTCAAATTAAGACTTTCATTTCAGGCGTAGTTTTGGGAGACTCCAAAGCGGTTTGTGTTGTTTTTATTTTCCTTTTTGGTAAAGTCAGAGCAGTTTAAGAACAGCTTTAACAGTATACAGAGACTACAGTCAGATTCTTTGAGATCTGGGTAAAAAGCAGACTGTTGGGACTGCTGTCCTACAAAATAAGACTGGGTTAAAGTTTTTCCAGATCCTTGTGATATAAAAGTCTCACCCATTATTTTGCTTCTCAGGTCAAATCGCTTTAATTGCTATTTTCAATTAAAAAACTGACTAGACAGGCTCTCATGTTTCTCTCATGACGACAGTATGTTCAGTATTGTTGGGAGTTTGCGTTTTAATTTCTTTTGTATTTGCAGCAGAAATGAAAACACAACACTATTGTCATCGGCACTCGCTCATTTCAGCACCATCTGCTTGCTAATCAAGCACCTGAATTTCATCTAAGACTTTAACCCCGTCGATTCAACTCTCTGCTCCGTGTTTTCCCCCCGTGTTCAGCAAATGCGTTTGTGGCTGTAAGCATTCAAAACACAGCTGTGCATCTGCTTGTTCAGAATGACACAAAGACTCACAAGCATACTGTATATACGAGCATAATTGGAGTTTTTTTCTTTTTTTATAATGTTCTCAGAGGGAGACAAAAACTCCATCTCTTGTGTGGCAGGTGAGTTTGTATGCTCAGGCTCCAGCTGCAGCCGCTCTGATCGAGGGTAAAGAAAAGACCGTCCCCTTTGATTTACATGATGTTCTGTTTTTATGGTAACAGCAGAGCACAGCTGGGTTTGCTGATTCCTGATACAACAGAATAAAGCAAGCCTGACATTGTAAAGACAGTCCTATTTCTCATTTAACTTGTGCACCTGGTTTAATCTCATCTGTGTATGATCCTTACAGAAAACCATAACCATGAATGAATATTCCTTTCTCTCTCTTTAGGTAAAGAACGTCTTTGAGCAGGAAGGATTCGATCGTCAGAAGCGCGGCTACAGAAATATCAACGATATCGAAGTCAACATGAGCGACCCTTTATTCACCAAACAGTGGTATCTGGTGAGTAATCATCCAAGCAGCCTTCTGCATGCCGTCGTGACCTTCAGAACCAGTTCACATTTTCCACCCTAATTACTTTGAGGCTCAACATCTTCCTCTCTACTTTCTGAATCAACAATGTTATTCAATCTTTAATTAACCCAACCAGGACTGTCTCATCGCTGCATTCATGCCACCTGGTTTCCTCCTCTTCTGTTTACTCTGACTTTTACGTTGCGGCTAGTTTTGCCGTCATTCATCTTTCTCATCAGATGAATGCTGCTGCTGACATTTGCCTCCCCTTCTCCCCACCTTCACTTCTCCTCCCCACATATCCTCTGTGTGGACTGTTTTCACTAATCACGGCTCACCTGGGTGCCATGAGTCACGGATGTTCTCCATATTGTTTGGCTGATTAGATTAACACAGGCCAAGCAGACGGGACCCCGGGGTTGGATCTTAATGTGGCTGAAGCTTGGCAACTGGGCTACACGGGGAAAGGAGTTACCATCGCAATCATGGACGATGGTAAGCTTAATGTGTTTGTTTTTTACCCCTGAGTCTTTTGAAAGCACTTAATTATCCCTGATTCATTCATCAGACTAACTTGATTAATAAATCTATTCAAATCTTTCTAATTAACAATCAAAAGTAAAGTGAAAAATGTTTACAAAGTAAGAGCAAAAAGCATTTATTTGCTCTCTTGTTAAGGTAACTCACTGCATAAGAATCAATACACAAGATTAGATTTTCCATAAGCTGTAGCTGTATCTCACTTTGAAAAACATGCTCTTTTCTTTCTGTTTTATTTCCTGTTGCACACTGTTGAAATATCTGGAAATTTTCAGGACAGCAGGCCAAATTGCCCCAAGTTTCTTTCATGTGTCACAGCATGTTTTCGCAGAGGGTTAAGGTGTCTCAAAAGTCGGGAGGTTACGTTTTAAAGAAGCACTCATATTCGTTCTGCTATGTTAAGATATCTTAACATGGTTGGTTTAAAGTCTGACTCTAAGATGATGGTTTTGGCCTTAATATCAGGACAGTTTGTAACAGGATCTGATCACAGTATCACATAATGAGTGAAAAGGAAACATACCTTCATGTTTTTTATAAACACAAATTTTATAATTGCTCATTAAGTTTTGGTTTCACATTTGAAAAGTCACCTTATACATGTTTAGAAACAGAAACAGTCTTTTTTTTTTTTAAATCTAGGACTCTGGGTGTGCAAATGGTGCACAGTTTGCTTCTTCTGAACATACCTCAGCTCAGAAGCATCCTCCAAATCACTCTCCTCCATATAGCCCTCCTCCTCCTCCTCTATGTACCTTAAGAATAAGAATAAGAAGAACTTTATTAATCCCCAAAGGAGCCGTTTCATATAAAACTATATATTTACCACTTTTTACTACTATTTATTACTATATTTCTGTCAAAAAGAATAAACTATTTTGCTTGCACTGATTTACTCCACTCTCTCACTCCACTCTCCTCTTCTCCCCCCTGTCAAAGTTGAGGTTTTGGTGGCACCGGTCAAGATTACCATAATATATACCATAAATTATACATTGACAGAAAGTACAGATTCTCAGCTGTCTGTCAGCATTAGAATTTTTTAGATTGAGCCCATTTTCACAGCACTCTGCCAATACTTCTGTGTTTTGCAATGAATGCCTACCTCATATGGCACGTATGAAATAAAAGATAAAAACACAGAAAGTCAGGAAAAGCGGGATTGAATTTGTCACTCATATTTAATAAGCCTCATTAAGCTTTTATAAAACCTGAAAAACTGTACCATAGAGACACCTGCTTCTGCTGCTTGATTATATCAAATATTGATGTCAATATCTCATTTCAGGGATCGACTATCTTCACCCAGACCTGGCTTCAAATTATGTGAGTACTTATTCCATACTTTCCTCCATTTCCTTGACGTGCGGTCATTAACTGACGCAGGGGTTCAGGTGGGAGATTTCACCGGCTCTGTGGTGCACCGCCGGCGGTGACAGGTGCTCCCCAAGTTGCCGCTGTGGCTGCCGCGTCTCCTTGTACTCCTGGAGGACGCGGGGACGGGCAGACGGCAGGCCGAGCTGTTTAATGTTAATGCTCCCTGCACAGTGGCAGGCACAATGGCAGGCCGATCTGTCACAAGCAGAGATAATGCCAGGGTAGTTGGCGCTGCATAATGTGACGCTCCATCTCCGGAATACTGATAAAAACTTAAAGGACAAGAGGGATGGCGAGATGGAACAAGGAGATGCAGAAAGCTTAACTTGATCTGACTTTTAAATGTACAGTTTTTGTCAGTGCGACTGCATTATGGTGTCGTCGTGCATCCAAGGAGGAGCTGATGTGAACCCTCCGTATAAGCTGAGGTGTTGTGTAAGAATGAGTCATGTTGCTTGGTTGGCCTTAAAACATCCATTTCTGTCTGGATTCTCCACATTTCCTTGCAAGAACTTCGTCTGAAACACAAACAGTTTGAAAACTTTTCTCACCAATTAGCTGCTACATGTTGCTGCGAAAGAAAATTCGTCTCGGTTCGTGTTCAAAGGGTCTGTTCCCTCGAAATGTTGCTTGCATAAGTGTCTTTTTTTGTGTGCAAACTCACCACCAAGGTTTCCCATCCTTTGCATGTTTCTTGCCTGCGAACAAAAGCAACCCTCGGCCCAAAAATAACACGCCGTCTCAGCTGGGGTGATGCAGGAACACACTCCACTGGATGCATTGATGGATCATGCTGTGTATAGATCTGCGGTGTGTGTTTGTGTGCGTGAGAGCGCGTGCTGGAGAAGGACACTGATCCTGTTTTGTTACTGTCGTCATGGTGTTTTGCAGACCAACAGAGACCTCCCACTATCAGCTGAATAATATCAAGAGAAATTGAATGAAATGTCATTTCGGGTAGGAGTTTGACTCAAATGGATGTTTTTTTGTTCTTGTTTGGAGAACATTATGTTAATACTTGGGCGTTTTATTGTGTGTGACTCGTTTTGCTTTTTGGTTTTGTGATCATAGTAAGATGCACCTGAATTAATTATGATGATAAGTGCGTCTAAAGATGAAAAAATCATAACCTTAGTGGCTTAATTTCATGGTACATTTATCTTCAAATGCAGAAAATCTCAGAGCTTATAAATAAAAATTAGGAACAGAATAATGTTTGGTTTATTCACGAGTCTGACTAAATATCTCTAGTGGTAATAAAACAAGAATAACATTTAGTTTTATTCATTTATAAGAGCATTTAAACTTAATTCAGCCTCATTTCTGCATTAGAGCTCTGAGTATTAAGTGACTCTTTTCATCCCAGTGCTTGCCAACAGCTGATCAATACACGTATTGTGTTTCGTTCCTCCAGGTTTGAAGGTATTTATCAGAAGGTGAGCTTTTTAATTCGTGGCTCAGAAAGACCGAGGTAAAAACAGCAGGGGTGTGTTTTGGGGGTTTTGTGTCCCTGTTTTGAGTGTGACTCTCCTGCTGTGCACTCTGGGAGGTTACCATGACAACCTGTTATGATTTCATATCACTGTGAATTTCATATATTGGTTTGTTTGAATATCTTTGGTACAAAGAGGGGGCATGAAATGAAGGAACAAAAGGCAGCAGGTTGTGCAAAGTTACCTTAAAGAACAGATTTATATTGTTTTGACTCTGACAGGAATGACCTCGGGTGACAGTGTTAAGGAGATTAGACCATCAGGTATTCTTTATCTGTCTTTGTAAACTTGGCTATGACCTTGCTAGAATGTCTCCCATGGTGTTTTCTCATTAAACTGTATTCTAAATGACTTCTAAGCAAGGGCACATTGTCCAGAATCTCTGCATCAGCTCTCCTTCAGATGAAGATCCTACATCAGGGTTATCAGCACTATTAAAATCCACCATGATAACATGATAGATAGCACTATGAGAGATATATCAGGATTTGTCAGTCCATGAAGTCCTCTATATCATTAACATGAGTCTTCGATTAGGGGCACAGCATCAATATAAGGACAGGCTTATCCCTGGATTTGAAATATCTGCCTTCTCTGTGGTGAAAGAAGCACTGAAATCAACTGTGTGCCAGAAATGCTCACAGCTCAGTGACGTATAAAATGTGACAGGTGGCGATGACTAAAGACAGCTTTAAAGGTCACAAACCCAAAAAAGTAACCACTGTTTTGATCATATTTATCATATCTTAATATCTTAACTTATCTTATTTCTTTTATTAAATGTTAAATCTACTTAATTAAATTGTTTTAAATTTTTAAATTTGCTTTTCATTCATAAAAAGTATTGTTAGAAATTTATTTTCTAAATCCAGATCCTTGCCCTAAAGCCTGAGCACTGAACTGTCACTCATTTTAATGACATTAGGTGTGAGAGAGCTTGTGCTAGTATGAAGATGAGAAAAGGGACACACTGCTATGACACGGCATGCTGCTAGGAAACAAGATGTGCCATCAAATAACACGAATAAGATCTAAATAAAAAGACATCAATGCAGAACCTTTGTCAGTTCTCACCGGGAAAATAACTCCACGACAGTTAAATATGAAGTCTAGGGGCTCTATTTTCGTGCCCACCGGGGGCGCAGTGGAGGGTGGTGCACCCCGCACAGTAGTATTTTCGTCTGGCAGAGCCCGGGCCACCGCCAGTTTGGGATTTTCTTAGACTGAGGCGCACCAAGGTCCGCCAAGCTGGGTGTGGTGGCGCGGTAGGGGGAGGTGTCGCCATCATGTGGCATTGCTGTCTCTAGCCATCTCTTATTCTCTATGACTACTGCACAGAAATTGTAATACGCGTCGCAGGTGGCAGATTTAAAGGTGAGGAGAGGAGCTGATGTGATTGGTGAAAACAGGTCTCGGCTGTGTTAAACCCACTCCACGCCTTCTCTTCTCCCTCGCTACGACTTACGCTGCTGGGAGGAGCTGAGTAAGGGAGGGGGGATACTTACACCGGACTGCGCCGCTCACCAAATACCAAAATGTGCTTGGGCACGCCTTATCGGTGAGGCAGACTTGACTTTTGCCACCTGCGCCACGCCACCGGCGAGGCACGAAAATAGAGCCCTACGTTTCATTTGAAGATAAATCTGCAGAGAAACTCACATTTTCTTGACGTATCAGCTAAAGTCATCCGGGCGAGTCTACGGGGAAATCTGCAAACATTCAGACTCACAGAAGTGGCATCATTTGGCTGAAAAGTCTGTAGAATTTAACATTAAGCAGGAACTCACACCCAGCCTGGAGGTGGTGCCAAAATGTCCTCATTGAATATTCACGAGTTAGCTACTGATGGACTGATACTATCGAGAAAGGCAGCTGTGGCTTACAACTGGTCTTTTAAGACATTAATTTTGATTCTTTAAACTGGTGTTATATATTTTATAATATATCCTGCATTCCCTCAATAATCAATATTATAATCAATAATCAATATTTTGAAGAAAAAAAAGAAAAAAAGCTTAAAATTGTATTTACTTATGATGTTGTCTTATCTCCTAGTTTTTTTTAAGTGAAAACAAATCTTTTAATTTGCTGTATCTGATCTGGGAGCTTTGAGTCTCTTTTAGGATTCCTTCCACCCAGATAACTTTTAATAGATGCAGGTTTCCAGGGAAAGGTGGACTGACTGAAACAGGACACAATCAATTTCCGTGACCCAGGTTGCTCACAGGACTCCAGAGGAAGAGCGGAGTTTGATTGATGGCTGAAGAAATGAGCTCCAGAAGCAGAGCGAGTGATTCATGGACATGCTCTCGTGTCATTTATTACCTGGGGCACTGCACTTTTCGCTCCATTTAATGAAAAAATAACAGAAAAACACACACCCCTGTTTCTGACGTGAGCAAAGACAAATCATGTTTGGGAGTGGCATGTTTGCTGTGCTGTGAATAATGAATACTAAAACTTTTAACCCTTTCAGCATCAGTTTGGGTGATTTTCCCACAAATTTCCATCCTATGAACATTTACAAAAAGAGCAAAAGACAAAAAAGAAAGGTCATGATCACAAATTGAACTTTATCATCAAAATCTTCTTAAAAGGTTGACCAATTTCTGTGGCCCCTTCAACATGTAGCCTCAGTCTGAAATTGATACCGGTATTTACACTTTCCTCAACTTACCTGACTCACAATGTGATAATTACAGTGTTTCTCTATTGGGTCAAAAAGCTTCGGCTGTTTTGTTTTGCCTTTGTGGCCGCCTGAGTCATCCCCTGTGAATGCCATCCAGCAGAGCTGTGAGGCCAGAGCACGGTGGAAAACAGTCCTGCAATTGATATGATGTGTTTGATTATAAGGCTGATATACTCTGCTTTGACTGCCCTGTACTCGTGACCACACTAAGCACTTGTTACTGAGTACTCTGAACAAAAATAAACAGCACTCAAAGTGGCATGAGTGACAGGTTAGGAAAGGAGAGAGCGCTGCAGACTGCAAAAGCCTGAATGCACTGAAGAAGAGCGCCATAGTAAATGTGTAATTAATTTCAGGATGTGTGTAATTGTGAATAGCTGTGCTTTGAAAGGTGAATTTACTCTTATTAAATGCTCCGTTTAAGACTCCTTTTACAGCATTTACTGAAATATATGCTAATACTTTCACAAACTTTGTTTCCGCTCAAGGTTGCAGTTGCTGGAAGAAAGATTTTGGTGTGTTTGGCGAGTTATTTTCCTGTTCCCAACTTTACGCCAAGCTCAAGCTGGAAACTGGGGGGTAGCCATAGCTATAGATAAAAATCAAGACTGTAGAAATAGACCGGTTATAATGTTTTCCAAATAAAATCTTGTAGTTTCAGCGAAGTATTGGTATTCCACAAAACCAGTTCCACAATATATTGTCACCCAAGCTGCCATGTTAAGGTCAGCACTTCACTGTGAAACTCTCCCCTCTGCTTTCTGCTCTTTTGTTTTTGTCTCACTTGTATTTAAAAAAATAATGGATTCATTCGGTTCTTTCAGAATGCCGATGCCAGCTATGACTTCAGCAGCAATGACCCGTTCCCATTCCCCCGATACACGGACGACTGGTTCAACAGGTGAGGCCCACTCATCTGACTCCTGTTTCTACATACACACAGTCAGTCAGTATGTTTTTTTTTTTTATGTTCACATGTGTGCGCTCTCCCTAGAGTCTTGCAGCTCTCCTCTATTGATTTTCTCTCTGCATAGCTCCATTAAGGCATAATGGTGCAGTATAAACAGAGCTGTTGTCCGACACTGCACAATAGAAAAACAAGGCCTATTTTTACCCACTCACTTGGAAGAGATAAGGGGGGATAAAGGCAGACCAGCACAAGTCTAGTCTCTGCTCAGAGCTGCAGTGTTCACAATGTCGACCTTCTGTCTGATAACACCTTATCTGCCTCACATCTCCCAATCACACCGGGTGATCCACTGCCACAGCAACACATGTCGAGGAGAGGAACAAAGAGAATTACATCCTTTCTCTACCTCTCCTCCTCCACTGTGCCTCCATCTGCTTAGATATATCTGTGTGTGGGAGTGGGAAAAAGGGGGTATTTGGGTTTGCCAGTGTTGCAGTTGCTGACTGTCGGGCACAACTCTCTGGCTAATCAGCTGGTTGTTATAAATAGCTGCCTGTCTGTAGCAATGCATGCTGGGAGCGAGGGGTTGACTCTCTGCAGTGTCCCTGTGGGGATCGGAGGGATGGAGAGATAGACACACATCACACGGTGCACTCAGAAGACTGATATGTGCAAAAACATCCAGGCAGACTCAGGCGAATGATGGATGAATGAAGGTGTCGTTTTAATAAGCTAATGCTCTCAGGTTAAAAATAACTGTGTTTATGCTAATTTGGATTGATTTATGGGGACTGAAAATGCTAATCCTTTTCTATTAACAATCCCTTTATTCTAGTCAGACACAAAGTTAACAAAAAGGTGTTGCATCTAATCTTGAAAATCTTATCTCAACCTAAAACATCTTCTGTAAATTCATGTAAATTAATGCTAATCCTCTTAAATTTATTCATTTTTTTTTTTCCTGCCACAGTCACGGCACTCGGTGTGCTGGAGAGGTGTCTGCAGCAGCCAACAACAACATCTGCGGTGTGGGAGTCGCCTACAACTCAAAGGTGGCAGGTGTGTGTCATATTAAAGCTGCAGTTGGACAGTGACGGGAATAGCAATGAGCTGACAGCAATGTAAGCAAATACCAACTCTGATAACGTGATGAGGCAAGGATCACGAGGGCTAATTCACGCTGAGGGGAAGACTGGATGTGAACTATGTTGTTGTTTGGTGGTGAGGCATGTTGAAATGGTTTACCACAGCCCAAAGAATTATGGGAAATTACAGCAGAGGTCAGTTGGAATTCACATAGCAACCGACAAAACCGTAAATCCAGACGACTCCGCGCCTCCATCATCTATTGATTTTCTCTAAATTTGTTCTGGGAGTTACAAAGGAGGAAAAGAGAATGAGTATTGACTGTCTGATTTCTGTGCATCCACGAAGCTAACATTACTTTCTCGCTAATGTCAGGTCTATAAACGGCTTTTATTGTCCTGTAATGGCGAGGTTGACATTATTGTGGTGAAGCAACAAGACGGAGAATTTCGCTGCCCTTTCAGGTATCAGGATGTTGGACCAGCCCTTTATGACAGACATCATTGAGGCGTCATCCATCAGCCACATGCCCCAGGTTATTGACATCTACAGTGCCAGCTGGGGGCCTACTGATGACGGCAAAACGGTAGATGGACCCCGAGAGCTCACACTGCAGGCTATGGCTGATGGAGTCAATAAGGTAAGGCTTCATTACGCACTCTGTGCTGAGGGTTTCATTATTATGTAATAGGGTATTGTAAATCTAAATAGATCTTGGCAATTGTGTAGATAGAAAATGGGGTTAGATGCGTGCTAGTGATGGTAGTGCTGTTTCAGTGATGGCAATGCTTGTCTATTATGTAGAAAACCAGCCCATGTAACGAGATGGATTATATGAAATGAATGAAGCCTGTAGTTCCCAAAGTGACGCCAATCTAGACGAGCAAAAGTACTTTAAACATGCAATATTATAAAGGCCTGCTGGGGGAGACTCTACTTATTGTAAAAAGAAGCCCATTTGAATAAAAGCAGATTATTTTAACTGCATCTATTACATTGGTACATCTGTGATCTCAATTTCTAGTTACAGCCACGGTTCAACACAGCACAGTGTTTATATTTTAAAATAATGGTCCCATTTTGGATAAGATTGCCACCTTACCTGTACAATTAGCTTTCAACCAGGATAGCTACTTCACCCAAAGCCTATTCATCCTGTCATCTACACACAGTCTTGCCTGGTTGGAAAAAAAATCAATAGGACAAGGGGTCATACCAATGATTGATGATGGCTATTTCCACTTCTTGGGTTTAAGAGAAAAATATCCATTAAATTCTTGGGTTGTGCATTTTAAAAAGTAACTGTTTTTTGAGTACACATTCAAAGCTGCGTAGTCACAAATGTTAATAATCCACATACTATTCCCTCCAGTAGAATAAAAAAATCAAAGTTAAGCAGAAAAAAATCAAGATCCATAACATACAGTAGATAAATCTTTACCACATTAGTGAGGAAGCTCATATGATTTGTTTACATGAGAGTATAGCAGGGACATACAGAACATTTGACAATATTTATTTATTTGTTGGATTGTCTATACAACTCTGAAATTTCCATTTGTGGTGTTAAACTCTGAAACAGCCTGGATGTCACTTTAAAAATGTCCAATAACATAAAATATTTTAATCAAGCTATAGAGAAGTATTAAAATATTCATATAAGTAAACTAACAAGGCAAAAAAGTGTCCTCTGGTAGCTAGTTTATTATTTGCTTTTGACTCTGCAAAATCATTTTCCTCTTAATTATCTACAGCCCCAAAGAAGTCAGAGGGGGGTGAGCTGCTGGAAGTGACACTCTGCTCTTGCTTAAGGACACTTCAGCAGAGTCAAAATTGAGCTCACTTGGGGCCCCGGCTGTCATCCTTGTCCCAGAGGTTGCTGGTTCCGCTCCTGGCCCTGACCCTTTGCTGCATCCTTCCCCAATATCCACCTCTCACATTTCCTGTCTGTTTTCAACAGAGAAAAAATTCCCCTCTGTTGTCGGGAGCGCACGCAGAGTTGCCATGCAAACAGCGGCATTTCCAATTATGCGCTTGATTAACCATGATGCACCTCGTACCGGCCAGTGTGGGCTGCTCTGGGGTGACCTGGTCTCAAGCAGGGTGGTTGAGTAGGAGCAAAGATGACCGTAATATCTGATCATGTAAACACAACTAATCAAGCAGGCACTCTGCTATCTGCCTCTTAGAATTTAATGATCACTTACATAAGCTGCTGTGTAGGCTGAATATGATGAGCACAAAAAGGGGCACAAAAGGAGCACATTATGTCGTATTAACAAGCTAAGTTAGATAGAACGGCTTCATATTTGCATCTTAGATATACGGTATTTGCTGTGTATTTCCGCCAATAATGGATATAAACGACATGATGCACTCTGCTAAATTAAACCTCCTTGTTTGGTCTGTGCAGGAGACAGAAGGCAGTAGGCATGAAGCTCAAAGGTGAGCTCAACGATGCTTAAACCTGCCTTTGCAGTTCAAACAGAAGGTGACACAAACAAGCACCATAAAGAGGACATGCTTCTCCTCCTCCTCCTCCTCCACTTGATCTTTTCTTTTTTGTGGAGAAGCGGTTTGCTTATTGTAGAAACAGGTGCAGCGTTTTGGTGAAGAGGAGTCTCTCTGCGTGCAGCCACAATCAGCTGTTTGATGTTTGAAGGCTCTCCAAACAGTCACAAAGATGGCGTTTAGTCGTGCTTGAATTTACAGAAGCTAAAATGATGTCTGTTTTGAGCAGCGGTTTGTTTTTTGTCCTTTTACCTGATGTCTTAAAAAAACAGATAAAGCAGTTTGTTTGTTGCTTGTTCTGTTAAATTATAGCATATTTCACCGTTTCATTAAATAACATCTGAGCTTTTTAAGATGAAGATGGCTTATTTTTTAATTAAAAATTCCTCCTGTGCTGTGCTTTTCAATCGTGCCGGAGGATAGTCATGTTTTTGCCATCAGCAATGTAATAGTGAAAGGAACCGCATCATTACATCCTGATCCAATTTTCTTTGATACCACAGCAGCACCCGAGTCAACCCCAGATTTTATTTTGCATCGCTAACTGCTCATTTGTAGATTTATAAGTATTGGCAACATCATTACTATGACTGTTGTCTTGAATTTTTATGGATTTTATGACTCAGTGGGAATAAAGTTTGATGAAATGGAGAAATAAAACCAATGTAATGTCAGTGATAGAGGGGAAAGCTTCGCATTTGTTAGAGGAGAAATTTGCAGATTATCCAGTCTTCTATCGAGTCTTGAGGCTCTAATAAAGTAGGTTTTTACGTTAAATTAATGCTGTGCACACATTACTGGATTTTGGAATAAAGTTTTTTTTTAACAGCGAACATGTATTGAGGTGGTCAGCTGCTTGTGACAACGGCTGAATCTGAGACGAGGTCCGAAATTTGGCCACATTTTACCAAAGCTAAAGATAGAGATGAAGCAAAATGCACATAATGTTGGAAAATAATTATTACAAGGCATACCTGCCAACATTTGAGTTATAAAATCCAGGAGATTTTTGCGACGCGCGTCAAGCAGTTTTGGGGTTTACCTTGTATGATTGAGCTAATTATGAGAGTATTTGTAATTAAATTGCTCATCCAAATGAGTATAACAAATAGTAACAAAAAATAGTATCTACAATATGCCTTGAACTTATTTAGTCCACTAATTTTGGCGTTAAAGTCCTCATATGTTGTACATGCTCTCTGAACATCTGAGGCTGCCCTGAACGCATCATTCCGAGATGGTGCAAGACTGTCAACGTAAATATTATATCTTGCGTTTGTCCGCCTTTAACTGAAGTGTTAATTTTGGAACAAACACTGCGTAAGTATAGTTTACAGCTTAAACTGACCTAAAGGTTCCCAAATTGTAAAGTAAAAGTATCAATCCAGTGTCTGTGAGGATCGGCAGAAACACAGGACAGTCTTCGGTTTTCTGGAAACCTGCCAACTTTGGACAAATATAGTGATCTGATTCATGAATGAATGTGGACCATCAAACTACGGGAGATTCCCGGGAAAAATGACAATACAGGAGGTGGAGGTGGTGATAAGTCTGAAATATGGGCAGGTATGTTACAAGGGGAGGAACACCCCCTCCATGGCCCAGCACATCAGCGTTATGCATTAAGTCAAGCCAGAGTACCTGTGAGGGTCTGTGGCTTAAAATGCCAGCTGCTGATGCTGCCATCCTCCACTTCAGCCAAAGCAGGCGCGGTAAACACAGCCAGACTTTAGAGCAAGTCCTGTTCATTAAAAATCATAATCCAGGAATGAAATCTGTGTTGAAATCAGCAGGATAAAAGCAAGTTAGCTAACTAACCGAGGTGATGTAGGATTAGACTGTGAGAAGATCAAGTATGGGTCTGTAAAACAAGAATCCCTAGTCTTCAGTATGTCTCCCATATGATTGTGATATATGGAGCTGTTTATGGTTGTTCTATTTGGCTCTGACTCCTCCTCATGAATTACTGCACATAAACACATTTTCATCTTGCTAAAAGTGAGAACAGCAGTGATGGATTCAAATCAGCTGGGTGCTATGTAAAACATTTCCTCATTACATCCGAACAGGCTGTCTTTTGCTCCCCTAAACCTTAATTTTACACGGTTGAATTACAACACCAGCACACCCTGACATATGCACCATATTTACACTCAGGAAACCCCAAACTCCCACTTCTCATTTCACCTTGTAGGCCCTCAGCAGTGGTAAGAAGTCGTGTGCCATATTTTCATCATGATGATGATTTTTCAGGGGCGTGGAGGTAAAGGCAGCATCTACGTGTGGGCATCGGGAGATGGTGGTAGCTATGACGACTGCAACTGTGATGGCTACGCCTCAAGCATGTGGACAATCTCCATCAACTCAGCCATCAATGACGGACGCACCGCTCTGTATGATGAGAGCTGTTCCTCCACGCTGGCATCCACATTCAGTAACGGGCGCAAGAGGAATCCAGAGGCTGGCGTTGTGAGTGTGTTTTAGTGCATCTCGTGTGTGTCTTATATGTGCTGCTCTGTAAATAAATGTATTGGGATTGGAGCGTCTGTAAAGTTATTCTTTTTAAGGAGGCACTTTTAGCATTAAAGGATGTCTGTTTTGATGTCTTTCAAAGACGTCCTTCTTTAAGGGCTTAAACTGTGAATAGCTGCTTAGTGACAGTGTTTCCTTGGCCTTTCAGGAGATTTTCTGAGACCAGGGATCAGATCCTGAGATGCCATCTGCCTATAAATACAGGCTGGTTGCAAAAACAAAGAGTCATAGGTGGATAAATAACTCTTTACTGATCACTGTATAAGGACTTGTTTTGCTTTAGCTGCTCAAAACAGCACTTCAGGCGTGCTGTAAATGTTATTAAGAGATATGGCAAATGTTTTGATGGACTTGTTATTTTTTATCAGCTGTTACTGTCAGAAAAACTGTCCTTTACTATGAGTTTGTTGGTTTGTGCTTTACAGTAAGGGCTTTTTCTGTAAATAACAGTAACAAAAGGAGAAAAGGGAGACACCAAAGTAAATGTAGTGACTGACTGTCGTGCAACACAAACAGGTTACGACAGTAAGAGGCTCGTTTACCCGGAGAATCGTGTCACCAGTGGGTAACTCCTGACATAAGAAGAGAGTGAGTCATCAGATCCAAACAGACAAGGAGAGCGTATAACTCTTTAAAAAGGAAAACAGTGGAGACACGACATGTGATGCTTGTATCCTCATTGTGGAAAATGCAAGACCTTGACGGTCAGCATCGAGACTTGTTTATATTTACAACAAACAGAGTTTTATTGCTATGCTTCAGTGTAGTGAGGATTCCCCAGTGTTCAAAGGCAGCCGTGTTTGGATTTGTGATTATACAAATCACCTTAAGCTGTTGACAGAGCCACAGATCTTCCCCAGGGTTCGCTGTCTAATTTCAGTCAATCTGTCATTATTTCTAATTAGGAAACACATTACATCACTTATCCTATAAACATGGACAGAACTTGCCAGTTTTGCCATGTACAGTATACTATAGTTAAGCTTATGTGTACTCTGAAGTCAAATTCATCCTTTTCTGTCTGTATTCAAATGTAGGAATCCAACAAAATCCAACTTTAGCTAAAATGTTAAATCTAGTATCATTAAGTATTTTTATCATTATTGAGCCAATACTTCCAGAAAAAGATTAACTTTGTATGAAATATTATGTGGAGTACACAGGAAAGACATTTATTTGTATGTTTTTCTAATCTTTCTGGCGTACTAGGTTTACGTCTGAGTGTCATGCCTGATAATGAAGTGTTACTTTAACGTCTGTCAAAGAATTAAACAATGCCAGCTCTGAAAAGTGGTTTCTAGATTGTAGAAAAATAAGATTTCCTATATTTGAAGATGCTTTTTTCTTCTTTTCATTATGTAATTTCAGGCCACCACAGACCTGTACGGGAACTGCACACTGCGTCACTCAGGAACATCTGCAGCAGCTCCAGAGGCAGCTGGTGTCTTCGCTCTGGCTCTCGAGGCGAAGTATGTGCTTTACTCTCTGTCATTGTAATTTGGATTGTGATTACATACAAAATTGAATAAGATTATGTTTCCAATCTGATAAAATAATTACTTCCAACCATTAGATTTTCATTATTGATTGGAAACTTTTATATTAGTCCGTCTTTTTGCTCATATCTTTCATTCAGATTCAAACTCCACAAAGGCACTCATTTTTTTAAGCTTTTACAGAATTACTTATTTTTCACACGAGCTAAATATATAGCAAAAAAAAGGCAAAGTACAAACTCTCTATGTGATTAAAATCATGCAAATGTTTGTTTAAAAATGCATCTTATCTGCTGTCTAGAAAGGCCAGGTGTTTGTATTTTATCCATCACCACACTTTCTTCCTTATAAATGTTGCACTTCACTGGATGAAATTGTCTACAGCACCTGCTGAAAACGATCCAATCTTAATGATGATGTTCACAATAAAATCTGTTGATTGTGTCGCATTAACTCTTTGGAAAAAGTTAGATTTTTGGAAAAACAAGTCTCGTAATGTTCAACACTGTCATTTCCTGCAAATGAGAAACTAACTGAAAACACCTGAGATTTATGTAGATCCACCCACACATCATCAAAACAAATCTAAAAAATAAACTCTGACAACAGCTGCACTGAAAACCTCAGAGAAGAATCTGCCCTCAAATGCTTCACTTCTCATAATGAAGGTTTACAAGACAGTGCAGCCATTAAGTGACACCTGCTAGTGAGGCTGAGTAAAGAAACGCTGTTTACTGTGCACACACAATAATGATGTTGCCATTAAGAGGAGCGGATGCTCACCCTGTCCGGTGGCAAATAACCCACAAGGCTGTTAGGACGAGAGCGCTGCCTTTTTACTGCCCAAACACACTCGAGTCATGCTACAGCAGGAGTGAATGAGTCAGCCTGAACAAAGCTGTCAGAACACACAGCCAAGATAACAGAGAGTGAAACAAACACAGGCGTCTTCTTTGTGCCTCAGAGTACAGACACTTATGAGTGTTAGGTAATCATGAACGTGCAGAGCAAAAACCACGAAGCAGGAGGGTTTTACAGTTTGTACTAAAAAACTGAAGAGGACTTAAGTAGTATATATTTAAAGGTCCTTACCCACCGGGAACAACGCAAATATACGACGCTAAATTACAAAATATTCGGAGGTGAATTTTGACGCGCCTGACTACACATATCAAGTGCGATGCAATTTTGCAACTTCCAGGGGAAAAAAAGACGTGTCCCACGTGGAAGCAAGAAGACTGACACAACAGCAGACTGACTGTTTTCAGTTCTGATTAGACACTAGTGTTGAGATGTCTGTCTGTCATGATAGCATGTACTGAGTCGGGGCCAGTACCAGATAAGCACATTAAACTATAATCCATAAACGTAAGGTAACAACCAAGACTGATGTTCTTAGCTTACGAGCTAAAGTTACTTAGCACAGATGAAAGTTAAAACAAAGACGTTTAGCAAACTGTTAAGGCGCACAAACCATCGTCATATGAGAAATCCGACACTATGACTCTCCACAAATTGTCCTTCAAGTCGTTATCTCTGAAATATGTGTGTTTTGTATCAAGAAGTACTCTGTTCTCCAACACGTCAACAATCTGCCGGTCGGCCATGTTTGATATACCGGTGAATCTGACATCGCAACAACACGCAATCTGATTGGTCAGAAGTGGACATACAGTATGTGAAACTTTAGAAAAATCGACCATGATCCGAAAAAAAAAATGCTGCAATATCGCAGGATGGGAAAATGTGAACGCTTGTTTTGACAGGATATGGGTTCGAAAAAAAATACTGAATTAATTGCATGAAAAAAAACGCTCCCGGTGTGAAAGGACCTTAAGGCTGCTGATGACAGAAAACATGGCCTATATCTTCATATAGAAAATCTAAAGTCCTTTTAGGAACATTGGTATGGTTAGCTTGATGTTTTCCTGATTAAAACAACAACCTTAGCGATAACATTCTTCGACAAGTGTAGACAAATCAGTTTAGCAAGCATGGCGCAATGTTCGGGTATTTAATTGGGACATTCCTGATCAGATTACTCTCTTTCAAACCTTATATTTCTAAATGAGAACACATCCCTGCCCTGCCTCTGTGATATGTTGTCTTTTTGTCTTCCTCAGCCCAAACCTGACATGGAGGGACATGCAGCATTTATCAGTCCTGACCTCCAAGAGAAACCAGCTCCATGATGAGGTCCATCAGTGGAGGAGGAATGGTGTAGGCCTGGAGTTCAACCACCTGTTTGGCTATGGTGTTCTGGATGCTGGGGGGATGGTGAAAATGGCCAAGGAATGGAAAACAGTGCCTGAACGTTTCCACTGTGTTGCAGGATCCATTCAAGAGACCCAGTGAGTGATACTGGTTTATTTCATTCTAAGATGTTCAATGAATGTTGTCCTGTGGTGTGCAGGATTATTTCACGACATGTGCACTCTGCACGTTGTTAAATGTCGTGCTGTCCCTGAAATGTTGAAAGGAAAACCCTGTGGAGCCCAAGAGACATTCTTATCTAATTACTGAGTAATTCCAATAAGATTTAATTCAATAAAACATCTGCAAAGGGAGTGTCCACTTCATAACCCTATGATATTTAGATTAACTCCTCAGTCTGTCTCATGGTCCTAGTCACGAGGACTCCCAAAGAGATGTTAAAAACACATCAAAGCCCATTCAAAACAACCAAAGTGCTGTAATAAAGCAACAAGTCTTATCATCAAGCCCTCACCCACATCATGTATTATCTTTCCTTGCATCACCAAATCTTCTCCTCCTTTCACAGCCTCTCTTTGCTTTTATCTCTTAGCTCTTCCCTGTCATTCCTTCCTCTCCATCCTAACATATTCCCTCTCTCCTCCTTTCTCCTGCACATCTTGCAAAGGATTTACCATCCATCCCTCCATCCATCCCTCCATCATCTCCGAAAAGCTTTGAGCTTTTGAACTGCTGCGTGTGATTCCTGGTGGTTTCCCTTGGCAAACCCTTTTATTTCTTCTAATTAGAGTGCCACAAATGGCCCAGCATGGTGTACCCTGGAAACACTGTCAATTACACTGACTGACAGCCAGAAAGGGATTCCAGGTGGAGGTGTTTTCATGTGTTGACGCAAATCTGGAGCTTTCACGCGTATTGTGGAAATGTCAGTGTGTAGGTGTAGATAAAAAAGCACACTGAATATGTTTTGTCTCTTTAGTTTTGCCCACCATCAACACTCTGGATCCATATTTCACTCTCTAATCAGTGTTCACCAGACGATGCAGTCACGACAACATGGTGTGAAAGTGATCCCCTGTGTGTGTGTGTATGTGTGTGTGTGTGTGTATGTGTGTGTGTGTGTGTGCCTCCCTCGAGTGCAGGCCAGATAAAAAGAGAATCCCTTTAGAGCCTGACTGCTTTTATTGCAGTCCCGGCGGGCAATACATGCAAATGGCAAAAAGGTCTTGCCTCTTCATGCTTGGACAGTTAGAGGAAATAAAAGTAGCCTTGTCAAAGGCCCATTTGTCAGAAAATGACGCCAGATAACCATTTTGTGTTATTTCTGGACCCTTTTCTCTGGCTTATTGTTGATCTTTTGGCTTTGAAGGCTGGTGTTGCGCTATAAAGAGCTCTGTAGTTGGGAATTAGAAATAGCAAATCGGCCTTTTCTGACAGTACACAGGGATTTCATGTACTTGTGAAACAAATAGAGACTTTTTTAATATTCATCTTACTCAATTTCTATCTTTTAATTTTAGGAGTATTTGATAATCATTGTTGCTCATCCAAAAGGAATGAAATTAGAGATTACCTAATAACCAGGTTAATCCTGCTAAATATCAATATTAAAGCTCCTATGAGGAGTTTTTTGACATTAATGAAATAAATTGAAATTCATTTTGATGCTTTTGTATGATATCTCAAAGCAAACAAGACAACTGGTGCTAAGATTGAGGATTTTTATGTCCCAGTTTTTAATGCCAGAAACCAGTGCGAGGGGGTCGGTGTCAACAGCCCTGTTGTGATTTCCTCATCAAATATGCACAATAAATGATAGATTTGATTGTCAAAAGTCGACAGGATGAGTTTATTTTTGTAAAAAGTTGGCATTCAAGCAAGCTGAGTGCAAGATTAGCACATTAGAAATTCACAGGGGGCACCAGTACTAGGGTTACCAACTCCCAGAGATTCAAATAAGGGACGCTTCCCCGCAATTAAAAAATTGGGTTTTGGGGGGGTCAAAAACACATAGATAACAACATTTTGGCACAGTTATACCTATTACACACTACACAAACACATGTAATTTCACGACCTCCTTCAGCAGCGCTCATTATTCGTGTTCCCATTCCAACTCCTCACAAACAGAGCAGCCTCGTCGCTACAAGGTACGGCGCATGCACACACACATACACACACACAGACTGAGTCGCACGCACACAAGCACGTGAGTGCTGCTGCTGGTCCTGCTGCCTACCCTGTGAACTGAGTGGTCCTAGTGCCCTTAGTATACAGCCAGCCAGGCAGGCAGGCAGCCAGACACACAATGCGTGGCACGCAAAGAGAAAAAATATATGCATCTTCCCTTTACCCGTGCGGCCAGGACAAACAACATCCCGTCCAGGATGCGCCTAATTGAGAGTTCGTCACTGGAGCTTTAAAAGTCTGACCTGGAGTGATACATTTATCACAGAAACTGTGAATGCTGAGCTTTGCAAGGGCAAAACTGAGGCTAGAAAGTGGTACCCCTGATAATTACAATTCTACGCCTGTGGCCAGAGACCAAGCTGCCATGTTTGATGAGTTTGGGTTCAAATGCGGCTCTTGTGGCTGTCGGCGTGGTTGTCATTTCTTTATCACTTCATGTTTTGATACAGAGGAAGGCATAAATTCTTTGCACAGGCATGGGTAATATCCTCATATGAAAACAAAAAGCAGCCTGTAAATGTGGTATTTATTAGAGCAAAACAGCTCCTAGTTTTAAGCTATTTATCAGCTGTGTGTAAAAAGCTGTGTCACCGGCTGTGTCATTTTTTTTAATCAGTTCACTGTTTCTGCAGCAGCACTGCAGGGCTTTCGCTGCCTCTATTGTGGTAGAGATATAATTACAACAAGCCCACCTCTGATGATAGTGTATCGCCAGAGAGAGGCAATAAACACCAACATAGCCACAGCCCAGCAAACACACTGCTCAGCTCTGATCTGATAGCCCCTCTGGTTAGCTGTGGCTTACTTTGCTGGAGGAGAACTTCTCATTATCAGGGGCGCTGGCATGCCTGGGCTCCTGTGAGCTGTGGGGTTCTTATAATCTCCGCTGGTGCTGCCCTTCAGAGACATCCCTCTGCCTGCTCTACGACCCACTGCTGTAATTACTCACACGCATTAAGGCGATGGGAGCCGTGCACCTGCAGAGCACACAATATTTGATGGGTCCAATAACTTGCAGATTCAGTTTTACTCATTGAAAGTAGTAGATCAACAACAAATTCTCTTTAAAATGTGACTCTTCAGAGGACGGAGAAGACACAGGCTGTGAACACCAAGTTTGTCAGATGTCTGAGAAATCAACTTTTTCATGACATCACATAGTTCGAGTCACACTGTAACACCGAGTTAGACACCCCATGGAAAGATGAATGTTGCCGACCACTTGCTTCTCTAGTTATACCAACTTTAGTAACGACTGCAGATAGCAATACAGAGAGCCACGCGCTCAACCAAAAAGCTGCTCTATAGCCACAAATAATGCTCAGAACAGCACCTAACTTCATCAACAGTACATATAGGGTCCCAGCCATACAACTAGCCACCAAACATCAACAACTTTGCCTGATTTCTTTAGCAAAGAGACTAAACACAACTCACCCTCTCTCTTCCTGCAAATATTTGTTTGCAGCGAGACCTCAGGCCAGTCCATTATGGACTGCTGCGGGGTGACACAGCTCAAGGAAGAACATTTATGATCATCTCTTTATGGAAATGCAATCAGACCAAGACGCTACGGCAGAAGAACTACCACGTCTGCAGTGCAAAATGATTAATATGGTGATTATTACTTCAAGGAAATGATAAAGTAATGATCACAAATGTTATTCCTTGAGCTGAGCTTTTAATCATTTAAAGCTTATAAATTTAGTTATACTAACACAGATTTAATCTTTTTGCTTCCCTACGCTTCCAATGCGCGTCAATTCACACAGAGAAGATCGTCCTAGACAGGAAGTCAAGTACGAAAACCGCGCACGTCATCCTGTATTTCAAAATAAAACACCATTTGCGAACTCCCGCCTGTGTATCAGTTCGTGTAGATGAGAAATACTTCCTGGTTCTGGATTTACCAGTAACACAGAACCATCCGATGGCCAATCCCGGATCCATGTGGACCCCAACAGGACTTTTAACTGCTAACTCTGTCTGAAGGTAACAGCACATCATAATGGAAGATAGTTTACTTTGTTAAACACGAGTAAAGCTGCAAAAACCGAAACTGTAAAATCATGCTGCACGCACTACGCGGCTACTACGCTCCAAATACGCGTGTAGCGATACCCAGAGCTGCTCTACGGAGCAAATACGGAACGCGCCGGTACGCAGCGGTACACGTACCAGAAAGACATAAACATTAGTTTACAGCAGGTACACAGCTGTAGGCAAACTTTCACCCCTGCAATGTATGTCAGCTACATTTGCTTACCGTGTTGCCGCACGTCAGTCTGCACTCTGCCTTGTAACCGTAGTAATCCAATAGGACCTTGCTGCTTGTAAGTGACTCGTATTCGCTTCCGCAAACAAAAAAACTTTGTGAGCGCGCTCAGGGCGCACTTTTGATTGGACGCTGGTTGCGTAGTCGCTGGGGACCGCCTCTCGCCTTTTGCGGAAGGAGGGAACTTTAAAGAGACAGCTGCTTCAATCTTGATGCGGAAATAAAACAAAATGAAGAGAAAAATGATTTTATGTTCAAGAGAAAGAGAGATGCAGCAGATGATGATACTGTGGCATCAGAGTCAGCACCTTGTTAAACTTGGGTGTGCTCCTCTTGCACAAAGCCTACAGGTACAGTACCAGCAAGAACCTGATCCTACTTTCACCCCTGGTTATTTGGTAGTTTGACCAGCTAGTTACTCTGATGCCAACTAGTCGGGGTGAAAATTAATAATTCAGTCCACCAATTGTACAGACCCCTGTTCATTACCATGTCTTTTCCCCCATAGACCCAGTAAATTTGTGTTCATGATAATTGCCTTTTCACACTTCGTTTTCACACATAAACCACACTTGTAAAGTCATGCCATTGAAAAAAAAAATTATATTCGGTTATGCAAAATTTCACACCATGCATTATGGGTGTAACTTACTCGAAAACATCCTGCTGTGACCTGCTCTGTTTTTCTTGGAAGAGTAATTTGCCTCATCAGCACTACGGCGCTCGTCTCTGAGCTCTTCACGGTGCCCCATTAATCATTTTTTGACCCGAGTGCTGTTCCACATGTCTCTCTCACTCAGTTTCTGTGTCTCATCCCTGTTGCCCTCTCTCCGTGCCCCCATTTCCCACAGCGTACAGTGCAGCTTTGCGCTCTAATGACGTTATTAAGCCTCCTTAAAGCCTTTGGCCACCACCCCTGTCCTGCTGTGTTCCCACTCATCTCTGCATCAGTCAAAGAGACGGGGAATGGTGTGTCTTCCAAAACTACAAAGGAGCAACATTAGCAAGAGCAGCTTGCTTTTACACTTTGTTCTGAACAAATCCATTATAGCAAAATAAGAAAAAGATCATTCTCAAACTCTGAAATGGTGACAGAATTTGGTATATGACAAAGTCTTACAAATGGTTTCTGATTACTCATGGCTGTCTTAAAATCATTCCCTGCAAAGTTTTGCTACAATCCATCTTAGAGGACTTGAGTTTGTAACACCATATCAAACTCAAATGCTTGAGATAAAATTGCAGTAAAAGTGTCAAATAAGTGGCTTCTGCATACTCATATTTGGCTTTTTAATGTTTCAATGTTGAAGTTGAGACATGAGAAGTGATATTTTATAACTTCAATAGTAAATGGAGGACTAGAAAACCACATCACAAGTTGAATTTAGATTGAAAACTATCATTAGACTCAGCCTTTGTGTACTGTATTGCATTCACAGCAGAAGAGCAGTAGTAGGGAAAGGTTTTGTATGATCACTGGTTTGCAGCAAGAACATTATGTGCAGCGTGTGTGGCCTCAAATAGCACGGTCTTTTATCCTTGCAGCTAGACATAAATTACATGGTAAAGCACCAAGATATGACAGTCATCACTGCCTTTGTGTGATAAAGAAGCAGGTTCAAAAGAAGCCATGATTTGCTGAGGGAAAAATAGGTCAAGTGCTGCATTTACTCGGATATTCAAGGAGAAAGCAGGGCTGAGAGAAAGAAAGAGTTCCTTCACCTGCCTCCTGGACTTATCCGTAGAAAAGTCCAGATTTGCGGTTTCCAGATTCTATTTTATTTTGCTTTTTCATTTGACTTTATTCATTTTTATCATTGCTGTTAACTTTGATACCATTCTGACTCACCGTGTAATTTCTCCATCCTCTTTCCTCTTCAGTAAAATCCAGTCTGGCAACAAGCTGGTTCTGGCCATCACCACTGAAGCCTGCCAGGGGAAGGACAACTTTGTCCGCTACCTGGAGCATGTTCAGGCGGTGGTCACTGTCAACGCCAGCCGCCGAGGGGATCTCAACATCAACATGACCTCGCCCATGGGCACAAAGTCCATCCTTCTGAGCCGAAGACCCCGAGACGACGACTCCAAAGTTGGCTTTGACAAGTGGCCCTTCATGACCACCCACACCTGGGGCGAGGACCCCCGCGGGACCTGGGTTCTCGAGGTGGGCTTTCAGGGTGAGGAGCCACAGCGGGGGGTCCTGAAGGAGTGGACTCTCATGCTGCATGGAACACAAAGTGCCCCTTACATAGACCAGATAGTGCGTGATTATCAGTCCAAACTGGCAATGTCTAAAAAGGAGGAGTTGGAGGAGGAGCTGGATGAGGCTGTGGAGAGAAGCCTGAAGAGCTTGCTGAGTAAAAACAACTAAAACCCATCTGCATGTTGTCAAATCTTTCACTTTCTCTCCCTCCATCTCCGCAGTCTCGCTCTATCTTTCTCTAAATCTCACATCTATCACCTCAGTTCCTCTCACGCAATCCTTCTCCTCCCTTTTGTCTACCTCTTATCTGCCTCTCTCTGCTTTCTGTTCTCAAGTGTTTCAATTAGCCCCCAATTTTCAATGAATGTGTGTGTGTAATCGAACCATCATTCAAGTGTCACTTTTAATAACTGTTCTAGAGAAACGAAACTATATCACCTGGATTTTTACACTCTACAGAACTGTACATAGACAGAAAACCGTATATAATCCACTCTTTCATGCTCTTGCTTTGACTGCCCTGCACCTCTTCTGCCAACTGTTGTACAGTTTGTGACTGTAAATGATTTTCTGTGTCATTCTACTTAAAGTTTATTATCTTGCAAACGGAGCAGTGATACTTCTTTCTGTTTATATTTTTATGTGACACGCACTGTTTCTATAAACAAAGAAAGGAATATGTATTTTATTTTGCAGCCTGTGGTCCTCAGTTCATATTTCATAATCTTTGACGTAAACTATAATAAATCTATTCAGCTGTTTATTAAAGCACTTGAGTGATTTACAACACACCACCCAGACTTCCATTAGAGTTCTTACCTGGTAGATGTAACACAGAAGCAGATTTTTAAGTTAAAACTCCGACAACAACAACAACGAAAATGCCGAGGAGGCAGTCACTGTGTTGAAAACGTTGCTAACCTAGCTTTGGACCAACCCAGAAACAGGTAGAAGTGAGGCAGGCTTTAGTAAGTTAGTTAGTTAGCTACAATGCAGCCACCTATCAGTCAACTGATAATAATGTATATTATTTAAGCCTTTAAACAGTCTTAATTGTGGCATTACACAAAAGTCCATACCCTGTAGAGTGACTCAAATGAATTTACAATCTACATATCAAGACATGTATCTATCTACATATATCAATATCATAAACTATTTTTGGGCAAAAATGAAGCAATTGATTTAGGAGCAGGAGAGCAAAACAGTCCCTCGATAACGTCATGCTAAACAGAGGACAGCACGGCCAATTGAAGATGATCGAATACAGTGACAGTACATGATTGGCACTCATTTGTCCAAATTCACCAGGCTATCAATGAATCTCTTTACACTTTTCTGCTGATGTTTTAACAATTGTTATTTCCTCTTTTGATCTTTAAAAATTGTTTTAAACAACTAATCATAATCATAATCTTAACTGTTTCAGAAAACTACAAATAGATGTTTTCTTTCCAATTTTGTCATTTAGATCAGAGATTATCTTCTTGTTTTTCTTCTGATTTGCTTATTATACTCTTTATCTGTCTAGGTACAGATTGGATCAATATTGTCAACCACTAAACGCAATATTAAAAAAAGACTGTGTTTCCTACAAATGATGCAGCTTTTAAGATATGACCTGAGATTAAAACTTAAAAAAAGAGCTTATTTGATCTAAAATTGTCCACAGATTTGTAATAAGCATGGCACACTGTGTGTTCGGCGAAAAGCAAACAGACTGGGATTTCATTGATGTTTGAATCATTTTTATTATTCAATATATCAAAGCAAATTAATACACAGCAAAATTGTGCTGAGGGCAGGCAGTGGCATCCAATTAAACAAATGAGCTCAAAGGGGAAAGATGGAGTTCTAAGACAGAGTCAAGAAGGGTGGCACATCTTCTCGTCTTTCGTTTCTGATGAATTTTATTGGTGGAGCTTCAGTTTCATTGTCCCAAGTTTTCAGACAGTAAAGGACTCAGAGCATGAGTGAGGGTGTTGGATCGAACAACAACAGCAGCACTTATGGAACCAGCCAAACGTATTCTGGACGCAAGACCAGAGACTGCAAGCAAATGGAAGGGCACTGAGTAATAGAGCAGGAATGTGAACATGAGTCTTATTACAAAAGTTTGAGGAATGGTTTTGTTTACGTAGCCTGATACCAACATCAGGATTGTCCCGGACCACTTAGGACCCTGGTGGAACTGACTAGAGCATCATGCAAGGTGTTGTGGTTTCAATGCTTCTTCTTGCTGGACTTCTCGATCATGGTCTCCACCACCATGGAAGTCTCCTCGTAACCTTTCATCTTGCGGCCGTTAGAGAATTTCTCTACAGATTCCACCACCTCCACCTTCTCATAGCTGAGGGCGTCAGGGGTGTAGCTTCCAGAGCTGGTGCTGGAGCTGGAGCTGGTGCTTGCACCACGAGGAGCAGGCTTTGGAGTTGGCCCACTTGGACCAATGTCGTCCTTGTTCTTCTTTGGTTGATCAGCAGCTGGAGTTGGATCTTTGGGGCCAGAGCTTGGACCAGAATATGGGCCAGGACTTGGGCCAGGGTGTGGAGGGAGTGGACTCGGATCTTTGGAGTAAGGTTGAGGCTCCCCATCCCTATGCTTACCTTTACCTCCATTGTCCTTCCCTCTTTCTTTATCGTCCTTTCCTTCTCCGCCCTTAGAAGGATAGGTGGGACTAAGAGGCCTTGGGTCTACAATTGGTTGAGGAGGAGTAGGAATAGGAGTAGGTGTAGGAGTAGGAATAGGAATAGGAGTAGGAGAAGGAGTAGGAATAGGAGTAGGTGTAGGAATAGGAGTTGGAGTAGGTGTAGGAGAAGGAGAGGGTCCTATGTGTCTGTGAGGGTCATAGGGAGGTATCACTCCATCTCTAATAGTGACAAAGACACGGCCAGCTGATGGTGTGGAGGTGCAGAAGCAGGGATCTGGGTAGCTGCTGTCACCGGTGACGAGGACATAACGACCCTTGGTGTAGAAGTCAGCGATTGGCTCTGGCTTTTTGTACTTCCTCATTCTATCTCTGACGATGTTACAAAGAGTGTCAAAGGCTTTGCTAATCTGAGCCCCATCTGGGACATCTTGTGGAGACACCCCAGTGAGGACAGGTCTGTGCTCGGCTCTCTTCATCCTCTCCTCCTGCACTTCCTCTGATGGGATTCCCTTTGTGTCGTCATCCTGAGCCTCTCCAGCAGTTGCCCCGTTTTTGTCCTCCGGGTTGCTGTCAGCCATCTCTTTAGGGGACAGCTCTTTCTTCTTGAAGACCTTCTTGGCAAGAATCTTCTGGCGGGGCTTGATGCTGGTGATATCTTGGATGGCCAGGGTGATATCTAGACACAGAGTCACATGTTAACTAGGTGGGATTCATGAACTAATGAGACATTTCAGTGGTGTAGCGTGCTTTAGAGCAATCTAGTCTTTGAAAATCTGACGCAGCTGGATAGTTACGGCTGAATCTCTACTGGTGACAAAACCTATCTTATTGGTAGCTGATTGTTCGAACACCTAGAGGTGATTCTCAGTGTATACTAGCAGGTATATGTTCATGAAGGTCTTACCTCTCCCTCTGTTTGATGCAGTGGGTGTGTGAGTGTAGCGATAATTAGTGGTGAACAGGGTAATAGGAGTGCCAATTATCGCTGAGTTCAACCTGCAGAGAAAAAGAGCAGTAAAATGTCAAACCTACAACTGAGCAGCTTTGTTTCCCAGAGAAGTCTTAAAAGGAAATGTGATTCGAAAAGGGTAGGAAAATACCTTTAAACTTCAAAATTTCACAAGTTTAAAAAGAAAGAAAGAAAGAAAGAAAGAAGCCTTGTTATTGTGCTACTGAAAGAGAGGAAACCATTTGTTGTGGTACAGTGCCACCTGCTGGATGATTCTGCATGCATGCCTCTCCTTTTCTGAGGACTTAACCATCGTACTTAAAGTCACATATTGATCCTTTTTCAATACATAGAAAGGCCATGAAACAGTGACCTTCATGCACCCTAGAAACCGATGTTTAAGAAATGCATAAATTTGATTTTAAAGACACAATATCAACAACATCTTATTTTATCAGTATTGTATTCTGCCTTTTAAGAAGAGTAAAGATGCAAGGAGCCAATCTCAACCATTCAGACTTTAAGTGCCAATGTCAGCAGGTCTTTAAGTGTCTGCAACTAGGTCAAGGCAGCGCACCTGTTGTCCTCGTTCTCGATGATCCTCTTGTACCTCTCCAGCTCATTCTCAAGAGACGTCTGGTACATAGAGAGGTGGCGACATTCGCTGGTGAACTTCTCCAGCGACCTCTCGGCCTCTTCGATCTCCTTGCGCAGCGATTCAATCTGCTCGTTGTACGTCTGGATCTCATCATCGTAACTCTCCTGTGTGTTTTTGATGGCTTGGTCCAACATTGTAGTCTTAAGGAAGAGACAAAGACAGGAGATGATTCGGGAAGTGTGGTTAAAATTGTCAAAGCCCCACTAGAGTCAATAGTGCAATGATCAAGCAATTTATAGTAACAGCAGCTCTATAGTCATGAATTTTAAAAAACGCTCAGAGGAAGGTTGAAAAAGGGTGAAAATCAAATAAATCAAATAAAACTGGTTATTGATAATAATAATAAAAAAAAGAGTAAACAACACAACCAAAAGAAAAAAGTTTCATTTGAGAATCTAGACTTTTAGGTTAAAAACACTGTTTGTCCTCGCTACTCTATTATGATTAGACAGTCATGGCTGACATCTAGTGGTTCTACTGCAGCATGTACAACACTGGGGCTGTAGAAGCCTGTAAAGAGGACTTAGCTTTGTGTTTTTATGAATAAAAATATATATAAAAAAGTGTCATGTGAAATAAAAAGTCACATTGAGAAAAACTTTTGAAGTAAATGCAAGTAAATTACTGCCTTTACCTACTGCTACAGTGACCACAGGACTCACCTCAGTCTGCAGACGATGTTTCTGAGCCTGCAGCTGACAGAGGGCGCTCTTGAACTCCTCCAGCTGACTCTGCAGCTCTGGTACTTTCCTCTGGGCCAGCAGCTTCTCCTGCTCCTGTAAACATGATGCACAAACCACTGAGGACATGCAGGGAGGCACAGTTCATATATGCACTTCACACATACCCAGCAATGAAGCATCTTTTAAGTTCATCAGTTTCAGAGCTCTGGAATTCTCAGTATTTGGAGAGACGTGTGCATTTTCCAGACACTCAATAATAATTCAGATAATTCCAAGGAGCAAGAGCTTAACTTGTTTTTAGTCTTGTCAAAAGTTAACAGTCATTCTTCTCAAAAGTTGAACTATTTTTAGTCCATTGAGTTTTATACATCATGTGGCCGCAGAGTATCTATATCTATTAAGTTTTAGACCAACCTGTTATTAAAACTAAAAATGTCCCTCCTATTCTCATCAGAATGATTTCAATTCACTTCTACGGCTTAAACTTAAACTTAAACAACCTTATTCAAAGAGTTTGGGGTTTCTTGGTTAAGATTTAGAAAATTGAGGTCATAAAAATGAACACAAACAGTTATGAGTTGGATCTTTCCTGAGGGGCTGAGATTTTTAATGGTGACAGTCTAATTTCAGAGTTGGATCATTGCATGATAGTAAAACTCTACACACACAATAAAATCTAATTAAGAAATTCAATTTCAAGTTTGCAAGTTCAAGCTTGACAGTGTAATTTTGGTGCTTGACTATTGTGTATAATTTCGGTGTATTAGGTGATATGTCTTGTATACTTGCTAATTTTGTCCCGCACAGTTGTAAATATTTTTTATAAAGGCAAAAATCTTATCCTGCTTTTTTTAAACAGTCACATGTATCATTTATCACGGCTGATTTACATTCCTGATTGCTACCCTCTTCATGCATTACAACCTAAAAATGGCAATTATAAATCTTGAGGCTGACAGTCTAGTTTACCATCCTCACAGGATCTTGAATTACACAACATGATAGATTAATTGGTAACGCTTTCTTTTACGGTACACTTATTACCAGGTAATTAACAGGTAATTACCCAGTAACAACATGAAATTATCTAGTAATTACATGATAACTACTGAGCCAATACTGTCTAGTTTTTCCTTTTTTCTTTTTTCTGTCCTGCTCCATTTTCACAAGCTATTTGGGGTTCTTATTTTCTATGATTGACACTTGATACAGCGTATGGGCGTGCGAAGGCTGCGTAGCGATACGCTGTTTGAGCCGAGCATTATCACAGTGACTCAACCGCTGAATGCGAACAGTGCTACTGCGCAAGTGGTGGTTCCAGGAAGCGGAGGAAATCCTGGAAATACCAGAGCAATTCGGCTTCAAATTTCTATGATGATGGTGATGATTACCTACCTGGTAGCTTCACAGTTTTGACTTAGTAGTTATCATGTAATTACCACATAATTTCATGTTGTTACTGGGTAATTACCTATTAATTACCTGTTAATAAGTGTATCGTAAAATGAAGCGTTAATGATTAATTTTGATAAGAGCAGAATGACTGAAAACATTTGTTCAACTTAAATAAAGCATCTCAATCTATATCCCCCAGTTTCTTATTTTTCTAGGTTCTTGCACAACAAGCAACCACTCACTGCTGCTCTCTATCTTAATGGAACTAATTGTACTATTTCTCCATTAAGACTAGCTCTACCTCTGTGAAATGTTTCTATGAATACGTCATAATCTGCTGCACATATGTTAGCTGCTGTGAGTGCAGTTCCTCATACATTAAGCTCATCCATCCTCTGCATTTACTTCCTGATGTACCCTCGTATATTGGAGTTGATGGCCTGCACATGCAGTATGTCTATAGTTGTGTCTCTTCACACGTGTTTACAAACACGCCTACACGTGTGGGGAGAGGGGTGCCTATACAAATAAACACCCGGGGCAGTAATTTAACATATCAGCACAGGTAATTTTCCTGGGATGTCACATTTAAAAGCTGGAAAAAGAAGCGCTGTTTTATTGTTTGGGTTCTGTGTCAGCGATTGGCAATGTTTCAACTCTATACAGCAAAAGGAAATCAGCTTTGGCCTTCACACAGTCAAAGCTAACATTTACACAAATCTAAGCTTACATTACTTGGCTTCGAATGGAACATTATTTCATTTACTGTACTACTATATAGTATAAAAACACAGAACAGTACTGTTAGACTTCAGCCACTTCCTCAACTCACCGAGAAGCTATGGCTCTTACTCAACTGGGGTTTATTAAATTTTGTTATTTTATCTTGAAATATGGCTAAATTTCCTTTTAGATGTTCCCTGTTCATCATCTTTTGTCTGACTGTAGCTTATTGGTGATAAATATGTTGTACTGTTTCAAACACCAGCCTAATTTCTTCAAAGATTTTGACTGTTGATTGTTCTGATTGTCATCTTTCAGTGCTGTACTGTCCAGACACAAAAAAGCCAAGACAATGTTTTTTCACCTACAGACTTGGCGATAAATTAAGTAATTAATAGTAAATTGTGCAAAATATTGATGATAATCTGATTTTTTTATTAGTTTTAGACTGTCTTGCTTGAATTTAGATTTCCCAGAATCCAAATGAACCCTGAGTATGAAAAATATAACAGCATCTGAGCTTTCCACTCTCACCATTATGCAAGATAAAAGTCACGTGGACTCACATGACAAAAAAACTCATCACAACAGGCACAAAGGGAAGGCTGACACTCTTAGCAAACACCATCTTCTCCGCCAAGGACTGTGGCACACAAAAACATTCGGTGACGACATTATTGACCTCACCTCTGAAATGCCCACTGAGACGTTCGGAGTGAGAGGCAGCGTCTGGTTGATTTGCTGCAAAATGTTCACGTAGGTCTGGATCTCTGCAAGGTTCTGAGAAGAAAATGAGAAGAATAAAAGACAAAAAAAGATTAAATATAAAACTCTGAACACCCCCAATCAGTTTCACGCTGCAAAATTTAACTCCTTCATTCAGTCTAGTTACATAACCACCTACTTACTTTTACATTTCTCTGTAAGGTTTGACAGATAATGAAGGTGTCTGACAAAAGAATTTCATTGGCTATGATATATATTCATCACACTCTCAGCATCTCTTTCTTTTTCTAGAAATCCATTAGGTCGAGCATGATCTCTGACTGGGTAATAAAGAGACTTTCTCTCTAGGTGTATGTCCTCCTCCTCCTCTACTATAAAGCTCAGGTGTAAAGGCCCATTTATTCATATGCATCCTTTTCTTTCCCTACAGCAGAGCCTTTTGATGTGCTATCGCAATACTGCAATGTCATGCATTAATTCATCATCAAAAGCAGCACTGGGTGACAAAGAGAGAGAGAGAGAGAGAGCTAGCAATAGAGAGTGTGCTTTAAGCATTATGTGACAGCCTGGTTTTCTTTAGTCTCAGCATTTATGTGGCCATTATTTTTGCACCTTTAAGCCATTCCCCCCCTGCACAGAGGGTTATATTTCAGCCCTTGTCTCTCTGCCGCTGTCCTGTCATATCTCAGTGCCCATGAGCAGACATGTTAAATTTTTCCATTAAACCTTTCTTCACCCACATCAAGGGTAAAATTGCTGCCAAAGCCCTGGGTATATCATAGTATTTCCTCTGGCCCATTTGTTCAGGTCTTGTACCTCAACAAAAGTACAATGCTCCTCATAATTCTCATATTCTTGATGTGGACTGCTTTGAACGATGTCAGGACATAATTGAAGCTATTTTTTCAAGACAGCCTGTCACTGTTTAAAAGTCAATAAATAAGAGCTCAGTGCCTGTCTAATTTTTCCTGAGCATCACTGCAGTTTCTCACTGCTAACTCTGATTTCTTGCATCAAATAGTGTCAGTTTCTATAAAAAGATAACGCCTGCAAAGTCACAAGTGGCCATTAACAAATACCAGTTTGCAAAACCCTTTGTTTTTTCATTGCAACGTGTCATTGTCCACGCCGTTTTCAAATGCCAGCCTGAGTAAGCATGCCAGAGTGCCATAAAAATGCAGACATCTCATTATAAAAAGGCTCTAAAATGACCCAATCTGAGTTTAGAGGCCTCACATTTTTATATTCTGACCTTCTCGGCTGCACAGACGCTCTTAAATGTGGTCTGAGTGCATTTTTAACGATTTGGTTAACTAATCCAAAATCATATTGCATGGCAGATTAGTGTGAGGGTTGTTCAAGAAGCCAGTGCTGCAACAGTCAGTTAATTTTCAGGTTTGGAAGTTACGATAATTTATTCCTTATCGATAATGCGACTGACCTTCTTGTGTCTATCTCTGGTTGAGTTAATGTCGTCTTGCAGGAACTGCGATTGAATCTGGAACTCAAGGTTTCTCAGCAAAGCACTGTCAGCCTCCTGCAAGAGAGACGAAAAGAGAAGAGAAGAGAAGAGAAGAGAAGAGAGGAACAATGGAGAATCCAATGGAAAACACGATTAATGGCACGGTGTGTACTTAGTGAAGCTTTAGGCATGTTTGAAGCTAATTGTATTGGATTTGACATGTCGGAGTAAAAATAAGCATTTTTATTACAGTAATCAATTGGAGAAACCTCCTTTCATCCATACTCTACCTTGTTTAGCTGTTCCAGTGTGCCTCGAAGCTGCTCTTGATAATCACATTCATTTCTGTATCTACAAAATAGAAACACCTCGTTTGTGTTAATTTCAGAAACAGTTCAACCTGACAGTGAGCAATTATCATAATTAACCTGTGCGTTTCTTGAGTTTAACTGCATGTGTGTGCCATGTGCAAAGGGTGAGAGAGCATCAATGAACAAATCTATCTTCACGGCTCTGTAAACGCACTATTCCAGGGCTGTAAATTGGGTTCACAGAGCGGTGAGCCCAGCTCTCTTGACCTCCTGAATCCACTAAAGTTGCTCAATATTCTTCTCAGAGAATCAGAAACATGGTGGGTGGAGTCAGTTGATATATAATAGTTTTTGAGGAATTTATGGATATTTGAAATGTTAAGTTCAATCAATTTATAAAATGTAACTTTCTCTCCTCCTTTAATAGAGTCTGTCTGTGATACTAAACAAATTTCTCTATTTTAACTGTTGTAGTCTGAGTTTATTAAAGTCACAAGAGGTTGCTTGTGAGAATTAAACATTAATATATTAATACCACTATGATACTTTAAATATTTTTAAATATTTCTGTGACCTTTTGACATCACATTATTGCATTATAGCAACTTTCAATCGTGTTTAGTGACACAGTGACTCGTCACAGTAATCAGTATATTTTTTGACAGTTTGATTGCATTGATTGCAATAAATAATTTTGACTACTGATCTAATTGTCTTTTTCCCCAAACTGATGTCTTTGCATCTGGTTAAGGTTTTTTACCATCTTTTCTGAACCCTTTAATACTTTTATATACTTCTATCAAATCAATATGATCAATAAATTACTAAAAAATACAGTCTGATAAATAATGTCCTCTTGTTGTTTATCAGTTTCCAAAAACATCTAATGTATCAAATGAGATAAATAAATATATTTGTTACATTTCAAGGACATTTTGATTTTTTTGGTTTTCAGTCGTAAGTGAAATAAACATTTCAGCTCCAAAAAAAATTGAATTTTTTGACCATGATTTGTGGTGTCTGGCATTAAAGGGCAACAAAGTGACACTTGGAATAAAATGACATTTGTACACAACCCAAGGACTCCAAAGTTGAGATTTTTCTGTCCACACTATCACAGAAAGGCCACAACTCTCCACTCCCCGCTCTCTTACTTGCTGGTGAATTCATCCAACATCCGGCAGGCATCTCTCAGCTCTCTCTCCAGCTTGGCGTGCTCAGAAAAAAGCTCTCTGATTCTCTGTTTGTTAACTTCAATCTGCTCTGTGAAGGCCTCCTCCAGTCCGCTGGCTTCTTCCATCCGCTGCAGGGTCTCCAGTTGTTTGCGGAAAACAGCATTGCGTTGCTCCAGGACTCGGGCCCTGTTGATGTAGCGGGCAAAGCGGCTGTTGAGCTCCTGTAGGCTCTCCCAGCCCTGGATAGCCGAGATGCCCGCAGAGGATTCAGAGTACTCAGGTTCCTCATCGAAGACATCTGAACGCTCATACTTCTCCTTGCGCACCTCACGCAGGTAGCTGGTCTTGAACATGGTTGCTTTCTCCTCTGGGTTGATGGTATCCCCTGGAGTGCTCGGTCCCCTTTAGCACCTTTAATGTGTGAAAACTTGGGTGCTCACCCTTGGCTGTCTCATGCTAGACTAAACGTTGCACAGCACTGACCGCTGGCGAAATAGCCCTCAAAACCTCCCCCTGGTCATGGCTGCACATGCTGTGAACCTGGGGCCTTCCAGAGTTTATTGTTGCCTTTGTAGTAGAGAATAGAAAAGCCCTGCTGGTGATGACAAAGCAGATACCCCAACACAAACAAGTGGCGGGCCCGCGAAAGCACTGGGTGGTCACACACCATTATCTCAGTTCTTAGTCAGCTGCTTTCTAGATCCCTGTTTGATAGGGCAGATTGGCAGTACGGGACAGAGGGGAAATTTCGTGCAGGGCCGTTTGTGTGGACTATGGAGAACAACTACTGCCAGGCATGACGGAGTGGGGATAGACTGTGGACAGTGCACTGCAGAAATCTGATGTGTGTTTACAGATCGTGATCTAAAGTGTTACACAAAACCCTGAATACAGATATCAACACAGATTGGTTCAAGGCAAACAAACCCAAAACACTTTGTTACGTGATCATAATACAAACAGTGAATGCTAAGTTCTTGGTTTGGTATTGTTTTAGTTTTGTCTATCAAGAGCGAACACGTGAAATTAGATCATTTAAATACTGAGCATGTATCTCAAAGTTTTTCTTGTTGCTTTGAACTGATTGTAAAAAACCCATATTCAAATACAAAGTGGTTGCAGTGATTTACAAGGGAGCTGGTCTCAGCACTGAACTTTTTGCACTTTTGTCCCATTCTTTTTTTCTTTATTCAAAGTGCATTCAGAGGACATCTCATTACATCTTCATTATCATATAACATCTCCTTTGATTTCATTTTATGCAACCTGTAGGGGAGACACAGTAGAAGAACGAGGAAGAGACACAGGGGCCTCTGCATGCCCTCCGCATACTGATGTGAGGGGAGTCATAAATACCTCTCTGGACAGATCCAGCAAGTTGTCTGTAAAACAGCTGAGTGAAACGCATGTCATGGCTTTTCATCAGCAGATTTTTGCTTCAGCATGCCAATGGCCCATAGCTCAACTAGCAGACTACTAATTACACTTTCCAATGAAAATAAGTCAATTAAATACAAACTTAAATGGATATAGCATGGTTGTTCAGTGAGACAACCCACTGAGCTATGATGGCTATTGGACGTCTATGTTTTTTAGACCTAATTTCAACCATCTAGATTTTGTATATTTTTGGACGGAATTTAGACGTTGCACTCTAACCCATTATTTGATAACTATTTATTTCAAAAAGCAACTGTGAACTACATAATTGATCTCCAAGTACTCAACCAAAATAATTATGATAGTCATTGAGCAATATACAATGTAGACCTCTGTTACCTGGCTGGTCTAAACTTAGTCTAAATTTAGATATCTAAAAAATTTTCATTTTTAGACCTGTGGTAGCCTGATTTTAGACCAGTTGTCTGGGCTACATTTAGACGTCCATTAGACCTCTCTTAGACAAAAAAAAAAAAAAAATGCTCAGTGGGAACTCTTGATCCATCAGGTCCAGTAGGAAACTAAAATAAATTGTAGTCCTTGCTTGCACTTGTCTGACCTGAAAACCTCGGTCATGAAATATCTCTAAAACGATAATTTCTCATAACCTCACTTTAAATGTTGAAAAATTGTAATGTTGTTGCTGAAAAATCAACTGTTGCTTCAACTGCATTGTAAGAGCATTGAACAAGGGTGTATCTCTTTGTTAATGTCAAGAAGACTTTTTAGAGAGAGCTCATAAACTGAACCACAATACTGATGGTGTGGCAGCTTCCTAAAGTGAGGCCAAAACACTTAGATCGCACTCTGGTGGCTTGCTGCACATACAGTAGTCCATTGAGCCTGCCTTCTTCATGTAAATAGGTGGGTTATGGCTTAAACTTTAATATAAAAACACACTTCAAATAGGTTGGTCTCAAACATACTTTTTGTTATTGTTATACTCATGATATATTTGGAAAAGTTTAATTCTGATGAGTTGTAACTGGCAGCTCTGTGGATGGTTTGCTGCTTCATTCTCTAACTGATCAGAGTTGTTTGGTTTCTATGACCCTGAGGGTTTCAGTTGTGTACAGACCAACACAAGATGCTGTTTCACTTTGGACCAGGCCAACCTGAAAATATCAGTCATTTCACCCATTAGTGAAATATGTGTTTTTTGTAATGATAGCAGCAGGACATCAATACCGTATTTCCACCACTCTACTGGGCTCCTAATAACCCCTCATGGCATGATGGAAGTCATATCTTGGTTTCACTTTAAGAGGTTTTCTTTCTCTTACTTCCCTTTCCAGCCAATTACCGCAGAAACAAGACCAGGACAGTTCCCCTCCTGAATGAGCTCACTAGTCTGAGCCTCCTGAGGAATATGTGGAACTCAACCTCAATAACTCTCAAAGTAATTCAGTCTGTCATCAAATGTTTGTGATGAAATGACTCTACATCCCACATATCCTCATGACATTTCCTCAATGAGTGTTTCTAATACAGTGCACTGAAGCAGTCTTCATCTATAAAGGGTTTAAAATGAAAAAAAAATATGTTGCTTTCATTTAAAAAAGTTTAAATGGCACTGAATCATTTGTACAGTTTATAGGGTTTAATAGACAGTTACACAAGTATGTTGTTGTAATACGTTATTTTACCCAGAAGATGGCGCTTTAAAAAATATGTGGCCATATAGCGGATAAAAGTGTGCAAGATACACACCAAGGTGGACCAGCACAGAGGCTAGGGATGACAATCTATAACATTTAGTGATATCGATATCATAATCAATACTGTTTCTCGATCCAATTCTTTACTGATTAGCTGATCAATTCATGTGAATTTTGTGTCATTTTTCTGTGTCAAAAACACAAAATTTTATTATATGTTTTATCACAATACAAAATTATTTAGCTGACACTTTTATCCAAAGCCACGTACATTCAAAGATTGAGCTCAGCCAGCAGGGGCATGCAGGGTCAGGTCTTGCCTAAGGACACTTCAGCACATAAACAGCTCTGGAATCAAACCTCTGAGACTTTCCAATCAGGAGACGATTGACTCTGCCAACTGAGCCACAGCTGCCCCTGCCTCTGATTACTACCTTCACTGCTCTGCTGAGACAGGGTTGTCTGGCTTCTGATTGGACCTTTAACAGTAAACTGATTGTACCTACAGACGCTGACTGGTTGACAGTAAATCGGTATGCTGGTATTGTGGGCACAACAATGTTTAGTTGTATACCACACCACTTTGAAGCACGTCTGTCTTCTGTCCATCATAATTTGATGCCATTCAGGCGGACTTCTTCTCACAATGTATCGGGGTATTTTTCTGCACGGCCCACAGAACGAAGAGGAAGGCATCAATAAGGGAGTAAGTGCAGTAGTTCATCTGTCCCTCCCTCACAACTATCAACGCCGCCGTATCCTGAGTTCAACCACTGTAGCGAGCAAAATAATGGTAGAAAAAGAGGGACACAGTTGAACAGAAAAGCCCATTGAAAACTCCTCAAACAGCAGAGTGACTGACGTTCATGCCAAGGACTTTTCATACTTGGCATTTCAGACAGACTGAAGTGCTCATTGACATTTAAAGCCATGTCTGACCTGCAGCCCAATCACTGCCTTTTTTTGTTTACAATGGCTCCAGCCTCCAAGAAAACATAGATTTTTGTTTTTTTGAGTCAAACATCCTGAATTCATACAAAGAAGGAAGGAATAACAAATGCCGAAAGGGCTATTTATACAAATAATCTCTTAAAGGAGCAGTGCCCTAAGCCGAACCAGCACTTGTCCAAAATAAAATGCCTCTGCAAAGATTTAGAGCTCATAAATAAAAATATATTTGTATGGATTCTTTTTCATTGCTTCTTATTTCCCCATAAAGTTGTCAACAATAAACTACCTGGATATCTGTCCACTGTCACACAGGGGCCATAGATTAAAGGTCTTGTTTCATGCATACTGTTGAGAGAACATCAGTATCAAACCGTTCTATCTTCCCATCTATATTCATCTGTTACGAGTAGCAGTAAATCTGAGGCCTGGGTGAGATTAGAAAGCTGTCCAGAGTTGGAAATGAAAGTGTAGTGTTTATCCCCCCTGGTCCAACCTCTGAGGATGCAGTGACAGACACCAGCAAGGCCGAGCACGCCGCTTCTTGTATTTAGGAGGATAATAAAGAAAGACAACAAACATGCAAAGTCCCTTCCTTCCTTCCTCTCTCGAGGGCTGGGGGAGTTCAAGCTCTGGAGAAGAATGCGACTTCTTTCTCATCCTGTTTCCACTATAGGCCCATCAGTGTCTTTTATTCTCCTTTATTATATTCAAACTGCACCGGCTATCAGTCATCGCTTTGCTCTTACTGAGAGTCAACACAAAAAGCCATTCGGCAGCTATTGACAGATGATTGTCAGAGGCGAAATAAAGCAGAGCTGTGCTACTCCATCACAATAAGGAATTGATCCTACAGAGTCATCAGTGCTGCTGTCGGAGTGGGTTTATCTGCTGTTCAGGATGGATGATCACAGAGATTTGGACTTGACAGCTTCCTACTGCCCATCTTTGTATTGAACCCCTGATAAAACGAGCAAACAAGGATACCATTAGATCCAGTCTCTAATTACTGATTTCTTGTTTCATGTTTCAGAAACACAGCAAGTGATAACCCACCAAATCCCTCTGCAAGCTTGTTCGTTATGAACAAAAATTTCACTCAACATCTTGGATATTGATTTTTACCCCTAAAGCCATTGTGTAATCAGTGCCAACCGTGGATATGAATGTCAAAAAGGTTTTTTTCCTTTCCACCTTTTGTCCCCAAAGACCTGCACATAGCAGCTCTTGTAACTAGAAATCAAAGGGTATTTATTCACCACGTTATCCTGACCTGCAGTGATTGAAATCCTGGAAAGCCTGTAACCCTCTTATGGAGTGATCATCATGAGGTTTTAAAATATGCGTACTTGCATTCACAATGTGCAGTATGTGCATTTTAATACCTGCATGAAAAAAGAGGTTATATTGAGGCTGTAAAAGAAACCCAAACCCTGGACACTGTCAATATGAAGCATAGTGAAAAAGAATCACCACTGAGAACAGGATCTTTTAAGGGACAAAAAGATGTTGGCTAATTGCTTTTTTAAAAGGACATTAAATACAAATTGATTGTCACTGCGGAAAACAGGGAAATAGCCGGCCAGGGAATTAAGAAACTAAAGAATTCAGCAGAGAGTCTTTATTACCTCCAGCAACAAAAACAGTAAACAACTGTAAAAATTAATGCAGTAATCGATCCATGCGAGTTTACTTTATACTCAGTGCAGATCTCCACCGAGCATGTTTTTCTTTTTCTCTACAAGCTCTTTATTCAGTTAAGATTGCCAAGATGCCTCTACAATTGAAGAAAATTGTATAGTTTCTGATTTATGTGGTTGATTACCACAAACTGAGATCTTGAGAGGACGTCACGCAAACACGAATCGATGTTCACAAAAACTGTCACGCTGATGAGCCCAGCAGAAGGTAGAGCTAATAAACTAATGTAGACACATGTGAAAAAATCCATAATGCCCTCTAGCTTCCACTTTACCAGTCACAAAAGCTGGCACATCCACCTTAATCATTTGCACGTGAGGAGGTTTCCTTATACAAGCCATGCTAACAAGCAAGAGGTATGCAAGCTGACATGCCAGCAGGGGGAAAAGAGGGAAGCAGAGGAAAAGATCTGATTTCAATTAGTCTGGATACATGTCATTAGGGTCTGTGCTGTTGGGTGCCAACTTTGTTTTGGGCTTAACTTTGTAAACCAGGGTCTTGCTGAGTCTATTGGAAACAAGAAGCTGACACTTAGAGGATGAAGATACATGCCAGATTTCTCACTCAGGATTTCACAAAAACCAAGGTGAAAGGAAAAAGAGATGCTGTAGCTGAAAGTGAGGTTATTTTACTGAATTTTATACTGTATATCAGCGTCATCAAAGCTGGTTTCCACTGCCCCCATGTGGCAAAAAAAATTGTGAATTCTTGCAAATGGGTCAATAAGTCATCTTGTTTGCTGCGAGAACACTATTCATGAAGAGTAGAAAACTAGAAGGAGAGATCAACTCTGAATCATTTACCCAAGTCAACTCAGAGAACAAGTGAATTACACTGTTTTGTGCCTTTTGAGTAACTGGGCTTGGTGTATTTACATGTAGTTCAACTCAAATACCAGGGAATTAAAAACTTTGTCAATGTGGATTTGCCGGAACTGTAGTACATATTGACAGCTTGGAGCAGGAAAAAACATCAGTATCCTCTGCAAACTCATAATCACTAGCTATTAGGGCTTGATTGGGGGTGTGGCTGAAATCAGAGATGGGTAGATGCTGCTTGTCATCTGCTATCGCCTTGGCTGAGTCTCATCACCTAACATGGCATTTAGCCAATGTTCTTAGTGTTATTGGTTATTTTAATCAAAAACATCTGTGCTGATTATTTTATAGTTAACACAAATGGTAGTTGCTGGTGTTAATGCTTGCTGTACTGTTCAGTAGATATTTTTACAGCAGCCCCTGAATGGTCGGAAATGTCGATGTCTTTTCCCTGCAGAGATGGCAGCTGTAGTTATGACCATTTATTCTGAGTAATAATTATTCTAATTGTTTGGTATAAATGACAACAAACTCTTTTATCGGCTATTACAATCCAATCCAATACATACTTTATGTATCCCAAACGGGAAATTCATTAGTCTTATTATTTATGAATCTTAGTCAAAAATTCTAAAAAAAGGTTTTAATGTGGTACCTGCCCAATGTTTGCAGTTTCCTACCTGTTGCAGTGGCCACTTTTATGGTGAGGCAGATTTAAGATACTCCAAAGACCTTTTTCTTTTGCAGCAGTGGCTGTTCTTGGCCACCATAAGTAACCTATTTAGCCAGTCTCTGTCTGGGGGTGGAGTCCTTTATTCCTGATTCAGCTATCATCCCTTTAGGCTCTAAAAAACCAAAAGGGTCATATCCAAATTTTTTTAGCTAAGCCACAAAACCACAATTAATTTACCAACATTTCTTGCAAAATAAACTTAGAGCATGTGGATGTTTTGTACTTTCACTTTTCTTCTTATGGGGAATAAGGTTGGCTCTCAGTTTAAAGACCATCACTGTGTAATGACGGACAGTAATTTAGCTCGTGAACTTTTAGCCCTATTAGGATTAAACACCACCCACACTTGCACGTGCACTTGCCCGTCCAGCTGCTGCTGATGGACGAATGGCGTAGTTGTTCCACCTCCTTGTCATCGGTGTGTTTCTCGGTTGGGGTGGAGGAGAATCAGGCGCGACTTTATCCTCACTTTTAGTGGAGCTGTAGAGAAAGAGAGAGAGAGAGAGAGGGAGGGAGAGGAGCGGAGAAGGAGTAGACATCAGAGCTCAGGGAGGCAGACGCAGCGACACTCTGTCTCCACCGCTGACAGTACAACACTTATGGGAACGTACTATTTTGAAGAAGTCGAGAAAAGTCGTGGGATTGTCTTCTGCATATGATGGTAAGTGCCTGAAATTATTAATCTGATCTGGATTTAAACTGGCTGAAAATGAGTAGTAGAAAGTGCTGCATATTTCTCCACATGAGTCAAACTAAGTGAATTTTACTGTTTATATATGTCAATAAAACCTATTTACTGTATATATTTGAATGGCATTGCATAAAAATGACTTCTGCTTTATTTTTAACCTTGTTGCAGATGACATGATTATGTTTGATAAAAAATAAGCTGTTAAGGTCATGATCAAATCATCGCCTCTTTCTGGTTTTTTCAGAGGTATAAAGTGGCCACTTCTGCAGCGCATTAAATAACCTGTCACCACACTGAGCCTTGTCTGTGATAAAGGCTGGCTGCAAAGTGGCAGGGTTCTAATAAATTGCAGAGAGACCTTTCTCTGATTCAGTGACCTCACCTTCAAACATTTTTCACTAAAAGCGTCACACAAATGTCCCACGTGACAACAAGATTACACCTGAGGTGCCAAATTACATAATGGGTTGTTATTGCACCTTGTTGACGTAAAGCCTGACCCTGCATATATAATGCTTCAATGGGTTCTCTCTGTTCCGGGTGAGGATGTGCTGCGGTGCTTGAAAGAGATCCTACCTCTTCAAAAATCAGCATCATAAGAGGGTGGATTTCAAAGATTCAAGGGCGCCTTTTACCAGAAAGCATCACCTGTATACATCTAATTTATCAGATTAACATTTTCATCAAAACAGGGATTTTTTCCCCCCAAAATAGAGCATTTGTGAAAACATGGGGGACTCCAACATTAGCCACATGGGAACAGACATTCCAGGAAGTCTCCTAGCAGCCAAACCGGATCACTACCTGGACTTATATGACACAGACTATGGCATCCTTCCTGAAGATATCCCAGACACCACTCAGGGCCAGGCCTTCTTTGTAGCCACCATCGTTATCGGAGTGGTTCTCGTTTGCATCGTGCTTGTCTGCGGGCTGGGAAACTTTATATTCATTGCCACGCTCACACGCTACAAGAAACTCCGTAACCTCACCAACCTGCTCATTGCAAACCTGGCCATCTCAGACTTTATAGTGGCAGTGGTGTGCTGTCCGTTCCTGGTGGACTACTATGTGGTGAAACAGCTCTCCTGGGATCATGGGTTGGTGCTTTGTGCTTCTGTCAACTACCTGAGGACTGTGTCACTTTATGTGTCCACCAACGCCTTGCTCGCCATTGCAGTTGACAGGTGAGTATGTTATTTTTGTTTTCATATTTCTATCAGCCTGTGCGCTCAATTCTCTAAGCCACTATTTCTTGGAGGAATCCACCAGCACTATCTGAAGTGATATCAATCAGTCGTGCTTCCATGTTTTTGTCGGCCTGCAATCCTACTTTATCTCACCTTATAAAAGAACCTTAAATGACAACTGCTGTCATTTACAATGATATGACTGTGGGCTACGCAATCTCTCTTTTTCTCTAACCCCTCTATTCGACATAATACCTGGTAAACTCAATCACTAACAACCCAGACATTTCCCTCAGACTGAAACTGGCAGATCCTGTGAACAGATTTCAAGTCAAGGCAGGCAACAGATGAAACCCCTCGTGCTCTTTGTAAACAATTGTATCTTAAATGAACCTTCGAGCCATGGCACCTTTATTTAATTTAATTGAACAAAAGTAACCGTATCCAATTAGAATCGACAAACAACTTGTTGAAAATAAAACTGCAAATTTTAACCTCATCAGTCTGGTTTATATTGGTTTTGTTCACACTAAAATAGAGACTTCTTTCTGAACAAGCAAGGCCTTTGCATGACGTAACAGTGAGAATGCTGCAACTACATTCTGGGACGTGTATTTCTGTTGATGCAGAAATCGTAAAAAGGTGAAAAAAATAAGAAGAAATGTGTTTTACATGCACACCACCACCAGAATACTAAACACTATCAAATAATTCTTTGTTATAGATGGTTTGTTTGTAATAGCAAACACAAGCCCCTTACATATCTGTTAAGCATGCAACAGGCTAATCATTCAACATCATTTCTCTTATACTACAAATCCTGTATTTATCCAGTATCTTGACTTGAGTTGATCCAACTCTCAAAAGTATTCTTCCTGTGAATAAAGATGAAAAGACAACTTTAACTTTAACTTTTTTTAGGGAACAGACCTAAACATATTTCTTCTTATAGCTAAGACTGAACCACAGATAACTGAACTGTCTGTAAGACAAGGATATAATCTTGATGCATTTATCAGTTTATTGCTAAATCATTATAAATTGTTAGCCGTAGCTAAACCATGCAAAAATTTACAAATACAAAGCAAAGACAAGTCAAAATATATCCTCCCTCTGAGCCATGGGGTTGCTGTGTCTGTTTTATGCCTGATTGGTGTGTAATTGCATCCTTTTTCTTATCCTCATAAAATAGAAACACTGGCTTATTATGAACACATGTCACATACAATGAATGTTAAACTGCCGCTCTACCTCTGGCATTTCTAATGAACATTCATTGTTGCATTGAATGGATATGAACACTGCATACTAATGTGACATGAACATAATTCAAAGGAGACACGGTTTGGTAATACCTGTGCACCATCACTGCATCAATACAACAACAGCACAGTGTCTTGGTTTAAAACTGGTTTTAGACTACCATAGTTTTAGAAAGTAATTGCTCCAAATCAACTTGTCCTTTCTCTTTTTATCTTTCCAACAACTCTTGTTCCTTTTAATGAGAAAACACCCACTTTAAAGGGGTTCTTGTCTTTACTTGATTTGATAATACTGTACTTTAGTACACACATAAAAATAGACACCTGCATGAATGCATGAGAGAATTTAACACTCAAAGACTCACAAAGAAGAAGCCTTGGGTTTATGATCTTTTCCAAGGACTGCTGATGAGGCTGGGTAAAGACTTTGTAGTGCATCACTTAAATGCTGATTATAAATTAGTGTTCAATCGATACCTCCTGCAAATATGGGAGTTTAAGACTGTTCACACTGGCAGCAGCTCCCTGTGGACAGCCTCTATTACAGACTCCTCAGGCTATAGGTCTGTCCTTGAATCCACCACCAAGGCTGGAAATGTTGACTTTAGCTGTATTTGGTATCTCACATTGTATAGTTTAGTATAGATTCAAGAATGCTGCAACAGAATAAGAACTGCAATATGGAGTTAAATTGGACAACTGTGTTGTTTAGCTACACAACAACATTCAAAACAAACTGTAACCCAGGACAGGAGCTTTATTGAGCTAGAAACACTTTGACTTTATTCCTTACTATCTACTGATTTTCATTTTAGATTCAAGTTTTCAACTTAAGTTTAAGAGACTGATGTTGGTTTAGCCTGATTTGCTCCAGGACAGAGTTTTTGTTCATTAAATAAAATAAAGCTCTCCTTAGAAGTTTGATCTCTCTAGATGGGGCTCAGTCTTTTCCCATCTCTAAATTGAGGTCTTTGTAAAAAGAGTGTGGTCTAAACCAGCTTTATGGTTCAGAGTCTCAGGATAACACTTGTTGTGAATTGGCGACATACACAGACAAACATATACACACACATCGACATACGATGAATCAACAAGAACAGAGGGGAAGACGGGGACTATATACACACTGGGTAATGAGCAACAGGTGAGGCAGACGAGACACAGGTGAAACTCGTAAGTGATTAACGAGGGAGGGAAAACTAGGGAAGTAAAACCAGACTAGAAACACAAGGAATCAACTACTACAAAATAAAACAGGAAACACTAAAAACTGATCTAAAGGATAAAACACAGAGAACAGGAGGGAAACAGGGTCAAACACAAACTGAAAACTCACAAGACTGGACTGCAGGGGAACAGGAACACGAGGGAAAACACAGAAAATACACTCAAATAAAACCAGTAAAAAACTGAATCAACAGAACATATCATGACATAAAGTAAATGAAACAACTTGATTTTCTACAAAAAAAAAAAAATTCTCATGAGTATAAATGTCTAAAACTTTGTTTAAAAATGCACTTAAGTGATCTGTCAAAAAGGTCTTGCTGAAAAACTCACCACTGCCATCCCTATAGAACTTGGCAGGTATTGCCAAGTTGGAAGAAAGCCTCCAAAAAACGTGACTTTTTACCCTTTTGAAAGATTCAATTCACTAAATAATGGACATCTGATATTGAACTTGAATTTTCCATGAGAGTCCGTCAGTCCGGTTCTTGAGTGACACAGCATACAGACTAAAGCCGAAAACATACAGGATCCATATTTAGCGTTCCGTAGAGCAGCATTGGATATCGCATACACGCCCTGTGTGCTTTGCTGCATTGATTAGAATGGTAACCTATTCACTGCGTGATACGCGATGCTGCTGCCATCCTCCAAATATGTATGTTTTAGCCTTAATGAAGTGGACTTCTTTTTCTTCACAAGGCATTTCCATGTTTTTTTTTCCAGGTACATGGCTATAGTCCATCCACTGAGGCCCCGTATGAAGTACCAAACCGCCTACTGCCTGATTACCGGAGTCTGGATTGTTCCCATTCTGATATCCATCCCCTCTGCCTACTTTGCCTCTGAGACCCCTTACCCTCATGGCACATCCAATTCAGCCACCCATAAAGTTTTCTGTGCCCAGATCTGGCCTGTGGACAAGCAGGTCTACTACCGCACCTACTTCTTGTTCGTTTTTGCCTTGGAGTTTGTCGGGCCTGTCATCTTCATGGCGATGTGCTATGCCCGAATTTCTCGTGAGCTTTGGTTCAAGAACGTCCCTGGTTTCCAAACAGAGCAGATCAGAAAGAGGCTCCGTTGTCGCCGTAAAACAGTGATGGTCCTGATCATGATCTTGACAGCATACATCTTGTGCTGGGCACCGTACTACGGCTTCGCCATCTTGAGAGATTTCTTCCCTACACTTATCTCCAGGCAGAAAAACTCATTGGTGGCCTTCTATATCATTGAGTGCATTGCCATAAGCAACAGCATGATCAATACGTTCTGCTTTGTCAGTGTGAAGAACAACACCATGAAATACTTGAAGAAAATTGTGTTGCTGCGCTGGAAGTCCAAGTATGCTTTAAGTAAGACTGTGGATGAGATGGATTTGAGGACCTCCTCAATGCCTGTTACAGAAGAGATTGAATGTATTCACTTGAGATGAAGGGAGAAAACATGTAACATCACAGCCGAACTGTTGATATGTATATCAGGAGTGTAAAGAACCAATGATGTGAATTTGTAACTGATTTTAATGTTAGAGATACCGTTTTACCGCTGTGGTCCAGAGCCCCGGGTGTGTTTAAATGTAATATAAGCCAATTCTGAAGGATCAGTTTGTTTATTCAAGCCGTGCCTACTCTCATAAAAGTCAAATCTTAGCTTTTCACCTTCAACCAGGGCAATGCTCACATTCGTCAAGGTTTTAAGGTCCTTACACACCGAGACCGATGCAAATATACAGCACGTCCCGGGGGGAAGCAAGAAGACTGACACAACACCAGACTGACTGTTTTCAGTTCTGATTAGACTCTAGTGTTGAGATGACTGTCTGTCATGATAGCATGTACTGAGTTGGGGCCAGTACCAGATAAGCACATTAAACTAAAATCCATAAACGTAAGGTAACAACCAAGACCTAATGGTGCTGTGACAGCAACACGATAGAGTTTGAGACAGTGAAAATACATATGGTATGTTGTATCTGAACAGGTAAGCTTATGAGCTAAAGTTACTTAGCACAGATGAAAGTTAAAACAAAGACGTTTAGCAAATCGTTAAAGCACACAAACCGACGCTATGACTCTCCACAAGTTGTCCTTCAGGTCGTTATCTTTGTAATGTTTCCTATCAAAAAACACTCTGTCCTCCGACACATAAACAATCAGCTAGTCGGCCATGTTGGGTGAATCAGACGTCGCAACAACACCAAATCTGATTAGTCAGAAGTGAACAAACAATATGCGAAACTTTAGAAAAATCGACCGTGATCCAAAAAAATAAATGCTGCAATATCGCAGGACGGGAAAACATCGCTGATATGAACGCTTGTATTGACAGGATACGGGTTTGAAAAAAAACATTGATGTCTGAAGTAATTGCACAAAAAATAAACAGTCCCGGTGTGTAAGGACCTTTAGTCATTGTTTTTTTTCATCTGATATTGTCACAAGTTAAAAAAAATTATAACTATCATCATGTTGTGGTAATCATGTTTGCACACTGACTCTGAAGCTTTTGTCCATATTTATTTATTTATTATTGGCAGAAATTGATGGTTGTCTCTTTGACGAGTGTTTCAGGATGTTTATCATTCTGCCTTGTCTTTTCATCGCTACTGGATGGACCCAAAAATAACAGTGTAACAACCCTGAGCCCTTGATGACGCTGATGATAGTTTTTTTGTTCAGCGGATTTTCATATTGTGTACAAGACTGCGATGAATACAGATCCAAAATTTGTATCTAAAAATTAAAAAAAGAGTGTGCTAAGACCTTCATCCTGCAAGAGAAGTATCTTACTTTAAAATGGTTTAAATGCTTTTCAACTCATTACCCTCCTCCTCCTCATTCTCATTCAAGGAACAGCATATTCACTGCTCTCTTATCCAATCAGTCATTCAATAGTGTACCTCTCCACACATACTCACTTATACACATGAACACGCTCACAGTCGAGTCTTAAGTCTCAAGTGAAATGCTTTAGAGGGAAACTTTATAAAGGAAAAAGACCAAATGTTAAGATTTGCATCGCATTGCATCACATTGCACCAAATCCGATCACTCTAAATTATTAAAAATTAAACTTCTATTCATGAATTATATTTTAGCTGATAAATGTAACGCACACCCCTCTCTACATGAGCTTTTCTTGTATTTACAACTCACTTTAAGATGGCGAAAGGCAATGTGAAGCAGAAGTGTGCTTCACTAGAGCATCCTCTATGAATTCATCAAACATACAATACTTCTATGGGAGGTGTTGTGACAATATCATCATTGTGCATACTGTTGTTAAAATCTCAGTTATAGTGAAAAATGTAATGTGTAACAGAAAAATACTGTATATTATATGGAAAACCTGTAAATAACTGCTGCTACTGACTACCAGTGGTACACAGAGATATTCTCTGTTAAACGCGTATCTTAGTGGTAATATTTGTCTACTGTTATGCTAAAAAGCTGTCTAAACTAAAAAAAAAAAAAAATCTGTTTTGCTTTTTTGTATAAATCATTTGTGTTGGCATAATTTTTATTTTGCCTTGAAGAAAATATTCAGAATTTGTCTGTACAGATGCTGTTTTGTGTTATGTAAAGTACTGAGATGTCAATGAAAGCTGTATTTCCATGTGTTTTCAGTGTCCTTAAAGAATAAATATTTTTTCTTGTAAGTTTATCCTTGAAGAAAAATCCCTGCTTATTTCGATAATTGCTTTTTATGTGGGGTCTTGATGTGGAATGAAAAGGTGCCCTTTTATTTGCAGTTTCTACCATCATAGAAAGGGATGATTTGCGACATTAGATGCAGTTACACACTTAGATTAAGCTGCAGTCTTTTGTTTATCAGTTCATATTTAATCCATCCTCAACTCCTGGTCAACAATATTAATAAACGTAGTAAATAACTCTCTAAACGTCGTAAGGTGCTCTTAAATCTTATTACGGCCACTTAAGGTCGCTGCTTTGACCGACTTATAAATATGGGTCAATGCTGGTCAGATAATCAGTTTGGTCTTAATTTTAGTGCAGATCATCTTAAATTACACAAAGCAGCACCAGTGCAAGTGTCCCCTTGACTCCTGCTGATGTAGCTGCTATGTCAGAGGACATTGTTTAATTTGGAGCAATATTGGCGCAAAGGTGACTCATTGACTGTTTCAAAACCACTTCACTTTAACACAGCAGGGGGTTAAGATGCCCATTAGGATTCACTTTTGCACACGGGGGTTTCAATGTGTTGAAACCATTTATCGTTTAATAAAGCCGAGACTGGGAGGAACAAATATAATCTCTGGAACATGTTTACTGTACAGGGTATCATCAGACTTCTTTTTTCTAACCTTCCTCGTATCACAGCCTTTCTTGCCGCAGTAAATGCCTGTTATGATTTACACAGAAATTTGTGGTACTTTGCCTGGATCAACCATTAGGTTGCTGACAGTTTGTAAGGACTGTCGCTTCTTATGCTAATTTTTCCGCAGGCTGTTGTTGGATCCCAGGAATTTTTTTTTTTTTTTTTTGCAATCATCGTCCCCTTTCTTATTATCTCCATCAGTCTCTGTATACTGGCCCCTGTGGGTGAACTGTCAGGGACAGCAGAGTTGTTTTTCTCTCTTTGTACCGCAGTTTCGTGGAGAACCCTCTATTAGGTTGTACAAATAAACAGCTCTTTAAAACAGATATATTCTCCTTCCAACTGGCAGCTCAGCCTCACGTTTGGCTCCAGTGGGATGTTTCTCTGTGTTTACTCATCGTTCCACCTAAGCTTGTATTTCCCACTTGGTCAGAGGCCAAGAATTGCTTTTACACCAAATCGGAATGAAAAACATACTCTTAATATTATCTTTGCGTCATCAGAAAGAAGTGGCAAATTGTTCGAATATGTCTACCTCATGAAAGTAAACTAGTCTGTCATACAAAACTGTCAATGCATAGCAATACATTTATCAATTTGCACAGAAAGTATAAGAATCTGAAAGGTACACATCACCAATTTGCACAGTGCCTCATTACTACACTTTTAAAACAAGCCAAGTTGGGTTGTCTGTAACCTAACACCAGGGTTGAAAAGAGACCGACTACTTATTGGGTTATTTTGACCCTGAATGTTGGGTTATTCAAATTAACCCACATTTTGGGTCGACTCAATAACCCTTTTTAAGGGTCAAGTTAATCCAGTCTTTGAGTTAATTTGACTCAGGATCTTGGGTTAAATTGATACATGAATGGGGAGCTTTGCTTTTACAACCTGTACCCTATTTTCCCAAGTACTTTTATCTAACTGATTCCCACCAATCAGCAACGCACTCATGTTGGTGAGGTAGGCCATAGTGGAAAGGGTCTTGCCTAAGGACCCACATGAGTAGATGTAATTCACTCCTTACAGATGTGTCTCATAATATATATATAACGTTCTGACCCAGTTATTGGGTTACTCTCAAAAAAATAACCCATAATTATTAACCCTATTCAAAAACCACTCAAATTGGGTTACAATAGAATCCATATGACCCAAGAAATGGGTATGGATCTGAAAAATAACCCAGAAATTTAACTCAGCACGTGTAACTCAGGAATTGCATTGAAGAAATAACAAAGAGTTTTTAGAGTGTATGAGTTTTCAGCAGCTGATCACAGGAAACAGATTGAAATTGATGATCATGTTTCTACTAACGTGATTTCCGCAGAGGAAGATGGATTTTAAGTTTCATATTAGACATTTAATATAAAAAGGACGGCAATTTCAGAGAACAATACTCATCTGGGATGGGATTAGCAAAGAGATGAAAAACTCAATTTCTTTCCATATTAAAGACACACCATTTCTTGCACCTCAATTCACTCAGTCTGACTAACTAACATGTCTGGAGATGATAAAAACTAGATCCTCATTACCTAGGAATATGATGAGCTCATAACTAAAAGGGGTACTTTTTTCTCTTTCCATCTGGGTTATTTATAACATGCAAAACTTGTGCATGTGTGAGTGTTTGTCTCTTGACCTGTCAGGCCAGCTGACTGTCAGCTTGTTCTGCCACCAGAAGCCCCTTCATGCATGACTTAGATTTCATTAGACTGTGTTAAACCGTACCTTCCTTTGAAGAGACCAGAGTGTTTCATTTTAAATAAAATAAGTCCTTCTTTGACTGGTGACACATTTCCACTGTTATCATAAACACACACACACACAAGGATGACCTTTTCCAGTAGACCATTTCTGACATTTACAAAAAATTGATTCTTCTTTTCGTCTTCTGAACTGTTCATACTGCACAGGACTGAAAGCTGATCCATTTCCCTTTTTTTCTTTTGAAGGAAATCCGTCTGAATATCTTTGTTCAAGGCCTTCAGGCTCAGAGGATGGTTCCAAAGGCTTGTTAGCTGCTCAGTGGTGGAGGTTGAGAGCTGTAATCAACTGGGACTTCCTCCAAAGATGAGCCAGACTCAGGGCAAATAATCCTGTAAAATCCTGTCTCAGGATATCGACAGTGTATGAATATATATAGAGTAGAGATCCCTGATGCCAGTCCATAGTAGAATAGTATGTATCATCCATGAGTCACATTGTAGCTGAGATTTTTTTGTGTGAAACCAGTGCACTAACAGTTTTCACACAGGAAAATGTCCTCCTTTCTTACAGTCTCTGTTAACATACTCTGTTTACAGATGTGTTTAATATGTAGCTGATTTTGAGTCAAATAAAGGCAAATTATAAGAAAAAAATGTTCAATTAAGATTCAACTCGCTCGATCCTGTTTCTAGAGGGAACAACCTCATCTTTACATCAACAGTTGGGTCCAGCCAGGAGCTAACATGTTCAGCAGACTGATGACTATTAGATATCAAAGCAGGGCTGTTAAAGCGACAACACTTAGGTAGCTGTTTAATGCAATTTCTCTGTGCTTTCCTGCCCTTATGTGGCCTCAAGCCTTTCATGAGGAGACATCCTGTGACAGAAAATCGTTGTCTGGTCATGAATAATGACTCTGATTTCAGGCTGAGTTGTGCTGAGCAGAAGACAATTGAATCAATGGTGATCCCTCAACAGCTTAAATGAAGAACTCTCCATTTGTCAACTGGTCTTTCTTATGCTGTAGTAAAAAATGTCCAGAAACAAGAGTGTGTGACTTCAGAGGATATGCCTTTGTTCAAAACAAAAGAATTCCAATTCAACTTGTTATCTTGTTATCTTGCTTAAAGCTCCTATGAGGAGTTTTTCAATGTTGATGAAACTGACTGACATCCATACTGAGGCCTTGTTACAATATCTAAAAGCAAAAATATTTAAATAATAAGTACCCACTCCGAGCTTCCTTGTCACTTGTTTAGATGTACCTGATAATTAGAGATAAATAAAGTATGTTCATGACTTAGTATTACAAAACAAAATCTACATTCACTTAATACAGCACACACATAATAACAACAAAACAAGAAAGAAACAAACAAAAAAAAAGAAACAAACAAAAAACACAATAACCTCATAACACTTAGTGCTACCCAGCACCTTCCTCATCCCTGTACCTCTTGAAAATAGTGTCTTTATCCCTCATTTTAAACTGTCATGTTGAACATTGCTTTAACTCCATGGAAACAGTCCATGGTCCTGTTCCATAGTCTCACCCCACTCACTGAAATACAAAAACCCTTCCTCTTTGTCCAAATTAAAGTTAAATTAAAGTTAATTTTTCCCCTTAAATTATAAGGGGATATAATAACTTCCCTCACGCATACTAAATACTTTGATAACACATGAGAATTTTGAAAATTAGTGGGATGAAATTTTTGGTCAAAAAGCATGTAGAGGACAAGAAAAGCAAAAACTGCTTTGTCCACAGGGGGCGCCATAATTGAAACCAACCAAAAGTTCCCCACAGGAGCTTTAAATATATCATACAATAAAAAGTGTTTTACTATTTCCAGAGTAATGTCATTTTACCTTTTAACCATCAACTATGCAATTGATATAAGCTATGTTTTTTGTTTTTAATGAAATGCTGTTAATTAACCTTTTTTAAAAATGATGGACCAAAGAGAATCCAAGGTATAGCTTTCATTTACAACACAAATGCCGCTACTGCATAAGCCAATTAGACGCACTATTGAATGTCCAGTTATTCAGAACAAAAAGCTCATGTAGTTCATGTTTCATAACAATCCGGCACTCTGTCATTTTCTTAATGAGTAGCTACTGTAACCATTCATTAGCGTATGACACACCACCATTTTTAGCCTCATACTGCTGCTGTCTTATGAGCAATGACCTTCTTCTATTTCAGTTTCATTAGCTTTATAAATGCCACATCGAACACTTCTACAACCAATGGTTGACTCCACCTGGAGAAGACGGCTGCTTAATATTTCTTGGCAGATTGAAAGCACCGGCGCTATTCTGACTTGAAATTAGTGCATCACCTACTTAGAATGAGTATTCGTCTTTCCTTCATAGTCTGTAAAGCCAGAAGCTTGCTCAATTTGTGCGCATGTGATTGCCTAAATGTTATGTGTTTACTTGCTTCATTTGCACATATATTACATTGAATATATAAAATAATTTGATGGGGTGTCCTTGACTTTCGAGCCTATCTCAAGAGTGCATTCCAAGATCTGCATATTTTTGCACTATGGATTGGCTCCACTTGTCAACACCAGAGGTTGCAACAAGGACTTTTGCTGTCTTTTAACCTCAACAGTTTTGACACTATGTCACACTCATCCTGTCACACACTCATTAACACACCGCTGGCAGAGTCTGCAGTGCAAATTGCCAATCTGCCCATGAAGATGGTACTAATTTCATTAACATAAGCATGGCTATGCCTCCAGGAGCGATTTGGACTTCAGTGTCTTGCCCGTGGACACCTTAAGATATTAACAGCAGAAAACTGGAACTAAACCACCAACCCTATTACTGAAAGACAACCCGGAAATGCACCAGAGTCATATGCACATCCATGTTTTCCATTTCTTCTTTGGGTGGCATCCCATTTTTTTTTTTACTTTGACCACTAGAGGCCATCAATCAATTAATCATTAATCCAATTAGCTAACTGCACTTTAAGTGGGCTTTAATCATCCTGCAAAGCAGCTAATGAGTCTTTTAAGGTTCAGATCATCCATGAACATCAGAAAGAAAGAGGAGGGGCTTGAAAGTAAACATGCCTGACAATCACCCCCTAATCTATCCCTCTATCTATAATCACCAATTCACTATCTCTAAACATCTTATAGAATAACAATCTCAGCTGCTTCATGACCGTGTTTGTCAATCACATCCTTTTGTTATCGTCCACTGGGTCAGACGGTTAATTTTTTAAGATGAGTGAGATGAATAAACTTGGGTTGTAAGGAAAGAGGGAAAACAAAAACTATGGAGTAAGTAAAGAAGCAAAAATTAGTATTTTTTGTACGTGTTAGGAAGAAAAGAAATAAAAGAACAGACTGATAAACCTTTCATTGCTGATTGCAGTACGAATTCGAAAAAATAAAGTGAAATATTAATCAGATGGTTTGATGAAAATTCATCCAGTGGCCTTTTCCTTGTCCTATAAAGCAAATGAATCATCTGCAAGACACACCAGAAACTGTAGTGCTTCAGATGAAAGCAAGCCTGAACCAGATGGGCGAACTGGATTAATAGTATTTTATAGTATCGATATAGATCACCACTGTCACAGTGCCAGCTGTCTCCCTTGACATCTACTTTATCTTGGTTAAATGTCGATATTCAGGCTGAGAGGAAGGTGCGTAATCTTCTTGAGATGACTCAATGTTTCTGTACAGTTGTGAAATATTTGATTTGTTCACATGAACTGAAAATGATCCTCTGTTCAAAAGAACATGAAGATTAATGTGCATTACTTCAATGTTTTCATCAAACCTCAATGGCATGGATAGGCTTTTAAAGTCTAAAGGTCCTTTCACAGTGGGACCATTTTTGTCGTGCGATTATTTCGGACGTCAATAATTTTTTTGAACTTGTATCCTGTCATTACAAGCGTTCACAACAGCGATGTTTTCCTGTCCTGCGATATTGCAGCTTTTATTTTTTCGGATCACGGACGATTTTTCTAAAGTTTTGCATACTGTGTGTCGACTTCTGACCAATCAGATTGCGAGTTGTTGCGACATCAGATTCACCGGTATATCCAACATGGCCGACCGGCTGATTGTTTATGTGTCGGAGAACAGAGTGCTTTTTGATAAAAGACACACACATAACAAAGATAACAACTTGTGGAGAGTCATAGCGTTGGATCTCTCATATGGCAAAACTGAATAAACTTTGTTTGGTGAATCACCTCCTGTTGTGAGACAAGGTTTTCACAGAGCTGTCATGCTCCAAAAAGTTGCAGTAAATGGATTTAACCCTCAGGGAAATTTAACATGATGAGCAGGTAGGATTCAATCCAATAAAACAATTATCATATAAAGGATAGTATTAGCAGTTCCTGCAGCACTTAGCTCTTCAAAGAACCAACAGAAGACAATTGCCATCTTAATCATCTGGGAATAACTTACTATTTGAGTAAGTTGAAAGAGTAAATATTAAAATATATATTCAGATTTTCCTCCTTCTTCAAACTCTCCTCCAAACACTTTCTTTTATTCCCTTATACATCAATGTATTTGCAAGTGCCATCTTCTTTTTCTCAAACATTTTTACAAACCCCTTTTCTCTGCAGGTCAGTGCAAATCTAGGTCAAATCTAAATTACTATGTGTTTCCCCAATGATTCTATGGCCTACACATAACACTCTATAATCAGGACTCAGCTTGTCACTTAAGAGCCCTTGTTCTTGATCGTCCAATCTTAAAACCATTATTTCACAGGTATCCCTGACAGCGTGAATTCATGAATACTCAGTCAAGGAACAAAAGCTCATCTGTAAGTCGTGCTGATGTTTGTCCACAGCACCATCTTGACAGATTGTTCAATATCCCCTACATTTCTTAAATGGTTTGACATATGATTTTAAAGGCCACAGCATATAATTGATAGCAATTTCATAGTTATCGAACAGTCGGTAATCTCACTTCAGCCTGGTCTCCATTTCTGCAGAGCAGTAGAAGCTCCACATCCTAAAGAAAAACACAATTTCATTTATTTGCAGAGAAATTGACCCTAATATCAGCAGGGTTCAGAGATCGAAGCACTGCTTGGCTTGTTAAAACCATGTTAAAAACCCAGTTTAATCTTCAATAAATGTACTTTTTTTATTTATATTTTGTAAGTTTATACATCACCAACCCATGACATGTTTTTCCAGAGCACACTGAGTTAGCTGGGGAGACGTGAACACCTTTGATGGTGGAACAAAGCAGACATAATAATGGGAGGAGAGGCTTTTAGTCAAATGGAGCTTTGAAGCACGCCTTCATGGCAGAAGCTAAACTGCAATCTGACAGCAAGTACAGGCCTGTTTTGAAAAACCCATATTCAAGAGTAGACACAAATTTCTTCAGATATTTACAAGGTTTTCTTATGCCTGTATCGGCTCAAATAAATAAGACAATCCTGAGAAAATCTGCTTGGTCACTTTTGGGGTGAATCACAGACGACCGTTCAACACTGTTTCATTTTAACTGTGCCTGTACAAAGTAAAAGACAGCCTGAAAGCACCATGGCAACACTTGATGTGATGTCGATTGAAACACACATCATCATGACACTTTAACAGTATATATTAACACCTTACATTATGACTACCTGTGCAGTCCACTGAAGCTAACAGCTGTCACTAATTATGCTTTAAGCCTCGACGGAGCTTTTATTGTTTTCATTTTCTACATGCCTGGATCATGTTCTGTCTTCACAGTTCAAGCTCGCTGCACAGTGACAAATCAAAACCTCTACATTTGTGTTAACACACCAGAGAGGTGATATTTGCACTCAGTCATTGTAAGGAAGTCATCTTTACGGATTTCATATTCTGTGTGTGTATGAGTACAATGTGAGTTCACTTTACAACACGATATTCTATAAAATCCTCTTTTGAAATCGGCAGTGTGTGGCTCTGAATTTGGTTAAAGGAGGTGTGAAATAGTCAGAAAACCCGAAACATAACTTCAACCAGTTTTTAGTCAGCTAAAAACACATACCGACATCAACTAAACCAAGTACTCCTTTTTGTTTATAATTTTGTCAATTTTTTGAGTGATTTCTATTATGCATTATGGGCTGTTTGATAATTATAAGAAGGTACAAAGACATTATCCAGAGAGCTGCATAAACATTTCATACAAGAGAAGAGACACAGCACACCTGCGTGTTCTTTGTCTGCTTTGACACCTCTGACAGAGAACAAAGACTCAGGATGCTGATAAAGGTGATTAATACCTGCTAAACAACGTCATGTGCAGCTGATGCAGAGAGACATGACACTCCTTCCTGCCTGGTCTTAAAATAGACCTTCAACCAGCATCTTCAGACTTTCTCTTTTTATCGAGTTTTAAGAATCTTTTCAGCCATAGTTATTTTTGTACCGTTTTTTTGTTCCTTGAAATAAATTAGAAATAATTTGGTCTCTGAATGCAACCTTAAGTAGCAATCTTGGCAGTTTAGTATAGCCAAACAAAAAGCTTATGCACAGAAAAAACCCCAATACAATCAGTGTTTGTATTTGTCATTAATTTTGCACGATCTGAATGAATTTACCTTGTTGAACAACTTACTTTTACATTCAAACTTAGAGGTAACTCTTCTTAGGCTCAGCAGCAGGATGTTGACACTGAAGTCTTCCTCTTTGCCTGACATGAGATTTCTTCTTCTACTGCTTTGAGGTATTATGGCAGCATTTAACTGCATTACTGCCCATAGACATTATACATGTAGACGCTTCATTACGTGCTGGGGCATAATCCAGCGTCGCCGCCTTATTGGATGGGTCTCCCCACTTGGGGGGAGCTGAATGGAGAGCGAGCAACTATGCACCCAATGCAGTATTGAAACCTGATCACGTAGGATTAGATTTCCCAAACAGGATTGAAAAATAAGTTTGGTTATTTTTAATATGAGACATTGTCCTGTATTATGGCTACATCCCTGCCATTAGTAACAAACCAAACGGTGTAGAAATCAGGCAGAGATTCGGAGAGTTGTTAATATGGTTGGGCATTCCTACTTCCTTAATGCACCGGAGGTGCACGGCGAACCCATCCAAGATGGCGGCCGCCAATACGAGAGCTCCAATAGGCAGCGTCAAGCTTTGAGGCATCTACATATATTATGTCTATGTTACTGCCACCCATAGTAAATAAGCTTCCTCTTCCTACTTCCTATTTATGAGGGAAGTTGTGCCATAAGGCTGATTTGTTACACAGAAATGCAAACGCACATGGCAGATAGACTCTTTCACACACACACATGGCATGAAACATATTTCACATTGATGTGGACAACTCCATAGAGGTCGTTAGAGGAGGGCAGGACCGAGAAAAATACTTGATGGGTGGTTAAAGGAACGTTCTAGTTGTCATATTTCTAATGGGCCAATCAGAGCAACAAAAACATATGACATAGTCGGTGTGTGCCCAGCTGAGGTGTAAACTATGTCACATGAGCTTGACAGGTACAAGGCCTTCGACTATATGTCTGTCCAAAGACAGTCCTATTACACGAGACAAATTGCATCAGAAGAAAAAAAAGTAGGCGGGGTGATGTAATGAGAAAATTCTTGCACTGAATGTCGCAGATGACTAATGCAGTGGTAGAGTATACCTGTCATAGGACTGCAGAGAAACCACAGACCTCTCTCTTTTACTCATGATGCATGTATTTGCATTCATACTACCCACTCACACAGCCCTTGTTGTCAGTGGGCCTTGTTGCCCTGAAACATCCAGTCATCTCGGTAATTTGTCATGATAACCGTGCCTACCCGCTGTGAATTACCTCTTTGAAGGTTCCATTTCTGACCTCTGTGTTGTGCGTACAGTTAAGGAAACTCATTAATTCACTGATTGGATTGTCATATTAACCAATCACGGTGGCTTTAATTTATTCCAGTTATTCCCCACCCCCCTTCTAGGGTCCATTACAAACTTACAGAGAAAAAGCTGAATGTGTGACAGTTTAAACTTGGACTGGGGTTTCGTTGGTTTAAATATTTAAGTAATGAGACAGTGGATTGGATTTGACTGTAAGTGCTTTGAGAGACGAAAAAGGGGGTCTTTGAGCTCACTTTGAAGGTAGGTGGGACTTTCCCCACCTATATATAATGGCTTCAATGCCCATATATGGGAATATGCAGCTTTATTGTTATTTCACTAACAATTTGTAAATGAAGTAAACCTCATAAACAACAATCACCAAGCTTTTTTGATAAAATTGCCACTAAAGCTGCATCCAACATCGCCTCTGTCTCTTTCCACTAAATGATGCTGACTGGTCGGGTCATTCTCTGACTGGGGATAAGTGTGTCAGCTTTACAAGATGGACCTGCATGTTGACAGACCGGCCAATCAATCTGTTTCACAAGGTTTGTCTGACCCCACACAGAAAATACAAACACAAAAGAGTTAAATCCACGATTACGGTGGTGGGAAAAACCTTTGTGTCTGTGTATTGTATCAGTATATCCATAAGTGTTTTAGACAGTTCTCAAAAGCTGCTCTGTCCTGATACTGTGCTTTAGTACGTCACAACAAGCACTTCTTGGATGACATTTCCATTAAACTGTGATTCTGTTTGATGTCTTTCCAGTTCGATTTGCTCCTCGTTTTGATCCATTGATCACCCTGATAAATTCATAGCTCTTTTGGCATCAAACACATCGATTTTCTGAAGAAAACGCCAAGTAAGATGAGTGTTGTAAAGTTGGCAAAGTCAAAGAGCCACACATGTATGTCAACCACGATTCATTACTGCCGTCTCATCACATTATTAATTACTAGTTTATCATTTTGTATGCCAGGACCCCTAAAATGCTCTTTGAATTTGCACATTATAACCAAAGAATAATTGTATTTCATTTGTATGTTCATTTATTTTTGTTCTGTATTCAGTCACAGTTTTTCCAACACTGAATTTTCATTTTTTCCCATTTCTCACAATCTTGAGGTTAGTTCTTGTTTTTTTCCTTTAGGAGAACACATACATTAAGATTATAATATATGGGGGACTGACCACAGGGAGTTGACGTTTCACCTACTTTTAGCCGTGTTTTTCATGTGGGTATAATTAAGACATCAGTGCAAGATCCTCCTCTGACATGACTCATTCAAACAGCCTTAGCTTGATAAATAGTGCCCTCTTGTGTTCAAAGAGTAAAACACACACAATCCAGGCAGCCATGATAATAAGACAACAGAAAATGAAATAGTCATGAGGAAGTCTGTGATTTGTGCCTTTTTGTGTAACTTTGGAATAACAATAATTGAATAAACCAACAAGGAGAAAAAAATCTGTTCGTTTTTTAGTTTTGGTTACAGAATAAAGCTGTCAAACTCACTTATGCTTGGTATGCCAAATAAAGCGAGCATGTAAGAATTCAGCTTCTGAGCTCATCCTGATGTGATAGATCTAAATATTTCCACTAGAGAAAGATTTTTCTTATATGTGTATGTTTTATAACTGTGTAATGTTTTAAAGAATCGGATGTAAGAAAATATTTTTGGTACATGTTTCTTTTTTCCCAATTACCAGAACTATCATAATAAACCTCAAGCTGTGAGAAAGTGGACTTTGTATTTGTATAATTACTTCAGCTGTCACCACTTAAACTCGCCACCCATGTGTCAGACATTTGGTTTTTTTTTGTTTTTTTAATCTTGTTTTGTAGCATTGTAACTCCAAGATCATCTATGTTTCTGATAAATCCTCTCTGTGACTCACCAGATGTGAAAACCACAAAGTGACACTGAACTGTGAAGGCTGAAGAAGATTCAGTCTTCTTTTTTTACACTTAAGAGCTACACAAGCTCATAAGATACTCTGAAACTATCCAAAACCAAAGAAAGACTGTGTTCTTTTCTTCTGCCTCTGCTAAAGCCTGAAGATAAAACTGCTTCATAAAGGCTGGAAAATTAATCATCACTCTGATCTTTGAAGATGATCAAAGATCAGTCCTTCTCTCTGTGACAAACACTGGAATAAAAGCCCTCTCACATAGCAAATAGGCCTAATTAGAAGCGTATTACATACTGTGCATCAGCAGAAGAGAAGAGCTATTTGCTCTTGGGTACTACTTTGTCTTTGTCTGCCTTTGTCCATGCATCTGAAACAAAACATCATTGGGAGCAGACAAAGTGTAATAAACATGTTTAACTTTTACCTATTTCCCGTTTTTTCTTGACACCGTCCTTTTACAACTGTAATCTGTTAACACTAAATAACCTCCATATTGGCACAATAAATGCCAAACAATTCACTGAGTGGTTATTAGTTTTATTATTACCATGCTTTAAAGTGTAGCTAAGCAGATAAGATCCTTTTGACGGAAATATTACAGCTCCTGTGAGTAATTTTCTGTCAGTGGTGACTTTGGCGCCCCCTGTGGACAAACTAGTAACTATTATATAATTGCTGATTTTATCTTGTTACCAAGTCTCATTGCTTTTTCACATGATAGAGATTCATCACTGTTCATTTCTATACATTTAATAACCTACCAAAAACTCCTCACAGGAGCTTTAATCTCATCCTAATGGAATTTGTTTTAATTGTCAAAGTGTCTCTTCCTCTTGTCTTTTTCACTTACTATGAATATTTGCTGTTGGGTAAGTAACAAAGACTGTCGCTTAAATATACCTATCCCCTCACAGTGTCAGCAGGAATTGAAAATTACAATATAGAAAATGTCATTCTTGTCATTTGTGACTTTATTTGTATTTTTTTCATGTCATAGAGAGGCAACACTCTTCATTTCGGTCTATTTTTTAAACCACCTCATAGGAGCTTTAAGTGACACAGATTTTACATCATGTTTCCACTCTTTTGAAACGATCTACAAAATGTACAAAAAGTCAGAGGATGTTAAAAGAAGTTTCTCTCTTTTCACCCACTGTACCAAATACTTGTAAAATGTAGTTTTATAGTGTAAAAAGAAGTGAAAACTATCCAGATACTTCAGAATAACGCTGTACTTTCATTTTGTTTTCCTTACTGACACACTGTTGGATGTAATTTTGGAAAAATAAAGAATTTCACCATAACAAATGTTCAAATGTTGTAATCCACAGCTCCTCTTGTTATTTTCCACTCTTCGACACAGCCTGGATGGCTTTGATCCAGTCCTTCCTCTCTTCTGCTGTAGCAGCTTGGAAGAAGTAGTGAGTCTCCTCTGAGGTTATGATCTCGAACAGGTTGCCGTCGACGTCGTACTTTTTGGCTGAAACCAGGAAAAAGTAAAGTTAACAGGGGGTTGAAAGAGATTGCATGAACACACTTAAAGACAGAGTATTGCATAAAGAAATAAAAGGAAGGCAACAGGGAGTGTGTCAACTATGACAACAGTCTTACCATCAGGCACGAACTCCACGGCTGTGATGACAGACCCACGGAGGTGGATTGAGCCGAGAGGGTCATCACCCTGAGGAGAGGAAGAACAGAGGCCAAGGTGAGGACACGGAAAAAAACCCATGTGTGTAAAAGATTGTCTCATTTATGTTTCAGCTTGCACAAATCACATGTTTACCTTTGTGGGGTCGTAATAGTGCATATAAGCGGGGTCGTCTCTCAGTATGAACTTTCGCACCTTCCAGTTTTTTCTCCTGTGACCCTGTGATGTTGAACGCAGCGTTTTATCACACTTATAAGCCGCAGTAAACAGCACGTTTACCTTTGAACTGAGCAGATGTATAGTTCACTTCTTCTTTTAGCAGAACTGACTAATGACTTGCCAAATTCTATTTACAAAAGTGTTTCTCGCTTTCCGCCACAGCACAGCTGTATGTTATTTCCACTTACACGCTTGTCAGTGCGAGAGTTACTTTAATAAGAGGGCACGTTGCCTGCACTTGTTAGATAAAAGGCATGCAGCGAGAAAACGTGTCACTTTTACTTTCCGTCTGACTTACCTGTTTGAGTAAACAGCCCTGTTTCACGATGTTCCCTCTGAATTCTTCCTTCAAAAGCACATCTTCATCGCTAGAGTAGCCCTCGCAGAAGAACCCGCTGTCTGCCTGGAGTGAATAAATTAACAAGGAAACTGATGTTTTTGGCTTCTTTTTCACACAATGTTGATTTTTCACGTCTAAATCTTATCATCTCTGGTCTTGCTGGGAAAATGCAGGATTCAAATTCTCAAATTCTTAGCGCAACAGTGACTTCTTAGATACTTAACACCTACAAAGTAATACAGAGCTTCTGTCTTGTCTAAAAAGGCTGTTTGCTCTTCGCTCTCCGCCGCCTCTTTTGACTGGTCACTCGCCGGCTGGAGAAAACCCTCGTTCATGAGTCCCGCTGCTAACATGTGGGCCTCTGGTCTGTTTCTGGCTTTGTTCTTTGAGATCAGCCACTCTATCACTGTTGCACCTGACAAAAGAAAGAAAAAAGAAGGTAAACGAGGGGGAACAAATGTTTTTAGACTGCCAAACGATGAATTAAACTGCTCCTTTAACTGTACCGGTGAAGCAGTGGTTAAAGACGCGATGCTCCTGTTCCAGTTTTAGCTCTCTCACACCATCGTCCTGGTCTCTCATCAATGTGTACAACTCACTGGAAGAAACACATCATGCAAACTCTCAATACATATCGCCACGAATGACAAGCAAGTCATTTAGACTTTATTTCCAATCACTATAAACAGGCTCTGCAACTTGCACCAAATCTGAGGAGTTACATTCTTCTTTGTGTGCTCTTGAACTGATCGACACACTGTTTGTCCTCCAGTCTCCTGCCACTCTTGGCTTTCTTACGAAACTCTGTTCTGCTTTTTTCGTATTTGAGGAAGCTGGCACTTCACCAATCACCACTTAAACATACATTGTCAGTCATATCAGTTATGCAAATCCTTTGATATTTTTTCTTTTCAGTGAGTGGATGTCAGTGATAAACTCCCCCAAACCAGTTTTGACAGTCTGGTCTGAAACTGTCTTTGAGTTCAAATTGTGATCATGTGAACTTCCTGTATAAGACCTCCAAGCTAAAGCTGTCACTTTTTTTTAGACCACTTAAATAGATTTTTTTTTAATAATAATAATAATAATAATGCATCAGATTTCATATAGTGCTTTATCAGAGACCCTCAAAGTGCTTTACATTGGATACATCACTCATTCACACACACAGTCACACTTATGTGGTGGTAAACTACCTTAGTAGTCACAGGTTCCCTGGGGCAGACTGACGGAAACGTGGCTGCCATTTTGCACCCACACAACACTCACAATCATACACCAGTAAAGGACACACACTGGGAGCAAGGTGGGTTAAGTGTCTTGCCCAAGGACACAACGGACAGACTAGTGATAGAGAGGTCGAACCGCCAACCTTCCAGTTATTGGATGACTGCTCTACCTCCTGAGCTACTGCCGCCACAACTTACTTAAAGGTAATGTTAGCTTTCCAAGCTAGCCAGCTATAGCTTTACTAGTTGGTTGTCAACTGAGACGTGCTGGACTTTACAAACAGTTAGTTACTAAAATAAACTAACCCTTTATTTATCACCACAAGACTAAATTTAACACAACTTACGCCAAGTTGACTTGGTCAGGCAGGCGAATGGAGCGTCTCGTGGACCTCCTGGCAAACTTTTTCCCTCCCTGTAGACAGGTTATGGCTCTCTTGATGTCCTTGACCCAAAGCTCTCTCTCCTCCACATGTGAAGCTTGGAAAAAGTGGTCTTGCTTTTTTTCTGAAGTGATCTTGAAAACCAGCTACAGGGAGTATCAATGGTTAGTCTCGGTGTTCAGAAATTTCTGGAGTATCATTCAGATTTTTCTGCAGTAACCCTTGAAATTCTCTTACCGTCCTCTTGTTAAAATCCTGACAGGGACTGGTGAGTGTGGCTGTTTTTAGTGGGATCATTCCTTTCGGAGAACTGTCTGTTTTCTTTTTATAGAACTCCAACCCGTCTTCTGACAACACCACCCACACCGCCTTCCAGGAGTTTAGGACTGTACCCTGCAGATCAATGAGACAGCCCATGATGTACTTGTAAAAACAGGCAAAGTTGGCATGCTGTGTATTTTATCTACCCACGTTTGAATTTGATCAGTTTATCGTCTTGTTTCTAAAATTAATTCCAGGTGGCATCATACACTGAGCAACTTCCTCTCAGCAGCGCCCTTCAAATACAAGTAAGGTGTGCATGACTCACGAAGCCACAGATACCCTGAAGTATAAATTCACACTACAAAAGACTGGATCTTTTTTTACATAAGCTTCCCCCTTTTTATAAATCTTTATTTTGCATTGGGGTTCTTTTCACATGTCATCCAATAATGGAAACATGAAGTGAAAGTTACAAATACAAACTTAAGAAATGAAAGCAGCCTATTCTGACCTGACAAGATACCATTGCACTTACAGGAAAATGCTGACATTAATGTGCCAATATGGTTAGTAGTTCTGGTAAACACATGGGGAAGGGGAATCGCTGAAAAAAACAACTATTTTCTGTATCAAACTGAATCTTTTTAATTTTAATTTTTATCTGTTTCGTCTGCTCTTGGGGCGTTGAACAAATAATCACGCTCAGTTGAGCTTGCCGTGCGCTCTGTTATTGCCTTTCTCCCAAGAGTAAAAATATGTAGTTTCATTAATATGACTTATTTTTTTTTTTTACAAGAAGGTATTTAACATTATAAAACCCTTGTTCAGAAAAAGTAAAGCAAGGTTGTAAAAAAAATGCATATTGCAAAACTGAGGCTCTCCTTTTGAAGTCAAACATGCAGGAGATAAACAATAAAGCAGAAATATACATTCCAACACGGTGTGTCAATATCACTTTAAGAACAGCTGCAGATCTCTATCTTGTCATTCATACCACACTGTTTATCCGGATACTGAACCACTCCCACAGTAGTTCACTTCATGCAAACATGCTTGTATAAAAAAGCAGATTCTTAAAGCCGTAAATGTCATTTCAGTGATCATACCTGCATAAATTTGACTCTATCTTCACTCTACTTATCATTACGAGTTCTATCATTTTGACCGTTTTTCCAATGAACCCCACACCCACGGTCTGTGGTTAGCAGCCACAAAGTGGTTTAGAAGAAGAAAAGTTTAGAAGAAGTAAAACTTGAAGTACTTGCCACATAAACATTCTTTTTTTTTTTAGCTTTTTGCAGAATTTTATGACTAAATTGCATCAGTTTTTCTTGACATACAAGTGTTTGCTTTCTTAGAGTGTTCAAAATTGTAGTCTTTTACATGTTACAGACGTGCTAAATCCTGCATATTATGTGTGGTAAATCTTTGATGCCCAGAAATTAAAACTCATTCGCGAAGAAAAGAGGAGATTTTAGTCTTTTTGAGAATTTGAGTTTGTGTGACACTTCAGCTTTGTTTTTTCCAACAAACTTTTCTTCCATCAAATATGAAACCTGCTTAAATGTATTTTTAGTTGTACTGACGAATCCTCTGAACATCTTAAACTTTAGACATCGTCTTTTGCAGCTTCTGTACAAAACTGTTTGGTCATCTCTAAGCATGACCATGACACACAGCCATGACAACCTCAGTGTCATTAGATTATAAATAAAACTTGAAAGGTCATGACTAAACATGGTATATCTACTGTCATGCAGGTGCTTTATGAAGACACAGACAATGACTGAAGAGAGAGAAATGAGGCATGCATGGGACAGCCTACAAAGAAGGGTTCATGTTGGTTTAAGTTCTCAGTATGAGAAACAAATTCTCACCACACCTGAAAAAAAAAAAAAAAAAAATCACTCATGCTCTATCTGACATGCAGGAAACGGCTCTCGTTCACACAGTTTGTGTTGTGAAAGGAGCGCAGTTTGAAATGTTCTTGTTGAGTTCGGTTGTGTATTTCGGCCTTATGAAGGCGCAAAGTGTTAGTTTCAGGTCAAAGTCGAGGCTGTCTTAAACGGTCAGCAGTAAGCACTTCAAATACACCCATTAGGCCAATAAACAAAGTCGAATTGACGAAGTAAAAAGACTGCACATGCACAGTCAAAGAGAGCTCATGTTCACTTTTACAGCATGTCTGCTATTAATGGAAAACACAACCAATATAACACTTCTCTACTTCTGCTGTTGGTTCAAGACAGAAGCAGGAAGTTTTACTTGAAACTGCAGAACTTAAGTATGAACTTGTGTACTGTGGTTTTTTTAGGGTTAACCCATACAACAGTGACTTTACTCATCAACCCTTGGGTTCATTTTGCCTTTCTTCAAGTCCTCTAACATTCAGCTCCCTAAATACATTTGTCTGAAACACTGAAAAGTAAAATCTAGCATTTTCATACACAGTAGATGTCAATTTAGATTCTTATTTTACTTTAACAGAACTTTAAAGTAAAAAAAATAAGAGTAACACATCTAAGCTACACTGCGACAACACCAAAAAGCTTTTCCTTCTTGTGTTTTCTTACCTTTTTCACAAGGTATCCCTCTCTGATCTGTTGTGGCTCCATCACGCTGCTCTGTTTGGCTATCTGCTTCAACTTTTACCACCTTTTGACTGACAACTGAGGCTTCCCACCCAGTCCGCCTACTCTCTCTCCTCCTGCCGAAACCACAAACAGACACACAAGCAGGAAGTTTTGTCGGGTGTGTTACAATGATGAGTGGTCACCCAGCTTCCTGTGTGTGTGTGTGTGTGTTAATAGTTTCAGTTACTGCTCAGCTGCTGTCTCGACTCCTAAAATGTTAAAAATAAAGACTTTCCACTACGCTCAGTTGAGCGATATGCTAAAAAAAAAAAAAACTGGGTTCCTTTTTTTTTCTTTTTTTGCTTGTTGAACAAAATGAATATTATAACTGGTCCAGTACGGTAACAACCATTCAACTCAGAGGACTGCCACTTTACCCACATTGCAACACAATTCATCAGAGTTCATTCACACCTTGTCAGGACATGTGTCACAGCGCGCAGTTTCACAAACTGGAGACATTTCTTGACATGAAAGGAAGTCTGGGTATCTGAGTTGTCAGCTCCCATCAATGTGATGACCCAGCTGTGTGTGTGTCAGTGGGAAAATTCCAGATATGGAAACACAATGACTGGCAGGGTGGAGAACTGAGTTCCAAGTGACAGGATGACAGCATTTTGAGGCATTTATGAGAACAGTGATAGAATCGATACCCAGACAGCTCTATATCCATTAGTTTTTTTATTCTATTTCAGCAACACTTTGTGCTGATTTATTACTGCTCTTACTTCCCACTGCGCCATGGGACGTCGGAATGATGTCTATTTAATGTATTCTTTCGACAATGAGGTACAAATGAGGACATCATTTCAATGTCCAAAAGAGGTCCAATAATGACATCTAAATCTTGGATCCATTTTGCACGTTATGCCGACGTCTAGATTTGGTCTTCAGATGATGTCCAAATTCTAAACGTCTGAGCGATGTCTAAAAAGTTCCAATTTGGACGTCAAAATTTCGAACCCATTTAGCACGTCGCACTGACGTCTAAATATGGTCTTTGACGGACCGACCCAATACTGACTTGATCTGCAGGTCTCTTCTACGCCCAATGTTTGGTGGGTTATTACTTTTGTAGTTTTTGCCGATTAAAATAAAGGAATCTTAAATCTTACTGTCAGAAACCTCCCACCACTCCAAACAAGAAGACCTGGTTAGTGAAAAATAGTAAATTAAGAGGAATCGAGAAAGCAACGTCACTCAAGACATCTGTGTTTTTCCAAACTAGCAGTTAGCCACAGTGCTGGTAACTCACTTTAAGGGTCTCATTGTTTTAGGTTGTATTCGAGGTTTAACTTATCTCCTTTTAAAGCACACATGAATGAAGATTATTCTCTCTGCTTCTGCTAATTATATCTACTATGATTAAAGATTTAAAACATAATGAATATCAAACAGTAGCACAACAAATGGACAATATATACGTTTGTATTTTCTTAAAAAGATGTTTGTCTAAAGTCATCTTTTTATGTATTAACAAGAGACAATGTGCTGCGCTTAAATGCAAAGAAACCCTCTGGCAGCTTGTTGCAACATTATGATTTCGATTTTGACACAACTCCAGCATTGAATAAGACAAACATCCAAGTTTAGGCTTTTGGGTGGCGTCTAGGATGACCAATCGGATTTCAAGGGGGCTCCACGCCACCTAATCGGACACACCCCTGTCAGTTAAACCAAGTTTGTTCTTGAGAAAATGAACAAATACTCCCTTCTGTGTAACTCTCCACATCAAACTTCTCAGTGGTACTCACTCAGTTTTTCTCATCAGAGGCACTGATAACACTCTGATTCACTCCTGTGATGCAATCCACAGGGGTGTCATGTTACAGCAACATCAGTTTTATTCCTCTGTTTTTAATGCAGTGTTTGTAATGTACCTCTAGGGGGCCTCATAAACACGTAGAATCTGAGTGGCATTGCAGAGCTGTTCTGGGTTTGGGGCTGTGACAGAATGAGAAATAAAAAATGAAAAAGGCCTTGGATAAAAATGACTGGTCTGAAAAATAAATGTCCTGATTCGAGTAGGTGAACTTTTAAAAGTCGTCCTATGAAAATGGAATTCTTGTGAGTGGCCATTTTGGACGTCAGTCATGTTAAGATGTATGCCATAAGGCGACAGGTGCACAAAAATAAGATATAAGCCACCCTATACATCCCTTAATCCTCCTAATGGAAAAAAAAGGTTGCTGCCTCACTTTAATCAACCGCTTTTCATGATAAGTCTTTATTAAGTAAGAGTCACCTTCTTATGATGATCTCATTTCTATAAACACAGATCATGGGACACGCTGTCCTCTGTGACCGTGGCATTTATCAAAAGGGGACAATAGCCGCACTGTTAGTCTGTCCGCTTTGAATCATGCTCTCCTCTCACTATGAATAAACATCAAGAGAGCTGGTGTTTATGAGCGTAGTGATGGATCTTTGGGCAGTGAGTTTCAATAACTGTCAGCATCTCTCTTTGAGGCTCGGGGTATGGAATAATAATGTCAATGAGAAAACATAGACGGCAGCAAAGAGGACGCTACAGAAACATCTGTTATTTTTTTAATCTAATCGAGTGCGGTCTCCGAGGACAGGTTCAGAAACGGTTTAGATGTATGGCCTTGCAGTATGCCGTCACAACAATGCAAACCAAGGCCGATAATGTAGAGACTGCACCGCGTTTATAGATGTGAAGAGGGGGTTAAACAAAAAGACAACAAACCCTCCTCTGTTCCTCAAACAAACAAACAGATAAGACAGGGTAGAGACGGCCAGTTTTAATAGTATTTGATAGCACACTGGCATATGATTTCAGGGTTCTGGCTCTAAAACATCAGAATAAATCTTGGTGTCTAAGCTCAAGGTTTCTAGGATTTCAGCTTTGCAAGAAAGGGGCAAACAGCCACTCACCCTGAAAAGATAATGCATACATTTTCCCTATATTGGTCCTCTTGCATGAGACACATAAAGGTAAAATTGCAAAAGCTAACAAAAGAAAATAACAATAAAAATAGCTGTTCACCTCGTATGCCTGATATTATGTCTCTCCTTTCACTCCATGCACTGTCTTTTTATCTCCAAATAGAGCATAAAGCCGTATCATGATGATGTACATTCTGGGAATAGAGGGAGGAAACAGATCTGTCAGCATGCAGCCAGAAGAGAAGTCAAGGAAGGTTCTGTAAGCATGATGAAACCCAGGAAACCCAGGAAACAGGACAGCTTCACACAAAACCCCTCCAAGTCTCTCTCTGTTCCAGTCTCACAAGACTTTCTCAGTCCCGAAATGACCTTTTAACATCCATGTCAGGCATCTGCCAGAAGCACTGTTGCTCATAATGTACCATGACCTTTATTATAATGTAGTGTAAGTTTCTACATGGTACACGGACAGGCTCTGTGGAGGCTCCTGGTGGGTCAGCAGAGTTTCGAACATGTATAATTGAAATCCAGACCTTTTGTTGCACCTCATCCCAGCATCCCTCTCACTTTCTCTTTCACTTTGTAATACTTTGAAGTATAAAAGGTAGACTTCTCTTTGGTTCCTGACTGGAAACCAGAGTGACAGGTTTTTTTTTGTGTGTTTGGACAAAAAATAAAAACAATCACACTGAAAGAAACTTTTGTAAACAAAGGGAAATCTGGTGTTGCACTTGGACAAAAGGGTCCATGTATCCAATAAAGACAGATAAAGAGTTGATGGTGTGAGATTGATTATTGGACTTATGCTTACCATGTGGCCTGAGCCATGATACAATATCAAAGTTTTTAACTGCTTTCTAAGTACACCATCACAGGGTTATTGACTATCAGTGCTGTGTTTGCAGCATGTTTTCACTTTATCCAAATTGCTGAATGCGTCACTTTTTAAAACCTGGAAACAACTACTCTAAAATGTGTCAGCTTTTTCATATGAGCATCTTCGAAATTTCAGAAATGATTTAATTTCCTGTTTCATTCCAACGTAAAATAAATTTAAGGTTAAACACACCGTAACATCGAGTTAGACACCCCCTCAAGAGATGAATGTTGCCAACAGCTTGCTTCTCTAGTTATACCAACTTTAGTAATGACCGCACGATAGCAATACACAGCGGTCTGAGGAGCCACTCCCAAGCCTCAGCCAAAACGCCACTCTATATCCACAAATAATGCTCAGAACAGCACCTAACTTCATCAACAGTACATATAGGGTCCCAGCCGTAGTACTAGCCACCAATCCCTAGCAAAGAGACTAAACACAACTAACCTACTTTCTTCCAGCAGCCGCTTGTTTGTAGTGAGACCTCAGGCCAGTCCATTACGAACTGCTGCAGGGTGACGCAGCTCAAGGAAGAACATTTATGATCATTTCTTCATGGAAATGCAATCAGACCGAGACGCTAAGGCAGAAGAACTACAGTGTCTGCAGTGCAAAATGATTAATATGGTGATTATTACTTCAAGGAAATAATAAAGAAATGATCATAAATGTTCTTCCTTGAGCTGCGTCACCCCGCAGCAGTCCGTAATGGACTTGTCCGAGGTTTCCCTACAAACAAGCAACTGCTGGAAGAGAGTAGGTGGGTTGAGTTTAGTCTCTTTGCTAAAGAGATCAGAGTTAAAAAGATGTTTGGTGGCTAGTACTATGGCTGGGACCCTATATGTACTGTTGATGAAGTTAGGTGCTGTTCTGAGCATTATTTGTGGCTACAGAGTGACGTTTTGGTTGAGGGTTATTTATGGCTCCTCAAACCGCTGTGTATTGCAAGTGGTCGGCAACATTCATCTCTCGAGGGGGTGTCCAACTCGGTCTTACGGTGTGTTTGACCCTAAATAAATTTTACGCCGGGATATCCCCTTAAGATTCTGTAAACTTTCTTGATATTAGGTTTGGCCTTTCTGAGTTTGGTAAAGGAGTTGCATTTTTGGATGAGACACAATGAAAGCTGTGGATCAATCATTGTGGATTTATCAGTGAGGCACCTTAAGCTTTCACCCCATGTGACTTTTAACTTCAATGTCATAGAGACATTTTTACTTGATCATCCAAACAACCAGAGGCCTTAAAAAACAGAGCCAAGTGCTTCTTCTTTACTTTATGATTATCATTTAATGATACTCTATAGCTCCAGGCCACTTTAATTAAAATCTTATACTTTTAAATCCTAAACAGAGTAAGATTCTTTATACAAAACACACACAATAAGACATTGAAAACTTCTGCATTTGGTGATAATAATACGCCATAAAATTATACAAAACTCTACAAGATGCCACTCTACATTTGGAGGGTCTGAAATTTTGATGCACACTTTTACACAATGAATTTTACTATAAATTTTCTTTCTTTCTTTCTTTCTCTGCCACATCCATCTGAGGTAGTGTTACTGCTTCTCCAAACTGTGCTGATACCATGTCAGCAGTGTGGGATGACTTCTACCAGTTGCTCCCCTTTGGAGATGACTTCAATTCGTCTTCTTCCCTCTTATTGAGCACAGCAATAAATACTGCATGCGTTGTTCCTCCTGCTAACCCCAGCCTTTGCCGTAGCTATTGTTTTTCCGCCCTGGGATTGAGACATCTTTATCCTAGTCCTCTGTACCACACAAGCGCCATCAATAATTCTACTAAAGAGTGCACCGAGCTGAAAATGGGAGGGGAGGCTGGAGCAGGGGGGCAGTTGATAGCTTTTCCATGGTACACTCAATCTCTCCAGCCCCCTTCATTCATGTTGCGCGTACACACTTCCTAACATGACCTTCTGTTGTTTGTCATTTCATGCTATATGGATAACAGGCATCAATTACTCAGCCTTGTGGTGAAGTGTGCGCATTAAAGCAGCTGAAATATGCTATCAGGGGAGCATTACCATGCCTATTATAAGGTGAAAACATCATATCAAAAAATACACAGAGAATTAAATCTGAGCTGTAAGAAAACTGAGCTTTTAAGAGAGTTAACATTTCCCTAACATAACACTGTGATATCATTATCCGGTTTTGTAAATTTATTCACAAACAGAGCAGGGTGTAGCACCGTGTAACACGCACGCTGAAATATTTGTCATGCTTTCATTTAATGAGTCTGCCTTGTGCTTTTAAAAATCCCTCTGAGATGTATAACAACTAATGAGGCTAACACTGGTGCTAATAGATAGCAATGGCCTTCCCTTGGGGCTTCAGAGCATTTCTCTGTCTGCACACATTCCTCTGAGCAAATCTCTTTTGTGAACACACAACTCAGTGACAGACGAGCATGTTTCTGCAGGACGGGAGATACATTTGATTCTCTCACTGGGATGAGTTAATATACAGGAGCTTATTCCAAACTCCAGAGCCCTTTTAAACGATTTAATAATAAAATTAAAATAGTTTTATTTTTGTTTTAAAATCCACTCAATCAGTGCACCCGAGTCACTTTTTTATCCTCCTACCAGGGGATTTCATAGCTGTTGTTTTTAGGGATACAGTTGTGCTCTTGAATGTGCCTTGCTCAGCTGTGTTGGAGAAGTGGACTATGTTGAGTGGTTGGTATCGAAAGGGATATATGTCTTCTGTATTCCATTTCCAAGTCTTACAAAATACTAACAAATGCCAAATATTGGTAGTTTGATTTCCACTCCTCATTTGTAGGATAAATGTTGCTAAAATTGAATCCTTCTTCAGTTCTCGGTGAGATTTCATCAATACTTCACCACAGAAATTTGACCAGGTGTTCTGAAGGTTTATGCTTAATGCATGTACAGTTTTGACTGTTGGCTAATGACCCCCGTTTATAACAGTAAGCTGTTCATGGATAATGGATAGTGATGAAGACTGGTGAAGCGTTTGCCGCTTTCTGTCAATTTGTGTCCAAAAAAATCGAAAGCTTTGACATGTCAATATTAAACACAGTGACACCTGGTGGATATTAAATCTTATAGCAGTCCTTTTAATGAGTGTCTGAAGCAGCAACCTGCTGATATTCATTATGTTAATTATAAGAAGTATAAGTCTGAGAAGCACGCCATGAAAAGAAACTGTCTGCTACTTTGTTTAGAAGCATGCACTGTTTCAAATTGTATCCGTATGTGCATTATATTGCGATCAAATAACTTTACTGCATTGTGATAAAACTGAAATATTCTGTATATTTGGCATGAAAAAAAATACATTTTGAGTATGTGATTGTTTGAGATTTTTTGGAAGGTGAAATCTTGAAGCTTCAGGCCCGATATTATCTCATTGTAATGATGTGATCAGGTAAATGTTAACAGATTAATTCAGACAAAACTACTCTCTTTATTTTGTCATTTTATCTGATAACAGTGGTTTTATATATATGTGTGTGTGTATTTTATTTTATTTTTTATTATTATGTTTAGTTATTTCTCTGATAAGTTTCTGAGATTCCAGATGACATCCTGATAACATACACGTACAAACCCCAATGCCAAAGAAGTCCTATAAAATGTGAATAAAAACAGAATACAATGACTTCTAAATCCTTTTTGACCTATATTCAATAAATACACAACAAAGACAAGATATTTCATTTTCAAACTATTAAGATAAGTTTGGACAAAGGACTGGGAAAATTGTGGAATGCTCAAAAACACCTGTTTGGATCATTCCACGTGTGAACAGGTTCATTGGAAACAGGTATTAAAGAAGCATCCCTGAAAGGATCAGTCATTCACAAGAAAGGTCAGGGCGAGTATCACCACTTTTTGAACAACTGCGTGAGCACATGAACCAACAGTTTAAGTACATTCGTCAATGCAGAATTTCAAGGACTTCCAGGATTTCATCAGGGACAAAACCAACATTGATTGAATGCTTGTGACCTCCGACCCCTCAGGCTTCAGTTCATTCAAACCCACATCATTCTGTAAAGGATGTTACTCCGTGGGCTCAGGAACACTATAGAAAACCATTGTCAGTTAACACAGTTCATCTCAACATCCACAAACTCTACTGTGCACAGCCAAAGCCACGTCTCAACAATGCAGAGAGACACTGCTGGCTTCTCTGGGCCTGGACTCATCTGAGATAGACTAACGCAAAGTGGGAAAGTGCGCTCTGGTCCGAGGGTTCCACATTTCACACAGTTTTTGAAGATATCTTGTCTTTGTAGTGTATTTAGTCAAGGATCGGCAAATCATTTTATTCTGTTTTTATTCACATTTTACTCAACGTCCCAACTTCATTGGAACCGGGGTTTGTAATAAGCACTATTATTCCATCAAGACCTCCGAATTGAAAGTCTAGCTCCTTTGAGTTGTCTTCCTGCCTTTCAAGGAGCACTCTGCACTTGTGAAGTTGGTGCTGTGAGATGGAACAATAGGAGAGAGGAAAAGATTGTGAAGTTGGCAACAACATCTCTGCCTCTACGATGTGCCATCAATGGACTACCGAGACAGACGGACAAAAGAGAAATGTTGGTAAGAAAAAGCTGACTCATTACTGCTACCATTTCTATTGTTACTGACTACAGGAGGGACTGACAGTCCAAACTGTTCTCACAACCCAAAGACACATTAACAGTTGTTTTTTTTTTATTCCTCTGATAGGCTTTTTCTGAAAATAACACAGTGAATGTTGATGAGATGTCATTTTTTGTCAAACCTTCTTTCCGGGTTTCATCTCGCCCTCCAGTTTCCTAAAGTCATCGTGACGATTGTGACGATCAGTCAAGTTCCTCCATGTAATCTGTTATGTCTGTAGGTCGTGTTGTAGATGCTCTTCATGGCTTTGTGAGTGCAGAAGTCTGCCACAGCGATGGTGTTCCCACATTAAAGATTCTGTAGCTGAGAAAGCAAAGAACAGAGATAGTCACTTAAGGTCTTTGTAGTTTGATTGTTGAGTGATCTACCGGTAATGCCTCGGGGATCCAGCATGAGAATTGAACTCTGCTTTCTTACTACTGCAGACAAGAGATGGCAAGAGTTGCAAATCTGTGGTTTACCTTGTTCCCATATTACTATTATTTTCCCTTCTTTAGGATATCAAAAGTACACCAAACACTATAAACTTATGTACACATCTTCTTTAGTTTTGATATTAAATAAAATAAATACGTTTACAAGACCATCAATGACAAGTTTGACAATTTTCATATTAAAACTTTTTATGTCTGAAACTGGTCTGAGGGGGTAGGTGTCCAAAACTGCCCTGTTTTCACATTCCAACATGAAATACTCACTATCAATTTGACTGCCAAAAATCAGCAGGACAAGTTTTTTTTTTTTAAGACATAGAACGACTTTTTTTCCCAAGGTTTGCACAAATTGAAACAAACCAAAAGTTCCTCACAGAAGCTTTAATACTTTAAATTGCAATACATTTTGGTAACTGTTCAACCTGATAAACTCAAGAAGCATCAACGAATTTGCATTGTCTTTGTAGCTTTACCTCACCAAAAATGGCTCTGAAGATAGGGGAGCTGTAGATTCGGTGACCTTGAATGCAGTAAGCTACACTCAGTGTAGACGTCCTACCCATATTCCCCGATTGTCTCCATGAAATTAGCAAATATGTCCTTCGATTGAAGTTTGTCTGAGGAAGTTTTACTGTTGTCTCATCATTGTAATGAAACATATTCACTTGTTCAGCCCTTAGAGTGGAAAGCTAATTACACACGGTATAGAAAAATAATTAAGCAGCAAATAGGCAAGTACTTCAAACATTACAACCCAGAACAATAAATTAAAACAAATAGATTCTCCAATATACCATCAATTTGATGTTGATTAACTTGTACAACATCTTTTATATAAAGCACTAATGTCATTTTCAGATTTAGCTTCAAAGACTCTCCATGTCTCTGATCTATTAAATTACATAATTTCTCCTTGAGCTGCAATTTTTCCTTCAGAACTTGTTGATTTAATAATTGGTTATTGTGCTAAATAATAGGTGAGATAAAGGGCGAAGACATTGAGTTCGCTGCTTGAAATGAAAACAAATCGAAATGAATGAGCTGCTGGAGAAGATGTCCCACTGTGCTGAGGCTAATAAACCTGCAGGCCAGTTCACAAAGAGGAGGAGGAGATTCATCCACCTGCCAGTTAGGTCGACGGAGACTCATAGATAAACACTTTCAGGGGATCAGAGTGGAGATACAGTGCTGTGAGCCCTGCAGGGATAAAAACTGAAATGCTGCTGTAACCACATTTACATTGTTAACAGCCTTGAGGAACAAGAATATTTTTATTAATATTTTCATATTTTATCGTCTAATCTCTCGGGGCTGTTGTTGAAAACTCCTGAAAAGAGTTTGGCTGAAAAAGTTCAAACTTATTTTCACTGTATAATTGCCTCTTTGTTGATTTGATCTGCATTCATCCAAACACTGAATTATGGCACTGGAAGGATTTTCTAAAACTATGCACACATAAGTTGTAAAAAGTTCACAGAGTAGCAGCACAAATTGTTGAAGCTAAAAGACTTTAAGAGTCCTCATGTGTCTTAACCTTTTAAAAAGTATTGATTGGAGTAACAGCTCAGAGCCACTGAAGTGAATTTTTCTCATTATTGAATCAAAGCACTGAAGGGGCCTGTCCACATGACAGTCTGTTTAACCTCAGCTCCTCAGGGTAGATGGTTTGTTTTATTGTACCCACTTTAACACACTTTGTATTTGATCTGCAGTGACTTTGCAAAACATGTGGGTGATTGTTAAAGCCCCTCAAACTGGTGTCCTGGTTTAAAGCTAGTTTATTAGAAATGTATGTTGAAAGTTAAAATGAAGATTTTTTTACAGCTTTGCCTCAGTCTGAATGAGAAACAAATGATTAAAACCTACAGGAAGAAATTTCAATTTCAAGACTCCAACAGACTGTCAGCATTTGCTTGTTGTATTGCATTAGTTTGATTCAGGTCAAGTTATGTTCACCCACATTATCTTGGAAAAAAAAAGGTAATTCCTCATAATCTCAGTATATGCATACTTAATTAATGTAATAACAAAAAAAGAATGATTAATACTCCTTAAAAATCCTCTTTTGATGGGCATTTTAACAGTTTCAACACTTTTTACTCCAAAATTCAACATTTTTAATGGTCTGCTATAAATATAGATATGAAGAACAAAACAAAAAATAAAGTTTGTAGTGACCCTTCACTTGTGTCCTTTGTACTGGATCTTCTGACAGCAAAGTATGTAAATTATAATGTCTCTGCTCTTGCTGATGATCTAGTTTGAATTAAAAGTGCGTATATGAGGCTGGATGAGAGCGCTGGCATGGAAATGATGTGTTTTGATGGGAGGGCTGGCAGGCTCCTGCTTTGGGGGACAGAGGGTAGCAGGGAGCGAGAGGATGCCAAACAACAGACTGAGGCAGGATATAAATCAAATCTCTCTGGAGACAATGGGGCTCACGGCACACATATACACACACACACACACATGTGCATACATATACACACACAGAGTTGGCCAGGGTCTGCTGAAGCTTCAATACCTCAGCCACCAGGTTAGTGACTTCAAAACTCAGAGGGAACAGACGCATGCAAGAGGGACTCCAGCAGAATACTAATTAAAATGGAAAGCATTAGGGACTTGATTCAAAGGAAGTTCAGAGGGATAAGGTGTGATTGTGTTTCAATAATTTAATTTAGCTCAAAAGGAATCACAAAAGTACACTAAAGAAATTGCTCTTTTTGAAGTCAATGTCATGCAGCGAAAGGGAATTGAACATTTCAACATAAAAACAAATTTAACCCGAAAGATCCCTGTTAGAGTTATAGACAATAAATGAAATTTTTTATTAAAGAATTTCAACGTAAGCAGCAATTTTTGGATTTTAGCTGACTTTTCTTTGGTTAAAGTTTTAAATTAAGTATTGTCAAATCTAAGTTTCTGATATATGCATTACAGTTCCATCAGACAAATATACATTTTAGAACCAGTTATTTACACTGAAGAATAGTACCGGTATAAAATCCTGCTTACTTTCCATCATTGGTTAGGTTTGCCCAAGTTTGTGGGATGTGACAATGATGTGCTTTTTATATTGAGTGGAAAAACAAAGAAAGAATCAAACAAAGACCATAATTTCATATCGAGGCAAATCTTCCACAGATTAAAGCCCTGTCCAAATTTGGGGATTGGATTACATGAAGTTTCTCCCTCTCTGCCTTCTGTGGTTACTGGTGTAATATTATACAGGAGCCAAAGTAGGGAAGGATATTAGAAAATAGATTGCACATCAGTTTCTCGACTCTTTTTCCATCAAGGTGGCAGAAAATCATATTTTTGAATAATCGCCTTTTTTCACTAACTGTTTTATTGGGCTTTTTTTTGTCTTGTTCCATGGCAACAAATGGGGTGTTGATTCTGATCCAGGATGGATGCAGCCACAGTACAATCAGAACCTGCCTAAGCATCACAGAAAATCAACGCTATGGTTCATTGGGGTGTCACTAGACAATTTCTCACATAAAATATCAAGTTTATCACCGGGGGGTTGCCCTCCTGTGGCAGACAAACTATAAATGCTGTGCAATGCTTTCAGCTTTCATAACATTTGATTTTGCAGTAGAAGTCTCGACGTTTCACATCAATAATTGTTAACTAAGAGGCGAACAAGTGTGCTAATGAGACTTTGTATGACTGCAGTGACTTCCTGGTTTGCCAAATTCACAATGCATTAACCCCTGATTATAACCTGGCTCTAAAAAATACTTCATTCTTATTGGTCAGGATGATTGTGGATGTCAATCAGGTTAAACCTCTGCCTAATGACACTGGAAAAATTGTAAAAAAAAATTGGTAAATGTGGTAAAAAACGTGAGTTTTCAGGAGGAGAGTACGGAAATATTGACAGTTACCGCACACAGATTTAAGAGCAGCCTGAGGAGCTACTGGACCCCTGTCAAGTCTTAGTTCAGAGCTGGCTTATTCTGCAAACTGTCGAAGAACCGGCTTGCTTTCCTACCCACTGGGGCCACAAAGGAGCCTGCTCATTGCATCACTACATACATCAGAGAATATTTCATTTATTTCCCAGCACAACTTGCGTTACAACAACAATAGAGGACTACAGTGTCTCATCTTTGGTGTATCTCCTATAGCTTTTCAAACACTGTATCCAATCATAGAAAGACCAGAGAACAAGTTCTGCTCGGCAGGACAGCTTCTGGCGGGGATTACGCTCCAGAAAACAGGTAATTAACAAAAGTGTATTGATTCTTCCATACACTGAACAATTCCTGTTTTGTAGCTTTTGTTAACCTTTTGGACATGACAGCCCCGCCCCCAGCTCTTCTAGCCCAGCAGAGAGTTGGTGCTAGTCTTTGTGGTCCACAGCCAGATCTTCAGTAGCGGAAGTACTGTTTCCAAATTAGGTGATGACTTTTAACTAACTGGAACTGGCTTGATGGAAAAAGGGTAATTGAGGAGTCTGTTAAGAACCCTGTTGCCATGGAGGCAGCACTGATTGTATTGAGATTCATTTTCTTAGCTGTATAGATATATAATATTATTTATGTAGACAGGGCTGCACCGATGAATTAATTTGTGTATTTATATAATGTATAATGCATTTTTTTATTGCATGCATTGTATTTATATAGTCATAAACTTTTTTTATTTATTTATTGTACGTATGTGCATATATAATATATACATTTTTTTTCCTTTTTTTTTGTTTTCTCTCTTGCTTTTTTATTCCTGTGTTTATTTATTTCACTACCAGAGGACAAATCAACTAGTGTTTCTATTTCATTACCAAATACTTTGTTTGATGTTACCCTTTCCGAGATACAGATCAGAAAAAAATGTATGAATATAATTTTGATGCTGAACAGACTGATTAACCCGCCACACTACCGTACACTTTGGGTGTTGTTTATTTATGCATTATGTATTTCTCTTTTTTCTGCTTTCTCCTGAATTTATGTCTATGTGTTAATATGATTTATGTTTGATGACATGAAAATAAAACTAAATATGATGTTCAAAAAATAAATAAATAAATGAATGGAGTGTTGAAATAAAGAAATGCTATTAAAAAAGTGCTTAAACTAAAAAAAGATAATAGTTTAACCAATAAAGTCACAGATGCAAAAGTTATTTTATTTACACTTATTCATGTCCTTGGTTGTTGGTTGTGTAATGAGTGGGATAGTATATAGTGAATGGGTGGTTGTACAATTTAGAATCCCTTTATGTTGAGACAAGACCTGCTCACTATCAACTTACTGTTGAATATAACCATAAAGAGGCACATCCAGTCTAACATGTTTAAGTAATGAAAAAATACAAGCATTGCCAGATTTATGTTGGTTTTAGATTTTATATCTATCCATCACTCTGCTTGCAAAAGATTATAAAGGTCTGAAGTTTTCAAGCTCTGCTCCCGAGAATCCTGAAAGGCTTCCTTGCCAGATGGCATATGTAATCCTTCCAGTGTGTTCTAAGTCTACCTCAGGGCCTCTCAGTTTTTTTCCTTTTCTTTCCTGAACTGGAAAGCTGTCATTTAGCTGAAAAACAGCTGCCTGGGTACATGGTGGACCACAGGCGAAAAGTAATGAAGCTTTGAATAGAAGATAAGACGCCGGTCCATTAGTCAGCTCTCACTGGTTGGTCACTACAGCAGCATATGAAAAGGAAAGAAAAAGCAACACAAACTGAATACTGAGGTTACAATATAGACAATTTCAAAACTCTTATCAACTATATTTATCCTCTGGGAGAGACAAAAATAACTTTTAGAGAGAGCCATTGTTATGAAAGTAAAATGAAATTTTTTTATAGTTTCAGTACACAAAATAAATTTACAACTAAAGGTCATGGACTTGCACACCCTGTATTGAGCTGCAAGCAACAATTTTGAAGAAGGCAAGTTAAAAATACAACATTTGACATGTTCATTGGTTTGCCTTTTAGATGCTGCTTGGCAGATTTGTTACTTTCGACCACAGCTAACCTTCTCTAATCCCTGAAACCACTTTGAGGCTGAAAATCTGCACATAGCCACATGTGTCAATCATCTAATTCAATTGTCAATCAGGAAACTAATCTGTAAATTTATTCCATATAGAAAAGAATATGCTCCATAATTGTTTTGTGATCAATACTTGCATTGTGGTAAACTTATTCACACCAGGACTGTTTGGTTCGTTTTAAAAAGGACCATTGTCCCCTTACTCCTTCAATCAAACTGACTTTTATATGTCAATATAATCCAATAACACATTTGCACTGTGATAAAGCCGGGAAATTATGCCTGGCATACAGAGGTCACAGCAGACGAAGAACAGTCGGTCAAAACACTGCACTGTCTGTAAAAACTCGCAAATCGCCAACGCCACTTCTGGTGAATTGCATGAAGCAAGACGAATATTGTTCTCTCTGGTCGGCTACTTTCTGTAAATTGACGGACAATGAAGATTGTGCCCCAAATGAGCAGGTGACAGACAGCGGTTTTCTCTTGTAATTTTCCCCTTTTTTTAACCATTTGGTTTGCTTAGCAAAAGTCCCATCCCGTGTGAATGCTAAACGGACCAAATGCAAAATGTAACAATGTAAACATTTGAACCTTTTAAGTGGACCTTGGATGAGAAAAGCCCCTTACATTGGCATAGACCTCCATGGTGCCAAATCCCCAGCTAACCCAGACCTAACACACAAAGTGAGTGTCATCTGGGGTTTTTATTTGCTCAGCATAAGTAATCTAAATCCTTTGGCTCCCCCAGATGCTCCGGAGCCTGCCCTTCTCTTGCACTGTCAATCACACACCTCTGTATTTTTGGCTCTGGAGAGAGGTCACTCACAATCATGTCATCCAGGACAGCTCTACATGAGGAATACATCAACACCACCAGTTAAAGAAACATGTTTTTCCAGAGTCCAGCCAGAACTGGTAAGTAATGTAAAATCATCTATAGTTTCAAAAATTACATATGATGACATAATTGGCCAATAACAACATGGTATGTCATCATACAAATGTACAGCCCATCATATTGTACTTTCACAGAGGGTGCAGGAGCCCCATCTGGTACCTTTAAACCTCAGCCCCTCTCTCACGCCTACAGCGCCTTCACCGTGGCGTCATCGTGTGGCTTGGAAAAACCGCCCTGGCTGAGACAACATTGCTCTGATGGGTCATTAAGACTGCAGAGAGATCACAGACTCTGACCTCTTTTCTGTGCCGCAGGAGAAAAGCACAGAGGGTCCACGGCGGTAAACACCACCCAGCTCATGTTCTGTTCAGATAGAAGAACTAAGGCTCGGTCCTGGATTCCAAAGGCCAGTGAGCATCTTTGCTTTCACAACCCAGCTTAGTTCCAGTTACCCTCAGAAGGAAATACCACATCCAACAACAATCTTTTTGTTTTACCAAAATAAAATGAAGTTAATTAAAAAAAAAGAATAAAAGTGCAAATATCCAGACGTCTTTTCTCAATTTAATAACATAAACAGACACCAGCAGTATTTTCTTTTGCTTGGATTTCACTAAAGGACTGTTTCTTGGATTTTTTTTCCTTTAAATCTAATGTATTCAGAATAGGGTATAAAGCAGGGAGATTTAAATAAACATAAGGAAGAAGACGTTACACTTTTTAAATAAAATATCACTCCAAATGACATTGACAACTACCAACAAATGTAAGCATTTAACTTCCTGTCCAACATACACTTTTGAATAAAACATGTTTCATCCATTGTTTATGATACACTGGTGATGGATTACATTAATATAATACATCATATGTCACGCTGCATAATGTATAACTGTCAAAGATAAAAAACATCAGTCCTGGCACGATGAAGAGCGCCTTCATTTTATTAGATATCACACTGAGTCTTCTGAGAAAGATCCTGTTTGTCCTGCAGGACTTTTTAATCCTTGGAGTATCATAATTCTCTTACATAAGGGTATTGTTGGTGCTCCTCTTTATCCAGTATTTAGGATTACCGCGCTGCTGTCTGGCCCTATTGTATCTCCAAAGCATCAGTTTCATGCTTTTGGTGACAACGGAACAACAATACTTTATGAATATAGTTGTAATGCAAAACAGTTAATTAAAACTGTATTCAGATGCATGTAAACAATGAATTTATTCAGATATAACAGACATACTGCAAAAACATCAATGTGTTTTTTTTGTAGTTTTGCACTCACAATGCCATAAACACATTAAAGCACACAGTAATACTGACTAGTTACTAAAACCTACATGAATGCATGATTGGGAAGCTTAGATTTATGAGCTGTGATTGTTCTAGCCAGACCAACTAAGTTTATTAGTCCAAATGTATCCCTCTAGGGCCGGCTGTCATTTAGCATTGATTTATGCTGCCTAAAGTGTCAGAATAAAGATAAATTCTTCACTTTTCCTCATATTTACTGGCCAGTAAATCCATAATTTTTCATTACACTATTTTTCATGTGTAACTCACGGTGCTCAAATGTAGTTTGCGTGGATCACCCAGCTGAAATACTGACAATGATGGATGAAAAATGGCTGTTGTCTACATGACTCCTTCTTTGCTTCTACTGTCACCCCTTGGCCTCTGGTTCTTGTAAACAATGTGGCACGGGGAGCCAAATCAGACTGAACACCACCTGCCATCAGCACACACTGACTGGCAGCCACCCCTCATTGGCTGGGCTCTTGTTTGACTGGATCCAAATTCTAAAACCCTTCCTAACATGTGTGCAACCCCATGCATACCAAGCATGATTGCTGCCTGGGATGTTAAATAGTCAGTTATCTAATTGTAGAGGACAATTTGTGGGATCATCTGCAGTAATGACACGAGACAGTCGAGAAAAATGAGATTTTCTACTTGACGAAAATCTGATTTGGAAAGGCCAGTGCATATTTTTTATCACAGGCCACACACTGTGAGGACTCACTTTCAGCAGATTAAGTAAATGTGTCAAATTTTGTTCTGTGCTGCGATATCTGTTTCATTTTTCAGTGTCCAAAATGTTCATTAATTATGAATTGAAAGCAGTGCATAAAAACTTGACTCTTAGTCCCTCAGCTGTTCTGACCGACACAGTGAGCCAAAAACAAGCTGGACTCACTTCTTTGGATGAACTGAATGTAAAAAAGGACAAAACATGTGCGTGAATAACAGAAACTATGAGTGACATATTATTAATTTTGCTTTTGTGTGATAAAACTTTTACTATCACCACATTTGGCTAATGATAGCTCTTAACATGTTTAATTCTACTGTAAATATTGGTGTTTCCATATTGGATCAATATGCTTAGGGTTTTGGCCGTCACCCTCCAGTGAACACTCCTGGAAAAGCAGTTTTTTTTACATGCATTAGTTTAAGGGGATTGATTGACTCAAGCTAATGTGGTCAATTGGCCGTCATTAGAATCCGATAATGAATTGAGGCAATGTGTCTCACCTCTTTTGCTCCCTAAAGACGTTTTTTTCCTCTTCTCTTGGTACCTGATAAAGCCAGTGTAGGTACCAGATGTGTTCAGGCTGCCAGATCGGCTCGGGGCCCAGCGCCTGTTGAAGACATCACACTACGGCAAGTCCACTTGGACAAACTACATTGTGCTCCATTTAATAAGTCAAATGTGTTTGGTTGAAAGCCCCTTGCGATTCTTCATTTTCGTTTTTTCATTTAATTGACCGTACTGTAATTTACTGTACTGTGATTTTTAGATGGCTTTAATTGTACATGTTAACTTTTCTAAAGGTAAAAGAAAAAAAAACGCAGGATCTCTGTTTGTCAATAGATTGTTTTGCTTTTATTCCACATTTCCTTTGGCAACCTAAAAAGGCGGTAGTCCAGCTGTTGTAGGTCCCCTTTGATAAGTAGCGATAAATTGCTTTGTAAAATTCGTCCATGTTTTCTCCAAACAACGACAATCCCATGAAACCTACTCTGGCGAAAACTGTTTCCATAATGTCCGGACCAACCACAATCTTCTACGTCATCCGAACCAACTTCCAGCCAATCATATAGTCTGACGTCATCAATGGGCAACTGGCCCCGAGCCGATCTGGCAGCCTGAACACAGCTGGTACCTACACTGGCTAAAACACAGGTAAAATTGGAATACAGATAAGAAATCAGAATACTTCACAGATCTCCAGAATCAGCCTCAAACCCGGTTCTACAGGCCACTGGTTCTTCAAGGGGAACATGTGCAGGGTCCATTAACGCCTACAGACTTTACACTGCTGTTCCCAGTCCCTGTGGCTGCTACTCCTTTTTTCCCCAGATGCACCACAAGTCATTTTGTTCTAGACCTGGACCTGATAGGCCCACAGATTTAGAACTTTTTATGCACAGCCTATGTGTATGTCACCAGATTTCAAAATTTGTTCAAAACTGAGATAAAACAGTCCAGTCTCTTCTTTCATACTAACACTTCTGTAAAGAAGAGGTGTATCAAACTTTGGAAAACAGATAATAAGTCTCAAATTGCTTTCAAAATGAAAAGTAAAGTAATATCCTGTAATATAAATAGAAGTCCTGTTAGTTCTGGATACAAACTCACATGGATATAAATCCCCGGCGGACCGCTATGAATCATTCAAACGGCAAAGAAATGTAACTGCATAGTTAAAGAGACCGAGATCTGATATCTTTATCTGCATAACAAGGCAAGACAGAGACTTCTTCCAGACACTAAACCTCAATGTTTCTTTGATGTGATCCACATGTTTTATTCATCGGGAGCTCACTGTGAGATTTGTGGTTTAGCCAAGTGCCGCTTGTTGAGCCATTTAGCGCTAATTCCCCTGAAATATCTGTTACTGTTTGTGCTTTAACAACAATACTATATCCTTTTAAATCTGTTGGCTAATGGATCTGTCTGACAACCACAAATGGATTTTAATTAGATTAAAAATCCTCCCTGCAGTGGCTGGTCGACTCCTGATAGGACCAACCAGATTGAGTTATTATGATAAAGCTCAGTGTTTATGGACGAATGATTCGGACCTACCTGAAAATCGATAAAGGGCACCTCAAGGACCATTTTCATGAGAAGTAGCCTGCGTTGCATAATAACCTTCCCCAGCTTACACCAGGTGATTAATTACATTCAATACTGGGATTGAGCTTACTCATTTAGTTTGTGTAGAGAGGCATAAGCTGTTTTAATGCCAGTCTCAGATTCAAATAAGGCTTTTAATCCTCGATAACTCTCCCACCTGAAATTCACAAATCTTTTAGACGGGGTAGAACAACACGCACATCTTAGTTTGGCAATTTTCAATAATACTGTCATGCTTTATAAAGTGGCCCTCAGCTTTTCTCTCATGCTGAATTCAATCTCTGGACACACCACAATTCACAGATGAGAAACACCTTACAAAGCACAGTTGTTCAGATAGAAGCGTACATTCATCTTTCCATGTGACAGTTCTGTCCCTCTTGTAATCAAACAGAGGTGCAAAAGACCTTTATGTAAAGGTCAAGGTTTTAATGCTTCTTCATGTGTTTTCTTACATTCCTTCACGTAGCACACAACTAATCTAGGTCTTTATAAGAACTTTTAACAGAAAAGAAAAAGCCATTTGTCGGCTGAACACAATGTGCTCTCGCTCCACGTTATACCAAGTTTATATATGATTATTTGACCATAAAAGCTGCAGTCTACCCGAGGATACAGCAGTTTCAAACTAAGCTACTGTTTGTTTTGCCATCATGAGGATTAGGGCCACACTGGGGATTTAAAAAAAAACAGAAACAAATTCAGAGAAAACAGTTGTAATATAGTAAATGCGAAACTGTAATATTAGAATTGAGTCATGATTTTATGAGAATGGACTTGTAAGAGAGAAAACTTGTCATATTACCAGAAAAAAAAAACGCCTGCACTCTGAGGGGAAATAAGGGTCACCTCATAAAGTTCAGCTCAACAGCTGAGGACACACAGTGGTTTCAGAACTGTGTATAGGCTGTCCATTAACCTGCCCTTCCTCAGAATAAAACTCACTTTCTTGCAGGTCTATTCAGAATCCTGGTAGTCATGTTATTCATGAAGCCCGTAAAAAAATATGACTTCACAAGATATACCACGTCATTTCCAGGCAGCAGCTGGCTGCTGTTGTGATCTCCCCCTACACATATGATTAAAACAATAAAAAGACTCGCCAAAGATATGAAATTCAGACTTTTTCTCATAAATGTATGACTTGATTTAAAGAAGTTGATTAAATGCCCATGTTTGGACTGTATTTCAGCAGGAATTATGCTCATACACAAGATTCATCACACATTCACATGATATAAACCATAATTTTCATGCTGATTTCTGTATCCATAGAGACAAAAACTATGGTATCAGAGACTACTGCATCACAGTGACCACTGAAATATAAAGGTGATAAGCTAGATCTGCCCCCACCCCCACCAGCACTTCTCATCCTCAGCTATCATGGCCTCTTGATGCACAACCCCTCGGACATCAATCAAGTATGCAGGCATCCAAGGGTAGTTCTGTCTTCATAGTTTGGCCTGCACAGCCAAATGCCTGCACATGCACAGTACTTTCTCTTCTCCTACAAAATTGCTCCCTACACAATTTCTCTGACCCTTCCAGTTAACATCTCAAATCCAAAACGCATAATTATGTTTTCATTCAAACAACGTTCAGTGAAATTATGAGTATGCATAGACTGCAATTTAACAACTGCTGGTCTTTTTCTTTGGGGGAGCGTTTTTTAGACACTCATTTCATCCTTTCTTCTTCAAACAGAAAAATACAATTAACATAATGAAAAAGGATAATTCTCCTCACACCGCGATGCTGTCACCACACTGTGGCCAGTCAGAAACTGGTAGGATGAGGAAACTTGGACCTGATTTCATCCCCAGCCACAGCCGCATTCATGCACTTTGCTTTAATGGGGGAATTCTTAATTCTGACATTGTATTTGAATGTTGTGGTTTATGTAAATCAGGTGTCACAAAGCATTTTCAAGAAGCATTTAAAAACACATCTATTTACAATTATAAAGAACTTTGTTTTTTATGTACCAGCAGCAAATTTTTAGCAAGAACTTTGGTAAAATATACATATATATATATATATATATATATATATATTTTTTTTTTAATTTTTCTCAGTTAGTAAGTTTAAAAATTACACGTTTTCCTGAAAAACATGTAGAAAAATGTAGTTTGTGACAAATATGGTTACCCAGCAGGTGCATATATACACCCAGAGTTTACATCTTGTTTTGTAGAGTGGTGCAACTACACAGGAGGAAACACTTTGGAGCAGCTATATCAATTTCCAAAGAAAAATTTACATTAAACTTGAAACGGATTGAATAAAAAATGATGCCTCAAGGCTACTTCTTCTAATTGGAGTCTAGAACTAACTGTAAGCCTTATCATAAGGTATCATAACATTATTCATTACTCAGATTTTATATCAAAGATATACCCGTTCTGACCTGCCTGACATTATGCCAAGGGGCTGTTTGACCTTTGCCCTCTCCACACTTTTGATTTTATTGGTGCTGACCCACTCATCAACAGGTCAGAGCCTATGGGTGTGGAATAATTAGATCCGTCTCTCAGAGTGTGATGTTAAATCAGCCTGACCCTTAGAGTATAAAACAAACATTTAAGATGAGATTTTATAACCTTTCATTAAATTACACATTAATTGTCACCTTTTTTTTTTTCAAGAAATTGTAAATGATTTCCTGTCCACTGAAGCTCTTCTTTTGTGTTCACTTTCAAACTGGATTTAGTTTGGGGTTTAGACCTAATCCTCCTTTTCTGCAGACAGATGCAGGAAATTGAGAAACTGTAAAAATGCTGATTTAGTTGCATTTATGGGCCTGAAGTTTGGAATATCCAGATGAGAGCTTTTGTGTGATCGGTTTCGGATAAGATCTGAAAAGACTTCACAAACCACCTCTTTAGTCCATACAATCTCATGTGCAGATTCAGCACTCAGATCTAATGCACTTGACACCGAGGGTGTTTTCTCTCTGCTTACAGAGATTTACAGTGATAACTGAAACAAACAGACAAATCCCAGCAGATCTTTACAGTCCTGCCTTATGGGGGAATATTATGCAAATTGTAATTCTTGCAGAAGCAGCACACGCAAAACATTTTCAACATAGTCATTAACTTTGCTGCAATGTTACAATGCGGCTCTGCAGTTATAGAAGGTTTTGACAAGTGGAGGCAACAGCAGGCAGATGTGCTTATTTGGAAGCACAAAAATAACATTAGATTCAACTGAAATGTCTAATTTGCCTCATTAAATTAAGAACCACCATTACGTGTTTTTTCCTTATTTTCCTCTGTCTGTTTATCTGTCGCCTCATTGTTCTGGAGTCATACAGAGCCCATTACTGCATGAGTTAAATCCCCCCTATACCCATTGTGATTTTTGGGGTGGCAGCCACAGATTGAGACATTTGTTAAAAGTGGAAGAAAATTAAGGCGACTATAGTAATTCGTTCCAGAAATGGTTGTGCAGTGTTTTTAAATAGGCAAACGTACAGTTAATTTTCCTCCCGTTACCTAGAAACAGCTAAATATGTAGTGGGAAGCAGGCAACTTACACTGTAGAGCTGCGCTGAGTAAGAGTTTTTAATTCATTTGTTTTAATTGATGAGGTGGTGAAGTTTTTTGTTTTTTATCTAAGTAACTAAGTAACTTTAGTTTATAGCTCAATTCTTAGATATCTTTCATGAGTCTTTCATGGTTCTGTTAACGCAAGCTGACATTAGTGAAGTCATGCTGATCTAAGCCAGTGTTTCTCATGTACAACCATATGAGGGCCACATAAGAAACTAATATTTAGCTCATTTTCTTACAAAAATAAAATGTGTAAGTCAGTTAGGCTATAATGTTGATGATTAAAGTCACATTGTTGCAAACAATATAGTCATACATAAGTCAAAATATTTTGAGAATAGATACTCTAATTTTCTCTAAGTTCATGTTCCTATGATGCACAATAAGTCTTTGAAGTTTTTATGATCTAAAAATTTTAACCAATTCATTTTTGTGCAACTACCAACCTCTCTCTATGCTCTCTGCACAGCCACCCAGGAATGAATAAAACATGTTTGGTTCCAGCTAGTTTGTCCATTCTGAGCCACTGTAGAAAACATGGCGGTGCCACATGGCTGCCTTTAGACTGAGGACCCACTGCTACTATAATTAAAGGCTCCACCAGTAGAGAAACGAGTATGATATCCCATAACACCAATAAATTCTACACATTGTACCTTTAAAAGATCACAGTAGTCATACAAATTTACACAAAATTGGAGATTATGTAGAGGACCAACACCAACACAAGGCGTAGAGAATATTAAAATCCTGTCAGACTGCATTTCACAACCAAGTTTGAATGATACCAAACAGTAGTTATTTTCATTGACAGACTTGTGATGAAACAGGCCATTTTTTAAAACCTCGTCGTGACAAAACAGGATAAGTAAGCCAGTTTTCATGAAGGGAAAAAGCTGTGACCCCACCGACTAATATTCAGTGCATGTGGTGTAGTCCTGCTGAAAAAGTGAAATCAAAGTTGACTGACCTGATTGTGTAAAAGAGGACTCCTCAACAGGTTTGCCAAAGGTGGGGACAAAATCCAACAGGATAATACTGTTCACATTTGACTCCCTGGATGAAAAAGAAAATGGCTTCTTCTTCTTCTTCTTCTTCTCCTTCTTGTTTTAGGCAGATGGCAACAAACGTTAGAGGTGCATTACCGCCACCTACCATGCAGGAGTGTGAGCCAGAGGTCCCTACTCTCATAGGAAAATACATTCATATTTACTTTAACCTAAATTCTGTTTGCTTTAAAAACTCAAACACTGCTTTTTAACTCTCGTTTCACAGACTACATAAATTCTTAGGGTTCTACACTTTCATTCCACTTTCCTGTAGTTTCCTTAGAATTTCTCTATAATTATTATACTTTTGACATTTACATATAGCATGTTAACTCCTCAACTCCACAGTCAGATCTCCCTGTTGGAAGTTTTCCAGTTAAAAGCATACTTTTGTTTATTCGCATTTGATAACCTGGATGAAAAATCAAATGCGTTGTCCTACATCCGGGGAAGTTTGTGAGGCAGTTGGGCGTGGTGGTCAGGTGACGACGGAAGGCGGGAAATTTGAAATAATCCGCGAAGCAAGAAAAGAGGCTTCCTGTGACAGATTCACGACATCATCCAGTCTCGAATTCAGTGCAGCTCCAGAAGGATTTGGATTAGTTCCACTGGACTGACATTTAATTCATTTGATGCTTCGAGTGGAATAACAATATAAGAATAAAACCAGATGACAAAATCTGCAGAAAACGGTATAAATCAACCGAAATAATCTCTGAAAGTGCGTCTCGACGACATGTTTTGATCAATAAACCTTAATCTGATTAGGTTTTAGAGAGCTGGGCATGAAGACGTTTGGGAATCCCTGTTTGCGGATTAAACTCTCCTGCAGAACTTTGGGTGGCGCCAGAGCGCAAGAAAAGGAGAAGTTGGAGTGGAAATCAACCCATCTAATGGGTTAATCTGCCCAGAGAAACGTTTATGGTTTTGGCTGTCTCCACATCCCGGCAGAAGATGTGCGAATCTTCACAGCGGGTGGTTGAAGCAGCCACCTGTCAGACATGGGTTACAGCCTTCGTGGCTGAAGACAGAGTCGACCTCTCCCACTTTTTCTCTCCTGGAAGACGTGTGTGTGGAGGCTCGCCTGCATTAATACCGAAATAAACGCGGATAACTTCAGCTCACCGGCTGCGCAGGAGAAAGTGAGCCCCACTCAGAAACTGGCAGTGTGAGATTATAACCGGAGTCTCTGAGGCTCCAACCCCTCTCGCAGTGAAGATTAGGGGGTTGACGACGTCTGAAGGACACTAAGAACAGGATTAGGGTATTGTGCTGTCTAACCTACTTCTCAGCACTCCTGCATCTTGTCCTCTGAACATTTTCGCAATGACCTTTGGTGCACTTGGAATACAGAGGGTGCGCCTGTAAGGTAAGAAGAATATTGTGTTTTATAATTGCGGTTGCTGTTATTCATTGTATTGATAATAGCGTTATGTAAAGTTGTTTCAAATACTGAGCAGCACACATCAGCTGATTACGGGCAAATTACACCTTTTTGGAGCCTGTTACGCGCAGGTGCCGGTGTAGTTTTTTAAACAGTCCCACTGAAAATCACACATCTTTGACACTTTTACTTCAGTAGTGGGTTACTCCTCGTGTTGCTTGTGTGTGAACGTGCCCGGTGTTTCTCACGCTTAACACGTCAGCCTACTCAGGCGCTCCGGAGACACATCACTCCATGCGCATGGCGACTAATGTAATTTGCAGAATGTGCATCAATCAGAGCAGATCAATACTTCAGGGGACCATGTTGTGTCCTGCGTTAGTGCGTGTTTACCCCGACCTGTGCTCTGATAAGGGTGTCGAAGATGATTCCTGTGTGAGCTTCCTTCCCCCTCAGAGTGCCACTATTTCTGTGACACTTGTGATTTGGATCGTCTGGGACAAGTGGACTCATTTTTAGCTCTCCCCACGCCAGGAGCCCGAGGAGACAAGCTCTTGTCACAAGATATATAACACGGGGATGCTTCAGATGTGAGACAGCCTTGTTTTTTTTGTTTTTTTTAGATTCAGTAATAATGAATCGTTGAGGAACATGTTGCTCGCTTCAGCTCTAATGCATTTACAATTTTAAGTGCCATAATGCAGTGCAGCTTGAGTTGATCCAGAGTGCACATGAAACACTGTGGGCAGAGAAGACTCCCTTTCTTTTAACTGCATCCAGCCATCCAAACAACACACAATAATGCAATCTATATGCACAGGATTAATGTAATCACTGTAGTCTTGAATTGACTGGTGTGATCAGCCCTCTGCAATAGTCCGTATTTTCATGTACAGTACACTTAAGTGCTGGTTCACATGGTCACTCCCTGATCTTGTGAAGTTTAGGTTTACCTTTATTACTTAGATTAAACTTTCTCAGAAACCTGACACAGATCCTAATTCGATAGATTAAGTGTTTAACCAAGCTGGATAGTTTTAATTTTACAGAATTTAATCAGTGAGGTTAAGGATTAGAAGACATAACCTTTCAATTCTGCTCTCGCTGGATGTGCTGAAAAGCCTCCTTCTGTGCTGTTATTTTATCTCATATGAACTACAGTACTTAGCAGCTACAGGTCTGTGTCCTGCCCTGGAGGTGTGCACTGAATACGTAAAAAGCATTGCCACAGGATGTCTTCATCAGGCGAGGGATGGGCAGCTTCTTTCCACAGGCTCACATTTGGGAAATGAGAGATGAGGGGTAGCGGGCTCAGCTCAGTCAGACTCCATTGATATTCTGCCTGTGTCCTGCTCCATAGGCAGCCCATTGTCATGGCCTGCTCAGCAGGATAGCATCTGATGATTGAGGGGTATGGAAGAGGGTTGAAAGCCAGCTCTAGGAAAAACTAAAGGTGCATTTCCTGAAGGTTAAAGATAATTCTCTTACAGTAAAGGCTGATTTGGAAGGAATATTGTGCAAGAGTTGCTTAGAAGTGAACCGGTCAGATAGATTCAAGAAAGATCACACGCAGAATGTTTTTAAAAATGTATTTTAGTCAGCTCTCTAACAGGATCGCTAGCTTGATAACACCTGACTCTTTCAGGACTCTTTTTTTTTTTCTTCTTTAATATTCTGTAATTTGGCCCTAGATCGTGTTAAGTTAAGTGATTTCCATGCAACACAGGTGCACCCTAACTTTCAAAGAGTGTAGCCTCTCTAATGTCAGGTGCAACAGTGCCACACTGTGTGGCCACTCAGCCTCAGAAGATTCATGGCCAGCCAAGCAGAAAGATTTATCTGTCGTGGGGGCATGAAATTGCAATGCTCTGCAGTATTCAGTCCAGGGCCGGTGAGGGAAAGAGAGAGACAGATCCTCCATTGCTTTTGGGAAATAAAGAAGCAACAGAGAGGAGTCATGTGCAGGAAAAAAAAAAAAAACGAGCGAGCACTAATGGCTGCCTGTGCGCTGTGTCAGGTAAAAAAGTGATCAAGGATGTACTGCCTGTATTCTAGAAGAGAGAAAGGAAATAAGCAGAAAAGAGCAACCACAGGGGAGTAACAAAGAAGTTCATCTGAGGAGTTGAACAAATAAAAGAAACTTTTGAAGAAGTTGACACAAAGTGGAGAAGTTTACAAGTGGCTGCAGAAGTTGGATTGCAATCTCTGCTCAGCACTTATTATTTTTTCAGGTTTTGCACCTTAAAAGTTTCCTGCTATTTGCTGAGTCTCACTCTGCTTCAGCTTGAATGGCCATTTTTTTTAGACTGGGACATACGAATTGTTTGCGGTGTAATAGTCAGGTCACCAAGCCCGAGTCTGAGATGAGCATCAGTACATTTACATGATGTTAAAACAACAGAACTGAAAGTACGGCACGTTTCCTCTGATGGTGAAATAAAATATCTAGAGACAGACTTAGGAGTTATCTGCAGGTTTAATTAGGACCAGGTCATATACACAGACAAAAAGGTCAATGAAATGTCAACTCCTGTGAGTAAACAGCTCTCTGTTTTATACAGTCAAGACACACTTACAAAGTCCTTCAGTGGAAAAGTTGGTCTTAACAGAAGCTGCAAACCTTGAACCTAGAAATATCCCTTTGTGGTTTTAAGCATGCAGTCGGCTATATGTTCATATATGTCAGCCTCTAACTTTGACATAAATGGTCCATGTGTGGTTAACTGAAGCACGTGTCCTCTGAGCCTTGCCTTATGTTGAACAGAGAAGGTTCATGGATGCAATTTATATGTTGTAGTTGTGCTGAGTATGAAAACATGAAGAACATACAAAATCTGAAAGGTTGCATATGAAACAGTTAAAATTCTTACCAATCTGACAATATGATTGTGTGGATCATTTATCTCTTCATGTGTACTGTACACTGCAATCAGCCTCAAGCTGGCCCAAGCATTCAGCATATGCTCCATGGTTCATACACCAGGGCTTTGATCCAGGAGTCAAACAGCATAAATGCGCGGAAGGAAGCTGTGGAGTAAACAAAACCTTGACATATGAAAGAGAAGAGTAGTGACTCAAGGTATGGAGCTATAGGGTGACTTTTCTGTCTCAGTTTAAAATAGAATACAGGAGTATAAACAAGCATAAAAACACCTCACAGATGTGTCACACAGTTTCTAGACCAGGAGATGGTAACATTTGCAACCAAGCAATATGAGTTTCATAGAAAACTAAGTGATGAAAGATTAAGTGAAAACCATACACTGTATCTAGAATGGATGCCGTCTGCCTCCCTGCTGGGTGAAGCCACCCCGAGAACAGCACCCTCTGATGACGGGCTGGAGTAAAAGGTCAAAATTCAAATCCTTATACTGGCAAAAGGCGGAACCAAGTTGTCCATAGTAAATACGGTCTATGGTGAAAATCCGTTTGAAATCTGAGTATCCAGTAAAAGATTAATCCAAAACAACATTAAATCCGTAAAGACCCTTCGATTAAACCTACAAAGCAAACTGAAACAGAAGTAACATTTTTAATACTCAAGTTAAAAGTTGATTTAAAAAAAAAAAAAGCAATGCAATAAATTAACTGTATGTTACCATTAAGTCATTACACAAGTCATTTACTCACAGAGACGGCAGTTATTGATATTCAGCCAGTTGTCCTCTAACCTCTTTGTTAGTCAGT